TTGTGTCCTTCTGAAGACGCAGCTTGGAGAGCATTTCCGAAATATCCACCCTTGGCATTGACTTCAGCTCCTTTCTCCAGCAGCAATTGCACAATCTTATTGTGTCCTTCTGAAGACGCAGCTTGGAGAGCATTTCCGAAATATCCACCCTTGGCATTGACTTCAGCTCCTTTCTCCAGCAGCAATTGCACAATCTTATCGTGTCCTTCTGAAGACGCAGCTTGGAGAGCATTTCCGAAATATCCACCCTTGGCATTGACTTCAGCTCCTTTCTCCAACAGCAATTTCACGATATTGTCGTGTCCTTCTGAAGACGCAGCTTGGAGAGCATTCCCGGAATGTCCACCCTTGGCATTGACTTCAGCTCCTTTCTCTAACAGCAACTGCACAACTTTCTCATAACCACCCTGGGAGGCCGAGATAATAGGATTGGTTCCATTGCTATCGGTCAAAATAATATCCTCCCCACTCAGGGAAAGTAGAAACTCAACCTCCCGCTCATGTCCGTTAAATGACGCCAGATGTAAAGGAGTCATCAACGGCGGAGCTTTATGAGCCTCAATGGTCTTCCAAAATATAGGGAACCACAATGAAAATGCTTTTCCACTCATCTCGTACATTTCCTGAACTTGACTGGTCGCTTTTTGGTCTTGGGTCAGACTCATCTTCCGTCTGTGGTCCGGCCAATATACTGCTGAATAATCCAGAAAGCTTGGAACAATAGGATCTAGATCCCAATCATAGTACTCAACGTCATCCATCAGTAGGTATCGTAAACAGATAACAGCCATTTGATCCTCGGTGTCTGTCAGGCTCCACGAGTATAAGTAGTTGATACTATCAGAATTACTTTTCTTGACAAGAAATTCTCTGGCTGTTTGATGGATGAAGTAGATCCTGGAATTGTTGATGAAAACAAAAAGGCCACATAGTCGACGCAGCTTTTTTTCGATCTGAGATGATTCAAGTCCAGCCGTTGCTGCAGTTTGCGCTTGTGGGGAGGTGGCTATACCGAGCGCCATGGCCATTTCTGCTGTTGTTAAAGGGCGCCGTGCTGCAACAATGATTTGCAAGATCTTCCTGGCAATGTCCACTTGACGGGAGGGCACTTGACTAAGAATTTTCTCGTATGCCTCATCTACTGAACGAGGTATCAACTGAATTGGCTCCTCGTCAGGACGAAGGCTGTCTTCGAGCGTAGATTGAATATCGTTAATGGCTAAGTGCAACCAAAGATATGTACGGTGCTCCATTTGCAGAAGCTGTTGCTCCAGTCGCTGCTCTGTGGTCTGTGACAACGCCGCTTTTTCGGCGAGTTCCTTCACTCGCATCTTCACGACAAGATCGATTTCTTGGTGGATCTGATCATTTTCTTTCTCCCCTTCCAGATGGAGATAGGGGAAAGAGTCTGTAATAGCCCGGAAACTATTCTGGATATCATCATAGGGGCGACTGGTGACCAGGTATTTTAACCAGGTACCCTGTGCCTGCGGATGTGGCAGACGGTGAAATGATTGGAGTTTCTCAATAAGTCGATTCTGATCAATCTCACGACATTCATCAAGTGCATCGAATATGCAGATTGTTTTGCACAACTCATCAGACAATACAGCGGTTGTAAAAATTCTCCACAGTTCGTCAACCTCTTGGCGGAGCTTCTCTCCATTTTTTTCCCAAGACGGTATGGCATGACGCAGGAGCTGAGGTCGTTGGCTAAAAAGCTGATGGAGTATTGAGCAAAGTGCAAAGGCAAGTTGATTCTGTTCATCGTTATCTTTGAAGAAAAAGTAGCAGATTAACACTTCTGAACAAGAACGTTGTAGGCAGTCGTAATCGTCGATTATCGATCGAGAAAGTACAGATTTCCCACAGCCTGGGTCGGCCGACACCCAGAGAAGATCGTTACAACTGCTCTCTGACCATCGGATATATTCGGCGCTCTGTAGAGCCCATAGGCAAGTTCCTTCCACTTTTGTCGGATTGATGTTCTTTTGCTCCTCATAAGTTGATATTTTGAATGTTTGGAGGCAACGGTTTTGCTGTTCCGTCAAAGCAAACGCAACCTTCTCACGATGATGTTGCTCTTGTTGACTGTATGCTTGATCTAGGCGTTGATTTGTGCCTTCAATTTTGGCCTTCAACCCGCCTATGTAGAGAATTATAAGCAAGACTCCCTTGATTCAAGACTAATTAAGCTGGGATTAATTTTACTTACTGCAGATATCCACTACCAAGCTCTCCTGTGAGACTCGACCAACCGGAACATAGTCCAGTAACTCTTTTGTGTATGCTGCGGCTGCCAGGGCAGCATATCCCTGCCATTGCTTATTCTTGTGCGAATCGGCATAATCACAAACGCCGCGAATGACAACGCAGGGGAAGTCCAACATCAGACCAGCTGCCTCCATCTCGAAGCATAATGCCCCAGTGTTTAACCGAAGTTGCTCTCTTGTCAATCCGTGCTTGATGACCTTATTACCAGAAGCAATGATACCATAATGGGGCTGTGGATAGTCGTCCTCGCGTTCACCTCTGGTCTTTTCCCACTCCGCTAAACACCCATCACAGCTGTTCTCATTAGCAGGATGATCATATTGCGTCTGGAAGAGTCGATCGGAATTTGCAATAGGTCGGCCAAAATTCTTCCGAGTTCGAGCAGTTCTTCCGATTGCGTTTTGGAGATATTCCGGGTAGCGAGGATCATCTGTCAGTCCGGCAGCTCTCATCACGCCAACTGCAGTCAAAAGCGCCCTCGGGGGGCTATTCAGTGAGCCAGTTCGTTCAAATTGACCATCGGCAACAATCTTGCCCATATCGTATTGAATCACCCCACCGCAAGTGCCTTCGGGATAGCTAACCACGACATCGCCGAGACGGATATCATGAGCAGCTGACGGGATTCCACCCCCGACACCGACCATCAATCCGATTCGAAGCGACTTGGAGAAGGTGCGAAGCATGTTGTTTGCGACCGTAGTAGCAGAGGTGGTTCCGTACTGGCCTCCAGGAAGGCAGGCGATCACGACGTAATGTTTGCCGATTCGGCCCAACGTGTAGGTGTTCGAGTCCGCTGCATCTTGCTCCTCGAGAATCCCAAATTTCTCATCCAGCATTTCGGCGGCTGCTGCAGCCTCGATCGGAAGAGCACAGATCCAGCCAATTTGGAAAGCATCTCGCGGAGGATAGGCCATGAAGAGGTTCTAGTGTGGTTTCACGAGAGAAATAAAGTATCGACGAGAATATCACGAAAACTTGATTGGCGGCAGAGCTTGACTCATCTACTGCACTACTCGTACAAAAGAAGAGCCCCATTGCAAGGCAGACAGCAGCAGCCCCGCAGTAGAGGCTCGCCTGGGCTGGGGGCGGCACTAGAGCGAAAGCTATTGGAGAAAGCGACTAGCCCGTACAGTAGCTTGAGTCGCACGTGACGTGGTGACCAACTGACGTGGCACGACAGACAGGAGTTGACGGGGGATTTTCTGCCATTCTACACCGGCAAGAGCCTTTCCAGAAACCTCCGCTCCCCCCTCAATTATTTTTAGCTAGATCACCAATTTCAGCGATCGCAAATTTCGTGCAAAATCATTCGGTCTCCTCGTAATTTTATCGAGTATTCGTTGTCTGACATCGGTGGCTAGAAACCCAGAGAATTCGCTGGGATTTTCCTGTCTACGAGGGTCAGGGGCGAAGCACAGCTTGAGGGATCCTAGGGGCGTTTTTTTTGACGAATAAGCGACTGGAATCGGTTGTTTTTTTGTGGATCGAAAGTCGCCCTCTCAGGAGTCAATATGGTCGCTCCAATATCCGGTCAACTCAATATGCATACTCGTACAGATCTTCCCAAGTTCCATGGTAAGTAGTATTCCATAAAAACAGATCGACCGCTATTCCTGATTGGGACTAGATATCAGAATTCAAACATAAACATGCAAACAAACCTTGAAACAATCCGAATTCTTTAGCTCTGAGACTTTCTTTCAATGACAGCTGTGCTGTCCATTGCCGACGGCATTCTTGGACCGATTCACTTGCGTCCAAGCAAATAATCCAACAAGGATCGAAACCCGCCAGAAAAGTCTACGCCCGAGCCCTTCGCGCCGCACGGTCCAGATGAAAGAAAGGAGCGAAGTCACCATGAAAACGTATTGCAGCTTTTTGACGCCAGCAGCGGCGACCGAGCCCGCAAACAGAAAGTCCAGCACAGTCTGGAAAGTTAGCGCGTGTCTTCAACAGTAGAGTAACAGGGCGAGATGGCATACCGGCAGCCAACAGCATGAGCACGAAAGCAATGCAGATCCTTCAGGAAGGATATTGACGACTATCTGGGCTGAGCGTCGTAAAGGAGAAAGAGCATGGTCTGGAGCGGTTTTGGACGAGTGGTCCGGGTTGCAGTCACTGCATGACATGGTAGTTTGATGGAATTGGTTCACAGGAAAGATACTCCGCAATCAAGACTTTCTTGGGCACTATGAGAATGAGTGTGGAAGAGCTACACAAGGGATTGAGAGAGCCGAAGTGTACACAGTGTTCCCAGGGGGGTTTTACATAAGCCGTATCCCAGTAAGCCCATAACTGCTGGGCTTGATTTTTCAATTCAAAGTCGTTCCGGAGTAAACGTTCTATATAATAACTTTCCACTGCCCATCTCATTTTCTTTCTCCATCTCGCTCCTCTTTATTCACTGGTATAATCAAAGCCAGAGCTAGAGCAGACTAGAGAAGTTCGCGAAAGTTTTGACGCCTGTGATAGCAGCCACGAAACGAAATACATTCATTAGGCGAAAGACTTGTCTTCCATGAGCAGCCCAAAGCCTCGAAAGAGGCTCAGGTGCAACAAAGATTCTTTTGATCTTTGAATTTTTGGATTCAATTTAAGCAATGTATGCCATCTTACACAAATCGATTTTCACCTTCTTTACCTCGGCGTTATCAGGAATAGCCACTTCGGAAGTGACAGACAATGATGATATGTAAATGCGCAATCTCCTTTTCATATTGCATCCACAAAACCACAAACTGTAAAAGATCAAATGTTCATATGAAAAGCCAAAATGGTTTAGTATCCTGTGCGGAGTAAACAATAGGGTCCACCTTCCTCTACGGTCTATAACCTGAGGGATTTCGTGGCGTTAGAGCTACTTAAGTACATTCCAGATAAGGCTTAAGGCTACATGCTTCTATGCTTGCTGTCTGCACCTATGACATTCGGAGTTTGAGTTCCCGAGACCGCTGGGTCAAAAGTCCTCTCGTGGCCGAAGAATATGTACATTTCCAAGGTTACTCTCGGGAATTCCTCGGTCAAACCTGTCTAGTCCACTCATGAATGTACTTTTGAGTGCCTGAGATCCGCAAAATGGCCGACCGGGCCGGCCCCTGATCAGTGCAAAACCACATGCGACGAACTCCCAAGGACACAGGCCAGTTTCATTGGTGTCGATCATTACCATGAAGGCCTAGATAGTAAGTAGTAACCGGACCCTGTAATCATGCATACTCGTAGATGATCCGCAATTTTGATCCTCCCGACTAAGTACCAGTAGTCCACGGGCTCCAAGCGAATTCCTTTTTCCACCAAGGTGAGGACGATCTTTTTGTAGTCCAAGTATCTCTCCATACTTTGGTTTTTTTTTGTCGGCGGGCAATACGGAGTAGCATTACAATATTTGTTTCCCTGGAAATTGAGGGCATCTTCCTGGATATCTCACGGCTTAAACCACTGGTTGATTAACTGCAATGGACGAAGTAGAAGCTTCAAAGTATCACTGGTATCCTTCACGAAGGATCACATATGGCATTGCTTATCATATGATCAGCCTAGTAGAAAGTGAAACCAATCTATTTTAAGTTTCCCTTCGTCCTAGCGACGCTGGAATAGTGTGGTTCTGTTCAGGGTTATTCGGCTGAACAATGAGCCCAGGATTCTCTAGAGCTGCAGGGTATTCTGACGTCGCATCCCGAAGTTGCAAAGTCGCTGGGCCTTACGCAGTAATCTTCAGTATAAATTGGATCGCAATTCCAACCCTTGTCAGCTATCATCTCGTCACAAAACTTCCCACTACCCGTTATCCAACACCCAACCACCAGAATGAAGCTCAGTCTTTTCGTCCTATTAAGCACTGCCGCTATGGGCCTGGCAGCCACATGTCCAGGTGCAAAGCAGTGCCAATGTCTCTTCGAAGATGGCTCACACTGCTGCGCCTATGGATCGGTAAGGCATGAAGCGCCTACCATTGTGACAAAGACTAACATCAATCCCAGAATGAGCAAACCGGCGATGACTATGACTGTACTAGGCTGTGTAGTGGTGCCAGCCGTCTCCTGCAGAGTGGCGAAGACACCCCGACAAAGTGCAATGCAGGAGGTAAATTCTCATGCGCCTCTATCTTCACTATCCAGGGCCGTACGCCTTGCTACAACAATGCTTAGGTGTGTTTATTTCATGATTCGGGAGGGACCCCCAGCATGAGCTATTACTGACTTTCCTCAGTGAGCTTAACAAGGCTTTGAGTCATCAAATGATGGCAGCACCCGGCCTCGAGGTGACCGATTTTCGGCTGGCAGATGTGATATATTGGAGGTTTTGATACAGAGGACATAGAATACAAGAGCCATTGATAAAGCTTCCAAACCCGACTAAGTACTTTTCGGGCTACCATTTCATTGCAAGTTTAGAATGGGTATCGACCCGAGACAATGATACATTATAGCCGTGGAGTTTTGGAAATAAGAGTGGGAAAAACCTTGGAATACAGACACGCTCAGCACATGTATATCGTCGAGCTGTTGATGCTATCTCAAGCAGCAAAATCGAAGACCAATCAACAAAAAGTGGTCACGCCCAATGACGATACACCGGCAGCAAAGAATCACATCCAGGTACACCCAGGCACAGCCGCTCCTCTTCCAGCAACTGCCTTCTCTCCAAATTTCTCAACGTACCATACCCGTCCCCACCGCGCATGGGGTAGCATATTCGCTACGGCGTTAATGACAAAGACAACAGCGGGTATCGGAAGGGGTACAGCGAGTTTACCGGCCACCCATGCGACAGGAACCAACCACGGGGCAAGTCGTAAGGGAGGAGTAGTGGCCGCAGAGGATGCAGGTGGCAGACCTGACAGGGGGACGACAGCTGTACCGGCAAGTGCGAAACCAAACCACTCGATCCACTCAAAAACGTAGTGCGGGTAGAGGATGTAGCGGAAAACACCCTTGGCAGGGGGGATGACATAGACTTTGTGGAATTTGTTAGTACCAGTCTCATCAGTCTTTTTGGTTCGCTTTTCAGCTTCTTCCCGTCGAAGTCGGAACAGCATCCTTTCGGAATAGATGTTGCCGGCCATGCCGATTGCGAACAAAATGACACCGACGGTAGGAATCAGGTCCACCAGGCTGGAACGGGAGGTACTTCGGTACAGTGGAATGGTTGGAACTGTGTATCCGCGCAACCAGCCTGCTAAACATGAGGAGTTGAACCAGTTGAACAGCATGGCAGAAGACATGATGAAGAGGTGGATTGGCGACATGCTCGGTGCAGCAAAAAAGGGGGAAATGATTGCACGGTTAAAGTAGTGAATGCAATACAACGATGCAACCATGATATTCGATGCTGGCAGATCGCCAATCGAAGGCGAGTAGATAGATGGAAGCATCAGGTTGTAGATCAAGTTCACTGGACCGACGATCTCCATGGCGCACCATGCGATACGACCGGGGAAATTGAGCACAGAATCTGTAGATGTCTTTCCCGCAGGATGCCAGGATAGAAACCAAACGACGATGGAGATCTACAGTGTATTAGTTTCCTTCTCCGATCTGATCGGTATGCCATACCACTGGGAAGTATTGGAAATAACCGAGAATGACGGTATAGATGCCAGGAGTTGGTGGTGCCAAATTGGCCATATGGGGCAAAGCCTCCCAGACAGCATCAACCACATTCATATTGACAAAAAGGCAAAGGGAATGAAGTGGAAGGGGTGAAGTAGCACTCCGTAGATCGAACGCTTTTAAACCGGTGACGTACAAAGGCGGTGGCACTTCAAACATTCCCCCTTTCGATCGCTCGATCTCTTCGATCTCTTACTTTCTCGGGCGCATGCTTGTTTCCAAAGCGTTGAGTTGTCTTAGCAGATCAACGGCAATCGCTTCAAAAGAAACCCTTGCAGACCGCGAATCGGGTTCAATTGACGCACTTTCAGACACAGTAGACACACGATTTTCCCAAACCGATACCTAGCATGGTGTAAACGCTCCGAATGTGGTACTGTTTGATGACCGAGGTACAAATCATACATAGACAGGTCTCCTGCAGCGTGGGTATGTCTGTCCCCAGTAGGGTAATGGCGATGAACTCGGCATTGCTGGTTCCTTCACGATCTGATCGTTATAAACCAAAGACACAACCAAAAGGGCTTTCGCAGAGCTTTAAGTCTTTTCAGACAATTCCACTTCACGCAGAAAACTACGGTGACGAGCGGCCATGGGTGGCTGCATTAGTGTCTAGTGCTAAGGGCTGCAGGTGAGATCTTTACCCGTCGGGGCTAATCAGAGACCCTCGCACTACAAAGTACGGAGTAGATTATGCGGAAATTACGGGTCACACCGTGTGACAATTTGAACACCTTAACATTCTATCCTGAATGCCCAAATGTCCTACCAGTCCATATACCCGAGTGCTCCAAATGCACTCATGATGTATCCATCTGTTCGGTCTGTTGGTGGACCATTTCCTTACGTTTGCCAGCCAGTTTCTCGTGTTTGAATGCCTCGATCTTGGCTTTGAGGTCGGTATCTGAATAGAGGTTAGTGATTGAAACGAAAGATAGCGAGTGTTTGAAACGAAAGGCAGCGGGTGGTTGAAACGAAAGGCTGCGGGTGGTTTAATCTTACCAGCAACTACATCCTCCATCTTTAGTGGGACACGGTTGAAGGGGTCGTGAGGGTCACTCAGAAGATGCGAACGAATTGTTGCGCGATCAATCGAGATTTTGGAGCCAGGAAGAATGACAGGGTCATCCATCAGGGTATACATAAGGGGATCTGCATTTTGTCAGTAATGGTGAAATCTGGGAAATGATCAGTGGCAACTGACCGAGGAACTCATCGGGAATCTCGCCGAGATCCTCCTCCGCTTGATCATCGGCCTCCTTTGCAGCAACCACTTTCTTCTGAAGAAGGGCCCAGCGGCGGAGCTGCTCAGGGGACTTCAATGACCATTTTCGGATGATATCAGCGGCTTTCTCGAAGTTGGCCGGTTTGTAAGAGCGACCATCGCGAGCAACAGCCAGAATGAAGTTCTCTTTACCAGTCAGATTCAGATAGACATCTACGATCTCACTTAAGAGAGCTCGAGGGTTGAAACCATATTCCTGCAAGTTCTCCACACGGAGGCTGGAACTCTTGGTTCCAACCATCGCGTCTAGGTTGTAGTCCAGCATATCTGCCAGACGCTGGACAATTTCAGGCATGGTGAAGGAGTCGGCAAGCGCATCAGTGAAAAGTTTCAACATGGCGACAGTCTCGTTGGTCAGCTGCATGTAGCTCTTCGCATTCCGCTGCGCTGATGCAAGGTGCTCTTGACGCTGCTGGCGAGTGGCAGCGTCCATCGTAGCACCTTGGGTGTTAAGCTCAGTCTGGGTGCTGTGAATGGTCTTGAAAGCACCAAACGATTCGTCGAGAACGTAAGTCACGTCGTTCAACAGAAGGTTGACGAATCGAACGAAAAAGTCCAAGTTCTGGTTTGCTTGGTTGGACAGCTTCTGGCGATAAAGGGTGTTGGGCCAGATGCACTTGATGATCTGGAAGATTTCATAACGAATGTTGAACTTATCGTAGAACTGGGTGTGTGCTCCTGTGAACTCTGCCTCAATGTAGAACTTCATGACTGAGTGAAGTAGGTGTTCGTTGGCAAACGGCATCGAGTTTAGCAGGTCTACTAACACGCCGCTGGCGCCGCCAGGGCGTTTCCAGGTGCCCCGGAACAGGATTGAGACGAGACCAGCCTTCAGATAGGGGTTCTTAATGTAAGCAGAGCTTTCGAGGAATGTGATGCAAAGCATGACCAGCTCATCTCCTTGGGTGGCAGTAATGATTTGAGGCATGCACCACATGATGAACTTGAAGTTGCTGACAATGTCGTCCAGGAAATACTCTGGTAGGCACTTGAACACCTCCGGCTGTGTTTCTGGGAGAGGAAGTTTGACCTGTTCCTTGGGGAAGTTCTTTCCTGATACGACTCTGAGTAACCAGACTGTAACGTATCGCATGAATAGCATAGAGCGTGCCTGCCACTGGTCATCGAACAACACACCCTGTAGACTATACTTCAAGGCAATTCCCAGATCGAGTTTATCCTTATACTTCTTGAGTGCCTGGTCAAATGTGCGTAATTGAACCGGGTTGTTCAGCCAGCGGTGCCGCTCAAGTTCAAATTTAGTAATTGTAGACTCCATCTGTCGCACATCTTTTTCAAGTTGCTCCAGTTTAGATGTCAGAGATTCACTACCGTAGTGATGCGCGGCAACGGTTAGGAAGAAAATTTCGGTGATGAAGTTGGAGGTACCATCCACTTTCTTGGAATAGAAAGCATCAGAGGCATGCTGATCAGCATTGATCTTGGTCTCATCTCGCATGTCCACTCGGGAGTTTCGGTGCAGATAATCCGCGTCAATCCTGTCGATTTTAGTGAACGCCGCATCCATGAACGGTTCGCATAGCTGATCAAGACAGGTCGTGATATTAAACATGAAGCCGTCAGAGGATACTAGTTCAGGATCGACCTGCATTGCACGTCGTTTATGATTGATGTTCATCGCAGCAGCAAACCAATCCAGGACACGATCCCGAGCCTCTTTTGAAGCGCGAATCAGGTGGTTGATCACATCAAGAAGGTCGGAGCTGATCAATTGCTGTGTCATTCGGAGTGACCGCTGAGCATTTGCGATGTATCCTTGATCACGGGTTTTAGGGCTGGAGAAATAGGTCATGGTAACGTTAGCCTGGAGAGGAGACAGGCGGAACCAAGGACCCAGAAGAGTGACCTTCTCGAACTGAGCAGGATCCTTGGAATGGTTGAAGAAATCCGATTCTGTGATCGCCGCCGCAATCGATCCATGACGAACAAGATTCCGCAGAGCCTGGTAATAGTTATTAGGCTGCATTTATGGCAGTAGGGTGGGATCACGCACAATGCAGTATGGCTTATAGTCATCGTTGACGTCCTTTTGGGCAAGCTGCACGCTGAGCTGCTCAACAGCAGATATGAACGCAGGCTTTATCGTATCGTCTTCGTCAAATCGACGGACAGCCTCATGCATAAATTCGAAATCAATTCCTCTGTCATCCTCCGGATCCACGAGAAGATAGGATGCCAATGATGACTCCGGAGTCCATTCACTCCTGATTTTGTCAATGCTTGTCCATGCATGCCGCTGTAATCATGAAACTCACCCAAACATCTCGGGCATGGTAATTGCAAAGATACAATAGCTCATACACAAGCGTCGTGCCTCGACCAAAACCTGATATTTTGGGTCATCATCTCCGGTCCGTCTCAGCCCTTTTGACAACTTGGTGATGCGTTTCCAGCACGGCAGCAAGTAATCTAGGGGCCGCTGTCTCTCGGCCAGCGTCGCAGCTTCCAGCAAGGCTTGGTCCAGGGCGGAGACTTGGATGCGCAAGTCTTGGCCCTCATTCTGCAGTTCGTTCCGCAAGCCTGGTAAGTATTTGCGCTTGCCATGGATATCACGCTGGCCTTCTTCCTTGAGGGTCAGTCTAAACACGGCGCTTAGCGTCCGATCTTCGAATGTCTCAATCGTCTCGATCTTTTGCGGCGGGGGAGTACTTGGGGCGGAAGGAGGAGCAGAAGGAGGAGCGGAAGAAGGAGCAGAAGGAGGAGCAGAAGGGGGAGCAGACGGGGCGGCGAGTCGTGGTCGCTCTAGTCGCTCTAGTGACGAGGCGGTTGGTGTGATCTTTATCCGTTTCCCTTCTGACTGCTGTGAAGGGGGCGCATTGTGAAAACTTAAGGGTGACTGTGCGGACAGCGGTGATTGCGCTGGAGAGGTATGGGCCGAACTCTGCGCTGACTGGGAGCCTCCATCCCCACTAGGCACTGGGTTTGAGAGTTTTGCAAGGCGCTTGTTGCGAATCTTGACATCCGGATCAGTTTTCAAATCGCTGCGGGGAACATAAACCCGGGGGGTTGGCGGAATGACCACAATCCACTGACCTTATCCGCTTCGGAGGATGTATCCGACATGTTGCCTTAGTCAAACAGCCTTATGTTGACGCAGTAGATTGGGGGGGTCGGCAGAATCTCAGGATTTCAATGTGGGAAGCATAGGCCTAGAAAGTGGAACACAAGTCCTCGAAACCGAAGTGGGGACGAGGTCCAGAGAGGTCCGAGAGGTACAAGGCGGAGTGTAGAGTTGGAGCTGAGGATTCTGTGGTGATCGGCGAGATTCGTTTTGTCTCTTGATGGTTTTGACTAAGCGAAAAATCGAGGGGGAGTACATCCAAGGTACATGTGAAACAGGTGGGATTGCCGCAGACAATGATGTACCTGAAAAGTCTACCCGACCTCCAACACTATCAAGATATATACGGGTCACAACTGTGTATATGCGCCCAACGCCCGGTTCGATATTGCACCCATCTTCATCTCTCATTTTGCTTTACAATGAACTTTAGAAAGAGTAGTTTTTTGCGTGATCTGGTCCAGTGTCATACCTCGGAGAGAATACCTCCGCCTTATATACATCGTAGGTCGTTAAGAGGTAAGTGAGGGACAGATGAGCCATAAGCAGGAAACTGAAGTGAGAAGAATGTAGATTTGAGATCCCAGGCAAAGTGCAATGTACAGAAGAAATTGAAACTCCCACAGACGCCACCTGTTGCGGGCTGAATAATGATATTAGAGTGGTTTCAATGCAAGCCCCAGCTGACGATGCCATAACAAGGTGAGATCAGATTCACAATATCCCAAGCACCTAAAATCTGCCCTTGGTCTTCAATGAATCCAATTGCCGACAAGCGGGCATCTCCATTGCACGAGCCTTTTTCATTTTCTCGACGTCCGGGAAGATCCACCCTTGCGCATCTTGCAGCCTTCGCTCGCGCTCATGTGCTTCAGCGTCGCATTTATTCCGTAAGGTTCTCACATGGTCTATCTCCACTTTTGTGTCAAGCTCACGGAAGTTTCGGGCGCTGAAATTATCCACATCGAGCGGGTTGACAAAGTAATTCAGATTGAGCTTTGGGGTTGTACGACCCATGGTGTGCGGAGAGACGGGGGTATCAAATCGGTAAGAAGGACCAGATGAAGTCGAGGAGCCAGAGAAGAGAGAGGAGAGAAGTGGCAGAATGAAGAGGATGATGAGCGGCAGCAGCTGACGGAGTAGGCTGCGGCCATCCAGTTGAGCCTCTTGCGCAGCGGCGCCTGTTGGACGAGGCCGACGGCGTGGTGCAGCGCCTCCAAATTGGTGCACACGGAACCCAGGGCCTCCACCCATATTGAAGACAAACCCAGGTCCACCTATAGCAGTGCAGCATTAGTATACTGGGACCAATCGCACCCACGTGAAGTGGGATTGCAGAGGATTCAACCTACCTCCCATTCCGCCAAATCCTCCGTTAAAGAACCGGTTGAACATCTCCTCGGCGGAGATCTCCTCGTCAAATCTAGCTCCGCCTCCGGGGAAGCCGCCGCCGCCGAACCCACTGAAGGGAGACGCGCCGCTTGACGCACTCGGCCCAGGTTGGAACCTGCTGTCCGGGTCACCACCGAACCTGTCATACTTGGATTTCTTGTCCTCGTCGGAGAGGATCTGGAAAGCACGGGAGACCACTGTGGTGCGTGAGCGGAGTTCCCATGTAAACATCGCCGTGATTTGATCCCAACTTACTCTTGAACGCCTCATCGGCCCCCTCATATCCATTTTTATCGGGATGCGTCAATAAACTTTGTTTGCGATACGCTTTCTTAATTTCGTTGTCTGTCGACGACTTCTCGACGAGCAGAATCTCGTAGAACGCAGTGGGCTGACATTTTCTGATCCGGAGAACGGCTGCCTTCTGATCATCTGTATATTTGCGGTCCTGGTTGCCCTGCTTGTGGTCGCGGGCATCTGAAGGCATCGCGACTGTTCGGCGAAGCGGTAAACTCGAGTTTGCGAGCAGCGCTGGAGGTTTTAAGGACGGAAAAGTAGGGGGATTCTGGAGGGCGCAGGGTGGCGTAAGACGGCGGAACGAGAATATCCAATTTCGAGGGCACAACGGGACAAGAAACGGTAAATAGCAAATGGCCTGGCACAAGTTAATGTCGGCCCTATGCGAGTGAAGCGGAATCTGAGCGACAGGTGTGGCTGATTCGGTGGGCTTGAATGGGAGAAAGCGTTGGTCTTAGGTGTCTTTGCCAAGCGTCGGTAACTACGCTTAGACATCGCGATAACACTTCATTTGAGCTAATTCCACTTGCAATCATCGCATTTCTTTGTTTTTGTTCCGATTTTGCCATTCGTGGGTTACCCGCAATTGCTTTTGCAGACAATTTAGGCATGAAGACTTATTGATATAGCTGCAGTATCCACGACCCTTGTCCAAGCTCCAGGACAGTCCGACCAACCTCACACCTAAACCCCACGCCCACACACAACCACCATGGCAGACGATTCCGACGTCGAGGAGACAAAGCAGACGATGATCCAGCGCTTCCGCGCATGGGGTGGTAAGTTGTCTTAACAGCTGGGAAAGCAGCACGAGCTGCATTTGCTCACACGAGCACCCGCTGACGTCGACCTAGAAAACTCATTCCCACCAACGTTGCTCGCCTCGATGATCGCAGCCCAGCACATGAAACCGTTCCAGTTTTTCCCAATGCTATTCCCTCCAGCTCTGCTTTTCACTAGCTATGCGAACTTGCAAGGATTCAAGACCGACACTGCCGGCCTGAGCGCGGCTTGGTCGGGACTATACCTGCTCCTTGCGGCTCGCCGTCGCCAACCATTCATGAAGAAATTCGGTGTCCGGGGTGTTGTTCGTGGTGCGACCATGAGTCTGGCATTGGTCAACATGATCGGCGGTGGATTGGCCTACACCCTCGGTAAGAGGGAAGAAGAGGAGGAGTGATGCGCACCATTCGTGGCGAGTGAGTTGTGGTCACATTGGCTGCTACACTCTGATGTGTAAGATATGATCTATTAAAAGTCGGGTTGTTCGTCTGTTCAGGACGTGTTTGGCGTCGGTGGTGTATTCACGCATTTCACATATTATCATTTATTCGATTTCACCAAACCAGTAGCGCTCGGTGTTTCTCTAATGTCTTTATACCGGCATCTGCATTTACACTTTGCTGTTTCCGGAGTAGGGATGTTCTGACAGAAGGAACTGCCGCACCTGTTCTGGAACTAGCCGTTTCAGATCCTCGGGATCGGATTGCAGAGCTTCACGGGCCAAAGTTGAGCTCACGGGCTGCTCGGATGGAGATCGACCCTCTACCAGCTGAATGCGCTGTGCCCACTCGCGCTGCGCGCCCTCAGCATCCCGATCACCTCTTGCGAGAGCCTCCATCCAACCAAGCTGCTCTTCCTTGCCACCCCACTCATCACTCGGTCGCATTGTCACGCGCAGACGATGTTTTGATAAAAATGGCTCTAGTGGCTGCAGTGTGTGTTGTGGGGGGTAATATTTCGAATTGAAGATCCGAATCAAGGTGTCATAGCCCGTCAGATGGACCTGTTCCAGCGCCACAGGGTATGAATCGGAAGTTTCAATAGCGGCAGCCTTGTCGACGAAGTAGGGGTTTCGAGTCACGCCAATATCAACTAAAGGGAGGATCTCAATGGCATGGGTGAGGCCCGATGCGGCGTAGGCCGGTGATTCCGCCAGGCGGGCGCGGAGATCGTGGGCGAATAACTCCATCATGGCGAGCCGGTCCTCGAAGGACGCCGGCTTAGAGGGTTTGTCTGCATTCTGGGTGGCAAGGAGTAGTAAGAGGCGGGGACGAGGCTTGGGGTTCTCCAGGAGGGCGGTGCTGGCTATGCGGAGGTGGGCACGGGTGGGGGGATTGAAGGAGGAATCTAAGACATAGAGTGTCTCTGATTCCGCGGAGTGGTCGGGTGGAACGGTGGCCAATACCTCAAATTCCTTTGCCGAAGAGAGAAACCGCTTCAGCAATGATGCATACTGAGTACGAAGGGCTTGAAATGAGGCCATTGTCAATGCTGGTCTATGGAAGAAGCACGAGTAGATATGGATTCTGCAGTGTTATCGCGATAAGATCATCACCGCCTTGGCATTTGATATTCCAGAGAAAAGCAACTTGTACCTACTTGTACGGAGTACGCTTTCCCACTAGGGGAAATAAACAAGACACACTAGGATTCATGAATGGTTCATGAACTCAGGCTCCCCCTGTTAGGGGCTGATTGGGACGTTTCATGTTCCAAAGCTTCTCCGTGCTCAGGGACCCTAGCGCACTGAAGCGCATTTTCTCGGGGAATTCCACAGGTCTAGCCCTTCGACCTGATATTAGGCAAATGCTTGGAACCGGGGAGAATTGACTCAAAATGCAGGCCCAGGAGACACGGAGCACGGAGTACGAAATTGGGAAATGAAGCGGCCCGAGAAAAAAACGACAGGCCGTGCTCCTACCGCCCCCATGCCGTCATTTGATCTTCTCGGCATCAATATGATAGCCCCACCATGGCATTTGGATTTGAAGATCACACCCAGTTTGTGGACCTTCATCTGGCAAATTCTAGAATGTCCATCGACCCAGGCAGTCTACATACGAGTAAGGGTATGCCACTTTCTGTCCCGCGAAATGAGAACAGCCCGAATCATCGGTGGCGGTGTTCAATGTGAAACCATCGGCTGTCAGGGATACTTCGATACCGGTAACCAATACGAACTGAAACGTTTTGAGCCGTTTGCTACAGTCTACGGAGCACCTCATACTCGTACTTGTAAGTACGTGGAGATGTGGGCATATTTGAAGAAATCGATGGCTTCGGTTTCCACATTCCCATCAATGGTTGGGACAGTGCCCTGATGTGCCACCGTACTCTGTACCACCAAGTGGTTTACCATCCCACGTCTGTACTCCAAGAGCCGTTTGGTCCAAAGTACCAGTCTGGCGTTGGCTTACAGAATAGGGGCTGAATCACGCCCTCAATGCCTCAATATCTCGCCATATCTCGGCTCCTGAGCCTGAGAGCACTATGGGTACCAGCGAGATCACATCGTGAGATTAAAGGTCAATATACAATTCGCACGGACTGGATGATTGGCTCCTGGCCGGGCATTTGACTGGGCAAAGCCAATGGACGGCTGGTGCCTGAGACAGTGGGTACTGCGCACGTAGCGAGTACCCCACTTTTCTCAGCGGCCGTTACCAACGGAGGGGTACTCCGTACTCTCGTGGTACCTGCACTCTACAAAGTATGTATACATAGATCCACTGGTATTACCAGGATTAAGACGTTTCATTTGTTCATCGATTTCTCATTTGATCAAATTAAATCTTTAATCTAACGAAATGAATTAATATTATCCCCCCCCCGGTCCTCTTCTCTTCTTCTTTTCTTACTTCAAGCTTGCAGTGCGACTTGTTATTCTTTTGCTCTCTGAGAGAAGCCCTACGTTCCTTCCTTTCTTGCGAATTGACTTCGCTCTTTCTGCATTCGCAATCCACACTCTTTTTACTTCGGCTTTTCTCTCGCATCTGAACTTCGCTTTTCAACACCGTCTTTACCAATTTTTTTCATCATGGTTGTGATCAACAAGGTCTCCATTGCCCTGGTGGCTGCTCTGGCTGCTATGGGTCAGGCTACCCACGAGGGTCTCCACGCTCGTCGTGTTCACCAGGTTCGTTCAGTCAGCGCCGTCGAGGAGTCTACCTCTACCGTCCTGGTTGTACCTACCCCTGTTGCACCTGCTCCCGAGGAGTCTGCTCCCCCCGCTGAGACTCCCTCCGTGGAGCCCTCCGTGCAGCCCTCTGCCGCTCCCTCTGTTGCTCCCACTTCCTCTGTGGAAGCTGTTGCTCCCAGCTCGGTCCCCAGCGCTCCTTCTGTGGCTCCTAGCGCTCCCTCTGTGGCCCCCAGTGTTGCTCCCAGCGCTTCCTCCGTGGCCCCCGTGGCTTCCAGCTCTGCCTCCAGCTCTGCCCCCAGTGCCGTTGTCAGCTCATCCTCTGTGGCCCCTAGTGTGATTTCTAGCGCTTCTTCCGTCGCTCCTTCAAGCGTCCCTGTTAGTTCTTCCGCCGGTGCTGACAGCACTTCTTCTTCTGCTGCTGTCTCGGCCTCTGCTAGCATCTTGCCTGCCTCTTCCACCAAGCCTGTGGTCACCCGTACTCCCATTGGCGTCAAGCCTTCCGGAACTCCTTCGGCCACTCCTTCCGGTACCCCCTCTGGACGTCCCTCCGGTATCTCTTCCGTCAACCTGAGCAGCACCGCTGCTCCTAGCCAGGATGCCGTGACCACCAGCGCCGAGGTCGTGACATACACTGTCACCTCTGGTGCTTCGTCCAGCGTTGTTACCACTACCATCTACCGTACCTACACCCTGGAACACACCGTCACTGCTGTATGTAACATCTGATATATCGTGTTTGGGATTGAAAGCTGACTCTGACACAGACCCAGACTGGTACTGGACCTCAGGCCAGCGTCACTAAGCCCGGCCAGGTTGGTGATAACCAAACCAAGCCTGCCGAGGACACCACCGAGACCACTACCAACACCCTCCACTCCACCAAGACAGAGACTGTCACTATTGTTGAGGTTCCCACCAGCTCCAGCTCTGCTGGCTCTGGTAACGGATCTGGAAACGGTGCTGGTAGCGATTCTGGTGCTTGCAGCCCCGTTACCGTCACTGCTACTGTCACCGAGACTGTCACTGCTGTATGTGTTACGCGTCACTCACATTAATATTGCAAACTAACTTGCTTTTCTCTAGGGCTCCACTGAGACCTCTGCCCCCGTCAACCACCAGGGAGGTGGTGATGACAGCGAGGATGCCCAGAGCTCCTCCGCTCAGACTATCGCTCCTCTCCCCACCAGTGTCACCACCCGCATTCCTGCCCCCGGTGCCCACACTCACACCCCCCACACTCGCACTCCCACTCCTACTCCCTCCAGCAGCTTTGTGACCCGGACTCCCTCTGCTTCCGCCAGTGTGAAGCCTTTCCCTCACCCCAGCGGCCCTGCTCCCAGCGGAGCCCCCAGTGGCAAGCCCGTCCTTGCCAACTGGCGCCGTCACCTCTTCTAAGCACAATGCTCGTGTGAGAGGACCACCGCGAAACGGTGAGTTACGAGCCTGATGACGATCCGAGAGAAAGTTCCGATTCCCTTCTACTCGCGCTGAAGCGCGCTGGTGCTGTACCTATTTCTGCCAAGTTTCTGGTACAAACGTTTTCGATTTCACTTCTTATCTACACTTCCATTTTTGCCATGTTCCCTCGCAGTTTCTATTCTTCCGCTAGTCTTGTCATGCTTGATTGTGGGCTCCTTGTTAGCTTGCTTGATACATTTCGCTGTCGCATATTTTAATCGGGCTGTCCCACGCATCTGGCGTGTCAATTCCTTGCGTCCCATTTCTACCCAATGTGAAATTGATTCATTCATACGACATTGCACTCGGAACATTCTCTTTCCCTCGCTTTAGGTGACTCTCCTTTCGAGAAACCCTCTCTATCTGTGCAAAATATTTCATTTTAACAGTTTTTCCTCATTGATACTATGCTTTATTTCCATTCTGATGCAGGCGAAAGACCGATGCAGTACGAGACGTACTGATTTCTTCAGTCCTTGCAACCCTTTCAATTAATTCCAGGCTTTTGCCCACAGACTCCTACCCACCTGCACAGGTAGATACTTCACACCACCAGCCCTAATTGCGGGCATGCTTCGGTAAGCAAGGCTTCTTGTTCCAAGGTCTTAGACGTAAAGAGTGGCCTGCTCTATCGAGCGTCGCCATCTGTGATTCATTCAGGGAAGTTTGAGATGATCTATATTTTGTCTAAAGCCTTAGGCCCGTCCCGTACGATACGCTCTCGCATTTCCTGCCACTCGATCCACGTCACTCCCTGTAGCAAACAATCTGCCAGATCGTCCAGTTTCCCAATATCGATAGCCACTTCTGCCGACGGAGAATCATGCGTTGGCGTTCCCTTCGAAGCACGAGACTTCTTCGGTTTGGGCTCTTTCTTCCATTTCCTCATGTACTCATTTACAATACCCCCCAAGGCAGGGGAATTGGATGGATCTGCCAGCAGAATCTTATCCTCGAAACTTTCCACTGCCAGTTCCGGTTGTTGACTCGTGAGCTCTGAGTTTGTCTTCGAAAGTTGTGTAGCGGAAATCCACCTCCCAACAATATCTATCTTAGCTTTCTTGACTTCCCGGGCGTTGAGTCTCTCCGCTTCCTTTGCCGCGGAAGGTTCCAGCCAGTATCCTACCACCCGCTTCGGCTCGACGCCTTGGACAGTGATCGACTCTCCCCTCTCCATTCGAAGCGCATGCAGAATGGCATATAACATCCCCTCAAAGACACCGACGCGCAGTGTCCATTCTTGAACGGCGCTTCCATTACCTGAGCGAAAACGTTGGCGCTCAATGAGAATGTGAGTTGGTTGGTAAGCGGTCAAGAGGGATTTGATAAGTTTGTAGGCGGTGGCGGCATAGAGATCTGGAGAGAAGGACTCTACTTCTTTAGATTTAGATTTTGATGTTGACGACGATTTAGCAGATCGCTTTGCAGGATTGTCTGGCTCGTCTGGCTCGTCTGTCGACTTCAACGCAGACGACTGTGCCTGTACAGCGTCTTCGACACCAGTGAGATTCAGGCTTGCGATCTCCGATACAGCTAGTCGATGCCAGGCTGTAAGCACTGGGAGCTGTGTGTTTTCCCCATTCGAGCGGGGGAGGTGCAGATGCGCAAATGCCAGGTTCTGGATCCCCATGTCGATGCTGAGAATGCTCCATGGCTTTGGGTCTGGAATTGGCCTTAACAGGCTCTTGTTCTTCGTTGCACCCTGGGATTGATTGTTCGATCCACCCAGTCGATGTAGATCTTGACCTTGACTGACATTGCTGGGGATGGAACCAGTGGGATTTACAACCTTGTCACTGTCCGACTGTAACCCTAACTGTGCAGCAATGCGTTCAACGAGAAGACCTTTGGTTCCAGACGATTGGATGCCCGTTGCTCGCGCTATGCGCTGCAATTGTGCTGCTTTCAAGCTTGAGAGCCAATCGGGGGACCGAAGGGCTGCAGAGAGACGCATTGGGAATGTTTGTGCACAGCAGACCGACTTCGGGGCTAAAGTGGGATCGACCGTTGTGTTTGGCGCTTTTGAATTAAGGGGGCGCACGGGCCATTGACGTTTACGGAAGAACTATACGCAGTGTACGAAGTGTACGAAGTATTCGTTTCTCTTCAATATTAGTTGAATTGATTCATCTGCTATCGGTATCAAAGTAAATCTGCGCCTTCTATTTCCCAAACACCGAAAGCCAAAACAGAAAAAAAAGCAGGAATAAAAAACAGGAAACGCCCTTAGGCCCACAAACGCCACGAATTAACCCACAAGTGACCCCCCTGAAAACAAATAATGCATGGCGCTGAATAGCAGAACATTTGCAAAAGCAATAAATAATGTGAGCAAGACAAAAAAACATGGAAAAAAAAGCAATACCAAGAAATCAAATCAGGGCCGGCTCAAGCTCCGCTGTGGCAATCTCATCGCGGAGGTACAGCAGCGGCGCCCAAACACGCCAATGCAGAACACCCATGTGAGCAAGGCGCATACCAATGCGCTCAATGTCTAGTTGTTGCGGAGTCAAAGGCGCAGAGGCCGACCCAGTCCCAACCGGAACTGTAGACGGCGGAGCCCGCTGTGACTCGCAGATCGCCAACGGCGACAGGGGCAAGTAGCGCTTCGCCGCCACCAAGGTGGCAGCCAGGACCTTTTCACGCATGCTGTTTTGGAAATAAACAAAAAGGTTGGACTCGTTCGTGAGGTGCCATTCCAGGGCCTCCTCGATGGGCACGATGACTTCATCGGCGACAACTGCATCAAGCTGCAGTGCGGCACAAGCAAACCGAGCAATTTCAAGCGCTATGCAGCGCATGTTCTGAGTCCAACGCTTCCCACCACGGTGATCGGGGTTGTCGTCGTTGTTATTGGGATTCCCAGCGATGCGGTTTTCCAGATCCATGCCGTCTTCCATGAGCGACCAGATACGCGAACGGAAGGTGGAGTAGGTCTCCTCGGGTGCTGAAAGATACCGCTTGTGTTTGTTCACGTAGGATTCGAAGATGTACCAGGCGATATCAAGGTTGATGAGATTTTGAACGGTAGAGCGGAGCTGCCAGAGGCGCTCAGAGTCGAAAAGGAAGGTTTCGGGGTAGTCGGCCGGTGGGTTGAATTGGAGTAGTTGGTCGGAAATGCCACGGAAGAGGGCTTCGAGGGGTTTGAGAGTGTCGTCTGTTTCGACTGGGGCCTTTTCATCGGTTGCGTCTTCTTGACGGGCCTGTGTCCGTACGGAAAGGTACCAATCGCGTGCGGACTCGGCTTGGAAACTGCCTCGGCTCATTTTGCCCTTGAAATACTCTTGAAGGAAAGGAACTGTATCCTCTATTAATAGAACACGGAAGGCTCGGATTTGGTGGTTGGCGACATCCTAAACTGTTAGTTAGATGAATCCCAAAAGTGGTACTTTTCGATATGAACATACCAATTTCATCGCTTCCAATATGGCAAACAATGTTTGAAGACCATTCACGATTTCTTTGGGATCTTGTGACTGAGAACCTTTTTTGATTTGCTCGACCATACAATCTGCCCACTCGTCACGCATGGGAGCACAATGTGTTTTTAACAGCGCTGCCAGCCATGTTGCCAGCGTCAGCATGTCAAATACACCTTTTCGGATTTGCTGCATGAGCAAAGGAACTTCCAGGTTCTGCATGACCGTCGCATGATCCCGTTCCGGAACGAGAGTTTTGATGACATCTTGTAATGTCTCGAATAAGGCGGGCAAACGGGGGTCGAAGGTGCGTCGAGCTCCATCGCTCGAGGCGACATCCTCGATTTCGGTAGCTTCGAATGCGGCGCGGAAAGAGTATACCGCAATCTCCGAAGCCAATGAGTCCCAATAATCCGCGGCTTCCTTTCTCTTCCGTTTACCCTTTTCCCCATCCAGGTCCGGCTTGAAGTGAAGGTCGCGATCGAAATTCGCATCCATACGAAGATTGATGTTTCCCATGATACACGGCAAATCAAGCTCGCTCAAGGTCTTCTTGGTGACCGGCGGGGATCTCCGCGCCTTGCGAAGTAGGCGCTGATCGCGGGAGCTTAGTCCCAAAGCTTGGGGTATACCGATGGCTTCTGGTGATGGCGAAGGCTCCCGAGGCCGAGTCACGGTGGTCGAGGTTGTTTTCTGAGCTCCATGAGGGTAGGAAAATGGTGGCTGACGACGGCGGGGTGGATGAATCGAATTGCGATCATCGTGTGTTTGCGAGTCCCGCCCCTCGTTCTTGTGATACTCTTTTGAACGACCACCCGCACCATATGCCTCGAGGGGTCTTTCACCCTCTTCCTTCCGGGCTTCTTTGCCCTGAAGATCCATCGTCAAAGACGATCAGTCTGACTTTCCCTGAGCAAGTCAGATAAAAGAGGTCGGGGGACACCCATGCACCAAATGGCAAGGCAGATCTGCAACTCACCAGATAGAACCCCCTGCTTGCCTCAGGCAGGCAGCCAATCCGCAGTCACCGAAAAGTGATGCAAGTGAGCTGTCGATTGTAGTGGAGCCGAGGATTTGCCTCTGCGTCTTGGTCCTCGTGGGTTCCCAAAAGACCGGTGAGAAAAAAAAAAAGAAATAGGGGAATTAAAAATATTAAATAAAAATTAAACGAATAAAAGGTATACTCGTGGTAGAAATGGGGTAATCGGGTAATAGAACAGGGTCCTAGAAGAGACCAGTGTATAAGGGATTGGAACAAAGAGTCGCTTTCGAAAAGAGGTATAGCCTCAGGGCAAACAAGCCCAGTGCAGCGATAACAAATCAAGCGAAGAGAAGAGAGAAAAAGAAAGGAAAAAAATAAAAAGCATTGGTAAAACGACCGGGATGAACTGATATAGTGTGAGTGTATCCAGATCTACCGGATTCGGGTGGACGCAACCAGTGCACATCTCACATTCCAGCCCTGCTGCTACCCGCGAGCAGCATTCACTTGCCGAGAGATCTTGGAACATGAAACATGGCCTTCCATTCCTGATCCCATCGCGATCTCAGGGCTTGTTTCCATTTTCCAATCGTCTCTTCAAAAAAAGGGGGGAAGATTCCGCCTCACTTTGAACTTTGAAACCAGCACTGGCCACGTGAGTTGTTCTCCTTTCTCGGGGAACCACTTGCAGCTGGTTTGCAGATTCCCTTGGCAGGTCGAGATGAAGCCCTCGGATCTCTCTGCTCGTCGAGATCGGAATGTTTGGGGGGATGTTTTGTCGGGGTTTGGTTTGTTCCTTTTGTTTGGTTTGCCGCTTTTGATGACTTTAGTGGCCTTGGTGCCTGATGGCCTTGGCGCTTGGTCCCTGGGTGCCTTGCTGCCTGATAGTTCAGGGTTCCATCCCTTGAGACAACCCTAATTGACACTCAATAGCTACGAAGTACTTCGACTCAATAGCCCAATACACCCAAAGCTCTAACTGAGTGTGTGTTAAGTTCCCATGGATCAAAAGAGTGTTATTGGTTATTGAGCCCTTAATTTCCCGAGCTTCCGAACCTCTTTGACACCATGATCTTATTCACACCCATATCCGGCATGAAAAGCTGCCCGCTCAATAACGAAGTGGCCACCATGTTCCGCATGAAAAATTGCAATAAAAGGAAACGTGGATTCCACGTGGAATTTGCTCTGTACCATCATCTTGAGTCGTTATTTTCAACGCCCTCCAATCTCAGAGGGTATCGATCATCCAAAGCAAGCAGAACTTCGCAAGGCACCAAGTCCAATCATGAACATCCCTGCATTCCTTTATTTCTTCAATTTGCTATGGGCTTCACCTAGTGTCGTTCTTTCGCGAGGTGTCGATCGCCATAACGTGGCCCAGTTCAAAGTCAATTCTTTGCCGGGAATATCGTCCTTGCCGTCGAGCTGGGCTGGTCGACTGCCTGTTCCGGGGGCAAAAAAAGGCAACGAGATCTTCTTCTGGCTATTTGAATCAGAAAAGCCAGCATATGATGATAATCTTATCAGTAAGTTCCACGGTGGATATTGGCGCAATAGTCTACTGACGTGATATAGTTTGGTTCAACGGCGGTCCGGGTTGCTCTTCATTGATAGGGCTAGCAACAGGCAATGGCCCGTTTTCGTTCGATGGGAACTCTACAAACCTCGTTCGCAATCCTCATTCATGGACACAACTGGGCAATGTGCTTTATGTTGATCAGCCCGTCGGTACAGGCCTGTCCACGGCAAGCGATCCATATCCAGTGCGGGACAATGGCCAGGTTACAACGGATTTTGCATCCTGGCTAGTTGGCTTTCTCGACCATTTTCCACATTTGAAATCAAAGCAGATTCATTTGATGGGCGAGTCCTATGCTGGCATTTACATTCCCTACATCGCATCCCAACTTGTCAAGAACAGTTCTGTGCCATTGAACATTGCTTCCATGTCTCTGGGCGATGGCTCATGGGGAAATGGGGCAGCTATGTCATCGGTCGCTACAGGTAGATATATCAGGTCAAAGTCAGCGCTGCTTGATATTCCAGAAGACATTCTCTCCGTCTTTGCCGAAGCCGACGAAACCTGTGGGTTCAACGGCGTACTGGCAGAGTCTGCCGTCTACCCTCCCAAGGGCAAGTTTGTCATTCCTGGGAATCCAGAGTTCTTCAATCTCAAACGTCGACGCCGAGACTTGACAAACGCCCTGAATGCTGCATGCGACATAGGACCAACAACCCCAGAAGAAGTCCGAACCTCAATCTTCAACTCGACGTGTTACGGCCCCTGTGCAACCTTCTCCACGGCAATGGATTACATGACGACCAAATCCGCCAATAGCTCAACTCATGGTTGCTACGACGTATACGACATATCTCACGATTGCAGTTCCATCTCCGCATTGCCATTGCTGGCAGGATATTTCAGTCGTGCAGATGTCCAGGCCGCCCTGCACGCCCCCAATAGTGGGCCTTACAGCGCCTGCAACTCGACTATCCTGGGCACTCTCCTTGCCGCAGAGTCTCCTGTGCCACCGGCGTATTTCATCTTACCAAACCTGGTTACAGAACACAACATCTCACTCCACCTCTTCTCTGGTGAATGGGATATGTTGATCAATCATCTTGGCTCAGAGCTGTCGCTGCAGAACATGACGTGGCGTGGCGCACAGGGCTTTTCGAAACCACCAAATCAGTTGTTCTATGCAGATAATGCAGCACCCTCAGTGACTAAGAATTCCAAACCTGCGCCTGCTACAACTCTTGCAGCTGCTACTGCCACGTTGAAGGCGGCTGGAACATGGGCTGAGGAACGTGGAGTATCTTACCATCTTTTCCGTGAAGCAGGACACAGTACTTTTGTGAATAAGCCTCGTGAGATGTTTTCTTACGTCAGAGACGTGGTCGTGGCTCCTAGAGCTGGTTGAAACTAGCAGTCAGAGTTTGGAAATGATATACTCTTTACTTTATTCATGTTTATGTTATGTCAATGCAGTAAAACTTTTTTAAAGCGAAACTGGCTTATGTGATCACCTCGTTAGAGTGATATTAACCGAAAACTCTTTCCCGTACAAATGTCGCAACTTTCCCTTTACAGCAATATATCGTCTTTCTCTCAGAACCCCCTTACATTTTTCTATCCTGGTTATTATTCTCATAATTAATCAAAATGCGTCTGTCCATTACAAACCAGCAAAAGATCGCTCTCAGAGAGAAGCGCCGTCGGCTCCCTTATGCTACCCATAATCAGCTTGCTGAGTGGTTCAATGAAACCTCCAGGGCTACCATCATCGCCCTACCCAATCCACCATGTCCGCTATCCTCTCTCCTAAATATCAACATCTTGATGCCGATCCAACACTGAGCGATCATACGCTAAAAGCGAAGCGGAGCCGCCCTGCTAAGTGGCCAGAGCTCGAAGCCGCACTTATACATTGGATCGATCACGCGCGAGGGAAGACCCCAATTACGCACGAAGTTATTCGGGAAAAGGCACGGTTTTTCTGGACCCAAATACCGACGTACGAAGGTCAACCAATGCCATCATTCAGCAATGGTTGGCTGGACGCCTTCCAACGTAGGGGATCAATTCGGAGTCGCCTTAACGCTGGCGAAGATGGAAGTACGACACCGGAGTCTGCAAATCAAGCCGTGCTTCCTAACCTTCAAGCACTCAGCGCATACCAACCAAAAGACATCTTTAATTGTGATGAAACTGCACTTTATTGGAGACGAATCCCTGATCAAAACCTTGCTACGACGAATTTACCGGAGAAAAAGCAACAATCAAGAATTTCGGCATTATTTTGTTGCAACTCCAATGGTTCTGAGAAATTACCTCCTTGGTTTATTGGCACAACTCAAAAACCTCGCGCTTTTACCGCCGCTCAGATCAACATCAATAACTTCAATCTTCAATGGAGATCCAACACCAGAGCATGGATGGTTAGTGAGATCTTTGAAGAATGGCTTCGATGGTTCGATAACCAGATGGTTCATCGGAAGGTCGTACTTCTTCTGGACAATTTTTCTGCGCATGAATCTGCAGTAAAGACTATCAATAACAGTTCTTCGCCGCTTCAAAATACCCTGATTCTTTGGCTCCCCGGCAATTCAACAAGCCGGTTTCAACCATTAGATCGGGGTATTATCAGAACCTGGAAGGCCTATTGGAAACGCCAATGGGTCAAATTCATGGTTGCTGAATTTGACGCAGGCCGTGATCCTATTCAATCCATGAATGTACTTCGAGCATTGAAATGGGCAGTTCAAGCTTGGCAATTTGAAGTTTCCGCTCAAACTATCACCAACTGCTTTAATAAAGCATTGATGGATAAAGGCGAGGACTATCAAATTCAGCGGCAGCTGATTGATGAACTTGGTGCTGGTTTGACTAAGCTGAAGCCTTTGTTACCAAATCCAATAAGCATCGAGAATTTCCTTAATCCTATGGATGAGGTAGTTCAAGATACTATTGAGACTATGGATGATAGAGTGCTAAGCCAGTTTCCCAGAGCAAATGATGATGATGGTGATGATGAGGACGCAGAAAGCATGCCTAAAGCCCCTCTGATTTTGATAGATGAAGCTATTCACGCATTGGAAATGCTTTGTTTATATGAGGAGCAGCAGGATCAGGGCGACACAGAGTTTATTCTTCTCCTGTATAGACATCACAGGGTGTTACAGGAAAGAAGGAGGAAACTTTTAGAAGCAAAAAAGCGGAAGGATATAGGGTCCTATTTCTGATAGAAATCTGTATGCAAACCAGGGTCCAGAGATATATTCAACATTCTGAGATTGTACTTAAGTATCCACTGAAACAATAGCGTGCATTCTCCATACGCTGTCATACAGCCAGATTCTAAAGTTTTTGTCATTACTTGATGCTGGGCTGGGACCTTTGCCCCATTTTTGACCTGAGCTCCCTAGATATTGGAACCCGCATATTTTTAGCGCTGCGCTAATGCACAAGGCATGATGCGACATGTGACTAGCCAGCCGATCCTTAACCGTCCGCGTCCCACTTGCGGCGCGAGCCTACGGGATCCCAACTAGTAGCCAGATTCGAGGCTCGAAGTTCGGACTACACTGTGAGAATCGGGAGTGTGGTTTGGGTGTCCGGTCTGAGGTGTCGATGGTGTCGATGCCCTATTCCCCAGGCACCAAACCATTCCCAAACCCCAAATTCTCCCAGTAGCTCTCCCCTTCTCCCCTCCTTCTTCTTCCTCTCTAGCTTAGTTCTCCTAGTTGAATTGGACCGCTTCTTGCGCTTTGCCAGCCTCACATACACCGCCTACGGGATCCAAAACAAAGCCATCTTCGCTCCAAGTTCGTACTACACCTTTCCCTGTTTTAAGGCCATATGAACCTGTGTCAGTCTTTTTGGCTTTGCGCGGAATAATGACGCGGAATCTTCCTAATATTCTCACGCATCCCTTCAAGGCGTTTCGCCAGTCGCCCTGGGCAATTTCGTCCGCCCTTCCATCCCGAATTGACCCGTCCTTGCTGATTGAAGAGGAGAACTCCCCCTACTACGAACCAGCCTATTTCTATCCGGCGCGGATCGGTGAAATACTTAATGACCAGTATCAAATTGCGACCAAGCTTGGCCACGGAAGCAGATCAAGTGTGTGGCTTGCAAGGGACCTTCACCAGTTCGTATTGGCTTAATCACATTTTGAGGTACATACTGACAGTTTAGGTGGCGCTGGTCGAACGAGCGATATGTGGCTCTTAAAATCAACTCCAATAATTCCCACGCACGGAAAACTGCTGGTGACGTTGAGCTGGAGGTTCTGCGGCATATAACGAGAGCCAACCCTCAACATGAGGGTTGGTCTTTCGTTCGAAAATTAGTCGACTCGTTTTCTGTCCAGGGCATCTCAGGGAATCATGTATGTCTTGTCTTCGAACCTTTACGTGAGTCACTGGGAAAATATTGCCAAAGATTCCAAGGTCGCGTGATGCCACCGGAGATTTTCAAAATAATCCTCCAAGAAATACTCCAAGCGCTTGATTATCTTCACACTGAATGTCATATCATTCATACCGGTAAGAATTCTTGTTTGTGATAGTTAACAATATGGTTCTCACTCAGAAGTGATAGACTTAAAGCCGGATAACATCATGGTACGACTGGAAGATCATGAGCTCTTACCGCAGAATTCTCGAGATGAGTCTGAAAACCCACTACCTCAGAAGCATTGCAACGATGGACGCATCATCTATCTATCCCGTAAGGAATATGGACCGCTGAAGGATATCATCGGACTGATTGAAGTCGTCGACTTTGACCTAGCAGTCCAAGGTGATATTCTTCAGGATGGCTGTATCCAGGCAGAGGTATATCGTGCGCCAGAGGTCATCCTTGACAGAGGTTACACGTATAGTGCTGATATATGGAGTCTGGGAGTTATGGTACGCGGTGCCTCCCCCCCCCCCCCCCAACACATACCAGCACCGACAAACTAACCATTGGATGAAGCTATGGGATTTTCTAGAAGGACGAACACTGTTTGAATCAGTCGATCCACGCATCGTTGAAGTCTATGATGATGAAACACATATCTCGCATATAACGTCGCTTTTGGGTCCTGCCCCTAAAGACTTTGTTCGCCACGGCAAGAGGACATCGATGTTCTATACTGCTGCTGGTAAGTGAGTCTTTCACCTAAATATCTTATATATAACTAACACTACATTTCAGGAACACTCAAAAGGGAAGACCTTGTCCCTAGTAACTTCAGCTTTGAAAGCACTATCTCCAAGTTTGATGGGGAAGAAAAGAGTATGTTTATTAGCTTCGTCAAGCGGATGATCAAATGGAAACCCGAAGAGCGAAGTACGGCGGCGGAGCTACTACAAGATCCATGGCTTCATAACGATTATCCGCAAATATGAGGCGGTCTTCCATCTTTGTTCAGCGTCCGTCTAAGGTCAATTTCATTAGCTTGTGTATTTTGAATGTTGGCCTGGTGAGATGGGCAATATTTCAAGGCTTTCGGACGATGTCGACAAATAGATTGCATCAATTACGAGAACCACTTAAAGCGATGTGGTTCCGATTCAAGCTTCTTTTTTTCTTCATGCCTGCTTTTCGGGATATTTTTGGGGGAGAAGTTGATATATTGGGCGAAACTCACTGGTTTATTATAACCACCTGGGGTATTTTAGCACTTGGGAAGATTCGCGGCTCCAGGGCTCTCTGCATATTGATTTCCAACCCGATTCGGGACACAATGTGAGTTTGAACCATCTTCTCGAATATCTTGTTTATTTATGTCTGGAATCTGATCTTCTTTATGTTCTCAAGGTCTAAATACATTTGTTGTAAGCCATAGGCCCTGTGTGAATACCGGAGCATTATGCCCTCCGCACTCTCTACACCGGTGCCCACGCTGTTCATAATCGCCCGTGTATGATGAAATCTATACATCCTAAGTGTAATCTTGAGTCATAATAAGACTTTGGAAGGAGTTTTAGCAACAGGTGGTACATGAAGAGTCGATGTGAGCTAGCATGAGTCATGATGTATCAGGATGAGTGAAATGGCATATGTGTTGTGAGGGATGTTTGCCACAACCCCCGATTGTAGATAAGATCCTACTTCCATAGTCCTTCTCTCCTCTCTTCTTTCTCTCTCCCTGGAGATCAATACAATCGGTTCTTTCGATCCCTGTGCTCTCTCAACAATATGTACCGGATAATGCCTGGCGCTTGAGACTTTTCCCTTTCCATTTTAGTGCTCACCTCTTGCCGCTTTTTGCTCTCAGAGTAAAATTGAGCACGTCTCCGAAGGTCCGGATACACGCACAGAATCTGTGAGCCATGCGCACAAATGGATGAAGAATCAGGTCACCTAATCTCAGAACTTCATACTAGTTCTAAAGTTCTCATCATTTATCCTAACCCCATGCTCCCTAATTAAGTATATATCTAGGTTCTACACCAAATATGCTATTTCTGGTGTCAGTGCCCGGTTATATACTGGAAATATGACCTCGCGATTATTCTAAAGTTTCGATATGCCCATCCTCTCGATCTCAGGAGCTCTTAATTATAATTGTCACTTGTGGGAATCTTGCTGTCAATGGATTGATCGAGTCTGATATGCCCAGGTGATACACTTAAGTAGCATATATCTCCTAAGGTTGAGTTCAAATGTGAGGTGAGTCGGCCGTTTTAAGTTGCCTCTGTTGGGAGTAATTCCAAGCGCGCCTACTTAAGTACGAGTACTTAAGTATGTAGAAGCTCCTGATTCCATCAGGGTCTCCTCAAAAGGTATACCAGTCGGCAATAAATGCTGGTATTGATCTACATATATTCTTGCAAGGTCTTGGTTTTGTGGTGGCTTATTAGTGTGTGGGTCGAAGAAGTTCTGTGAACACAGGGAGAAAAAAAAGCGGACAGTGAATCTTTTCAGTAGCCTCAGAATATGACTCAAGATCATTCCAGAGTCATCATGATAAATGTCGCGGCAGTAGATGGCATGCTATATATATTTACAAAAAGATTATTCTTCGATACATCTGCTTAGTCTAGCGGGGGTTCCAAGAAATCGTTGTAGCTCGCGTCAAACCACTCTACAGAGGGTTGGATGTTGAAAAAGTCCCACAATAGCCCACCATCCCATATTGAATTGCGTTTCGATCCATTCTGATCGCTTGATTGGTCCAAAGATGAATAATCGAAATTCGAGTTTGTCTGTGTATGAAGCCCGGAAGCGGGATCAGAAACCGTTGGCTCTTGAAGCTGTTGATCTTCCTGTGAGCTCTTCGCTATCATGGAGATGGAAAGATTTGGAGGTACGGATGATTCGTCGTTGGATGTGATATCTCCGGTATTGGTTATTGAGGGTTGCCTTCCCGGATTTTCCAGTAGTGAGCAAAGATGTATCAATTGAGATAGCAAGCTGTGGAGATTCATGCTAAATGAGAAATTCTCTCCGATGCTGGCAACGGTAGCAGTGGCTTCCTTCAAAAGAATTAAGTCGCTAGCGTTGGAAGTCGCGACTATGTTGCAGAAAATCACAAAGAATGGTGTCAAGGGATATAAAAGCACGGTCCTGTTATGGAAATGATTAACATGGTCTGAGATCCATAAAGGAGACTCAGATAGCTCACCAGAAAAGAGAATCCGGAGTGGTTTTGGATGTGCTGGAGACGTATGCATGGCATTCCTGCATTGCTTGCAGGCATTTTCGCGCACATTGTACACATTCTTCTCGCTTTTTGTGATCATGGAGGTAGATTGAATCGAGGCGGAGAGCAGTGCACGCGATTGAAAAGTATGTAAAGTCGACAGCATCCCACTCGGACTTTAGAATTGGCGTGGCGGTGTGGTTGGGACGGGACTTCACACGGTCAGTCTGAGAGAAAGAATGATAGGGATCAATTCTCACCTCTAGAATTTCCAAACGAACAGAATACAACTCAAATTGAAGTGATTCCACCAGATTTGATGGATATGGGCGATTCTTTTGTCTTTCTGCTAGGGCATTGAGATAGAGATCTTGAACATAAGCAAGCTTCACCATGATTTTGACTTTGTAAGAAAGGGGGTTTTCCGGTTCCGGTTTGACCAATGTTGCTGGGTTGTATGGCAAATCTGGCAAAGAGGAAGAGCGAACAAGAAGCATACTCAGTGTCTTGTCCATATAATAACACCAATAAATGCAATCTCGGATTTCATCTCTTTGCTGGCTAGCAAGAAGAGCTGGGGTCAATTGGTGATATCCAAGGGCTACAAGACCCCTGGAAGCAAAAGAAGTCAATACCCAAGAGCGACTGGTCTGACCTAAAAGCTGTACAAGCGTAGCCTTTATTATATCAGCAACTGAGCAACAACCCTGTGGAATGTAGAAGATGAATTTCGATGTACTTACCCCCGAAAGAAGAGCTTGAAGCATAGGCAGAGTCGGGGATCTGGTAAAATCAATATGATGTAGGCATCGTAGACCGGAGGTGATGTAGGAGTTTCGAGATTTCTCAAGAGAATTCGCTAGACCCTGAGACATTGGTGAACGTAGCCACCGACTGATAAAAATGACAGCCTTGGAGAGAATGCACAACATGTATTGGCGGGCTAATTGGGGACTCGCGGTTCCATCACCAACAACTAGACAAATGCGTTCTAGAGTTTTGGACGAAATGTGATCAGGCCAATGAGAGTGGATATTAACTACTTCTGGTCAGATGTTGAAGGTGGACATGCGAAAGGATTGCCCCGAAACAATGATGGAAAACAAGACAAGACAAAACAAAACAAAAATTGAAGAGGGGGGGAGGTAAAACCAAGACGTACCACCGAGTAGATTGTAGAACATTTCGTGAGGAAGGTCGCTGGGTGGCATCGCGTTGGCGTCGTCGGCGCCTTTCTCCTGCTGGGTATGTTCTATATTATGAGATGACGATACGAATTTTCCAACAAGAGAAAGAGCTGATTGAAGTACCATGAATTGGCGCGAAGACAGATTGTGGTGAGAGGCCAACTCCTGTCGAATCATGTCGCTTGTGCTGTTTGAGTAATCGGCGGGATCGCGAATCCCATCTTCGGGCATGGAGATCGGACGAGGTATTTCGGGCAGGGAAGACGTGTGAGGGCTTCCACTTCTGGCTTGAGATACACTGCCCAGGTTTTCCGGTCCCGAATGCTCTCCTGCGCTGTGTGATTCCTCGGCCGGAGGCTCGGCAGGGAAGCAATGAGAATGATTTGTGCTGTGTGATACAGCTGTCTCGCGCAACGACCGGATATAGATATGTCTTTGTTTGACTTTCTCGTTTCTGCAGAGGGGTTCAGCCAACAATATCAAAAGTTGATCCACGCGGGCCATACTTAGGCAAGGGTGCACGGCGTCTCTTTGGTCGCGAGCGAATACAAGGAACTTTGGCACCAAGACAGCTTGCGCAAGGCTTTTCTCTGTCACACTTGATCTAGATCCAATCGTCATCCAACATTTAGAGTCTCTCCGTTTCAAAAGGAATCAACCATAGAGGGAGGCGAGAGTACCTTTCTAACGTAACAGAGGTCACACTGGAGCTCGTTAGCATTCACGGATGCATACATAACTCGGAAGCTACAGATTCACTCACCGCTGGGAGCTTTCTCTCGGGTTCAATGAAACGATCCATGTTGTACTTGAAAAGACCTCAAAGGCGAAGAAGAATTGGGCATCCTTTACCCTCTCATGGAGGAACGTCCAGCAATTTCCGGCGGTAGACGATCTCATTGGCCAGCAAAATCCGAACCAATCCTATGATCATCCGGAGACTGCCGTAAAGGGGATAGCGTCCTGGAGATTCGGATTTCGGAGATTTCGAGATCGTCATAGGGTTCGGACTATGGAAAAGATGCATAGATGTGCTTTCTCTTCCCGTTTTTCCTTTGGGGGGGGTTTTTTTTTTTTGCAAAAGAACAGTAGGATTGGGAAATTTGGAAGCCCCTCTGAGTTATCTCTTAAAAAAAAGAATGAATTGATAGAGCGAGTGCGTAAATACAGAGATTCAAAGGTAGCATATCACTTTCATACAAGGACCTCTATTATGGCGATCAAGGCCAATCCCAACCGATGTCGGTTTAGACCCAACCAGATCTCGCCAGGGCATCGGGCCGGAAGTACACTTCCATTTGGGGAGTCCATGAGCCCCGAAAAGCGAAGACGGCTTCGAAAAGCCGAACCAGCAATCCGAAATTCCTTAAATATGAAGGTACAAAAGCCCCGAAAGATATCTGCCATATTTCTCCTACAATAGTCCAAAATCGAGTCTCACCTCTCATTTTACCTTTGTTGTCGATAATCCCCCATTTAATCATTTCGCCATGGAGGATTCGCGGGCCCCAACACCAGCTGAATCACCTACACCTCCTTTCAGTGAGAAGCACACGGAAAAAGAAGACCGATGGCATCTCACAGACAAGTTGGAGGATTTTAAACAACGTGAAATTGCTTCCGGAGTCAAGCCTCGACAACTTGGTGTCACCTGGACCAATCTGACGGTCAAAGGAACCAGCGCGGACGCTGCGGTCAATGAGAACTTCGCCTCGCAATTTGACCTCCGAAATCAAATCTCTCGATTCCGACGCAACACCTCCCTACAGACAATCCTTGATCAAAGTCATGGCTGTGTTAAGCCTGGAGAAATGCTGCTTGTCCTTGGCAGACCTGGGTCAGGGTGCACTACACTTCTCAAAATGCTCTCCAACCGCCGTGCGGGCTACCAGGAAATCAGTGGCGATGTGCGATTTGGTGATATGTCCCATGAGGAAGCGGAAGAATATCGGGGACAAATTGTCATGAACACTGAAGAAGAAATCTTCTTCCCTACTCTTACCGTCGGCGAGACGATGAAATTTGCGACAAGCGGAAAGATTCCAGCTCATCTACCTCAAGGCTACGATTCAAAGCGCGATTACCAAGACGAGATCAACAAATTCCTTCTCCAATCACTGGGAATTTCTCATACCGCTAGCACGAAGGTCGGGAATGAGTATGTCCGCGGTGTCTCCGGGGGGGAGAGGAAGCGTGTTTCCATTCTAGAATGCCTCGCTGCCCGCGCATCGATCTACTGCTGGGATAACAGTACCAGAGGTCTTGACGCAAGTAGCGCGTTGGACTGGGCAAGATCGATTCGAGCGATGACCGACGTCTACTCCATTTCTTCCATCGTCACCCTTTACCAAGCCGGAAACCAGATCTATGAACTCTTCGACAAAGTGCTGATTCTGGACGAAGGGAAACAAATATACTACGGCCCGATGAGTGAAGCTCGTCCCTTCATGGAGGATCTTGGATTTGTTTGCGAGGATGGAGCCAATGTCGCTGATTTTTTGACCGGAGTTACTGTACCAACCGAGCGCAAGATCCACCCCGGCTTCGAGACCAGCTTCCCGCGCGATGCAGCATCCATACAATCTGTTTATCGGAGCAGTTCAATTTTCAAACACGCCTTTACCGACTACTCATACCCAACCACAGAGATTGCTAGGATCCGGACGGCAGACTTCAAAGAAAGCGTCAGTTTTGAAAAGTCATCGAAGAACAAGAACAGTCGATACACCGTCAGCTTTCTCTCTCAAGTCAAGGCGTGTATTTCTCGTCAGTACCAGATTATTGGGGGCGATATGGTCACCTTTGGAATGAAGCAAGGTTCAAACCTCGCTCAAGCCTTGATAGCCGGATCGCTATATTACCAAGCTGCCGATGATTCTTCTGGTGTTTTCATCAAGGGAGGTGTGCTATTCTGGTCAGTGCTATACAACAGTATGACGGCAATGTCTGAGGTCGTGGATTCTTTTACAGGCCGACCTGTCATCTTGAAGCACAAGTCTCTGGCGTACATCCATCCAGCAGCCATTTGCATTGCTCAGATCGCCGCCGATATTCCCATTATCATTCTGTCGGTTACGACCTGGTCTCTTGTCATCTATTTTATGGCTGGACTAGTCCTTGATGCGGGAAACTTCTTCACATACTGGATCATTCTTTTTATCACCAACTTGAGTGCTTGCGGGCTTTTCCGTGCAATTGGAGCCATCTTCGGCTCATTCGATACCGCCGCTCAATTGTCGGGATATGCAATCGGTATTATGGCAATGTATGCGGGTTATCAAATCCATGCAACGCAGATGCATCCTTGGTTCGGCTGGCTATATTGGCTCAACCCTTTGTCCTATGGATTTGAAGCGCTGATGGGAAATGAATTCCACTTGCAAACAATCAAATGTGTCACTACAAATTTGATCCCAAATGGCCCAGAATACAGTGATAGCGAGCAGTACGCCTCGTGCGCTGGAATTGGAGGTGCGAAACCCGGTGCTAGCTCCTTGACGGGCGACGACTATCTTGCATCCTTGTCGTATAGTCACTCTCACATTTGGAGGAATTTCGGAATCCTTTGTGCCTGGTGGCTTGTCTATGTCGGGATTACAGTGATTGGAGTAGCTCGCTGGCGTGATTCGTCTGACTCAGGAGCCTCGCTGCTCATTCCTCGTGAAAGATTAGCCTCTCGGCAACATTCCCCCATGGACGAAGAGTCTCAACTCACGGAAAAGCAAAGAGCCAATACTTCATCGGATTGCTCAGAGCCAGTTCAACAGACCCAATCTTCTGGACAGTTGGCACGAAATACCGCCATCTTTACATGGAAGAGCCTCACATACACGGTCAAAACACCCACTGGTCCTCGAGTGCTCCTTGACAATGTTTACGGTTGGGTCAAGCCCGGGACACTTACTGCATTGATGGGCTCATCTGGGGCTGGGAAGACAACACTTTTGGACGTTTTGGCTCAGAGGAAGACAGAGGGAACGATCAACGGATCAATCCTGGTAAACGGGCACCCCTTACCAATCTCATTTCAACGCTCAGCGGCCTACACAGAGCAGCTTGACGTTCATGAACCATATGCAACAGTACGGGAGGCGTTGGAATTTTCGGCACTTCTACGTCAACCCCGGGATGTTGCTGATGAGGAAAAGCTCAAGTACGTCAATGTAATCATTGATTTACTCGAACTTCACGACATTGCCGATTCCCTAGTTGGCAAACAGGGTGTTGGCCTGAACGTTGAACAGAGAAAGCGCCTTACCATTGGCGTGGAGTTGGTGTCGAAGCCAAAGATCCTCATTTTCCTCGACGAACCAACCTCAGGTCTAGATGGCCAGTCAGCATTCAACACTGTTCGATTCCTGAGAAAGCTTGCCGACGTTGGTCAATCCGTCTTGGTCACTATTCACCAGCCTTCAGCTCAACTTATGGCCCAATTTGATAAGCTTCTTCTTCTGAAATCAGGTGGCAAAATGGTCTATCTTGGTGATATTGGAGATAATTGCCAGACTCTCAAAGACTATTTTGGGAGATATGGAGCACCTTGTCCACCTTCATCCAACCCAGCGGAGCATATGATTGATGTTGTTTCTGGTCACTGTTCGTCTGGTCACTGCTCGGACACAGACTGGCATCAAGTTTGGCTTGATTCCCCTGAGCGCCAGCATACTACCAACGAACTTGAGAAAATCTTACAAGAATCAGCGGCCGAGGGGCCTATGGAAGAGGACGGGTTCGAATATGCCGTGCCACTACTCAAGCAAACCAAATATGTTCTGCGCCGCATGAATCTCGCGCTGTTCCGAAACACCCCCTATATTAACAACAAAATTGCTCTCCATATCGGTTTGGGACTTTTCAATGGTTTCAGTTACTGGAAGATCGGGGAATCGGTCGGTGACCTGCAACTCAAACTTTTTACTGTATTTGTTTGGATGTTTGTTGCCCCCGGCGTCATCAACCAACTTCAGCCGCTTTTCATCGAAAGAAGAGATCTTTACGACGCCCGTGAGAAGAAAGCACGAATCTATTCATGGAAAGCTTTCGTCACAGCTTTGATCGTTTCTGAATTGCCATACTTATGCATCTGTGCTGTCTTGTACTTTGCATGCTGGTATTATACGGTTGGTAGTCCCACCGGGTCTGACAAAGCCGGCGCTGCATTCTTCGTCGTTTTCATCTACGAATTCCTTTATACATCCATTGGGCAGTTCATTGCTGCCTATGCACCCAACGCTGTTTTTGCAGCGCTTACCAATCCACTTCTTGTTGGAATCATCGTGTCCTTCTGTGGAATCTTGGTCCCCTACGAACAGATTGTTCCCTTCTGGAGATACTGGATGTATTATCTCAATCCGACAACTTACCTGGTTGGAGGCATGCTTACCTTTACCATATTTGATACCGACGTTAAGTGTGTTACCGAGGAACTTGCTCTCTTCAATGCTCCCAGTAACATGACTTGCGGTGATTATCTGGCAACCTACCTTCAATCCTCTGGGGCAAATCTTCTGAACCCATCCGATTCAGTCGGTTGCCGGGTCTGCCCCTACTCAAAGGGAAGTGATTATCTTCGGACCATCAATATCAAAGATTGGTATTTCGGATGGAGAGATGTGGGCCTCACCATTATCTTCATCCTGAGCTCATACTCTCTCGTCTACTTGTTCATGGCACTCAAGACAAAATCGTCCAAGAGGGCCGAGTGAATATTTCGTCAGATGCGAGTCACGCTGTCCGAAATGCATCCATGGACCTTACCTTCCTTTGTTTTTATTTTTGTTGATTTATATTCTTTTTATTTTGTCTCATATCATTCTTACCGACCTATAGCAAATTGCCTTCATGTGGATTTTAATTCCACAGAGAAATTTTGCTTTTGTACTCTATTCTTGTGGACATGTTTGCTATCTCAACCTTTGAGTTCGACTCTGTAAAGACAGCGCTAGAGCAGCCACTTTGATGCCTTTGATTTCATATGATCATTCAGCCAACTTTTGTTCTTAGCTAGATGACGAGCCTGGAATAGATTTCTTTTCTCCCATATGAATCAACATTGTAAGTCTCTCAACACCCGTATCCTTTAGAATCCAACATACTCTTGCGGCTTGTAACGTCGATTCCCGAGGTCAACCCCCGAGGCCACCCCCGAGGTCGCTTGAACTAGCCATCGAGCCGTCCAAGTTTATCGAGTCATAATCAACTATTTCATTGGTTTCGATTCAAAGAGTTACGATGGGGATCTTGCAAGGCAATGTTCAAAGTCCAGCTGTATCTACAGATACTAGAACCTTGGAACATCCATGCATTAACAAACATGTATCCCAGTACTAGAAAGCCGCAATTAGTTCCATATTCTTGACCTTTAACTTGAAATTCTCCCTTTCGAAGACCACCATATTCGATCGGTGTCGTATATTGACATCGGCACCCAGTCGACCAAAACCTCAATCATCCGAACGTACCCATTCTGAACTGCAAGATGTATGGCGGTCAATCCATCTTCATCCGCCACGGAAATCGTCCTCGCAGCGCCATTCCATGAGTAGAGGGGCTAGGATATCAGAGCATTTGATCTTCGTACTATTTGTGATTTCATATCACAAAAAATCCTCTCCCGAGGCATCGAAATGACCCAGAATACGATATTTTGTACTTTACCGCAAACCCTGACTCCAAACACAATTTTCGTGTGCGTGTGGAGGGATTCCCAAGCCTCGATCTCGACAACGACGAGTGGTTTTCATGTTTCATCACCGCATTTGCTCACTTCGACCAAGCTCATCCCCTGGGGGTCCCATTCATCGTCAATCGGATCTGTAAACCAGAGTGTACTCGAGATCATTCCAAACGCACGTTGCCAGCTTCCTCCTAGGAACTGTGTTGGTGCATGGAGTGTCCGTTCTAAACATCGACAAGTGCAATGTCTAAGCTGGGAATAAATATCGGCTTGCAGTCTATCAGAAGCTCAATCTACCGGCGAACCCATTCTTTATTCCGGCGATGACGAGGATATTCACACAGCTATTGGGAACGGTGGTATCGCAGTTCTGCTTTTAGCTTCATGCTGACGGTCAGATTGCGTTATATGGCCAACCTGATTGCCAGGGTCCCGCGATTGACGCCTTCAACCAAGATGCAAACAACACCGAAATAGATTGCAAGCCTCTGAATGAGAATTCAGTTTCGTTTCAGTCCATTAACGCCTGAGGAATACATGTGCGTTGTGCTGAGATGGGTGGGTTATGTGGTTTCCGTATGATAGTTTCACATCTAGCTGTCTGCCTCTCCTAGTGGCAGGCCTTGGATCTTTCAGAAACCAGCCAATCATAGTGCAGAGATATTGTATCATTTCAAGCCTATTTTAACATGCCCCCGGTTCTCTCAGAAAACCAACCCGCTAATGCATAAGAAACAGATCATATCGGACTGCTAGACTCAGCAGCAAGCCCGCCCAAGGACATCAGATCACATACGTGACAGATATCTCGTTGCCCGTATCTTTTGAAAGAAATCAATCCGCTAAATCAAAGAAAGCATAGAAAAAACAGCACAGATCGAGCGTCGGACTGCCAAGACAGAGATGGGTTCAAGAAAAACCCCCATATTTCATAAATGGCGGCTGTACGATACCCTGCTCATAGAACATAATCATAAAATGCAAAACGAGCATGCCGGTGGGTCATGATTCATAGAGAAGTGAATTCTCAGGGGAAGAAAATTATAGCTGCCTAGCGACGGAAGAAAGGCGCTTGGTTCGACGAGAGAAGGGAGTCGGCTCGTTGGAAGACATCCCCTTCGAAGAACTTATCACTGTAGGCACTTGCCGGCGTGGAGGGCACAGTGGCTTGCGCAGCGGGACCAAGCGCTGCACTCAGTGGAGTGGCAGGAACAGTGATGGACTGTGGGGTAATTGTCCCGTTGTGGTGGAAGTGAGGGTTGATGATGGCCGAGGCCGAGGCCGAGGTTTGGTGTTGCATATGGGGATTCTGCAGTGGAGGTCCGTATATGGAACCAGGGGGAGGATGGCGGTCTGGATCTGCGAGGTATGCCCAGGGGGATACTTCGATCAAGCGGCCTGCTTCTCGGCTGGCTTTTTGCACAGGCCTGAGGAGAATGATGACGTCGGAGGGGAGAAGCTGCATGCTCCTCACTTCCCGCATTTCGTTCACTAGGTCAACGAACGACTGCATGAATGATTTGCATAATTGCCAGAAATCGCGTTGGTTGCGAAGTCCACCGCCAGGTTCTTTGATTTTCATGGTGGAGAGACGTTGTCCCAAGATATCTGATACTTCCTGACAGACCTGAGCTCGGCGGATGAGATTATTCCAGACCAACTGAAGACCCTCAGAGCCGCGTGAATGCTGAGCAACCTCCAAACATCTTATGAATTGCCGCCGGGCTAGGGGGAGCGCTCCATGGGCAGCGGTATGCGCAGAGACAAGCTGGTGGTAAATCTTCTCGAAAATCCGCTCTTCTTCATTTTCATCAAGCCCAGTCAAGGTGTTTACCCGAGGAGTCCCAGAAATGGGGATTGGAGGGAAGGTTTCGCCTGAGCGAGGGGTAGCTAGGGCGTGCGGCATTGAAGCATTGGCCATGTTTGAGCGGCTGCTAGAACGACTGCGCGAGTATGGCGTTGAAAATCCGGGAGAGTTGGTGCCATTCGGGGTGGATGTGGTCATAGTCATGGGGTATTGGGGATGTCGGATCGTGGTATCACTTCGCATCCTTCTTGTCGGTGGCACTGGGTCCCTGGTCGGGGTGACCATTGATGGTTGGGATCGATCTGGGACAGGGGGAAGGGGGTTGCTTGGGCCTATGAGGCGTTTTGTGGCAGCTGTACGTTTGGTGGAGATTTGGAGCGGAGCTTTGAGGATCGCGCAAGCATTCCGTAGTTCCACCAAACTTCCATAAATCATCAACATCAACGACCGCACGTACTGTGGATCGGCGTTGGAAACAATCTTGGGCGCGCTGTTGCGTAGTTGTGTGGCAACATGGATATATGCAGCTATACATGTTTCACATTCAGCCTTCACGGCCGTCTTTGCCGACGGGATTGACTCCGGGTCATCCTGGAACGAAGAGTATGCCTTTTCAAGGACATCATTAAGCCGATCCACGTGGGATGTAGCGTTGTAGAAAACAAGCTCGAGACTGTGACGCCTAGTGTCCTCCATCCTTATAACGTTGATCAACGTATCGATATGTGAGTGGACCTGGACTAGTGCGAATAGGATTCCCTTTGCGCTTCTGATGATTGGTGCATCCGATCCACGCTCCCCTTTGTGTTCAGGAAGACTAGACATCCGGTTCACCCATCCCTCTCTGGGACGTCGACGGTCCCTTGGGCTGCTAGGGCTTTGAGAATGACTGTCGTTCGTGGCAATCGGCGCCTGAGGTTGACGAGGCCTTAAGACGGAGCCGTGGCTGAGACCTCGCAGATGGCTGTTTCTATATGGACGTGTTTCATCCAACGTACCTAAATCGGTATTCTTGCGCGTGATCAATCCCATTCTTTTACTGCGTGCAGCCGATGATCCTTGGATTATGCCCTCGCTGTTACTGCGGTTGCGCTCACTCACGCTGTAGGGATTGACGGGGGGCCTTTGCAGTCCAGGCATGTGGTAAGTCGCGCCTTGTTGTCCTGAGGCCATTCGGAAATGCGATTTCGCCGGGATGAGTGGCCGTGATATAGAAGGCGACCGAGATGAGGCTGCTGAGCCATCACCAGTACTAGGAATCACCGGGAAACGACCACTCAGATTCCGCTTGGAGGGTATTGGCGTTGGCACAGGCTTGGCCTCAAAACTCCCGTCACTGTGACAGATGTTAGCTTACTATGTCTTATGATTCGGGTGAGGAAATGTACCTTGCATCAGTGTGCACCTCAGGCTCAGGCGTAGTCACATTCTGTCGTGATTTCATGAAGAACCTCTTCAATTTGGTGGTGGCTGCAACCTCCTTCTCGTTATCAGTCATCCCAGATGGTGTCATTTCGTTCTCAGTTTCCTCCAGAATATCGCGGAGGGGCTTTCGAAGGGGGTTTCCGGCACATTTGAAGATCTGAAGCTTGTGCATTTCAGATAGGCCAACTGGAAGATCACTGAGGCGATTCTGCATCACCGAGAGAACCCGCAACGACTTTAACTTGCTAATTTCATTCGGCAACTCTCTGATCTTATTTCGACTCAGATCGAGGATCTCAAGTAGAGGAAGTTTGTAAACCTAGCAAAGTCAGCGACGCAGTCAAAAAGGGTATCCTGGTCCATACTCCTTTTGGAAATTCTCGGAAATTGTTCGCTCGGATATTGAGGTATCTTAGGTGCGAGCACTCTGCAAAACGATATGGGATGTGGACAAGCTGGTTGTTGGACAGAGAAAGTCTTTGCGAGGATCAGTATAGTCCAAGGCAACGTTTCCCAACCTGAGGAGTGGCAGCACAGGCTTGGGACGAAAGGTTCTCCGGACTCAACGTTTTCCGGACGATGAAACTTACCTTTCCACTTCATCTTTGATCAAGTCCACGACTGGCTCAGGAATGCGATTGATATTCGAATGGCCGAGATCAATAGTCAATTTGGGCTTGACCACGTCCGTGACAGCCTCGCTACCTGCCAGTGAACGCTTGGTATCTTGAATTCCACTGTCCACCGCATTTCGCGCCAATTCAATCGTTTCTTCGGGGGTGAGCGGCTTCGGTCCAGCCGGCTGCTTATTGGCGTTCCCTGGTGCCTCTCCCAGCGCAGTGCCTGGCCGACTTTCATTTTCCTCTGGTGATTGAGCACCTTCGTGTTGGAGAGGCTGCAACAGCGGCAGATAATCATTTGAGTCGGACGTTCCGGCTTCCATTTCTTCTTCGTCTGTTTCATTGCGATATAAGCGCGGCCCGCGCACTTTATCATCCGGTCTAGTCATCGCAGATGTCATGGTCGATCCCGACTTAGGGGTTGCCGGTCAGACAATTCCCCAGTGACAATTTGATCTAAATGCTGATACGCCAGCAGATCCAGCGAGATATACTGGCAGAGCTAGTCCTAACACGTGCAAACACCCCTAGCGCCCTCGCACAGCATTGTTGGTTGACTGGAGGTGATGTCCGGGGGATACGATGTTGCCGGCGGATAGTTGCAAACAGTCCTCGGTGGAGAGAAGGAGTTCGGATCGTCGAAGGGTCGAAGGGTCGAAGGGCCGAAGTGATGTAACCGCAAGACTCGAGGTGTTGTGGTGGAAACAAGGCCGGAAAAGACGGTGCAACGGCGCTCACAAAAGATGATCGCGGACACAGTCAAAAAAGGAGAGTATAGGAACCAAAAGGAGGAAGAATGAAGCGAAGAAGCAGAGAAAGAAGAAGCGTCAAAATGCAGCGAAAAAAGAATCACGAAGACCGGTGGTGAGGCTGGAAATGCTCTGATTGGATGAAACACGTCCAAACGCTGCGGCTCCGCGATGCGTTCTCGCCCTTCGTGTTCGACTTGTTTATCGTCGTCGCCAGGGGCTCTCTCGTTCTGATGTTCCGCTGCTATTTTATACATTTCTACTTCTGCCCAACTTCTACTTTTACTTTGTCAACATATAGTCTACCTTAGTACACCAAATTTGAATGAGAATGCATGTGCTATCGCGTTAATAGAGCTAAGAAAGTCCACCATCCAGGAGTATGGTTTGAATAATATACATAGATCAATAAAAGGGGGCTTGGAAAAAACAGAGCCTCGGGCTGAAAGGGAAAATGCGGTGGTATCAACAGTCACCCCCGGACTCAAGCGGTGCATACCCTTACTGGGTGGCCTCGGCCTCATCAGTCTCAGCGGTCGGTTCCGTGGTGGCTTTCTCGTCAGCCAGCTCAGGAGCACCAGCAAGCGCAGCCTGGCGCTGATCCTGCACCTGGGCTGATTGCCGGGCCCACTCCACCCACTTGTTGTATTGTACATCCTCCAGCTTCATACCAATGTCCAGGTATGATGGTCCAAACTCTGCGCCATATGCCTCAGCTTCTTCCACCGCGACACGGCGCTCAACATCCTCCTTCAACCGCAGCCGGTAGAACTCTCGGCGAGCAATGTCATAAGCATTGGTCTTGGTCATGTCGGGGACGTTGTTTAGGAGCCACAGTTGCCGCTGGACAACACTGGAGATGAGATATTAGCATGGAAAGGTAACCAGTTTGAGCTAGAACAAGGAACCCACCTTTCACCATCTAAACGCTTTCCGGGTTGTTGAATCCGGCTCCAATCGTAGTGTTCAAAGTCCTTGCCGGTGGTCTCCAGGAGCAGACGGGGTCGGGCAAGTTCCCAGGGGTGGTCGCGGAAGAACTCGGTACGCAATTGATCTTCTTCGTATTTGAGCTCGACGGGCTGGAAGAGTCGGCTTGCTTTCTTGGGGGCTCGGCGTTTCTCTTGAACTTGGAAGACGACCTGCGGCTTCGAAGACCCAGCAACGGTCTTCATCCGCTGCTGGACGAGCTGGTGCTGGGGAGGACGGGTGCGAATCAGGGCTTCAGCAGGAGGGATCTCGCCAATCACATCGACCCATTGGGGCAGTTTGCTGGTCTTTCCACTGGCGAATTGGCCAAGGGCTGTCTGTCGCACCCGAAGGGCTGTGAGGTTGATTTTTCCCATGGCGGTTGAGCACGGCCGGGGAGAACAGCAAGAGCTTCAAGGGAAAGAATCAAACGCGACGTCGAATCAGAAGGGCAACGCAAAGGAATAAAGCTTTGGGAGAATGAAGTGATGCGGGAGCGAAAAAGATGGGATTGGCAAAGCACGGCTCCGATTGGCCGACGACGGGCTCCGCCAGGCCAGAAAGTGCAGCCGTTCATCTTCAGAAAAACACTCCTCTCTCCCCCGTCGTGATCCCTCTCCCTTTCTGTTTGCTCGTCCTTTGCGCTTGGAGATCGATAGCTCTCTATCGTGCCAGTGGCAAAAGGCCTTCATTTGGATGCGCAGGGCCTATCTAATGCCACGATGTCTGTCATCTCATGCCTCATCCAAATAGGTCCCTCAGCTCGCCGAGCCTGCGAGATCACCATAAGCAGGCCTTGGACGAGCTTCCTTTCTCTCGAAACCCCTCAATGCCTCATTCGAACTCCCCTCCTCACAATCATTCCGCCCGAAGACTCTGCCCCCGCCGTCCTCGCCCATCCGTCGCGTCAATAGCAGATATTTTTGTCGGCTCATTGCTTCTGGCAAGCTTCTGCCACGAGCACTCTCCAAGCCGTCGAGGAATCTCTACAGTGTCATGGACCCCATCAGGCCGTAATTCACACAGTTTTCGAACCCAAGGGGCGCCTTGTCGCCGGCAGCAATCCCGACGGCCGCCAGAATATTCAAGACCAAGTTTGAACCTATCGCAACATCAAAGGTGGATCAGCCACGGGCTGGCGCGCACAAAAGATGAGGATGTGGAGGAGAGCAATACACATGCCGATTTACGAAGGGAGGCGGAGGAGGACGATGATTATATACCCTTGTCGCCGGCAACCAGCGACACCGAGACCCAAAACCAACCCCAAAGATTTAATTTCACCTACACACATGATATCGACCAAAGGATTTATCCGTCAAGTTCTACCTCACTTGACATTGACAGAACAGAGGGATTCCCTCGCCAATCGTTTCCGTCCTGGCGGCATCCCGAGAAAGACAGGCGCATTTCTACCTCCAAACTTTACCAACGAGCATTGGCCGGTCACAACTGGAAGGAAGCAGTGACTGCGGTAGCTCCGCGTCCGCGTTTCGGGAAAGTACAGAAAGCCACGCCGTCACTCGATCAAACGGATATTGACTCAGTCGCGGCGCTTGTCAGAACATTATGGGGAGAAACCAATCCTTCCACTCAGTATTTGTTCAGACTGTACAGAGAGCTTCCTTCACCAGGTGTGGCATTATTGTCACAGCGCACTCGAGGTGCGCTTTTGCGCATGTTCGCGCAACCTCGCAATCGACGATGGGTTGATGCTCGCCGCTATTTGGCGTTGGTGGACGACATGGTAACGGCTAGGCTGCCTGTTTCGCTTTCGCTTTGGTCTTCTGCCATTCATCTTGCTGGACGGGCAAATGGCAAGGTCATGAAACGAGATCTTATCAGAGCTATTGGCTTGTGGCAGAGAATGGAGCATGTTGGAGGAGTGAAGGCTGACGAGGTTGTTTTCAACATCCTGTTTGACATCGCAATCAAAGCTGGCGCATTCCAAGTTGCTGAACGTCTCGAGGAGGAGATGGCTGGGCGGGGCATGGGATTTTCAAGATGCGGGAAGGTGTCCAAAATCTACTATTTTGGACTGATGCGAGATGCACATGGCATACGACATACATTCAATGAGTTTATAGACTCCGGAGAACTCGTTGATACTGTTGTCATGAACTGTCTCATTGCCTCTTTTCTCCGAGCCGGCGAGACACAAACGGCAGAACAGCTCTATGCTCGCATGTTGGAGCAGCACCAAAGCAAAGACACGAATCTTTCGCTTTCCAACCACTCAGAATCACCCATTGATGCGCCTAATCTGGGCTACGATATGCCTCAGTATCGACAGAGAGTGCGGACCTTGGGCCGTGTGTTGAAGAAGTCAGCAGCACTCAAAGAAAAGTTCCCTGAATACCATCGTGCTCTCCAAAACTCTCTACCAATGAGGCCTGATACCCGCACATTCCATATTTTTCTTCGACACTATGCGCACAGTTCTGGTCAGCTTGATAGCTTCATGGCTGTCATGCGGGACATGGAAAAGACTTTTTCGGTACCCCCACGTGCGATCATCTATCTGTTTCTTTTCGAGGGCTTTTCTCTGCATGGCCGAAAAAAGAAGCAATGGAACGCGGAAAACCTCCGTCTGACATGGCATGCCTACATCCGGGCTTTGCGGGATTCAAATGCAAGACTTCGCGGGCTTTATCTTAACAACCACAAGATGACATGGGAAAACCCGCTTGCTACAAGCGTCGCAACAGATGTGGTTGAAGATGTTCCTGTCACCGACGCCCCAAATGGACTCTACGTGTCTCTGCCATCAACAGACACGGAAGTGAACGCCGAACCGGGCACGGACGAACCAACCGAAGACTCTGCCCAGGCCAGTCCTTCTGACGATGACCAAAAGATTAACTCTCAGTTGGAGGAAGCAAATGAGGTCTCTGCCATCGACGAAATTGATCCCAATGAGGTCTTTGCTCCCCCTTCGGAGTTCCCAGAGGCCGACGAGACTCCTTGGGACCCAGAGAAGCGCGTCGAAAATGGCGTTTTCGTTGGGCGCCGGATGATTATCAATATCCTGCAAGCCTTTGGAACATGCTGTGGCCCTCAAGAGGTCCTAGAGGTTTGGTTGCAACTCGAGCGACTGTGGCATCCAAATCAACGCACAGCCAACGACGTTCTAATTGTCAAGGATGAGCTTGATAGGCAGATGTCCAGGGGTCCGCAAAAGAATCGCTAAATCACCAGAGCGATGGGGAATAAACCCACACTTGTACATTATTTCATATAGATCTGCCATATACCGACTCGATTTCAGCGTGTCTTTGGCGCAAATGTATCATTCTACACTGTATTCAACAGCCACATTAGTCATCTTCACTGTGTAGTATACTTATATATCCTCGTCGCCATACTCGTAGCGTGTGCAATCCTATTAACCCCAAATAGGAAGTCGAAGATACACGTGACAGCGCGTTCCACATCGCGGGAGGGTGTTAGATTTGCACGTCCACGTCCCACCTTCAGTTACCACCGTAGCAGCTTGACTATGAAGGAGAATGGCTCGAGTCTCGGCCGCCACGCGCCAAATGGCTAACATGAAATGGCTGCTGAAGAATACGTTCAGAAAGACTGATTTTCGGTAAGTCAATACTCTCCCAAACAAGGGTCAGTATACTCAGCTTTCCAGTCCACTCCAACGAGAAGTAATTCTCGCTGTTATTCAAGGCCATGATGTATTTCTTCAAGCTTCAACCTCATTTGGCAAGAGTTTGTGTTACCAACTGCCCGCTGTTCTCAATGAATGGGGAAGTAAGTGTTCTCCGAGTTCGAACGCAGATAGACAATGCTGATGTGAACAAAGTGACTATTGTCGTCTGCCCACTCCTTTCACTGATGGTGAGTCTACCTGTCAATCTTTCATACTCATCTAACGTCGGATAGACAGATCAAGTGAACACCTTAAAGGGCTTAGGTGTACCAGTCGCAACAATCAATTCCAATACCACTCATGATGAGCGACAATGGATCATGGAAGATATGCTATGTGGTCATCCCACCATAAGAATCCTCTATGTCACGCCCGAGTTGTTACAGACGGAGAATTTCCGTCGCCGCTTGCTCATTGTCCACAAGCAAGGCCAGCTAATCCGAGTTGCAATTGATGAAGCCCATTGTATCAGTGAATGGGGACATGATTTTCGCACTGCATACAAGGAATTGGGCTGGCTCAGAGAGAACCTCGCCAGCCCAAAAATCCCCATCACCGCTGTGACGGCGACTGCCACGCCTCACGTCCGTGACGACATTATCCGAATCCTCGGCCTAGATCTCAATCACCTTAAGCTCTTCAACACCCCTTCAGACCGGCCGAACATTCATTACGAAGTTCGATATCGTCCAGACTTCGCCAGCGACAATGCCGAAGCAGAAAACAGCCAGCTTCTGAACTTGCACAATTACCTCAAAGCTATTCGACTACGGCGTGAAGCCCGACTGAGCAACGAGCTCAGGTCTCAGCTCCCGCCAATATCAGGCATCGTGTATGTGGGAACGCGCGCAATGGCCGAGCACCTCGCCGTCAGACTGTCTTCCGACGAGACTGTCAATGCAATTGCATACCATGCCGGCGTTGAAGCAAAGAAGCGGTCTCAGATCCAATCAACATGGAAATCATCCCGATCCTTTCAGACAGCCCAAGGGAGGCCACCACCTACGTTTTCGATCATTGTCGCAACAAATGCATTTGGCATGGGCATTGATAATCCCGATGTCCGATTCGTTGTACATTGGACACCGCCTCGAAGTTTCGAGAGTTTTGTCCAAGAATCAGGTCGCGCAGGCCGAGATGGTCGTGCTGCAACGTCTCTCGTTTACTACGGTATCCAAGAAAGGAACTACATCGAAAATCTGATCCACCGTGACGCGGAATCAAATCGTGGGAGCAAAGTTCCTGAGAATCGAGAAGCCAAGCTCGAAAGTTTTGGGAAGGTTATCAGATATTGTGAGAGTATCACAAGATGCCGGCATGAACTCATCAAGGAGTTCTTTGGCGATTTCGAGCTCGAAGAGATGGGATCTCAAAGGCCCGCAAGGGAAGGGGTGCCTGTTAGCCTGTCGCCCTGTGACTTTGCATGCGACTTCTGCAAAGAGGGTCGTGGGGGATTAGCAAAACGGCGGGAGAAAATGGCATCTGAAACCCAAATGGCTTTGCTGTACGCTGATTATGACTGAGGCTATCGCCATTTGTTATTACACCGCAGGGTTTCATGGGCTCACCCTGCTCTGATAGCCGCTGTGTATGGGTGGTTAAATGGGCGAGGGCTCTGCTTCCTGGGGTTGTCAATGCTTAAGATATTGTATTCCACATGTACCATAGGGTCAAACAGGCAATTTCGCACATTCGAGTCACGCTCGACAATGTTCGATGCAATAAATACCTAGGCAGTCACAGAGGACAGTCTTCGGGAGAGTCACTGACAATGCGTGAGCCTAGTTTTTATCGACACAATGATCAAGTTTACCGTTTGTATTACCGTTTCGTTAGTACATAGTACACACAGAACACAACGTAGAGAGGATAATGCACACAGCTAGAAGATTTCTTTAGCACAGACAAAGATCCTGTAGAAAATCGCTTTAACCAAATCACACCGTATTTTCTCCCCCATTTAGAAAACAATCCGGCAGTACTTTTGCTCCCCATGAGAATTAACAGGATCGAACAGGGCCGCAAGTGAAATCGGGACACATACGTAGTAGCATGATGTCGCTTTCGGCAATTCCTGTCTTACATACCAGGTGGAGGAGGAACCTATTGGAAAACGCATTAGTCGCTTGTAGTGGGATGATCTCCGGGTGGCCTTACTGCGCCGTAGCTACCGCCACCTGGAGGGGGAGGTGGCGATCCCGATCCAGGAGGAGGAGGAGCTGCCTCTGAAGCAGGGGCAGCAGGAGCGGCCGTGCCTTCAGCTTGCTGCTGCTGTTGTGCAGCGTAGTAGTATTGATAGTAGGCGACATAGTTCTGGTAACCACCGTAAGCCGCGTATGGGTCGGCGGTGCCATAGTACTGGGCGTATTGGGCACTGTAATCATTGGCGGCCTGGGCACCGGCGGCACCAGGGGAGGCCTGGCCAGAGGGGCTAGCAGAGGAGCCGTTGTTTTGGTGTTGCTGTTGGCGGTTGTTGTATCCACCGTATCCACTACCTTGGTAGCGGTCTCCTCGGTCACCACCACGGTTACCGTATCCACCGTAATGGTGGTGCGGCGGGTTCTCCTTGAACTTCTGGTACTGCTCCTTCACATTGTTGAGAAGATCTTCACAAAGCTCCTTGGCTTGCTGAACATCATTTGCATCTGGACCTCTGTGCACAGAAATTAGTAGGAGTTCGTACATAAGGAGATATATCAGTGTAACTCACGCCACATGGAGGTACATTGGCTCGTCGCTCTCACGGTTGGTGCTAGATTCAATAAATCCAGAACCACGGCCCTTGATCTGCACTCGGCAGCGAGTTTGTTGCTGGATGTGCTTCACATAAGCACCACCCTGCCCAACGACCTGAGCACGCAAGTTGAAGCCGGGAACTGGCTCAAGATCAATGGCAATTCGCTCATCCGGCCATTTGCGCTGCTCTCGGTTAGTCTATTTATTCCGGAGGGAAAACAAGCAGAGGAATTCATACCCGGCCATATTCATCCCGCTCGACTTGCTGCTCCGGTTCCCTTTTATTGTTACGGAATCGGCGCTCATCAACAAGGACCGGCAACTCCTTCTGAATTAGGCCATTGATCATTTCGACGGCCTTCTCCAGACCATCCTTGTTGGTGCTGGTGACGTGGAGGTAGAGGGGAGGGCTCTGGAGCCAAGTGGTTAGCGATCAGCCAGATTAACCGCGAGAGAGGAATTCTTACTGCAGCAGTAGCCATGTTCTTGTCAGGGTAATAGTTTCCTCGGGTGGTAACGTCTTGGAAGAAAAACAGTAAGTCAAATGGTCATCGACGAAATTGGGAATGAGATATGAGGGAGATGTACCGGCGCCAGTTTCATCCTGAATCTATAAGTCACACATTGAAGGTCAGCAGATGCAATAGTGGGTGGAATGAGTGCTGATTCGGTGAAGGGTAAGCTTTTTCTGGCTCCAACAGCGAGAGGATCAATCCTCCTGCGAAAAAGGGACATAGGTGGGGGTGGTCCTTCGGAGATAACCACGGGGAATAATTACCATCTTCTGGGTAGACCCCTTCGTCAGGGTGTACCGGTTGCGCAGGTCGTTGATCTCAATGTCTTTGATGTAATCACCGTCCGCGACATAAACCTCGGCGTTCAGCTTAGCTGAGCCCTCCGCAGTGGAAGGCGCACCCTCGACATTGCCATCGGTCTATCATACCAAATTAGACACATGAACGACAGCAAGAGAAGAACTTGATGCGGAATTACCGAGCGAATTGGAGGAACATCAACGTGCTGGATGCCCTTTTTGGCCTGAAGCTGCGCATTAATTTTGGCTGCGGCCGCGGCTATAAAGAAGTTAGCATACCATTCGAGTCTATGTTATGCGACTTGGTCGTACGTACCTGCAGCGGCGGCCGGGTCAGACACAGCAGGCTTAGGGGGCGCCTCTGCGTCAGGACCGCGACTCAAGGGGCGACTCATAGGGCTGCGTGTACGAGCGGACTCTGATTGTCGGTTCGATGGGGACCGCGAGCGTCGGTCAGAACGGGGTCGCTGGGGCTCAGCGTCGGTTTGGTCAAAGCGAGAACGCTTTGCACGGGGCTCATCGTCCGCCATGGTGGGGGTCTTGGGGTATCAGAAGAAAGTGTGGAATAGACGGGGAAGAGAAGCTCAAAAAAGGCCCAGATCACCGGGAAGGAGTTTTGGCGCGGAGAGTGAGTGGAACACCAAAACCTACCAGCCAAAGAGATTTCTGGGTCAAAATCAGTTGGTATGAAAGCTTTAATTCGAATGCACTGTATAGAAATCGTATATAGCTCTTTTTTCCAATAATCGAGGCTCAAATCACGAAAAGAAGGCCATCGCAAAGTGAAGTAAAAGCCACAAATGGAAGGCGGTCGCGGAGGAGAGGAGAGCACGTGATTTTGGAATATATACAATATGGACTAGTCCAAATTGGGCCTAGTCCCTATGAGTCAGCAGGACGTCGCCGAGGTCGGCCGACCAAAAAGAATATCCCCGGGGCAAACCTGCGGTGATTCATCGCACATCCCGTTCGAACACCACTCTCCTCATGGCTTTCAGGCGCCCATTGACGCTACCCACGGGGTCAGCGTCGCTGCTGTCATCTGTCGCAGCCTCCACTCGGTCCCGCACAGCTGCTACGCTCCCCCGTGCCACCTCCGTTCGTGCATCGTCGAGCTCAACCTCAGCTCTTGCCTACAAGGCCCTGCACCGTCGGTCTCCCCTACCTCTGCCAGTTTCCGATGCTTCTCCTCAATGGGATGCCCCCACTGCTGTCTCATCCATTCTCTATGAGACTCCTGTGACCCCCACCAACCCTCCCAAACGTCACATCCTGAACTGCCTCGTTCAGAACGAGCCCGGTGTGCTGTCCCGTGTGTCCGGAATTCTGGCTGCTCGTGGCTTCAACATTGACAGTCTGGTCGTCTGCAACACTGAGGTCGAGGACCTCTCGCGCATGACTATCGTGCTGCAAGGCCAGGACGGTGTCGTCGAGCAGGCTCGTCGCCAGCTGGATGACCTCGTCCCCGTCTGGGCTGTGTTAGACTACACTGACTCCGCTCTTGTCCAGCGTGAGCTGCTTTTGGCTAAGGTCTCTATCCTGGGTCCTGAGTTCTTCGAGGAGCTTCTCCAGCACCACCGTGAGATCACCACCTCGCCTGACTCCCTGGCCCACCAGGACCACCAGGATCACTCTGTCCAGCAGTACCACCCTCGCCACCTTCCCCAGAGTCAAGCCCTGCGCCACAAGCACGAGCACTTGGATGCCATTACCCGCCTGGCTCACCAATTCGGCGGTAAGATCCTGGATATCAGCACCAACAACTGCATTGTCGAGGTGTAAGTGTTTCCCGTTTCCTGATTTACATTGTAATAATTGACTCATCTACTCTCAGCTCTGCCAAGCCCAACCGTATCGACTCTTTCCTCAAGTTGATTGGTCCCTTCGGTATCCTTGAGTCCACCCGGACTGGTCTGATGGCCCTTCCCCGTTCGCCTCTCGGTGAGGTCAGCGAGGAGATTGAGAAGGATGCTGCCGACGTCGTCGATGCCAGCACCCTTCCCCCTGGCTAAGATACTGCTAAATGCCTCCTTCAAAAACATACATACCCGAATAGGATCGAGTTGGTTTATTGGCTTTATGTTTTTCTACCTTTCCTATGGAGTTCATCGACTTGGAAACAAACGGCTAAGCCTTTGTATGTAAAATGTCACAAATACTGTTTTCTTCGAGTCTCTGGGCTGTTGTCCGTTCCAAGTATCTTATCTTACCTACATGTGCAAGGAGTGCCCCTTAAGTACAGTAAAATCCCGCATCTGCAATACGATACCTAGTATCAGACAGCCAGATCTTATTAAGCATCTGAATTATCCATGGATTTGATCAACATGATGTCTTCATATGTAGGAAGAACACAATTCATTCAGGCCTGGCGCTGCTGACTTCTCTTAAGCCGAGTAAATAATCTCTCTAAATGTTCCAGATGCTTGATATCCTCCGCAGTAATTTCTTCGTGATGCTGCGCAAAGATTGTCGCTGTCTGTATAGCTGATAATGCATCAGCTGAAGATGGTACTATAACTGGCAATTCATCATCGTCGTCGTCGTCGCTGACTGGCATAACATCAGAGGGAATATTGGGGATCTCAGTGGGCTCCTGATAGAGATTCTCATCTGCTGGATTCAGGAAATTCTCCAATGCCATAGTAGATTCACCATGAAACTTGTCGGTTAACTGTTTATATAATGGTGATAATGAGGGAGGTTCAGGCGTTGGAAGACTTCGAAGTTGAGGCATAATCACAGTAGACTTCCGGAAGCAACTGTATATTGTCGAACTTTGCACTCCATATCGCCAAGATTTGGTGATCCATTGAACTGAATAAAATAGGTTCATTGTCTTATCAAGGTCTTGACCCTGATCAAGGCAATTTATCATGTGTTGTATCCAGCTTTTTTTGTAGTAATGCTTGAGATTCTGGATAATCCCTTGATCCAGTGGTTGATAGAAGCTTGTTGAATTCGCTGGGAAAAATTGGATCAAAATATTCGGTGGCGGCGAGGCTAATTGCAGTGCTGCAATATGAGGAGAAAAATCATCCATCAGCAATAAGACTCGGCGCTCTGAGCCAATATGTTGATAAAATGCTAATAGCCACTGCTCCATAATAATCGATGTCATCCAGGCGCTTGTATTTGACCGCCAAATACATCCCATCGCCGATAAATTCACCCGACGAAGAGCATGGGGAACTTTTGTCCGGCCGATTATCCATAAAGGAAGTCGATCAGATCCTGTACAATTGCAACAGATCACAAGAGATACCCGACTTTTATCTCGTTGTCGACCAGGTTGACTTTGTGTTGAGAGTTTAGGAGATTGCCGCCAAAAAAGCCCAGTTTCATCCATGTTATAGATGTCTTCCTCCTGAAACTCTCCACAAATTGTCCGAACAGCCTTCATTTCCTTGTATGCTGGTGCTGGTGGTGGTGCTGGTGGTGGTGCTGCTGGTGGTGGTGCTGTTGTTGGTGCTGATGCTGATGCTATTGTTGATGCTGATACAGCTTCGTCGTGGTTGGCTCGATAATGGATACGGTGGCGCTTTTTGAATCTTGCAAGCCAGCCAAGTGAGAACTGAGGCTGTGGAATAGATTGGTATTCAGGGATTTGGCGCCAGATCTTAACAGCTTTAGTACGTAAGAGTTCGCCAGAAACGAATTGGCCGGCGCTCTCAACTCTTTGTTGCCATTCAAATAGCGCTTGGTCTAATATTGGCCACTGCGCAGTTGATTTGCGAGTTGCTGACGTAGCAGCTGCGGTATCGAGATGTTGATATCGGGAAGAAAGGATCAAAGAGACAGCACCTTGACTGATAGTGCGCGAGAATGATGCTTCAAACCAGGCTATGCAGGCTTTATGGGAAGGGCGGGGGTTCTGGCAGAGCGCCCATGCTCGCAGCGCCTTTTTCTGGACGTCAGGGATCCCACTGTTTGAGGATTTGGGCATTCTGATTGTGTGTATGTGATGGTTAATCGGGAGATAATAACGTGAATATTAAGAAGGTGAGGATTTCTGAAGTTGTTATGGGAAGAGATATCGTGTAGAAATTTTTATTAAGCATCTGGATTATCTATTAAGCATGTGGGTATGACACGGGATTTTACTGTAGTGAAGGTGAGTGGAATGTCATAAATTCACCTAAATCTAATAACCGAAACCCTTCATGGCCATCAAAAGTCGTGGCCAGAATTCTATGCAAACGCGATAACCTAACGATTCATCAGAATCGGACTTTGGCCGCAATTCCCTTCCCATGATAAAGAACTTCGTCTACATAGTTCTCAATCTGAATGCCAACGTTGGCAATGGCGTCCATCTCCAATGATTGGCCAAGTGCTTTCCGCAAGGCCTCGTATCCAACACCACCCATGTTGAGATCAACGGGCAGGCGTGGGGACTTTGATATGCCCGGGTGAACCTTGAAAGCATCACGGCTGTTGATCCGGCCAATGGGCTCCTTTTGTTCGTAATATGCTGTGGCATCGATTGAGGTTATAAGAATGTCAGTTTCCGTGAGGGGCGAAGCGAGTGTGAATTGTGCTGCGGATGACCAAAGATAGAACTAATTCGGTGCTGTTAGTAGGCACGCTATTGAGCAAAAGAAATTTGTGGGAGAGATCGGGATACCGTTGCATCTTGGATAAAGCGCGGCTTAGATTCCTCGTCACCACTCCCTGGGGAACCTGGAATATTCATCTGAGGAACCGGGACCGTGATGTTCAAAACTGAGAGCGCTTCGCCTAGATCTGGAAGGCTTGGAATTGTATTTCGATGGGACTGGATAGCAACTGTCGTGTTAAGACCTGCAACGAGAATCAGCAAGACTTCCAGGATTTGATGCGTTATATATGTGAATACTGACCAGAAATATATGATGAGAGAAGAGCCCGGCCGGCCTCGACCCCATTCATTCCACTCGAGTTCAAAGGGCACCAAAGGAAACCAACAGGCACGTAGCTATTATGACCAGGAACAATGGATATATTCTGAGCGACGATATGAGCGACGGCGGTGTCATTGCTAAGGATGAGCAAGTCAATGAATGGGATTGTGGCCGAGTACTGAGTCGGGTTGGTGAAATTCACCAGCGTGGATATCGCCATGGAAGATTCAGTCGTTTCTCCTAACTGCAATGATACCACAAGCGGATTCAATCGGCCAAGCGGATTTCCGAAGGAAGCTATGGCATTGTCAATCCCGAAATATTCTTGATTTACTCTATCATCTAGCTCATGAAAACATACTCTTCACCGGAAATCTCCCTTCTGCGGGAATGCCTCGCACAGCGAAGCGGCCTAGGCCAGTGGAGACCTTTGTATCTACGGTGGCGGCGACTCGAAGTTCTACCCCTTTGCTTCCAAACAGCATTGCTTGGATGACCTCTGCCAGAATGCCATCGTCAGTGACTTCCAATGGGGCATCCTTCATCGCGAACTCCACAAGGAGGGCAGAAGAGCCATCTTCAACGTCCACGATCGTGGAGTTGGAATCTTGCCATTTGCTGATGTTCAAAACACCAAACTTCTCATCCTTGTAGAAAACGTCTGCGAGGGCACGGACTTTCGGAACATCGACCTGGAAGTTCATCTCCTCCGGCAAAGCAATGAGAACCTTGACCACCGCGGAAACAGTGGGTTGCGATTCTGGAGAGTCGGGCTCTGCGAAGGGGTCCGGAAGAGAGAAATGAGTATCAGACATGGTAAAATTCTTCACCAAATTATCCAATGCATGGCCCGTGAATGGTAGAGGCACAGTGACACTGCGTAGCAAATCCACCATCCATGCTGGGGTATCGGGAGACGGTGCGTCGGAACCACGGACGTACACTGTGGTCTCAAGTCCCTGCATGAAGCTCGAAACCAAACTATCCAGAGGTGAATCCTCTTTCCCTGGGCAGCTAGAGGTCAACTCCTCCGGCAATTGCTTGATGAGAGCTTCGACACCAGCCATGGCTGGCTGCAAGGAACCGTGTTGCACGTGTATCTGGCTGGTTGTCGAGTTGGCGACCAATATGTAAGGATCTCCAGGTGAGCAATTTGGAACCAGAACGTCAAAGCCGAGAGCAGGAACAGTAAGATCGACCGGGGAATCGATCAAAGCTTCCACAAGGATATCGGCGGCCATGGCACCAATATTGGTGTCGTGGACATTCAGCTTGAGAATGGCGACCTCGGGCAAAGCAGGGAAATCGGCTTCTAATGAAAGGTCAGTTTTGAATAGTAGATGTCAAGGGCAATCCCAATTTACCTTCAAAGATTACATTGTGTGTCAGGACTTGAGTTCCCAAAGAAATCAAGCCTGACTTTAGTGAAATTGCAGCCTTGCCTTTGACGCTGAGGCGACCCAACCGCCCTTCGATCCAATCAATGGCAACTGCGTGAATCCCTCGGATATCGCCAGCCTCGAGGTCCGTAAGAAAGTCGACAGTGGTATGGTGGCCGTTGCGAATGCTCAGTTTGATCGTGGGAACTGCGGCAGTTCCGACAAGAACATTCCCGTACTCTGGGAGATACACCTCGACATCCGATGGACTCGTCTCAATCTCCCTGGCAATCCATGTTGCCAGCCGGCCAATGCCTCGAACCGATTTGTTCTTGACCCGCCCGGAGTCCATCACAAAGTCACCCTGAACTCGAGCTCTCACACCATCAGGCGTTGTAGAATCAATGGAGACTGATTTGGGTTTGAATACAGCAGCTTGCTGTCCGTATTCTTGCACGGCTGCAGGAGCGGCAAAGGCAACCACGAGTATTGTCAAGACTGCGAGGGTCAAGGTGGCGAGGGAAATGACGGTCGGCCAGGGTACACGGCTTCGTTTTTTGAAAGCGCTTGCTTCGGACGGCGTTCGCGATGCAATCGAAGGCGGTCGCGGGGGTCCTTGATCAGTTCCATATAGTGACAATCCGTCTTCGCGACGATGTAACAAGGGAGTCGACTCCGATGAAAGCTCATATGATGGTCTTGGTTGCGCCTCCGAGTATTGATTCCTATCATCAGCAACCACGGTCCGCGATGATGTGTGGTTGGACTCGGCCCCGCTGGAAGATGAGCGCGAATACCGCTGCTCGGAGCTATAGACCGTCAAATCATCTTGACTGTGTGACCATTGAGTTGACAGGTTGGTTGATGCTGATGACAGCGTTGTAGATGTGGTTGGCTCCTCGGTCAACAGCGGCCGCTGGGTGTCGTCAGCCACCGCTGTTTGGAATGTATCGGCGGACGATACCCCGCCCGAGGAACACAGTGATCGTCGTTGCTCAGTACTACTCGTTCTCAGGGTATATTGATTGCTGCGGGCAGTATGTGCGGAGATGATCGTTGAATTCGATGATTGATATGATGGTCTGAGTCCGCTGAATGAGCCCTCGGCTGACTCATGGCTATGCTCATCTAGTATAAGATGATTCCCGTCAGCCATAACGGCTAAAGATGTATTGATAAGTTCAAATTCAATTTGGGATTTGGTAGGCAAGTGTACGGAAGAAAAAAAGGGGATCAAAGCGACCACATACGGGATATGTAAGAAAGGCAAGACGCAAGGGGGGCGATCTAGCGATCTATGACGATAAGCCCGATAAAGTGCGGAGAGATCGACACCTGAGGCGATAAGGTATTAAGGCAACAAGGCATCACCGCCTATCTAAAGTCCACTTGAGTCATTGCGCCCACTCTTGTCTTTATATTCTTCCCGGACTTCCCTCTTCCAACGCTCCCAATTCCACCAAAATATTCCTACCCACCATGGCTAGTGGTCTCACAGCTGCGGCCCGCTATGGCTCCCAAAGTGTAACTCAATTGGCCGCCTCTACTTCTTTGCGTCAAACACTCCAGGCTAATGGACTTCGACGATTTGCCCACCAGACATCTACCACTCCCCCCACCTCACCCTTCGCCCCCCGTCACCTTCTCTCCATTGCAGACCTGACTCCCACGGAATTCGCCACATTGGTCCGCAATGCTGCGTCGCACAAGCGTGCCATCAAGTCCGGGGCCATTCCCGAGAGTCTTCTCGGATCGCTTTCCGGAAAGACTGTGGCCATGATGTTCAACAAGCGCAGCACCCGCACGCGTGTATCAACAGAAGCCGCCACCGTCCAGATGGGCGGCCACCCCATGTTCCTCGGTAAGGAGGACATCCAGCTCGGCGTCAACGAGTCGCTCTACGATACCTCCGTTGTGATCTCGTCCATGGTCTCCTGCATCGTCGCGCGTGTCGCGAAGCACTCCGACGTTGCGGATCTGGCCAAGCACTCCACCGTGCCTGTGATCAATGCCCTGTGCGACTCATTCCACCCCCTCCAGATCATCGCCGACTTCGTCACTATCTACGAGTCATTCCCTCCCCAGGCGCACAAGCTCTCCGGTCTCGGCCTCGAGGGTCTGAAGATCGCCTGGGTTGGTGATGCCAACAACGTCCTGTTCGATCTTGCCATTGGTGCCACCAAGATGGGTGTCGACATGGCTGTCGCTACTCCCAAGGGCTACGAGATCCCCGCTGACATGATTGACATCATCCAGCGCGCCGGCGAGGGTGTTCCCAATGCCGGCAAGCTTACCCAGACCAATGTTCCCGAGGAAGCCGTCAAGAATGCCGACATTCTGGTCACCGACACCTGGGTGTCCATGGGCCAGGAAGAGGAGTCTAAGAAGCGCATGAAGGCCTTCGAGGGTTTCCAAATCACAGCCGATCTTGCCAAGCGTGGTGGGGCCAAGGAAGGTTGGAAGTTCATGCACTGTCTTCCCCGTCACCCCGAGGAGGTGAGCGATGAGGTTTTCTACAGCCCCCGCTCCTTGGTGTTCCCCGAGGCCGAGAACCGTCTGTGGGCGGCTATTGCGGCCTTGGAAGGATTTGTTGTGAACAAGGGCAAGATTGTTGAGTAAATCGAAATATTGGCCTCACAGGGACATGTACATAATATCTCGAAACAAAAGTAACCTTTAAGCCCTTTTTCTTTTTAGGCAAAATTAAATTAAATTCAAAATTCAAAATAAGCTATATCTGCAGAGGTGCAGTGGACCAATGACAGCCATGATGATTTCATATAAATCTCTCGTACTCGTACTAAGTACTAACAGTGTGTGTTCGGCAATTGAAATGGGTCCGATCCCGGATTAGTTAAGCTTCCGATGACCGCGGGGTTGTCGGAAGTGGCTAACATGGGGCTTCCGAAGAGCTCTCTCTCTATAGCACTGTTCCTATGCACATATGCAGATCATGGTCATCTTATTAGTGGTGAGTTTATATTTTATTTTCTATGCGGCTCTCTATAACGGTTCTGCTGATATCATCGAAATGAAGAGTTGCACGTTTTTACATGAACTATGAGTTCTATGACCTCTAGATAGCCTACGAGGATTACTATCCATGGATTCTGTAACGGCTTACATGAAGTATACATAGGTACTAGTATGGAATACGAGTAGTAATTAGTCCATTCCGTAACAGATCTACGAGTGAACTGTCTCAACTTGAGAAGGTGCGGGAAATCCGGAGTAAAGGCTCGGAAGTTTGATTAACGTCCCCACCCTTTACTCCACGTCCGAAGACATCTCCATCCTGACGACTGATCGGATAGGTAATCCTCCAGGCGGGGGAAATCCGATGGCCCAAAATACATATACCATGCTCAGCACCGTGGAATGAGCAGTACTTTCTCAGATCACATACATTGGGTTTGACACCTCTTTCACAAAATATAACTCCCACTTTCGCCATGGGCTTTGAAAACAAACGAGTCGCCATTGTCGGCGGTGGCCTTGGAGGCATGTCGTTCCTCAACGCCGCTCTATATACAGGACTCAAGAATGTGCAATTATACGAACAAGCACCTCAGTTCGCAGAGGTCGGTGCCGGCGTGAACATTACCTCCAATGCCAACCGGGTCCTTGACGCCTTTGGTTTGCAAGAAAGCATGATGCGCAAGTCGTCCCGCAAGCTTCCATGCTACATGGAATACCACAATTACAAGACCGGGGACTACGTGGGCGAGATCGGGGAATTCTCAGAGCCTCACGCTCGCCTCCTACACCGTGCTCACTTGCTAGATTCGCTCAAGGAGCGAGTCCCCAAGTCCAGTCTCAACTTAGGGAAGCATCTCGCATCTGTGGATCGCAACACCGCGGCCGGGTCTGCGCCATACACACTTCACTTCAAGGATGGCAGTACTGCCGAGGCAGATATCGTCATCGGCTGTGACGGGATCAAGTCCAATGTGCGCCGGGACATGGGTCTGGGCGATGATCCCAACTATTCCGGCCAAGTGGTGTACCGCGGGTTCGTCGACTATAAGGATTTACCGGAGGAGACAGCGCAGCTCCTGCGCAAGACTGTTAACTTCCGTGGCCCCCAGCGCCACGTCCTGATCTTGCCAATTGGCAACCAGGAAACGGGGACTGATCGTGCGGCCGTGATCGGATTTATGTCCGAGTCCCTTGAGTCCTGGGACTCCGAGAGCTGGATGTCCCGCTCTGATATCGATAGTTTGCAGGAACATGTCCGTGATTGGTGCCCGCAGGTGCAGGATATCATTGCAGGTCTCCGCAAGAGCTCGGGGGATGGCAAGATGCTGAAGCAGGCACTGTACGTGCGGGACCCGATCAGCAAGTGGTATGAGATGAAGGATGGACAGAAGGATGCGGGTATTATCCTGCTGGGTGACTCTGCACACTCTACACTTCCCCACCAAGGTATGATCTGATTATGGACGGTTCAAATTTTATGGGAACTAACAGTGTACAGGCCAAGGAACATGTATGGCTATTGAATCTGGAATTGCCCTTGCCACTATTCTCCGCCACTGGAAGACCGACGACCTCCAGGCGGCATTCCAATTCTACCAGGACCTCCGCAAGCCCCGAACCGACCGTGTCACGGAAACGAGCTATGAGGCTGGGCGGCTTGCCAGTGCCGACTCCCCCGGTCAGATGACGGACAACTTCAACCCGGATGCTTTGACTGAGCGCATGCGGTGGATTATGGAGTACAATGTCCTGGAAGACTTGCGAGTAAAGGGTCAGGGGATACTGGACTTCCACGACTCGCATCTGTGACTAATCTATTTGTATTTTGTATATATTCTAGCATGAAATATCTCTTTCACTACCTATTTCTACCTAGCTTACCCCAAACTTAAGTACTCCATGGTCCTGAAGTCAGACCACCCTCGTACGATGCAATATATAAGGATCACCCCACTTAGATCTATAAACATCACTGATACAGTAGTTAATATCCCCCAAACCACGAAAACATTCCATTTGAAAAAAAAAAAAAGAAGAAGAAGAAAACAAGCCGGCGCTCGGCCATTTTCACATGTTAGCCGGGGGGCACCTCCGCATTTCGACTTTCACCCCGACTTTCTTTTCTCCCTTTTTTTGTCTTCACAACACAACATGGAGGTAAGGATGTATAGAACCCTGAAGAAACCAATACTTAAGTATCTAATAATCTCAGTTCACATCCACCTCGGGAGGCTTCCGCTCTAGGCGATCATATCCCAACCTCAACCACGTCTCTCTCGCACCATTGACCCCACGATTTCCCATCGACGACGACACAGAAGCAGACTACTTCAATCACCACGATAATGACTCCTACCTATCCAGCATCTCAGTCCCCAGCACACCCCCAATCCTCTCCCACTCGCGCAGCAACTCCCACACCCGCCACCACACACGCAGCAAAAGCTCAACCCTAGCTCCATTAAGCGACACAAACCTCCAAAGCCGCAATCTCGCACACCCCCTCCACCACCGCAAACCAAACAGTGTATCTGTAGCCCCATCCCGCATCCGGACCCGAGCAGCAGATTCCACGAAATCTAAATCCGATGCGGAATGGATGCTCCGCGCTGGGATAGCGCTGGCATCCTCAACGCGCGAAGAAAAAGGCCAAAGCTGGCTCCATAAGCGTGAAAGCTCCACGAGTCTTGTCTCCGAGCACTTCGATGAACCACGTCACCATCGGCGGACAAAGTCAGGTCCTTCGCGTAAGTCCCGCTCTGGCGCGTCGACGCCGTTTCGATCCCGCGCTGCAAGTAGACGGGGTAGTCGGGCTGGGTTGACGATGACTGGACTGCCGACTACGTCATCTTCTCCGACGACTGAGCGATTCTCAACAGGCGGTACGGGAGCTAGTAGTCCCGAGGGGCGGGGCCGTGCTCTAGTGCCGGATTTTGTGGACGAGCGGATCCGCGCCGAGATGGCGACGTTGCAGGGTGGGCTGGATGAGTATGAGTATGGGGAGGGGTCTGAGTTTGGGTCTGATACTTCTGGTGATTCTGATGAAACGCCGGACTTTGACGAGGCGGATCTGCAACAGTTAACGCGGGAGCGAGGGTTTGGGCTTGGATCTTGGATTGATCGGCTTGTTGAGTGGACTTTGTTTGGGGTTGAGGACTGGCCTGTTGTCCCGCCTGTGTCTGGGACTTCGCGGATTGGATCTGCTGATACTACTACAACTGTGACCTTTGATGAGCCTGTGGAGTGGGATAATGATGTGGATACGCTTTCGCTTGTTGAGGAGGTGGATTCCGATGTGGATGTTTCTCCTGATGAGACTTCCTCTAATGGTTCTCTTGAGAAGCCGGGGGTACAAGGTGGGTGGGAAGATGCTGGATGGTTGTTCCGTGTTGTCAAGCGAGCATTGGTATGAATTACGACTTGCATGAGATGGCTCGAGTGCGAGGCTGTCTGTACATATGTTCCCTTTGTCTGATTTACTGCCTCCAGGGCTTGCCATTTACTAGCTTAATACTACTTGCAGGAATGTTCATGGAGGCCTTTTAGGTGTATAATTTGCCTGGTCTCGGTTTGCACCAGCAGATGACTGGAAGCATATCTACCTTTATGTACTACTACATGTAACAATATTTGGTGATCAGAAAAAGTTGATTTGACCTTCTCTGGAAGAAGATTATTTGAATTCCAATGCAACAAGCAAGCTAGTATAGATGGATTTAGTCTCAAGTGCGCACAACACTGTAAGCATGTTGGAGGTGGCAGGACGGTAAAGGGCGTCCGACGTCGATGGCTGAATATTTTCCCGTGGGAAAGGAAGACTCAAATTTGCCGCCAATTTTCGGACATTCCGAAGCACAGAGTAAGAGGCTTCAAGCCTCTAAGACACGAATTTTGCAGTAGACAGAATAATAAGAACAAGACTGGGATTGATAAGTCCCAAAAAGCGCACTGCAGGGAAACAGAAACAGCCAAGAAAGAGTAGAAGGAAAAGAAACATTGTCGAAGGACAGGGATGTACGCGAGCTCGAGGTGTCGGGTAGGTATAAACGAAAGTATGAAGTTTGGATGCGATACAGATGTAAGAAAGCAAGCCTAGGTAGGCGGACAAAGAATGATTCAGCATTGACAGCACGAGAAGAAAAAAATGACAAATGGCAAAAAGAAAATGGAGGGAAATAGTGCTGGTACTTCAGGGCTGTCCTAGAGATCGAACAAATGGGCCAAGGAATATGCATGCCCCAGTGTTCCAGCCAACAGAAGACTGAAATTGAAAGAGAAGTTGAAAAAAGAAAAAAAGAAAAGAAAAAAAAAGTCCTGTGTTCGCCTTGAGTAATATAACGCCATCTGAGACCATGTCGATTCTAAGGTCATGCAGCAGGTATTCGTGATCGTGACATACGTCGAAATTGTGCGGGGGAAAGGGGTATGGACCGCGTCAGGCTCAAGCGTGAGCCGGCATGAATGTGAGACGTGAGGCCGGCACGCATGGGTGGGTGTGTAGTGGTCGTTCATAATGAGGTCGGAATGAGTTGGTTCGTCACCAAGGTCCAACCTTGACTGGTGTTCCCAGTCCGTAAGTACCGGAGAAGAGCTGATCTCGGATGGAGCCCATTTCGCCGCTGGCTCCGTGGGAAGGCGTATCAGAGCCTCCCATCCACCCTAAGCTCTGGCCAAGTTCGTTGACGGCTCCCTGGAGCTTGCCACCCGAGGTTTGGTTGTGCTTGGCTAGTTTCTGGTCCCAGCCTCCATATTGGAGCTGAATACCACCACCACGCTTGGCCGCTTCCCGGATCACCAAAATCCATGCCTTGCACATCTCGTCGTAGGCGGCGTCTCGTTCGATGTTGTTCTGTGGCGTGCTCCAACGAGGCAGGGCGTGAATGATATCCGTCGCACCGTCCAGGTAGCTTAAAGATGTGGATGCCTGGGTTTCGTTGGGAGGGAGGAAGTTGGGGGTGAAGTCACTCAGGGCGTCAAGGAGGTTGGTGAGCGGCTGTCGAACTCGGTTGTAGGCGTAGTCGGATTCACTGTTGCTACCCAGCGGGAAGGAAGACTGAAGTGCGGCCTGGTAGTTGCGAAGGACCTGGAGTGTCGAGGACACATTTGGGCGTGGGGATGTGTGTACGACCTCGTCGGCAAGCTGGGGGTGACGCTCGCACATGGTCCGCACAACCGACCGCAAGGCATCGGTATCGAGGGTCTCTAAGAGACGGGGAAGAGCTAGCGGTCGGCCGGAGACATTTGGCCGGGAACGCTTGATGTTGCGGTAGCTGTTGGGGAGTTGGCGAGGTGTGAAAGCTGGAGAGTTGGTGGGAGAAGCGGACATGCGTCCGTCATGGTCGTTGTAATCGTCGTCGGCTTTCCGTTTACGGTTTGAGTAGGAAGACGAAGGTGTAGACACTAGCTTTGTTAGTTTGAATGCGCAATTTGCTTGCTCTGGACAGAGCGAACAAGGGGAGGCCAAAGCTGTGGCAAAAAGAAAAAGGGATATCTTACTCATACAGGGAGAGAAGCGGTTTTCGTAGAAATGAGGAGGAACAGGAGGTGTGGCCACCAGACTGTTCATGATGACAGCTGGATGGCAGATAGAACGTATGGGAGTCCACCGGACTCAAGAATCAAAAAGAATGAAAGAGTAAAGCAAGTGATTTCGAGAGGTGATGCTCAAAGGGTTGAGGTGGGGAGAGAAAGGTAGAGAAGCAGAGAAGCGGTGGAGAAAAAAGTAGGCGTTGCGGGCGGCAACGCACTCCCTCTGTGCAAGTTTCAAACCAAATTGGGAGGATTTTAAGGATGCGAATGTACTAAAGGATGGCAGAAAAAAAAGTGAAAGAAACTGGCTCTTTGAGAATTTAATATCACCAGGTTGTTCAAGTTCTTTGCTAAGAATCACTGCTTTCGGGTTCGACTATGTACCCGCATCATCTACTTCGACCGATAATTGTATGTAACGGGGGAAAAAATCTAGAAAATCTAAAAAAAGAAACTTCATAAGATTGAAACATGGAATTTACCATTGATATTGCTGTCATAACCGTGCTTTTGACTTCAAGTGAATTAAAAAAAAGGGGGGAATATCGTATCTACAAGTACAGAGACTGGGCAGCAACAATGTCGCGGCGGACCTTGAGAAGGGCCTCCTCGAACTTGCTCTCCAAATCCTCGCTGCCCATCACCTTGGAAGCTTGTGCCATCTGTCGCAAACACTCTTCCAGCCGGCGGAAGACACGGATTAAGCTTCCCTCGTAGACGTCGGTCATTTTGCTGGAGAGAGTCAGTAGCTGCAGGGGGTGAAAATATAGGATGAGATATCAAGGTACTTACCAGATTTCGGCAAAGGACCGTCCTTGAGTCCATTCGTAAACCACCTCCATCAGTTCCCAGTGGAAACTTTGGACATACTCATCCTCATTGACAGCCATCTTGGATTCCTGGGACACCTTGGCGATGATACGAGCTTGGTTTTGGATCTCCTTCAATGGCTTCGCCAGTTCATCCTTCTGTAGGGGATTGGCTTCCTTGACTTTCTCCTCGAACACGAAGCAACTCATAACAGAAGCTGTCTGCTCCGGAGTCATGTCGTTGAAGAAACCGTTGAACAGAAGCTCGCTGAGCATGAGTTCGTCGCCGGTACTGATCTCACAAGCGACACGGGCCTTCAGTTGTACGACCTCAGCCTCGTCGATGAATCCGAAACGACGCAGTACACGCTTGCGGTTCTTCAGCTCATCGAGCAGCAGAATTGCTTGGATATCATCGATCTCTTTCTTTTGAGCCTTGATCTGGGACCCGAGTTCCAATTTTTCGGAGTATTGCTCCCACAGTTCGGGCAACCGGGGTGAGTTGTGGAGAGGGTTGCTCAGGAGACGGGACTCGAGAACCTCGATTTTCTATTATCGGTTAGACTTGCACTCTTCGTTTTGGGTGATTAAATCATCTCTTACCCGTAGCAACTTCTTGAAACTGTCATCTTTAATTTTCATGTCCTCCATTGGGTCAAGTAGCGGGAGGCCATCTGGGAAGCGTCTTTGCACTTCAGTGACGGAGGCCATGAGGGTTTTCCTGGCGTCCACGCTGCTGATATCTTTGGGAATACGAATACGGGCGTGGGAAATTTCCCTGACGCAATTGAAAGTCATGGGGACAACCTCATTGCGAGAGTCCATGCCCTTTTCCGCTGGGCGAATGGTAGCGGGGATATCCTGGAAAGATTTGGTGCCGACGGATGGACCTTGAGCAATAGATACCAAGACATCGATAGTGTAGCTTTGATGGTCCGTCAGCTTCTGAGTATCGTGCTTCCCCTGTGTGCGTTTCTTGTGGTCGATCACGACACCCCAGCCATAGTCTGCATCCTTGTACTTAAGATGGACCAGTCGCCCGCTTGTGAAGAATGGCAGAGCATGGTTTGGATGAGTGATGACATGCTGGACATCATCCGCAAATGTATCAAGCTGCTTTCGTAGGTCGTAGTATTCACGGACAGTGCCTTCATCGGCGATGTTCATGTTAGAGCGCTTTTCCTCCAATACCTTGAGATTTTCCTCCAATCCACCAAGACTTCCCAAGCTCTGGAACTGCTTAAAGCATTGGTTAAGCATGTACTCAGGTGAGATGCCCTCGACACGCATCAAGTTGAGAATCATGTTGTATCCAAGGTGGAAGGCGGAATTGAGCTTGTCCTGCTCGCCACGAACGATTTCCTTCGCAACCGCAGGATCCATCTCCTCGCCGATCATCATAATCACGATACCTCGTTCGTCAAGACCACGACGACCTGCACGACCGGACATCTGGATGAACTCAGACGGTGTAACCCAGCGCTGGCTGGTTCCATCGAATTTGCGAACACTTGTGAACACCACAGTCTTTGCGGGCATGTTCAGACCAATGGAGAAGGTTTCAGTCGCAAACAAGACCTTAATGAGACCCTCTTGGAACAGAATCTCGATAGTTTCCTTCAAGATAGGGAGCAATCCGGAATGGTGAATGCCGATACCACGTCGCAAAAGTGGAAGGATGTTCTCAATCTGCGGCAGTTTGCGATCTTCAGGAGAAAGCATTTCAATGGCGCTGTCGAAGACCTTGGAAACCATTTCCTTCTCTGAGTCGTCGTTGAATGCCAATTTTGCCATTTGCAACGCCCCCGACTCACACTCCCGCTTGCTAAAACTGAAAACAATGACGGGATTGTAGCTTTTGAGCATAATCATTCTGACGATTTTGAAGATATCCGATGGGCCCTTGTTGCCGCCCTTGTCCACCTGTCCGTCCTTTGCTTTACCCTTGCGCTTAGCGTTGGGGTCGGCGGGATCAGCACCCTTTTTTTCAGCAATAGCACTCATGGCATTTTGGAAGTTCTGTTCACGGAAGACACCCTTCTCGTCGACGATGAGATGCATGCCGTCCCCACCAGCGGGGAAAAAGTAGTTCTGAAGTGGAGTTGGACGATAATTTGTGTACACGACGTGGCAAGGCTGGTCGTGCATTTTGACGATCCACTGCGCGAACTGCATGGCGTTTGGAATGGTAGCAGACAGGAACACATATCGAACCTTGTCCGGCAACAGAATGAGGGTCTCTTCCCACACGACACCGCGAGTAGAGTCTCGCATGTAATGAATCTCGTCAAATACAACCCACTGCACTTCACGCATGATCTCAGAGCCACGGTACAACATGGAGCGAAGAATCTCTGTGGTCATAACAAGACAAGTAGCGGTAGGGTTGATTGTCACATCACCAGTCATGAGTCCAACATCACCGAATTCGGCAGCAAATTCTCGGTATTTCTGGTTACTGAGGGCTTTGATCGGACTGGTGTAAATCACTCGCTGGTTCTGCTTCAAACTTTGCGCGATCGCGTATTCTGCGACAACTGTTTTTCCGGCACTGGTGTGCGCTGAAACAAGCACACTCTCATGTCGCTGGATTGAAGAGACGGCCAGCTTCTGGAAAGGGTCAAGTGGGAAAGGCCAGGTCTTCGCTGGTTCCGCGGGTGGCTTGTGCTGATCGAGTGGCACGTACGGATAATCCGGAGGGTATGCGACCTGATGGCGCACTTGGTGAGATACCGTCACGGTTGCACCTTCGTCGGCCTCAGCCCCGCCTTGGACATTTTTGAATTGGACCTCTTCCTCGGCTTCAAAAGAATCGGCAAGTACCGGTTCAGATACATCCTCCAAACGAGGCCGCTTCGTATCGGGCTGATCTTGGTTCGAGGTCGCGAGGGTTTCGGAATCGACAGCATCTGATTTCACAGGAGGCGCATCTGGCATTGAAGTATCCTCGATCGGTTCAGTCTGGGCGTCATTAGGTTTCTTCACGTCGCCATTCACCTGACGTTTTTTGCTCTTGTCTTTTTTAGCGCGTTTGGGTGCACTCTCAGCCGGCTTAACCGGCTGAGGGTGGTCTTCAAAGACATCAAAGAGCTCATCCATCTCCGCGGCTGGGACTGAAAAATCAACCACAGGAAAGGAATGAGCAGCGTAGATTGAATCTCGATCTGCACTTTTTTTGAGAAATTTGAAAGTTCCTTATGGGGTAGGCGGTGGGGTGATCTCACCAGTGAGCGCTAACCCGATACAGGCAAGTGCCAAATGCACGTGACCCAAGATCATCCCATTCCGCACCTCGCGATGTTCGCTTTGGCTTCGTCCGTCCCTTTCCGAACGTCCATTCTCTCCTCTCCGTCTTCCAAGGTGAGTGTCTCTGATCACAATTGCTGAATTCAAGTTGGCCAACATCAAATTTCACCATCAGATGTACACCTCCGCCGTTCGGGCCCGTATGGCCACCTCCTTCGCTGCCCGTCGTGGTTTCTCCACCACTCGCACCCAGCTTGGCAGCCCCTACCACTACGCCGAGGGTCCTCGCACCAACATCCCCTTCAACCCTCTCACCAAGTTCTTCTTCCTCCGCTACTGGGGATTCATGAGTGAGTCAACTTCAATGGACCTACGCGCGGCTCTATGGCTGACCAGGACATCTTTTAGTTGCCGGATTCGGTGCTCCCTTCGCCATTGCTGGTAAGTTATACCCTACGAACCCTCGGATCGAACTCACTCTGATCGCGCTCCATAGTCTGGCAAACCTGCAAGACCAAATAAATTGCTCTTCCCTGCAGCATTATTTGGGAGACTGGGCCGAAAGCTTGGATTGGCTTTTAAACAGCCCAATATCATGTACAAAGCTAGAGACTGTTATTGACAATTGGTTTCCTTGGAGCAACAAGTTCGTTGTAGTTGTGTAGAGGATGCAATGCGTAGTTCGAAGGACGTTGAAATATGAATGAAGTCATTGGCTGAGCGGCTGTGGAAAATCAAAAAATCTCTGGGTCAAGCGCCGGTTCATATATCAGTCTTCACTACTCTCGCATTTTTGTTTCAACATACCAAGAACAACAGATCTGTTCTCTGGGTATTGGTCTTGCTTTTTTGTTTGTCTGCCAGATCTCCACGCATCTGGCACTTTTTTTCTAATCGATTGATGGTGGGGTAACGAACGTGCCGTAAAAAAGTTACCCGTCCTTGAAAGATGCGCAACCTCAGAAATGTGCGTCTTGTCGAGACGCAGATTGAAGGCGACCTTCCTCTGACTGCCACGACATGGGACACTTCGTCAGACTCGGTGGTGTGCACCTTTGGTCCCGCGGAGAACAACCCAATCATAGAAGTGCGGCGAAAGCGCCCCGAGGTCATTTCAACTGACCCCCTCTCGCCTGAATCACTTGAATGTATTGCATCCTGGGATGCTCCATGCCCCCTGCCAGATCTGGCATGTGATCGCATACTTTCTCTGCACTTCTTCGCCGACAGCTTGACTACCTGTCTAGTCTTGGAGGGAGGAGATATCGTCGTCGTTCGCGAAGAGCCTCTTCCCAATGAAGACAAAATTGAGATTGTGGGCTCAGTTGACGTCGGAATCACCGCTGCAGCATGGTCCCCTGACGAGGAGATGTTGGTTCTCACTACTAGAGCCCAGACATTTTTGTACATGACCAGAGACTTTGAGAACGTGGCCGATATCACCATCTCCCCCAAGGATCTGCAAAGTTCACAGCATGTGTCCGTTGGATGGGGTAAGAAGGAGACACAGTTCCAAGGAAAGCGAGCCAAGGCTCTTCGGGACCCGACGGTGCCAGAGAAGATCGACCAAGGAATCCTGAGTAGCAACGACAACGGTGGCACTACAATCAGCTGGCGCGGAGATGGTGCCTATGTTGCAGTGAACAGTGTCGAGGCCGATTCTCGTCGTGTGATCAGAGTTTACTCCCGAGAGGGTACTTTAGACAGCGTGAGCGAGCCTGTTGATGGTTTGGAAGGCGCCTTGAGCTGGCGTCCCTCTGGAAGCCTCATTGCAGGAATTCAACGAATCGAGAACCGAGTTGATGTTGTATTCTTCGAGCGAAATGGACTCCGACATGGCGAGTTCTCCCTTCGCCTAACCGAGGCTGAGATGAGCACTTGGGCTTCTAGCATTCACCTTGCCTGGAACGTGGACTCGACTGTACTTGCTGTGAAGTTCCTGGATCGCGTGCAGTTCTGGACAACGGGTAACTATCATTGGTATTTGAAACAAGATATTCCCATTTCGATTGTTTCAGGTTCCTCTCTTTCCTACTCCTTCGAATGGCATCAGGAGAAGGCCTTGCGATTAATCGCCGGCTCTTCAGGTATGATCAATTCCCGTGATTAAAAGAAGAAGCAGCGAGCTGATTGTACTAGGTTCGATCATGGATGCGGAATATGTGTTCGACATTACCCATGGATCTACCTCCATTCCGGACGATGTCGGTGCTACTGCGGTCATTGATGGAAGTAAGTAGGCCAACGAAACCTAAACCAGGGCATTACTGATTATCACCACCAGAGAATCTCAAGTTAACGCCACTGCGTCTCGCCGGTGTTCCACCTCCTATGGCACACAATGAACTTACCTTGGAGTCCAATGCCATCGACGTTGCATTCAGCAAATCAGGAACTAGAATTGCCGTGCTCATGAACAACAGATTCTCCATCTATCTTTGGTCTCTGAAGAGCCGACCAGTCCCAGTTCCAATCCTGGAGTCGAGCTATCCCTTATCAGATGCCACAGAAAGTCGCCCTCGGCAGATTGCGTTCTTGGATGAAAATGAGGTGTATGTACTCAAAGACGACGGGCCAAACTCCAGCCATATTGAGCGAACTCATCTGGAAACTCGAGTCACCGACTCAGTATACCAATCTGCAGACTCTGAGCAGTTAGCATCAATCTTTGCTGGCATTGGACACCAAGCTTTGTGGCTGGCACATACCCCTCAGCCATCTCGCCCTGTCTGCTACTCGAGTATTGAACCTTCACTGGAGGGCGTCAGTATCGCACCCTGGGCTGAAAGCCCCAACATTGACAGCCATTGGGCTCGAGCTGTCTCTATCTCTGATCAGGAGGTATGGCTGACAATGATCTATCTACTCGATAAAATCGATCACTGACTCTTCTAGCGCGTTTTGATCACAATGACGAGAACAGGTGGCTTGTACGCGAACAAAAGGGTTCTTGCGCGCAACTGCACATCTTTCCTTGTGACTCCTTCCCATCTCCTGTTCACCACCTCCCAACATCTATTGAAGTTTGTTCATCTGAACCACGTGGAAGGTAAGATCAATACCGCTACCGATTCATGGGCCATCTAACGGTGCATACAGAGATGGAAGTCCCCGATGATACTCCAGAGACCGATGAACGTTGCAGAAGCATCGAACGTGGCTCTAAGCTCGTTTCTGTGATACCCTCAATCTTTGCGGTAGTTCTCCAAGCTCCCCGTGGAAACATCGAGACTATCTATCCCCGTGCTCTTGTCTTGGCTGGAATTCGTACATTCATCGACCAGAAGAAATACCGCTCTGCATTCCTTGCGTGTCGCAGCCAGATGGTTGACCTCAACATCCTTCATGACTATGCCCCCGAACAATTTATGGAGAACGTTGGCTTGTTCATCGACCAAGTGAAAAAGATTGAATACATTGACGACTTCATCTCACGCCTGTCGTATGTGGATACTTCCTGTGCAGAAGAATTTTTACTAATGTTCGCCCAGTGAGGATGATGTGTCACAAACACTATACAAGGATACACTCAAAATATCTCAAACTGTATCGGCGGCGGTTGCACAGCCAGATGGCCAAGCTACTGCCCCGGTACTCAAGTTGGGCAAGAAAGAGAGCAAGATCAACAAGATCTGCGATGCCTTCTTAACAACTCTCCAGCCACGCATTGACACTAACCTGCAGAATCTGATCACAGCCCATGTTTGCAAGTCTCCCCCAGACATGGAGGCCGGACTTGCTCTTGCGGCAGGTCTGAGAAGTATGTATTCACCTTGTCGCACAACTAAAAACCCAGCTAACAAAGTGACAGCACAAAACCCCGAACAAGCTGAAGATGCCATTGAACACATGTGTTTCTTGACAGATGCACACAGGCTCTACTCCCATGCATTGGGAATGTATGATCTGGAGCTAACCTTGCTGGTTGCCCAACAGGCTCAGATGGTAAGTCTGTCAAACAGGCTGATCTGATCACCATTAACAAACATCCAGGATCCTCGTGAATATCTTCCATTCCTGCGTAAACTGCAACAGCTGCCTGAACTTCGACGTCAATTTGAAATTGACAACCATCTCACTCGCTTCACCAAGGCTTTGAATCATTTGTATGCTCTCAATGCCCATGATGAGATCCGGGCATATGTCGTCAAGCATGTCTTGTATAAGGAGGCGCTCGAACTTTACAAGTACCAAAGCGAGCAGCAACGAGAAGTCACTGAGCTTTATGCAGACTATCTTCAGGATCAGTCCAAATACAAGGACGCTGCAATTGGTAAGAGAGTTCACTATTGTCTCAAGTCTGGGATCTCGCTAACTCTTTGGTGACAGCTTACGAGTCTCTTGAACTTTACGAAAGCGCTTACAAGTGCTATAACCTAGCACACAAGTGGCGCGAGTCGCTGTACTGTGCCATGCTGGCATCTCTTCCGGAGCAGGAGCTTGCTGACCACGTTGACGCCCTCGTCAACACCCTTGTTGATGAAAACAAAGATTACGTCTCAGCAGCAACGATTTACGCCGACCACTTGCAAGACTACATCACGGCTGCACGACTTCTTTGCCGGGGATCCAAATTCGCCGATGCCGCTCGTCTTCTCACCCTGCACGGCAAGCGGGACATGGTTGCTGATATCGTCGACTCAGGCCTAGCGGAAGCCATGGGCAACATGACCGACTTACTTGCGGACTGCAAATCTCAACTCAATGCCCAAGTCCCGCGACTGCGCGAACTGCGTCAACTTCGTGCGGCCGACCCACTCGCCTTCTACGGTGGCGACCCCACCGGCGGCGAGGGCGGCGTTGACATCCCAGATAACGTTTCACTGGCCCCTACAGACGCATCTACTCTTGCTGGCCGCTCCATGTTCACCCGGTACACAGGCAACACTGGTAAAACCGGCAAGACTGGAATGAGCCGGCACACGTCCAAGACACGCCGTCGCGAGGAGCGCAAGCGTGCTCGGGGTAAGAAGGGCACTGTGTACGAAGAGGAGTATCTGGTCAACAGTATTCGCCGACTCATGGAACGAGTCAACTCGAGCATACCAGAAGCCGAGACTCTGGTCGATGCTTTGTTGCGCCGCGGCATGCGAGAGCGTGCAGCTGCCATTGAGAAAGCTCTGCAGGAAGTCCTCACTATGGGTGCTGATTGCCGAGATGAGGTCTTCGAGGTCCCTCCTCCTAAAGCAAAGACCGAGGAAGACGAGGAAGACGAGAATGCCGACCCTATGCCATCTGCCACTGGAGGTGCGAATGTACTTGCGGAGAGTATCGCTATTGTTGAGGGCGGTGCTGCTGCTCGTGTCAAGGAGATTCCTGTCGTCAAAGAGATGCGAAAGTCTTCTCTCCTTGCTTGAGCTTGAAAGTCGTGGTACTTTCAGGCCAGTGTGATCCTTTATATATCCAAAACCATGATATTCTTTATAGAGAAAAAAAAGTTGTTTCTGTTATAAGGCTGTATACCATCTGCTCATTGCTGTCGTTAAGTGCACCTCCGTAGCCAGTACTGGCGGATGGCTCCTGAATAACACCTGAACAGGAACAAAGCCCCAGTCGAGATGTTACCTTTTGCTAAGCGAGTAGGTTGCGCTCGTACCTAGCACGTTCAGCTCTAGAGTACTTAGGCTGCTCATGTAACTCCTTGTCCAGGTTGGCATGTTGCCTGGGGTGAATCTCCGCAACGCTCTTCGTGCTTCTCCTGGCTTGTGTACTTTTGCTCATTCTAAAGTTCGAAGGGCTATACACGCATGTAGCAAGAGATTGCCTAGGTGGGACTGATGTCTTAGTGTAGTTTCTGAAGTATTCCCCAAAAATACTATATATAGTCATACCTGGAGTAAAGGCTTACCCGAATAGGTAAACGGAAATTCAGTCTTGCATCACAATCTAGAACACTTGTCCAAAGATCAAATCTTCCGCGGAAATTTATTTCGAATGAGAATTTGTATGATCTACGGCCCTGGTATGGTGCTAGCAAGGACCGCCAAAAGCGCCCAAACCAGTGGGAAAGTGCTGCATCACGACAGAAGTAGAGTAGCATCATCAGAATGGACTGGTACACTGGACACCATTGTCACTATTACACAAGGATGTCACATGAGTCTGCTGTGCTCCTCAAATAAACAACTTGAGAATGCTCGAGTAAATGCGGAGAATCTCGCAAGTCGGGATATAAGAAATGGCCGTGCCATTTACCAGAGTCGCATCAACAACCTTCGAAAAGGATAGAGAAAGAGCAAGGCTCATTCTGTCAAAAGTATTGTGAAGCCTGCTTGGTTGTATATTAACCCAACTGACGGCGGGAAGCCACTTGTTATAGTTCTGGCCATGCATCTTTGCATTGCAACCTATGTCACTCTCGCCTTGGGTGTTCTCTCGGTAGCCCAAGTGCCAGCTCCACCGGCATCGCGTCGAGAGATCAAATGCGTTTGTAGCGGCCATGCTGAGAATACTCGCTCGGCATGTCGTTCTAGTGGAGGCGTCTTCAACGAAGGAGCCTGCGGGTTTACTGGTTGCTGTGTATATGCAGGCAGTGAGCAGACTAGCTTTATTGAGATTTGCCAGGCACTTGGGTATGGATTCAGGCGCTGTGATGATTGTCTTCTGTGCTGAAAATGTCGGAATTTTTTGCATGACCAGATCACATATGTCGTTGGTCGGTCTTCGTGCCAATGATCGTACTGTATGTCAGTTCATTTGAGCCACGCATGCTTTGATGGAATGTTTCGTTATTGAATCGCGCAGCGAGGATATTATTATGTTCTAAAAATTTCCAAAAGAGATACAGTGAAAATAATATCTGCATCAAATGTTGCAAGGCCAAGGTAAAGTGGCCTCATGCAAAAAAGAATCGGTGGGTATCTTTGAGGCTGGGAAATCCGCCATCATGACCCAAGATAGCTATGCGTGTTGTTCATCTCAATATTTATAGAGAGTGCTGAGGATCTCACCTGTCTCACTGACAAGATGATCCTCAACGGAGACAGGTCCCTCACCCACACCAGTCAAGATGACACGGCTCACACCGTCCTTCAGGACCTCAACAGCACGAGGGTCAATCTTCTCCAGAGAAACACCGGGAGTTGTGATGCTGGCAAGTCTCTCGTAGAACACACCATCCCAACCCTCAGAGCTGGCGCCAAGAATGACCTTGACGGTGCCTGCAACGAGCTCGGAATCCTTCTCTTCATAGTAGATGACAGCGTTGGGGCCAGCATCAAAGGTGTAGGCGGCAACAGTGCGACCAACGGCGTTGTTGATGTCGTGCACGAGGCGGACAGCAGCGCGAGAAACATCGTTCATGTAGAAGATAGGGGGCCAGGAGTCGAGGCAAGTGGCGTGGAAAGTGTTTGAGTCACGCATAGTGATTTCAGCGAAGTCGTGGAAGTTACGGGCCTGAATGGCGGTCTCAATGGCAGTCATACGCTCGGGGACCACATTCTGAGCACGCTCGGCGAAGAGAGCCGAGGTGGCCACAGTGGTCTGCATACCCTCAGTGCTGGGAACATCCTTCTTTTCAGCGCTGACAACCAGTACAAGAGCCCGCATCTCAGGCCAGTGAGATGCAGGAGCAACTTCCTCGGCCAAGCTGTCGCTGCCGTCGACAAGCTCGCCCGTGCGCCAGGCAACGTATCCGCCCATCAGGGAGCGACAGGCAGACCCGGAGCCCTGGCGAGCAATGCGGCTCAGCTCCTTAGGAGACTGGGGCAGCTGGTACAAGTCGGCAACGGCGCGGACCAAGGCTGCGAAGCCCGCAGCGGAACTAGCCAGACCAGCAGCAGTGGGGAAGTTGTTCTCGGAGACGATTCGGAGAGGGTGTGCGGAGAGCTTAGGGAGCGAAGAGTCGGCATCCTCAAGAGCCTTGCGCAGCGCACGGAGGTTGGAGATACATGCGAGTGTACGCTTGGAGGACTGAATATCTTGGGGCTTGCCGTTCAGGTTCAGGGTATCCGCAGTTGGGTATTCAGCAGAGCAGGAGGCAGTGGTCAAGGTCCGGAGGGAGCGTTGAGAGAGAGTGACCGAGAGAGAGGAGTTAGTTGGGAGATTGAGAGTGGTGTCACGTTTTCCCCAGTACCTAAAGCACGCCGGTCAACAAATGAGTTCTTAGGGCAACAAGACGATGAGGGGCAACATGGGATTCCCTTACTTGATAACAGCAATGTTAACGGGGGCAGTGGTGGTGGCCCGGTAAACGGACTGATTAGATGCAGATGCCATTTTAGCTGCAATTCAGGAGAATCAGACAAATTATTTTGCAAAAATTCCAGACAACAATGCGAGGCAAAAGGGGAGACTTGGGGGATCGGCGTTAATATTGTTTCCAGGCGGTGAGAGAGAGCAAAAGTCGAGTAATCTGTTGATGCGCCGATCTCTCTCCTCTAGTCATTGACCCCCATTTATTCCACCATGGGAGCCGCAGCCAGTACTCCCTCCGTTCCTCCTGCGGAGCAGCCTGCGGCAACATGCCCTGTTGACCATAAGACTCGTGAAGTATGGCTGCAACAGAATGGCAAGGCGCCTCATCCTCCGAACTCCGATACACCCGAACAGCCACAAACTTCAAGGTCTCAACGTCCACTATCAACAGATCGAGAAGTGAGCACTATTCCCCGCGCAGGTGATTTCAGCGCTCAGGGTGCCTGCCCTGAAGCTAACAAGGGCGCCCCATCCCCATACGCTGCATCGCATGGCACCCCGTCAAATGCCGAAGCCGAGACTGGTCACGATCAAGCCAGTGGAAATTGGATTTATCCTTCTGAAAAGCAATTCTTCGAGGCACTGATGCGCAAGGGAAACACACCCGGCTCTACCGAAACCGCCACTGAACTCGCAACGTCCGTGGCCTCTATCATCCCAATCCACAACGCCGTCAACGAGCGCGCATGGGACCAGATTCTTGACTGGGAAAAGAAGGGTCCTTCTGCAGACCCTGGAAGCAAAAAATGTGGAGGGCCGAAGCTCTACTCGTTCCGTGGCTTGGGAGTCGACCCCCAGTACCTGAGCCCGCGTGCGCGGATCAATGGATGGCTCGGCTACCAGCATCCATTCGATCGACACGACTGGGTCGTGGAGCGCTGCGATGGCGAGAGGATTGAATATGTTATTGATTTCTATCAAGGCAAGCCATCTGGCCATGGTACCTCTGGCCTAGCAGCCAATGCTGGCCCAGGGAAACTCAGCTTCTTCCTGGATGTGAGGCCCAAGCTGAACACTTACGAGGGCTGGAGACTGAGGTTCAACAAATTCACAGGCCTATGAGGCTTTGTGGATCATAAGTCTGGGGCACACGCCACCTTCTAACTGCACATAAAAGGCGACAACGGAGCATGGTCAGGAATTTGGGGCCCAATTGGGTATATTTTGCATGTATAACACATTTTCTCTGTACAATATAAAACTGCAGGATCGAGAGAAAGCCATGAATTAATGTTCTCCATTCCACATACCTATATACAGTCAAGGTTGCTAAGTTGGATGCTTAAAAAAAGCCGGGAGCAAGAGAATGAAGGAAGGCAGGAAGCTGAGGTGCCTCACTAATGGAGTGAAATATTGCAGGAGGGATATCGTTCGCATACATGACATGAGAAGAGACAAGGAGGGTAGTGGGCAAAGAGACACAACAGATAAAAGCAAAGAGAACCATCTACCCGAGGACGATTGCAAGTACAATGATAGCGAGAATCACGGCAAGAATCACGAAGAGGCAGCATGCCCTGTTTCGTGCGTTCTTTTGATATCTGCTGGCACTGCGCAACTCAACATTGGCGCCCCGGGTGTCTTGAGTGACGTTCTCCACGTTCTCGCTAATGATGTCCAACTGCCCTCCTTGTTCGGTAACGATGTGTGCGACATCTCGGAAGAGCTCGTTCAACTCCCCAACACTTTGTTCAATGTTGCGGATCTCCGTCTCACGCTCGATAATCAATGATTCTTGGAAGTCCACTTCGCCTTGATTGGCCATGCGATGTTGCTCTTCCAGCTGCTGTTCCTGTAGCAATAAATCGTTGTCTGTTGTTGGCTGTCCTTCCTCTTCAACCGCCGTACGTGCTGCAGCGGCCGAGGCGCGCTGTTTCTCAATCGCGCGGCGCTGGATTGTTTGGAACTCTTCCAAGGTGCTCCTGAACTCGTTCGATATCTTTTGCTGAGTCCATTTTTGGGAGGGCTAGAATCAGAAAATGTCAGTAAGAGACTGTGTATGGAGATATGATCTGATATGCCATACGTTGACATCCTCCCATGTTTGGAGTTCCTTGATTCCTTCGCCTACATCCCTAAACCCCGTACGAGTCTCTTCGAGGTAATTATGAACTCGCTCGCGCACCCGCTCAGTATCGCGCTTTGTGCCAAGTAGACTAATCTGGTTGGATAGACGAGTAATGTTCGCTGTCAATTCAAATAACTGGTCTGAAAGCTGAACGGCCAGGCGGTCGAAGTCCGGATCGTCACGGTACTGCGGGTCTTCATCCCTGCGCATGGTAGTAGGCTGGGCCTCTAGCGAGTTGAGCCGGTCGTAAGACATATTGCATGTATTCAGTGGGTTGTAGGTGAATGCTAAATCAAAGACCGAATGGAAAGTCAACAAGAGCGGAGTTATCTGCAGGTCCTCGGTGCCTTGGAGCGGATGATTGGACTGCTGACCGCCCTCACATGACGTTATTAAACAACGCTCTAACCCTAATTGGGACTAGCGTGTATGTGGCTGGTGCACATCACTGCCACATCAATCACATGACTATATGTGGCTGATGTGTTTTGATGCCTCAAAATATTCCTGGGTGGACCTAGCCGTCGACTGATTCTGTCCGACAAAGCCCAACACCACCTGTTGTCAGCCGTGACCCCTCGTCGACACTGTCGCTGGCTTATAATCTCTATTCTTCAGCTTCCGGAGCTTTCTTTAGCACGATCCTTCTGATCATGCTCTAATATTTCACAGCCTTTCTTCACGAGCGCATCCCACCCCCAAGCTTGCATCATGGCTGCAACTCAGACTCGACCGTACAGACGAATTCTCACCTCGGCTCTACACCGGAGATTTGTTCATGCGTCTGCGCTTTCACTCCTGGTGTGTTACATTATCGCAATTGCGATCGGTCAGAAGTCATCCTGTACGTATCTCCAAAGAAAAACCCTCTTATCATGTGTGGAGGCTCGGCTCGTTGCCCCCGCCTACACTCGAAGAGCCCATGAGGAATTGCAATACTAATATTGATCATTTATTAGTATTCTGGTCATGGTTCCCAATTGGTAGCTGCGGTGTCCGAACCGCCCTCATCTTCATTTCGTCCCTTGCTATTTTCGTGCTGCGCGTCGGTCAAATGCACATCGGTCAGAGAACAGCCAGTTCCTCATTCGGAATCTTCAAGTCCTTCTCTATCTTTCAAATTGCGCAAACCTTCGGCTGGTACATTTTCTCCGCTTGGTGGTTCACCGTGGTTTACGTTTGGTCGTCTTCGCTCGATGCCAATTTGCAACTCGTCAAACTTGGAAAACCACACGAACGCCCGACTCTAAACGAACGCCCGATATACCTCCATTCATTCCACATTGTCCTTGCATGCGTCCAAGCAGTGTGCCACCTCTACTACGATTACGATCGTGTTCCTGTTCCCATCGCAGAGCGGAGCACAAATTCAAATGAAGATCGTACCCACCCAGTACAGCCAACCGCTAAGTGTCTTCAGCGCGCTCTACCGCAACAATTGGCAGACGGGGCTCTCCGGGGCATCACTGTGGCAGCTGCAACCCTCGTCGTGTACCCTATCTTTTTCCGACAGGCCGCTTGGGGTTGGTCTTTGTACTTGGCTAAGTTATTTTGGAGCTTCCAAAGGTCGGCAGCTGAGCCCTCAAGTTTTGTCCCCACAATCTTCCCATACTTTTTCTTCCGAACCCTGCTTCCTGGTCTCCTCCTTGTCACGTCCTGGCAATGCTCTAACCTCTTTTACTCTATTTTCATTGGCAAAGAGCCACTAAAGCGGGGCCAACCACTCACATCAGACGCCAAGGACCCGAATGGCAGTCTACTCAATGGACTCAACGCGAAGAAGGAGGTGGTGAAGACTTTCGCACTCTGGGAACTTGGTTTGATCAGCCAACGCATTCCCGATCGCCGGAAGACAATCTTCAACGAAATTGATCGCGAGCATGGTTCGGCATGGTCACAGGTTTTTGCTTCGATCACTGAAGTTATCCAAGGTGTGAACATTCGCATCGAAGAAAGCAAGAACCCTGCTCTTTCCGCAAAGCCAGTGCCGCAGGCCGATAAGCCGGAGCCTGTTCTCCACAACCTCCCGCGGTTGACCGACCCGATCAAAGATGAGAATATCTTCACCTCTGCTCCAAAGGCTACTTCTCGCCAGGACATATTTAGTGATGCATTTAGCTCAACCGCCAAATCGTTTGGTCAGTCAGAAGACTGGACACCGACTGCGCGAGCCCGGGTCCGTGACGTCTTCGATCGTGCATCCTCAGCCGTCCTCAGCCCCGAACAGAAACAGAAATATCTCGCCTCTACCCAGAAGTTCAAGCTTCTCACTGGGGGGCCCTCTGCGACCTACAAACCAGAGAATGTCAACCCTATTCTGGTTCAGTTCCTTCGCTCGCCCATTGGTCAACCGTTCCGACAAACTTATGCTCAGCGCCTGCGTGCTATCGTATTTGGAACACCCGAGTCCTCCTTGTGCTCTATCGTGGACGCTGTGGAGTGTCTAACTCGTCTGCTCATTGCTAGTTTGGCAGAGGATCCATTTGGCAAGGTCCAGGCCAATTTGCCAGCTGCAGTTCGACTTCTTACGCAAACCACCCTTTCATTGGATGCATTCGTCCACCAGGGTGGCCTGGATGCGCATTGGACCGATGTCAATTTCCCGCCATCCAGTGATCTCAAGGCGCAAGAGGAGGCTCGCAAGGTTCCGGATGTTGAGGTTCTGTTGGCTTCGCTTCGGGGCAGTCTCCATGAACTGCTGACAGCCTTCAAGCCGTATCTGCGGGATATCGGTGTGGCAGGCAAAGATTTGAGACTAGCGAAAGAGGCAGCTGGTTTTGAATCAGAGGAGCTGCCGCTATGATTTCTTTTGCTTTCAGCTTTCTAATGCTTAGTACATTTCATGATTTCCTCGAGCTGTTTGTGTATTGTTATCGGTAGTTCCCATCGGGGTTGGCCTCGGTGGAATGCATGGTCAGGCGTTCTGTTCAGATAGGTGTTAGGTGTTGGCTGGATATCTGTATCCAGATCTATTGAATCAATGCCTTCTTGTCAATAAGACCGTCAAGTACTCGGCCGTGCAGAATATCCATATGGATATACTCCGTAGTAACTCTGATATCCTGCGGAAGTATGGGTCACATGACACCTCTCTTACGCCTACCTCACGGCTCCACAGCCCGTTTACATTTCAACTTGAGCGCAAATCATAACAACAGTGAGGTATTGACAACCATACAAATCATACTTACTGCGTTATTCTGCATCATGTCGCTGGCCAATGTCTATCATGTGCGGCGTGTCGCAGAGACCTCCGCAAAAGCATGCATGATCTGCTACAAGCCCTCAACCACTGTGATGATTACGCCAGATAACAAGGTATGCTGCACTATAATGTTATGGCTAAGAGATACCCCCGAGTCTACTATCGTCTCTTACTAGTAAGCCCCGTACAAACCCAATGGCTAATTTGCTATCCAGGACTTTTTCTATGTGTGCCCCGCACATCTTCAAGATCGGCATTTCTGTTCTCCCATTATCGACACAGAAGGTCAAGCAAAACGTCTCAAAGAAGAGGCAATGGCCAAAGAAATAGAGAAGGTCAAATCGGAGTATGAAGAGAAACAGCGCCGAAAAAAAGAGCGGAAGGCCGCGAGCAAAGATGAAGATGAGAAAGATAAGGACAAAGACGAGTCCAAAGACAAAAGCAAAGATACCCCTGAGACGAACGACACTGACGAGAAAGATAGAGATGACAAGGTAAGTGTCTTCTTTTACTCCCCCAACTTTGTGTGAACGGAGGGTTAACTTGGCAGATTGCTTCAATTCGGAAAGATACTAGCACAGCGACAAAACCGGATGATTCTCCTCGGGTCTTCTCTTTGCACAAGTATGTATGCCATGTATCTTCATGACTGTTTTTGCTAACTCATCTTACAGAAACTTTTATCAAATGCGCATTGACCGACTTCGCAATATTGAGATGGCGAAACGAAATTCGGAAAGGCTGAAGAATCCTTCACTGTTCCCTTCCGTGCCATCAGGGAATCCTTAGACGAGCCCAACCTCCATTTCACGTGGCTATCTGCGTCAAGGAGGCTCAGGGATGTCTAGTATATTGACCCATCTCTCTACCGAGTCATTTGCTATACTGTTCTCCAAAGTGCCACGCAATATATCGGACGAAAGACGAAAGAGCAGCCAAGTGAGGTCTTGCGGCTTCAGAATCTTGCATCATTGAACGTCTTCTGAGTCTTCCATATACCTACATCCATGCCAGTCTTGTCGGGGAGGTAGCTGACTTGACTTCTGAAGTCATACTTAAGTACTGGCCCCACGCCACACACAGGGCGTTATGTATCCGGCACTTTGAATTCCGAGTTCATTTACAAGAGATGTCACTGAATTCTCAAACAATAGGAAATTAATCACTACTGTTAAGTAGCTGAGCCATCAATTTCTTTTTGTGGTGACACACCCTCCATGCATATATGCACATGCAAAGCATCCAATCCCAACATATTCTACTCCAGAAGTCATCAACACAGGTTGCAATTTTCTTGGCTCCCTTTACCTCCAGTATAGAAACTCGTAGGCCTTCCAACACGAGACTATGAATACAAGACTGTGATAGATAATCTGTGTCATATGATTTTCGCTATCCTCTCAAGGCGGGGAAGAATAAGCACTAAATAGGACCCTGCTTAAGACTGGGGCGAAGCTCATGAGCCCCTCATTGAACATGAGATGAAACCGGCCCTTGTCGGTAGCATAATTGCCCTGTTCCTGTCTTCTCCGGCATTCTTGCTACTATTGAGATCATGGCGCCACTAGGCCAGCTCTGTTACTGCGTAGGCGCCATCCGGGCCCATGAGCGTACTGTGTACGAGGTACTCATTTTCAATATATTATGTCAAAGCCCCGAAAGCCCCGAGGCGTATCGCAATAAAGGCTTTATGATAGGCTATAGAGTTGAGCACATATTTGTGTCATCATCGGGTTTTTTCTTGCTTTCAGTTGCTACTTAAAGGTATGAAATCAATATGGATGCCTGTGTAAAGCGAGTAGATGCTTTTGCTTCCTAGCTGCCGTGTAATGATCACTTGATTCCTTTCCAAGGCTACCAACAAACAGGATGGTATATCTACAGCGCAACTCAAGCATGTGAAAAGGTAGCTGCCTTTCAAGGTTCCCGACAAAACAGGAAATCAAGTTGACAGCCAATGCCACACTCCAGGCCATTATGCTGGCTATTCCATTATAGGGAATCTATAATTGTGTCCCTAGATGCCTTGTGCCAATGTCATTCTACAGATGCTGCCTAACGGGTTTAGAGGTAAACTACTAGGTACATACTACTCCGTACCTACGTAGAGGGTTCCACACTAAGGCGCCTGGGGTAGATTAGACTGACGCTATCTGCTCTAGATGCATATAGGAGGACTCTAGCGTCACGCCATTCGTGTATGTAGGGCAGAAGAGGGGTTGTATTTATAGTCGTACTATTTACTTTGTCGGTCTGTTTGTTCCTTTGGTCTGTTGTACACCTGGACATAAGGCTTACACGTCTGTGCCCAGTCATCCGGCTGAGAGGACTCGACTGCCTAGCTCGAGGACTCTCTGCAATGGACACGAGAGACGACCGGGACGTACTACCAGGGCTGAAGACACAATGACAAGATAGGTATATCTCAATAATGACCCTGAAGCGCCTGCCAAGAAGGGCTTCTTGCAGTACCCAAGCCTCGATCAAGTCTAGCAACCTTGCAACTATCTGGGCAACAACGGTCTGAGCTACTCGGACTCCACATTGAATACTCGTACCCAAGGAGCAATCCAATGCAGCAACTTTGGAGGCAGTCCATACCAAGAAACATAGCCTAATCCCAGACAATCCTGAAACAAAGTTAAATGCCAGCGATCGACGCAAGGCGATCCCAACCTGATCAAATATGTAACGGGATTGGAAGAGAGGTTGTTCCCTACATTAGGTCTCTTTAGGTCTCTAGACCAGCCCAGATAGGAACTCCACCCGGGTAGCTGCAAGGCAGTGCATTGCCCCACCCCCACTGGGAAAGGTGTCTGCCAATCACATCGAGAATTTGATAGATGCAGACTGATGATTACGCCGATTGAGTGAGCGATGCGATCTATAGAAGATGGCGCATGTGAGATTCTCAAGCTGATATCTATAGATGTCAAATATACTGTCATCTGGCAAGACATTTGGACATTTTGAAGTGTATCTATAGATATACCTCCCTTGGTATGGTACATCAATACCACAATACCAAAGACCATGTCCATACCGGTAATACACATACACACCCCCTAGCCAACCGGGAAGCCTAGGAAACAGACCCGCTTTGCACAGCCTCCTTCTGTTCACAAACCTTGGAAGTCGGCAGAAGGGGAAATGAAAGTCTACCCCGTCATTGACATTGAAACTCGGCTTGACAGACTTTGAGTTTGTAAATCTACTTGTCCACCTTGAGCTTTGAGAATCTCTGTGCCTGGTTGCCCGTTTTGGCGCATCCGGGATCTATTCCGGCCTATGGTGTCCTCATTCGAATGTTCGCAACCTTGAAAGGCGTGTCTTATGCGCAGCCCTAGGGTAAGCCGGACCTGTCTTGAATATGCATTCTAAATAGAGCCACTCATTTCGCCGATGCTGTATAACCCTATATAGTGAAGTTTATACTTGCATGGTTTTATTTAGTACAAGTACACGTGAGAAGAGAAATTAGGGTGTTCTTGGTGTCATCCAGGCGATACGGATCGACAGGGACACATAGTCCATTTGCTGCCTAATGTCTCAATTCAAGGTATCAGCGCGGAGTAATCTCAACCTAGCCTTGGCTGGTCTGGAGGTTTGGGAGGCAGTGCACCAGACCAATCTCTCTGTCACTATCACCGAAACCCACCCACAGACAATGCGGGTTTTGATGGACACCGACGCTCACTCCCCACTGCACGTGGCCCTCCTGAGCAAGGTACAGCAAAAGGTACAACAGAGTTGCCTCATCGGAAACTTGGCGATATGGCTGTGCACGGCAGGTGGACTTCCATGGGTCCTTCAGGTCCGGTGGATGGCGCATACCCCCTATTATGAGAAATGGTAATCCGCGAAGGCTTCTGACCAGCACATGATGATCTGGAATCGAAAGGCAAAGCAAGAGCCGTAAGCTCTAGCAAAAATGAATGCGAAGGAAATGCAAGCTGAGACATCAAGCTTTCATCAATCGTGAATCTATTTACAGACGCATGGATATCTTATAGATTACCACGTCCAGCCGAGTCATTAGCTTCCGGGGCCCGCATGCCCGGAGGAAGGCGGATAGCAGGATTAGCTCGTGGTCCCCGAGACATGTTGACCTGCTTTGCGATATCAACTCGAGCTTTGGTAATGCCTATGGCGGGTACGACCCAGCCACCACAGCTACATCGCAGGCCTTGCCATGCGAATTTGCCGACATTAGACCCACAGACAGGATTGGGGCAGGTGAGGCGCCCAGACAACGGGGCATCGTCGGGGTGTGCTCCATAGGTAGCATCCGCGTCAGTGTTCTCCTCGGATGGGAAGAGACTAGGACGCATCCAAGTCAGGGGGTGAAGAAACAAGTGGCCGCACTCAGCGCTTGCCGATGTCTTGGCGGTGTCTTTCTTTTCCTCTTCATGGGGAACGACAAACGCATTGGTTGCCAATTTGTATCTAGAGCGCGCGGGATCAGCCATGGCCTCCGCGGTATGGATTTGGAACCGCCATTGTGAAACTCACCTGCATTTTCGGCATCTGTACTCGATTACTGGGCCAGTGGCATCCTGAGAGCGCATGGGCTGCTCGTCTTCAAATCGTACTGACTTCAGCTCTGGAGCACGGCCACACGCCACACTGTCTTCAACCTCGCGACGGTAAAGCCAGCGCTTGTATGCTGGGTGGTCGGTGACATCATCAGGACAGCCCATTTCATGGTACACTTCAAGCTGTTGCATGAAGCCATCATTGGGTTCACAGAGTGGTCTGCTTTCCCGGACCAGCGCAAGGGCAGATTGCGGTGTGAGAGCTGCTGGCTGCAGGTGGAGTAGGTAGGCGATGCAAATGGTTGCGGAGCGGGACTTCCCCATAGCACTGGATCGTCACATCAGCCACTGCATATCTTTCCGTGTCAAGCGAGTCCAGGCGTGAAGGCCAAACATCTCAGATCAAAGGGTCCAACAGCCATCAAGCCTTAGCGTGTAGATCACGAAAGACACGCAATGACGTAGGAGGCCCGAAGCCACAGTGCATTCAACACTGTAAGATCGCAATGCGGATGGAAACCTGAAACAAGAGCTGATGTGTCGACTTACCAGTGCACAAGCACACCTCTACCGCTGTCTAGACCGGACTGAATAAACTTGATAGCGGCAGGGAAATGTTCCAATAAATTCTCATCGTCGACATCATCGACTCCTATGGAAAGATGCTGATACGGCTCAAAGGTCTCTTGCTTTTCAGCTTCGTTGAGATGCAGCACTGACAGAACGTGCGAGATGTCTGCACGCGCTAAAGCTGCTTTGTTCTTGAGGCTGAATATACTACAAGTTGGTAAGTCAGCAACAGGCATCGCAACATAGAGCTGGCGGATTTCAATGTCCCGTAGAAATTCCAGCAATGAGTATCGGTGAGACCAACCCTCCAATGTAGATATTGTGGCCTTTTATCTGATTCATAGCCATTTTGAAGGATGTCGGCCGGGGAGGACAAGAAATCCCAAATGCTTCAAGTCCCGAGGTCAATATCCCAAGGCGGAGGTCGAGCCTCGGCGCCTGCCAACAGCCCAAAAAGTCGAAAAAAGAAGGTAGGGCAAGGGCAGGCTAGTGCATGTGACTTTTTGCCTCAGGCATTTATCTTTCCCTTTTCGGCTTGTAGTGATCTAAATTTCCCGAACCCATCAATCCTTATATTGAAGTGTAACCATAACGTTTAGACTTAGCAGCTAAATCCCATTTCAAGCAGTGCATGGAATCAAGCGCGTTGACTTTGCCCATCTGTGCCGGACAGGGGGATCGATACATGGGTTAGTACCTACGAATATCAAGTGTGAACAAGCTATGGAGTAGCCCGTACAAGGTGTCTACAATGTGGCTAGCATCGGAGAGGCGATTCTTCGACAAACAGGTTCTCGTTTGCAGATATACCGCTGTATCTCGTCGTTTGTCCTTTCTATTGGTGAGTCTGCAGTCACACAATTAATCAGTCTAGATCCCCCACCGACTGTCTACCACCACAATTTCCAACAGCGGGGTTTACCGCCGGGAAGTAAACACGACTGGGCATTCTGCAGTCCAAGGGTAGACCATACCCGTAAAGCACCTTTAAGACAAGTCTAGCCGAACGGCACACGCCTCAAAATGGAGCGCGATTTATTTCCGATGCAGCTCAAACACTCGACCTCATCACCCACGGACTTGATTTGCCATACCCTCTGCAAGGGGCCATCACAGGGTGAGCAGGCTAGTGTCAAGATGACCGCAGGAGACTCTCTCTCTCTCAAATAAAAGGAGGATGCTCGAGGGGGATAGAGGTATAGCACCGCCCTACTATAAGGGAGGCTGACTCGCGTCGCGTCATATTATTGACTGCCAGCCGTGACACGCGCTCCCAGCCTGCAGCCCTCTAAGGCTTAAGGCTGGCTGCGCCTCAGTGATGCAGCGCATCTGAAATGCCATTCTGCGGACAGACGCTCGTGTGTCAGCGGGACTACGTAACCTTCATTTCCGCTGACGCCTCCCGTTCGCAAGTGGCTTTGTTGCCTGTCATGTTGACAATCACTACTGGAACGGAAGTGCAGAAACTCACGCCTTGATGGGGGCCCCGTATCTTGCGGACTTTACTCGTACATGGTTGATTAGCTGTTGATTACCCAAAGGGGCCAAGGGCGTCTCCTGGGACACCACCCGAGGGCTTGACGTCGACGATCTTGAAACTTGGAAACCTTATTGGGCTAGTCTTGTTTATGTACGAATATTGCGCGCGAAGCAGAAATTGCCAAGGCCATTGCGACTCGGCTGTCACTTTTCAGTTTCGAGTGTGCTGCCCATCGGCGCTACTGTAGACTAGCATCATACCATGTCTAAATTTTGGGAATAGAGAGACGCGACAAAATACTGGGCACATACAAGATCCGAGGTGCTCGGATCAGGAGATCTGATATCATCAGACGAACATTCGGGATGAAGTCATACTCATATACATAGTTTAGGGCTAACCATACGGAGTACGAGTATGGAGTAGAGTTCATCTCATTCAAACCCCATAATTACTTATTTTGTACGGAATACTCCGTAGTTACTCCATGCTCCGTTTGTACAAGTAGGCTCAAATCAGGTTAAATCTACGCTAGTCCTATGGTACCTGAAATATAGGAAAAGGAACCCCATCCACCATGATTCAATGAAAAAAAAAGCAAGAAAAAGAAAGAAAAAGCAAAAGCCAGAGTCTTTTTGTTTCTCGATGCCCAGTCCCACATTGGACTGGGTGGGTCCTAAATTACTCAGTTTTCCCCTTGGCTCCGGGTCCTGGGGTTTGTTCCAACGTTCATACTTCATGTTCACCCTATTTCACGATGAACATCGCTGGGTTTGGGGGGGAATTTTTCACACCAATTTCGTGATGCATAGCTGACTTGAGCTAGAATGTTTGATCATCCCAGTCAAGGTTCACCTCCCCTGCGCCCAAATGACAGGCGGACCGGCATTGTGGCAGTGCATGCAATGCTAGGCGCCAAGTGGAGGGCGCTAGCAAATCAGTGGGTCCCCGTCCAACGACTCAGCATTGTCCGCTTTTTTTTCTGTGGAGGCAAAAGAATGTTCTGATTGTAGCGCCCGATTCCTCCGACGCTGAGATCTCTGCCTTGGTACTCTTGGTATTCTTGGTATTGACTTCGTCTCTCCGGTACCAAATTGCAATAGAATAGGGGTTTGTTGCCGGTAACAGAGCCAAGATCCAACGGACCCAATCTCATCAGGTATACACTTCCGTCGCGTGTGCCCCCCCGGGAAATATTAAGCCTAAATGCCAAGCGCTCCAAGCCCCGGTGTATATTGTCACTGGTTGTAAATCCGCTCAAAGCCCTGCCAATCTATACCTTATTCTCGCAGAGGCGTGAGGCCTGACTCCGCATGCCCCCCTCTCGACCAGTACAGAATACGATTTGAGGTCAATTTGACCCAGATCTAATATCCAACCGTGCCCAAAAACCTTGGTTCCTCGTGGCTGCTGCGTCTAGAGTCATTCCGAGCCGTTTGGTTATTTACCGAGAAAGCCCCTTTGACCCTTTGATGGGCATCTTTAGCCTTTTGCCAATGAAAACCAACGTGATTACGACACGACAAGTCCCCAGATTAAGAATGACGAGTTTGGTCGAATTAAACGTTAGAATACTCCATACCAATCGCACGATATGCAACGGCTCGTCATCTGGGTCGCATTTGCGAGGCGTCCAATACTTAAGTACTCGTATACGAGTTTCCAGGGTGAGGGTACTCCGTATGGTTCTCTGTGGGCAATAAGAAAGACTCCATATGGGGAGGAAAGCGCGTCCCATCGATCAGCGGGCCAGGCCATGTGGTTTTTCCCCCTTTCGCCTTACCGGGCTCTCCATGGCTTTCTCAGAGCGATGTAAAGGAATGCAACCACGGTTAGCTGGGGAAAGACAAAATTACCGAGAGCCGGCGTGTCCGTTTTAAGGCTGAGTACCGGGTCATTCCCAGCCTTGTGCCCTACCAGCGTGGCAACACGTTCTCACACTATGTACATACTACTGTACGAGTAGAACGTCGATCAGGGAAGTGCTTTGTACAGAGTACTCGTACTCGTACATGCTCAGCTTACAGAATCAGAATATTAAAGTTGAGGTAGAACTTTAGAATACTTACAAGTCAAGTACGGAAATCCAAAGAGCAGTGGTAACGGGTGTTACCAACCCACCGACGATACATACATATACCAAGCCCTTAACAAGTCCGAGACCCTATGGTATGTTTCATTTTCATCATTTTCATTTTTCCTTTTCTTATTTTCCTATTTTCCCTTTTCCTTTTTTTCCTCTTTTTCCTTTTTTTTTTGCCTCTTTGCCTCTGATTAGTTGCGCTCTCTTCCTCTCTTCTCTCCCTTGGGAGGATGAGATCACCCAAATTGCCCCTCTCGTCTGATTTGGTTGGATCCAATCGCTTGCACCGCCTGGATTTCTATTCAATTCTCTGATTTCAGCCCTTCTAGCTCCTGAGCTTCAATCAATTTTTTTTTATATGACACTCGTCCTCAGCTAGTGGGGTGGAGTCTCTCTACATTATTGGGGGTTTGGAATCCGCATCCCCGTACATATATCTTCTTCGCCTTTAAACTTGTCACTTGATTCAGTATGTGTGCGCGCGTCTGAACCGCCAAGTTCCATGGGACACAGACCCGACTCTCCGTGTGTGACTATTGCGGGAAACGTTTCATCTTATGAGGCGAATCGCCGAAGGGTCCCGAGGTAGGTGTCAGCCCTATTGCTCTATTAATGTTTTCTAACTTGTGCAGACTTACACTGCATACTCGCGACTGTCGCACATGAAGTATAGAGCTATTCTGACAATTCTCCATCGTGAGGCTGGATAACAGTCCACTTAACAATACCTGGTTTCACGACGTTTGCACTCAACTGGGCTATTGCTGCAACAAAACAAAAAAAAATCCTGATTTCGACTTGCTTATTCTTGGAATCAAGCTCAGGTCTCTTTTTTTTTGCCCCGCGTGTTTCTGACGGCTGTCTCCCGATTCTAGCCTGGGTTCCATGCGGACGATTCACCATCATTGCGCCCATCTAGTTCTAGAATGAAACATCGGTTTCCTTCGAGCTTGGAAGATTTCAGGGACAGACGTCGTCCTGGACCATCAACTCACGCTATGCCCGAGCTGTCATTCTCATCGCACGGCCCATTACCTATAGCATCCAGAAGTATCATGGATACTGCACCACCACCACTTCCGCCGCCTGCTAGGATCCATGATTTAGAGATCGGGTACGATGCGGGTTGGCAGCACGCAAATTCGCAATCTTCCGCTTCTCTCCCACCTATCAACCCGGGTTCCAGCCTGCTCGGAGGCCACCGACGGTCCGAAGCAGCTTCTCAGGGCGATCCAATGCAGATTGATGAAATTGAGGGACGCCAAAACGGCTTACCCGTGTCGCGAAGTCCCGAAACACAGATTACCATTGACCCACCACCCCCAGTCACCGATGGATTCCCAAATTCGATCCCAAATCCTGCGGGCTCAATGTAAGCGCCCAATGCGCGAGCGCTGCAGAAAATCGCAGCATTGCGCTACCTTAAAGTTGATATTGATTGCTGACTGGGTAATAGTTTGAGTGGCGAGCGCGACTTTTCACTACGGAGCGTCAAAGACTCATCAAACGCCTATGATCAACACCTTTTGTCAAAAATCGGCAAGCCACAGATTGCGAAACCTGTTTCCCCAAGAGGATCTATCAGTTTTGGTGCCGACAATCGAAATTCGCTTTCTGCTCTTGCTGTTCCATCACAACGCCCTGGAACTTTACCTTCACCTGGGCCATCGGAGGGACCAAATCTCGACGTGAAGTGGTACAACAGTCCTCAGTCGGGAACCGTTTCGCCCAGAACCAGAGTTGGATGGAGAGATTTCGGTGAAGGCCGAAGCCCAAGCGTGGAGAGCAATGCGCCATCATCGGCACTCGATTACGACCAAGGATTCTTGCGGGACGTCAGCCGGCGTCGTTGTCGTGGAACAACTCCCTCGCGAGAGGACAGTATCAGTCTGCCGAGCCGATCAAATCGCGGAAGTTACGACCACGGTGTGTTCTCGGATATTGAGGGCGAGTTCTCGGCCGATGAACCGGCGCCACCGCGACAGTTCATCCTTCGAGAACCCACCCCGCCATATCAAGAAACACGGCATGGTATGAAGAGACGGGCATCTTCGCCACCACGCGAGCCGATAAACGAGGATAGACACGTTTTGCAAGTGGCCACAAGCAACGGAGACCTGTCACAGCGAAGATTGAGCGGCCATTCGTTTACGAATAATCTTTCTGTCAACCCCAATTACCCGGCAAGCCAACGAACATTGTCTGCAGCGTCATCCCTGAGCATTCGTACCTCTGGATCTTATTCGTCTACATTGTCTATTGGAGGAAGCAGTATGACGAGTCTCTCTCCCTACGACCGGCCGTCTCCGGGTGGTCTTTCGCCAAGCTCTGATCTTGATACTTTCCACGAAAAGTCCATTCTCAACCCTAGCTCTCCCGGAGGACTAGTCCAACCCACCCTGGCAAGAGGGCTACCCGGCCCTGCGTCTCTAGAACCACCTGCAACAGATGCTACTGGCAAGCTTTCCGTGCCAACCATTGTGAGCATACCAAAGCCTGCTGCGTCGAAAATTGGTGGGCTATTCATATGCGATTGTTGTCCCAAGAAGCCTAAAAAGTTCGACAATTCCGACGATCTACGGTCAGTTTCCAAGGAAGCAATTAACCACACCAATTGAACTAACATGAAAACAGTTCGCACGAAATGGAAAAGCAATACGCATGCGCCTACTGCAACAACCGGTTTAAGAACAAAAATGAAGCCGAGCGACATCAAAACTCTCTCCACCTTCGACGCCATTCCTGGTCTTGTGCCGCGCTGGTGAATTATCAATCCGCATTTCATGCGTCTGGCGCTCCGAGTTGCCAATCTAGTGCCGGATCATCACACGACACATGTGGCTATTGCGGCGAAGAGTTCCCCAATTTCCCTCAACCAGATTGGGATCGCCGATTCGATCACTTGACCACGGTGCATAAATTCGGCGAGTGCAATAACGCTAAGAAATTCTTCCGCGCCGACCATTTCCGTCAGCATCTCAAGCATAGCCATGCTGGTACCAGTGGAAAGTGGACAAACATTCTGGAGAATGCTTGTATGAAAGAAGAACAGCCCCCCGAGCCACTGGATAGAAGTGGCAATGGCTCAGGCAAGTCTTTGACGTCGAATGCTATTTCTGAAGTCCTCAGTGAGCAATAACAGCCATTTTGGCATGTCTCAATCATGCGAAAACCTTTCCTGGATTATGACCTGGCTGAACAGTCGGTCCTTTGTTGCTAATTGGGCTGGGTGGCACATTACCAACTCACAATCCACAACCTCATTCTCAACTCTACCTCAACTCAACTTTCAATCTCACCTCATTGTTCATCATCACGGAACAAACTCAACATACACAATCCCCAGCATCACAACCCACACCAACCACCAAAAAAAAAGCGAAAAGCAAGACCTTATCGACAGCCCGAAGTCGATCAATACATAAAAAAACAGCCAATGGCACACCCGGAATCATGATATCCACGAACATTTTGAAATTACAAGTTCTCCCCCAAAGGAAAAGGGGAGAACGGGAGTCTACGTCGGGAAAGGGGGTCTTTGTATTGAATCTTGAACACCTCTGTGTATACCCCGGTTGCATTGCAATGACATGGAAAGGTTTTGTCGATTCTCGTTTCTCATTTTTACATGGAGTCAAGTCGGGGTTCATGGCTTTCTGGTTTCGACCTGAGGGTTTGAATATCTGCGTCTCTATTTGTGTTTCTGATTTTGTTTTTACACATATTACCTGTCTTGTTTTATACCTATGGATGGATCTGAGGCGAATGGACGGGCGTTGTATATAGATTTTGCATGGTCGTTCAGTGAACAGAAAAAATACCAATTTCTAAATGATATCTTGGGCCAGGTAGTTTCTCAGTTGAGCAGTTTTGTGATCAATTTTCAGATACCCAAGCAGCCTAGGATATGAACTTGATGTAATTCAAACTTCCATTAGTGAGATACAAACTGGTCTATTCTAGCCAGTTGCGGGAAATGTTCTAGAGAAATAGAAATAAAAAGCCAATACCAACTGTTGGGATCACTAGTGTGATTCCCGGGTTCAGACCGCCAGGTGCCAGGCGTAGATAGATGCATGTTTGCTCTCTCTCTTCGTCTTCTTCTTTCTCCCCAGTCTCAGTCAGGTAGAAGCGATACACTACGTGTATTGCGTTCTGCGCTCTCAACACCAGTATATCCGCCCAATTACTCAGTAACACTATCCTTGATACTCCTCAGAGCACTGAGCTTGTGAGCCGGATCGATAGCAGCGGCATTCTGCGCTCTTCTACGCGCATCAGTCCAGAGCATAAACTCCCCATACCCCTTTGGCATAACCTGGACATCCTTCTCAACAAGGAAAGTGTAGTTAAACATGCCAGTGGACTTCTTCGTCCCGTGCTCAACGTCTCGAACCTTGGAGTCAACGCGGACTTGCACCTTGGTGTACTTGGTACTGTCACCCTCACGTTCTTCAGGCTCTGTATAGGAGACCGTTGCACGCAAATAAAGCACGCTACCGACGGGAACTGGGTTCTCGAAAGTACTAGGGTCCAGAGCGACGAAGTTTGGTCGTGCATGTGCGAAGGAGGCCGCACAGCAGAATGCCAGCTCGAATGTCTGTTTGAGAAGGAAACCACCGAAGATCATGAAGTTGTGGCGGTTGCGATCTTGGGGTTGCATGATCATGGCGGATTTGAGGACGGTGTCGCTCATGAAGACCTGGTTTGCTGGACGGGTGGTCGCGATTTGGGGATCTGGTTGGGTTAGTATGGGGAAATTGTTGTGTGGAAGTGTCTAGGTGGACAGGCTTACTTAGGTAGGACATTTCCTTTGTCCACATTGAGTGAATCAGGTTACTCTCCTCGTCATCCGGGGCTTTTTGCAAAAGACTGCGAGTGCGCAGGGCTTTTTTGGCTTTTGAGTTTTCCTCTCCCTTTGCGTAGAGGCGCTTCTCTTCTTCCGACTCCACGATCAGAGGGGGCACCGGAACAGGTCTGGGTGGGATTTGTTAGAATATGTGCTTGATTAAACGCCAAAGCAGTAACATACAATTTTGTGATGGGGTCCAGGGACACCATTGTGAAGGCACAGGTGATCAGAACATCTTCAGGTTTGGCCTCCACGCCTTCCGGGCGGGCCTTGGTGATCTGAAGGGAAATTTCCATACTTGACCGACCGGTAGCATACGTACATTGGCCACTCAGCTCCAGGTCACAGATCTCCATTAGAGGGTTCTCGATAGTGATTCGGTCACAAGCTGCAGTGACAGTCGAGACACCATCACCGGTATGGCGAGCGGCAATGACACCGGAAAAAGCATCCAGATCCATCAGCAGTGACCCTAGTCTGGTCCAACATGTCAGTGGTAGATTTCAAGGTCAGAGAATAAAAGACTGACCTGATGTGCCCATCTGCGTTCAGATATGAGTCCAGAAGCCATTTGTCCTGTGCCAGAGGGAGAATCTATATGGAAGTCAGACAAGCGGCAAAAGGGTTTCCTCTTCCCCAGAAGCAAGGAAGAATAAGGTATACATACTGCACTGTAAAAACTGTCCGACATCTTCTTTGGTGTAAGATCTCTCTTGATGGTCTGTTGGCCACTTGATTGAGGGTCAATCTTTTCCGCCTCCCGTCTCATGCTCAGTGCATCAATCCATGGCGTTTTAACGCGCATCGGCATCCACGTAGCCCGGGATCCGGCCTGCTTCGGCGAGGAGTGGAAGTCCTGCACATTGATGCAGGAGCGCTGACCTGCAATTGCAGTTCGCGCAGGCAATACCGAGGGCAAAGACAAGCGCAAACGCGCAGACCGTCTAGAAGCAAACATTTTGAATTTGCCAAAGAGTTCGTGGAAACTTCAGAAGAAGTGTCTAGGATGAGACTGTTGAACCAGATGACGCTGTCCCGAGGGTTTTCCTAATGTGGTTAGTGGCCGGCGGGGATTCTCGGCTGCCGACGAAAATTAATGCCGAGATGTGTCACCGCTCCCGGTTTCATTTCTACTTACTTAGCGTTTGGGGACTTGGATTCTGAGAGTTTGGAGCTTAGGACTAACGTGCATTTCAGCCCGGTGATAAATTGTCGCCATGCGGGTAGGAAGTCAACAAAGGAGTATCCTGAGGCCTTCAGGCAATGTACTCCGTACCACCTGAGCATATATCGATACTTAAGTAGCGAGAGAGCTCACTTTCTGAACAACTTTAAAAGAAGAAGAGTATATAGATTCCCAGTAGAAGCTTGGAATATGTTTGCAAAGCATATTTCCGCCTAGGGCTGTTTTTGCGCATGCTGCTTATGGATCCTCAGTACGGAATATAGATGGATGTCCATACTTTCTTGATTTCAAGCCAACCGTTGGAATACTCGTACGAGTATACTGGCTTGCTGGTCTTAATGCTTCAATCACACTCAAGCAAGTTTCTTCGTCCAATTGACATGGCGATTTGAAGAGGGGGTGGGTCAAGTTTCCCATACTTGAGTAGAGGTGCAAGGTCACGGATAGGGCAATCTCCATTGGGTTGTATAGACGCTACCCATTTGCTTAACACCAATAGCCTTGTAGATCACATGCCAAAAGTGATCAAACACCTGGGCATCAAGCTTCGGTCCGAAGTCAGGCCATCCGAGGATTCTCTCGTCCGAGAACAGCTGAACAGCGTCAAAATGAAGTCATCGATAAGATACCGAATTTGGAACTATAAAAAATGGCCCTGTCAATCTACTAGATTTCTACAGACAAGCCTTGATTTAACCAGCATGAGTGACCCTACCAACCCTCATATCAAAGAAAGAACCACGCCCCAATGGGGTCTCTACCAGCGGGAGAACTTCTGGAAGCAGAATGAAGGGCAGACTCCTCTATTCAACACAGGTAAGGCTTCTATTCTACATATGAATCAATTTAAATCCTAATATGCATACAGACCCTCGCAAGATGGAAGAGAGAGCCAAAGAAAAGCTAAGTGAAGGCGGCTGGTATGTAAACATTTACGCTGGGAACCTACTTAAGTACACCCCAACTAACAGATCCAGGTACTATGCCTCCTCGAATGCAGGCATGTCCAACACGCACCTCGTAAACCGACAGGCTTTCTACCGGCACCGTCTGATCCCCAACCAACTAATCGACACCAACAATCGTGACACAACAACCACAATATTCGGGCACAAGGTATCAGCCCCAATTGGCTTTGCCCCAATCGGCATCAACAAGATCTACCACCAGTCCGGCGAAGCAGCCGTGTCCAAAGTTGCTGGCGAGCTCAATCTCCCCTACTGTCTCTCCACGGCAGGCAGTACCTCGATTGAAAAAGTGGCCGAAGCCAACGGTCCCGGGCCACGCTTTTTCCAACTCTACATGCCGCACGATGACGAGCTGACGCTCTCGCTGCTGACACGGGCATGGCAGAGTGGATTTGACGCCTTGATCCTCACGACAGATACGTGGCAGCTTGGCTGGCGACATGACGATGTTGCTTCGTCGAACTATGCATTTTACCGTGGATTCGGGGCTGATCTTGGACTGACGGATCCTGTTTTCCGGGAGAGGTGTCGAGCTGAGGGGATTGATCCTGATGTTGATGTTGTTCGGGCTAGTGCGAAGTGGATTGATTCTGTTTGGCATGGACGGGCCTGGTCTTGGGAGAAGATTCCTTGGTTGATTGAGACTTGGAAGAAGATCAGTGGAGGGAGACCGTTTGCTATTAAGGGGATTCAGTCAGTGAGAGATGCGAGGAAGTGTGTTGAGCTTGGGGTTGATGGCATTGTTGTAAGTAATCATGCTGGTCGACAGGTTGATGGAGCTGTTGCCAGTCTTGATGCGTTGGAGAGGATTGCGGAGGACGTTGGGGACAAGATTTTTGTCATGTTTGATTCGGGGGTTCGGGGGGCGAGTGATGTTGCGAAGGCTCTTGCGCTGGGTGCGAAGTTTGTATTCATTGGCAGACTTTGGATTTGGGGGTTGAGTATTCATGGCGAGGATGGAGTTCGACATGTCATGAAGTCTTTATTGGCGGATTTGGATATTCTGATGGGCGTTGCTGGGTTCAACCGGGTTGAGGACTTTGACAAGACTGTTCTTGGTAAGTGTTCGCTCCTGGTGCTGGGAAATTGTTTACTGATTGGAGATGCAGAATCGGACCCAAAGAACTATACTCTTCTTCCGCAGAAGACACTTTAGATGGAAGAATTTGGGATTTGTGTATACTGCATACATAGTTTGATATTGATATTGAAGTATGGAGTACAGGTCTGTTGATTGCGACAGAAGACACTGCCGAATCATTCCAGCTTCGGGAAGTATTGAAGATATGCTCTCGCCAGTATTTTCCAAATTGGATCCAAGCTGGATGTTGCTGCATGATGTTCAGCGTGTAACGAGGGATATGTGCATCTGGGTAAACGAAAGCAAGACGGTCAGATATTGCCGCCAAAATATGCTGCAAAGGTGGGTGGTCGTGTGTGCACCCGGGTGTATAGACAGAATTGAAGAGATGTGCATGGTAAACGATAGACAATGTGCACGGACAGGTATGTGGAGAAAGCATTAATACATGGAGCAAGATATGATTGCCAGTCAAAATCGCTAAGAAATGAAATAAAAAAGCGCTAAACGACACTTCAAATAATCAGGGCGCCGAGGGCGACCGGGAGCATAGACCAGCTGATGCTGCGGGTGAGGTGGGAGGCAGAGCTGCCAGCGATAGTGGGAACGGCGGAGGATGGAGTTGAGCCCGTGGCATCAGTCGAAGCAGTGCCAGTGACTGGGGGTGCGGTGAATGTACCATTTCCTGCAGATGTGGTGGTGGTAGAAGAAGAAGAGTTTGAGGATGATTTAGCGGAGGCAAGCTGGCCGAACCCAATTTGGTTGTTGTCGAAGTCGAACACGGTGTAAACATTTTTCAGGAACACGTCACCCACGAGCCAGTTTGCGCCGTTTGATGCATAGCTGACAATGGTCGAAATACAGTAATCAGAGCCGTCAGAAACGGGGCTTCCGACATAGTCTTTGGAGGAAATGGAATATTTGACACCCGAAAATTCGAACTGAATGGTTGCGGTGGAGTTGCAGGGAAGGATATAGTTGTTGGGGTTGCCCGATTGTTGCGAGGCATGGGGGACAAGGTCAAAGAGAGTCGCGGCGTCTGATGGGGGAATCAGAAGGTAGGTAGTACCGGTGTCGATAGTGGCGGACTTTCCAGTGAAGTTGCAGCTCTTGCCATTCACATACGCATCGTCGACGGGGATACTCCAGATGTCGGCGTCTGTGCTGGTATAAGAGATGGTACCGTCGTATTTGGTGGTGTCCACGCCCCCAAAGTTGACCTCTCCATCCTTGCCATCGTCTTTTGCGCGTGAGAGACTGAATCCGACCAGGTTTGACTTGAGAAGCTTCTTCTTGGCGACCAGATCCATGAACGAAGGCAAGCTCCATCCATTCGTGTGCGATCGACCCAGACCAAGGATTCCGTCGAATGGATAGCTCTCGAAAGTCTTGGAGGCGAAATTTGCCTGGCCGAAATCTTGTTCCACCTCGAGACCTGCAAGCGAAAGAACATCTGTGCCCAGCTTTCCCGTTACATTTCCACTCCCGTACCCTAGGCTGAAGGTCGAGTCCTCGGTTGAATAGCTGGTTGACTTGGAGCGATCGAACGTATGATGCCGGGTACACACCGCCTCTGTACATTCCGAATCAAAGACCCAGGTGTTGGGAGCACCAGTATCGAGCGCCATCCACATTTCCGTCTTTTGGGAGCCCACCAGAACGGAGCAAAAGTAGGAGTAATCCGTACCATCCTGATCCAACGGTGCGCTGTTCTTCAACTTCGGGGTGTAGGCTTCGACGATCTTGTAGCCATCATCGCGGCGGACGGGGATTTTCTTCAGGTTGAGGGTTGGAATAGTGTCGTCATCGGTCTTGGCCTCGATCAAGCTCCACGGCATAAAACGTCGTTCGAGTGTCTCGTCAACGTCGCGTAGTTCGACGCGCAGTTCCCATGGGTAAAAGGCCCGCACGCCCGTGATGGCAATAAAGATCAGACATGATGAAAGATGCATAGTCCCGGAGGGGTTTAGTTGCGAGGAATGGTATAATTCTGCATTTGAAGACCGAAAGGAATTGGCGGTTTCGCTTTTTGCTTTTTGCTGTTTCTTGGAAGTGGTTCTAGGTAGTACAAAGCGGAGATTGAGCGAATGAATTGCAATTAAGAGAACGCAAGCATAGAACAAAAAAAAAGAAAGAAAAGTGAAGACGTGAGGGGGAAGTGGCGGAAGTTGAAGAAAATCCCCCTGACAAGTGAGTGAAGTACGGACACCCCAGGACTAACCTCAATTGAGGTCTAGTTCCTCCACTGGCAAGAACTCTTCTCCACCTAAACGCTCATTCGAGTCCCGATCGACCTGTTCGTCGGGGCTAGTTGCCCACTAACCCAAGCTCGGGGCTTCTGTGGGCACTTTTACCTTGATTTTGGTAATTGTCATGGATTTTCTATTTTCGTTCGCTTTATTGCCAATGGGAATATGCTTGGTGTCAATTCATCTGAAAGCTTATCAAATCCATGATGATCGTGATTTATTCTTTCTCTTTATTGTCCAAAGCAGCATGTACTGTAGAAAAGGAGAATGGTTCCCCTATGTCCGGGGTATAGTCGGATATATTCTAAAGTTACATAGGAGCCTTACAAGATGATCAGCAACACTTCAGCAGCAAGCATTGGAGCATCACATCAATTCACAGAGTCCTCAGTAATCCGAACCTATCCTAACCGATAAAAATTGCTCGCGAACATGGAAAAGTGATGCGACCGGTCTAGACTTACTCCACATGGGTCGCGACCACATAAGTACTTTGGTCGAGACCATCTGTAGCTCGATATGTCACCTGCACAGCTGGTCTATTTCGACCTGGATATAATATATCACATCGTCTTGCAGTTTGCTGGGTTATGGATCGGCTCAGGCTTCCCGATACTACTTGCGGAGCACGAGAGCTCCCTCAACGGTCGCACCCTCAAGGGTTTTATTTCGAACGACAAAGTCAATTGATTTGCCAAACCATGTTTCCATTTAGCTGCGGATGCTATACACCTTCTGAATCGCCTCTGAGGAGCTCTCTTCATTCCCGGGGCTGTACGGAGTACACGGCGGCGAACTGGATTGTCGCGTTTATCCCTCAACCCGCCACTTCTACTCCCAAAGTTGACGGCAGATAACCAGCAGGCCAGGACGCATAAAGGGAAGAGTATTTTGACTTCATGAAATGATGACTGGTGAGATAAAGAAGACGATGTTACGGGGGTAGACGGTAGACCAATTGCTTCCACCTCAAGTAACCCATTCGTGCCTACTTAAGTACTAGTAGTTGGTACTTCTGCGTTGATACAACTTTAGAAGAGACTTCAGGACAACTCTCGAGCTTTATGCTCCGTACGGAGTATAATGGCTCTAATTCCCTTCGTCATCGTATTCTAAGTGTATCTTCCTACTCTTGTGAAAGGCGAGTGCAGTTCTGAGTTGAGCCTCCCACAGCGAAGCTTGGACTTGCTCCAGTCAATGCAACAGCGGTACACTCGACCTAAAGAAACAATTTTGTTTGCTATGGCTCATCCTTACTAGGAAATACAAATTGGTCGTACGGAGTACAATCCCTGAGATTGCATATCTTGCGGTACCCGGTATTGACGTTTGAGCTGGATGGATATGGTGCAACGAGACATGCCAAAATTTTCCAAGTATCAGCCCTCAATTCAACAATACCTGGTCTGAATTGAAAAAGCTGGAGATCGTGTTCTGCTGATTTTCAATCCTAAATGTGAGCAAAGACCGAATCAGCTCCAGGCTGGTCTATACAATTTCAATAACCTGGGGTTGTGGCCTCGGGCTAACCTTGGAACCATCAACTGTGAGGACATTTCGGTCCAATATAGTGAAATACAAATTGTGGTACTCTATCACAAAACTTTGGAATATGTCTCGAGATGCTCCAGTTAAGCTACCCCGGATGAAACAGTAGCCTCCGATCATTTTGTGGGGCTAACACCTGGATCAATTTCCCCACAAGCCATGAAAGCAATACGATTTCAGATACAGTTTTCTTAATTGAACTCCATTCGCACGGAGTTAATTGAGATGTAGCTATGGCAAATCACTTCGGATTAGCAGTACGTGTGATTATCCAAGCGTCCTCAGGCTGGGAACCAACATCTCATCGATGGACATTCCAGGTCCCAACAGATGTTGAAAAAGATAACACAGCCACAATGAAAGCATTCCAGTGCCTTGATCTGACGTCAAAATGTTCTGCACAGAATCATTATGATCAACATATACTGTACTCCGTACTCCGTACCTGCCTGTGGACCGCCCCTTACAGTACAACAATGATCATTCATCAGCCACAGCTCTATTGGCCTGGTAGCAATTCAGTCCTGACGAAAGCCACAATGACGTACCGGTCTGCAAGGTCCAAACTTCCATCGAAAACGATTGATAAATCAATCAGATAATGATCCCCAGGCATCCCCGAAACAGCCCGAGCGGGCCCCGATCTCCCCCTTCCGAGCCCCGTAGTGTAAAATGTCGGGAACAGGTGCAAAAGAAATTAACCCGAAGAAATTGAAAGTCGTCATTTCGGTTGGGGCATATCTCGGATTTTCTGGGAAGCGAGAATGATATACCGAAAACGTTTTGCCGAGATGATGTACTCCAGGGCTGTTTATACCCCGGAAGACCAGATAACCATGATAACGCTTATTTCACACGACTACAGTGACTCACACAGCCAACCTACAATTTGTGGGGTGATTGTCAATTTCCATCTCGAACAAATCCAGATGACTCATTGGGAATTTCCATGTACGCGGTTAAATTGCAATTTTCGTCGTGCCGAGGCACTAGATTGCCGATGTCCACAATGATCTACGAGTGGCAGATCTACTTCGTAGCCAGAATTCGGGATAACCTCCGACGTAAGTAAATGTTCCGAGGTCATCAGATCAATGTGAAACGTAGTTGCCATTGTTCAATTCAGTGGGACCTGCATGTGGACTGCATCAGTTAGGCACAGTTGATTTCATATGATCCCGATGTTTACCTCAAAGTAGGGCCATATTATATCCGGAGTAAATAAAGTAATATAAGATTTGAAAAGGGATTGAAGATTGAAGTTGGTTCAAGTTGTGCATTGGCAAGCATCAAGTTTGCATAGCAATATAATAGATGGAGAATAAAAAAGCCGACAGGCCAAAGGAGGAATCTTCACTCCTGGATAAATATTACATCAAAACGCTAGGAAACAAAAACAATTCTCATCATAAGCCCGTCAACAGGCCGGAGGAATTACTTCCGGAGAGTCTCTTTGGGACCCATCACATCATCAAGGAAGCCAGCCCAAAGCTCCTTGAAAGCGCCAGGCTGAGTACTCCCGTTCTGACCGCGCTGGATCTCCTCTCCAACACGGGAGCGACCAACAGCCTCGGTCAAGGAGAACGGGTCCAGGTCGACGGCGTGGTTATCGACGACCTCGCTCATGGCGCTGGCGGCCACGTCGGCACCGTCACCGGAGACGGTGTAGATCACTGGCTTCATGGGTGGGGCGGAGGGAGATGCATGTCCCCGGATTGAAGGAAGCTCGGGAAGGACCGGGACTTGGATGCCGCGGTGCAGGGGGGCGGCGTCGAGGTCGGCCATGGTGGGCATGTAGACGAAGTCGACGGTTGAAGAGTCATTGAGGGCTTTTGAGGAGCGGGAGGTGTTGAATTGGCGGGTTGAGGGAGAGCTGTTATGCTGTTAGATTGTGTTGACTTGGAGAAGTATATCATCCTCTGTAGGTGGATGCAGATGTACTCATAGATGTATAGCAGGGTGACTTACTCTGAGAAGGCGCTGCCGTTGATTCGGCGCATGGCCATGCTGAGAGCACGGGATTGAAGGATGTCATGGGTGGACATGGTCTTCTCGGCTGTGTTGGCAGGTTGAGCGGATTGCACGCCGGTGATGTGTAGGTTGCGGCGAGCAGGTGTGGCAGCAGGCTTAGAGACGGCGCGCAGAGCGCGGAGAGATGAACGAGGAGCAGACATGATGTGTATGGAGTGTATAGAGTATAGGGCAGAGCACTGAGTGAAGGGGGCAGAGAGCAATAGGGAAAAAGAAGAATAAGGTACAGAAGGCGAGATCTTTATAGTTGAGACTGGTTGGGGAGCTATGAGGCCACTTCTTGGCGGTCTGGACCCGTTATCGATAGTCCAAGTAGTCGACGTCAACAGTACTCCGTAGTACTCAGGTCGTTTTTCTTCCTTTTTTTTTTCAAGAAAATTCTGATTGGCAATGTAACTTGAGAGGAAGATAAGCCTTTTCTTCTTACTTTCCTATCTTCTTATATATAGTGAAGTCACTGGCAGAAAGGAGCTCAACAATTCTCGTTCGGAGATCTACGGCGTAAGTACCGGGTACCCAGCCGTCGGGACTGTGAGCTACCCCGTACCCACCAGAACACGGAGTGACAAGATGTACCCGGTACATCACTTTCCCCCCGGTTCCTGTGCTTGCGTACTTGGTACACCTGAGCATGAGAACTTCCCCCCCTCAATTCTCAACTTTCTCCTGAAACGGGGGTGATCATTGCCCTATCTTGGCGATCATCCAATTGAATATTCACCACGCCATTATTGGGTACTTCCTAATGTTTCCCGAAACTTAAGTCATTTTCCTTCCCCTCTTCCTCCGGAGCATGAGAGCCCTCCGGCTTGTATTTTCCTAGGGAAACTCCCAGGGCTGAGATGCAGATGCAGAACAGTGATGCATACGATGACAAACCCTCCCCTGTGAGTGGCTGTGTAATTCTCTCTTTGAATTTTGAGATGTCGATCTGTTGGTAATCCCATGACCTGGTGGATCTGAGATGAGAATAGTACACTACGAGTAAATCTTCCCAGAAGTGGAGCGGTGAACCGGAGTTGCGTCCGCCTTCCGACTCCTTTATTCTCTTCTCTACGCTGTACACAACCATACTGTATACTGTACGAGTATACTCGTACATGCTCTGATGTGATGCATGAGAATGCTACGTGTTCAATCGTAGACCGTTGAATCTAAACCCCGCAATTTGTGCAAGATCAGCAGACCTTGTCTACGAGTATTTCGATAGACAATGTCCACTGTAAGGGCACCGGGGCAGTGTTCATTAATCTTGGCATTCTAATCTCCTGAATTCTTCAGCAGAATCCAGGGATAGGAGTATCGTGGAATTCGAATTTCATCCCCTGTGCGTATGGGGTGACATGGGTGTAATTGCCTCAATGCTAATGGAGGGGTAGCATCCATGTAAGATACCTGGTACATGCAGCGCATCTGCATCATGGATAGTGCTTGGTACTTTATATGTATCTGCCTACTCCGAACTCCATGTCTCGATAGACCATTGCAGTGAAAATGCCCAAATGCGTGGCAATGTGCCATCACCAAGCATCATGAACCCCCGGCAGACCCCCTATACCCCTATCCTCAGAGCTTGGAGCCCGCTCGTCGTCCTTTGGCTATGGCCCGAGCGTATGGGTGAGCGCGGGATGCTGGAACCAGGTGGTCGACATCCCCGGTGTGCACGAGGTCCGGGGACGCCTCTGCCAGGGATGTGATGCCAACATTGCGCATGGAAGTCTCCAGCTCATCTTGCATGACTGAAATCGGGTTAGCAAAGGCATAAACATGGATCCACCAATCGGCTTACTATCGATCAGATGCTCGATGCCCTCCTGGCCATAATTGGTAGCAAAGAGCATACTCCTGCCCATACCAACAGCAGTCGCACCGAGACAAACAGCCTTGAGAATATCAGTGCCACGACGAATGCCGCTATCAACATAGACCTCCATGTGCTCAAAGACCTCTGGACACCGGCGATGAATCTCCAACAGCGTGATGATCGATGGCGGACTGGTATCCAAATTACGGCCGCCGTGATTACTGAGTAGGATTCCATCGAGTCCCGCCTTCATGGCGAGCAAGGCATCGTCCGCTGACATCACACCTTTCAAACACACCGGCTTGTGCGTGTGCTGTTTCACCCATTTCAAATCCTCCCACGTCAGCCCGGGGTCGATGAATCCTGCCATGACGCGGCCCAGCCCGCCGCCCTTCTTGTCATTTTGGGCCGTCGAGGGCGACATGGGCACCGAGAGGCCTTCATCGGCCTTGACTCGCTCATCTGCCTCACGCTTACCGGGCCATGCGGCATCCACCGTCACGAAGATCGCTTTGATGTTCGGGTTTGCGGAGCATTCGCGCAGTAAGGCGGCGGACTTTGCACGGTCTCGATTAACGTATAATTGGAAGAAGAAATCTGCCGCGGGTGCTGCTGTGCGTAGTTCCTCCATCGTGTACGACGAATTATTGGAAATCTTGCTGGTCAGCTCGGAACAGGGTCGACTCCGAGGGGAGATCACTTACACCTTGCATTATACCTTTATTCGCACACGCTCTGGCGATGGCACACTCCCCATCCGGGTGGATGAGCTTTGCCATCGCCGCTGGGCTGACGAACAATGGCAGATTATAACTTCCACCGAGAATGTTCGTTCGCGCGTCGACGGAACGAACATTCTTCAATACACGCGGCCGGAACCATATGCGGTCGAAGCATGATTTGTTAGCGTCGCGCGTGAGTAGATCGGTAGCCGCACTAGAGTAGAACGCCCAGGTTTTATTGCTGGCAGTCTTGGAGGCTACGACTTCGAAATCGTGCGAGTTGATTAGAGTGTGCAGTGGTGGCTTCTCATTCTCGAGCATCACCTTGGAGCTTTGCTCTGGTGGTGGCTTGGCCCATTCGGCGTCGATGGTAGATTCATCTAGAACACCCTTCCACTTCTCTGCGTCAAGGTTGTTCTTCATCACGCTTGGTGCGTGAACTTCTGAGTAGGCCTTTGTCGCATCACTGCCTGCATATTTCAAGATGACTGTCGAACATGTTCAGACATTGGACCGAGATAGGATGTTTCAATACGTACTGGTTGATCCACCTGGATGTTCTTCTAGGAAGTCGGTCACATCCCAAACTTGATTGTTGACTACCACCCAGCAATCCTCTGGCGTTTTATGCTCTGAGATCTGCTGCGTCGATAGCATCCTGGAATCCGCCATTATGAAATTGTGTGTGATATTGCTGTACAATGGCCTCAGTGACTCTGGGCATTGATGGAATCAGGTGTAGGAACCAAGAGACCCAAGTCGTCACCGCAAGTTAAATACTCCAGGGTCCGGGCGGGCTGGGACGCTTCGGCAATGTCCCCGGACTTACCACGGACTGCGCCCAAAGCTTTTAACTTCATCGCTGCTGTCTGGGATTGTACAGAAGTCGTTCGCTCTAAAGTATTTGAACTCCATGTCCTTTACTTGTCTCATTCTAAAACTGTACCAGAGCAATATTCCTCACAAACCTTAAAGAACAGAAACACTGAAACGATCTAAATGAAAAAACAACATATGAATAATCTTCGTAGTCTAGCAGACTATGAAGAAAGCGACAGTGCCAATCGGCGGCACGCCGACTGAGCTTACGGATTTCTCTCCGGAGTCTGATCTTGCGGCCCTAAATATAAGGCACCAACACACCAGCCACGGGACTCAGCCCTAGTGTGGCTCACTTCCGACCGCCAACACAAGAGTTTGACATGACTGTCGAGAGCCATTTCAGCATAACAAGAACACAAGCGATTCGTTCATCTCATGCAGGCTTTGTCGATCCGCAACAGCGCTTCGAAGTTTCTAAATCGCCAGTTTAGGTCGGCTGTGAGGACAGGGATCGATAAATCTGCTCCGTTGGGTTGGTGCCGCGTCCTAAAACGTAAATAGCCTAATATGACTCAGGCTGTTTATTGGTACAGAATTAAAGCTGATTTGAACAGTACTCAATAACAAATACACCAATCGACTTTCGTCCGTGTATTTGGCCTCTACTCAAATTCGCGAGACTAGCTCGGTTGGAAGACAAAGTCCCATATCAAAAATGGCTGAATCCGAATCTCAACCTCTCCGATATGTTGATGTGCGTTTTTTCCAATCTACTACGGGGATGGTCTTTCGAGTCCAGTGACTGATCGAGAAGCTCAGATTGGAATCAACTTGAGCGATCCCATGTTCCGCGGTGAATACCACGGTAAACAGTCCCACGAAGATGATGTAGACGATGTTATCCAGCGTGCCAAAGATGTGGGATGTTCCAAATTCATGGTCACAGGTTCCGATCTCGAGGAGTCAAAGCATGCCGTGAGCATCGCCAGCAGATACCGTAAGTGCATCTCCCAAGTATCCAGCCAGTCAACTGACACCCCTTCACAGCTGGATTCTGTTACGCAACCGTCGGTGTACACCCATGTCAAGCAAAGCTTTTCGATGAGTACCCAGGTGGTCCAACAAAGATGCTAGAGGAGCTTCGTGCCCTAGCAATAGAATCCCAGCAAGCCGGCCACGCCGTTGCATTTGGCGAGATTGGCCTAGACTACGACCGTCTTTTCTTGAGTGCCAAAGAGCCCCAGCTAAAGTATTTTGAAGCACAACTTGATCTTGCCGTTGAGATCCAGATGCCTCTTTTCCTCCACTCTCGCGCAGCAAGTGAGGATTTCGAGCGCCTGCTCGCTCCACGACTTGCGAATCTCCCTAAGCGTGGTCTTGTGCACAGCTTCACAGGCACAATGGAGGAGATGAATCGGATGGTTGCGTTGGGCCTCGATGTCGGAGTTAACGGGTGTAGTATGAAGACTGAGGAGAATTTGGAAGTTGTCAAAGCTATTCCGCTGGATAGGCTTCAGATTGAGACCGATGGGCCTTGGGTACGTATCTTGCTCTTGGTTAAAAGGTCATTGGCTGATTATTTAGTGCGAAATTCGTCCTTCCCATGCGTCTGCGAAGCATTTGGATGGTGCGCCGGAGTTGCCTAAGGCTGTTAAGAAGGAGAAATGGACGAAGGGGTGTATGGTCAAGGGCCGCAATGAACCTGTTGCTATTGCGCGTGTGGCTCATGTTATTGCCAGCGTGAAGGGTATTACCGTGGAGGAGGTTTGCGAAGCGTAAGAGATCCACGCTTGTTCTAAAGTTGTTGGGACTTTTGCTAACACTCTCGATTTATGGCAGTGCTTGGAATAACTCGATCAAGATGTTCGGCCTGGGTGGGGAATGCTAGGAGCAACGCATATGCCACTTTTTATCGTGATGCATAGCTCATTATTATGGCCTTGTGGGAATTAGAACGGCTCAGGGCCAACACCCTGAGTGTAACCACTATAATGGCCTATTCAATATGATATATTACTTAAAGTACAGGAAAATTTGCTTATGATAGCCTTATACTTCATCCGTCATGATGAGATCTGAATCCCAAGATCCTATATTCTCCGCAGAATATGGATATTCCATAATAAACTCTCTACAATCTGCCACATCCTGGTCATCCGAGAAGAGCATTGCTTCTTCGTTACTCCCAGTGGTTTGAGAAGAAGGAGCGGCTGAGAACAAAGTATCGAGGGAGCTTTGTGTTGATTCACCGAGGTCCATGAAGCTGCTGTCGCTGTAGTTGTCCAACAGCTGTTCCTCGGTTTCGCTCGGGCAGTGAGACTCACGCAGAAAGCTTGGAGAATCTCCTTCATATGCTTCATCTGGGTGGACTTGGTGGCCTGTGTTGGCACCAGAAATTATCCTGTCGGATTTCTGACCCACAGGCATGGGAATTGTGGTCATTTCTGTCTCATGAGTATATGTGTCGACGTTGCTTGCAGGAAGCAGGAATGATTTCTGTGTGAGTGGTTTTGGCTTGCTTGTACTTTTCTGGGCAATATTCCAAAGTTTTGAGTGAATCGCAGTCCTCAGATATGTCCCTTGGGAATCGATTTCATGGAGAGGAAGTTCTGTAGAATGAGACGACTCCATGGAGCTTGTGAGTTGGGCTTGGAGGGAGGGATTCTGACCTCCTTTGAGCATAGCTGAAATCGCTTTGGTGATGATTGGCATGGTCACCCCTCGCTGATTGATTGCCTTTGTTTATTCAGTATAATATATGCAGATACTTGAAAAGCTCAAACTCACCTCTTGGTGTCCTAGTTTAAACACCACGGGGGCAAAATCCGCAAGGCTGATGAGGGAAGCTCCATCTGACACCCAAATTTCTGGGTCTCGTATCTTGTTTGGTATCATCAACCGTCTGAGTCCGAGCTCAAAGAGTCTTTGGAGAGCCCCGGGAGGAATTGCCGGTTCAATTGCTGGTTTCTGTTGGACTTGCAGCCCAAGGTGTTGAAACAACGCATCGGGGAGCATTTCTTCGAGCCAGGTGGATTCAGACCTCGCTTCTGGAAGTCTTGCTTCCGCCATTGCCTGGAGCTCAAGCTCAAAAGCAGATGACGAGACGGACAAAGGGTTCCTGCAGGCGGTTTCAACTTTAGACATGAAGGGGTTTGGGGCCTGAGAAAGCTCTCCTTTGTGGAAGCAGTATTCCAATGAGATATCAACTGAAACCAACGTCGCCGTTGATACGTCCCGAAGTGGTGATATGTCTGGTGGTTTAACCATCACGGTAGGAAGAGTCCAGTGCCTTTTGTGGTCTTGCTTCGGATGCTGTTTGCGCAGGCCAATACTCAAGGTATATTTTCCAGGGATATCGGTTTCCCCAACACCCCCCGTGCTGAGTACAGCCGAGAATCCGAGCTCCGACCAGACCTGAACCTGATGATTAGCAAGGTAGTCCCACGCTTTGTTTCGAGAACCTGCCTCGAGTGCATCAAGCTTGGCTCTCAATGTGGTAGCCAGTATGTTGACTGCACTCCTCAACCTCCAATCATAGCCAAGGAAGAAGCGTAGCTGCATCTCGGGTGCTCCCGTTATCCAAACGTCCTTCGGATCAAATAATTGAGTAGTCTCTCTGGGAGGTGTTGTTTTGTCTCGAATCTGTAACTGGGAAAGGTTGGCCGTTGCGAATATGTGAAGCTGCAATGGTGAATCTCGAATTCGGAGGGTGGCTCGACCCAAGTCAAGTTGAGCCATTTTCGAGGGAATCTCATCTCTTGATCACCATAGACATGACTTCATGTCCCAGGGTCCAGACTCAACTGGGAGTGATCTTTGACGGACGTTGAGAGATGTTTGAGAGTGCGAACCTTAAAATGGGGACATGTTTGACTCCGCGGCACATGACTTCAGCCCTACAAGGAAGAGGCATACTTTCAGAAAAAACGGCATCATAAACCAGAAGTACACTGAAGGTCGTAGGGCATGAATTGAAATTGAGCAGGGTGTATGGTGCATAGATATTCCACTTCATATCTTGTTCGTGATTAAATCGGATCTGCTGTTTGGCCAATGATCAAGCTAGCTCTTCAGGCTGCTTTCATAAATTTCTGATCAAATCACCTTCGTACGCATCTTTCATTTATCCTCTTAGGCCTTGATTACTGAAACTTGGACTGATGTGCACAGCTTGCACTCAGATAGCCAATATAGTACGTTCTCACATTCCCAGGTAGCGAAATATAACCTGAAACCACTATATACAGACTAAGCCATAGTAACTTACAGAATCAACCGAATATTGAACCATGAACAGTCATTGATCCTTGATATCACCTGTAATCAACTCTGTAGAGATCTATAGTTCCGAGAAGGTCACGTGGGCCAAATGGGCCGAGCCTTGGGAGTTTCAACCTGGAACCTTGGAATCCCTGGAGCCCTGGAGGCTGGTTGGCCTTATCGCCCTTATCGGATCAAAGCAATCTTATCGATAAAGACTCACGTGCGGCCCCCATTCAGGTGGCCTGAAGGTATTTGGCCTCTTGCAACTATTCATAGAGTACGGTCAGCGATGCTAGGGGAGGAGACGTCAGAGGATAAATGGCCTGATGGTCAAGACCGACATGAAGTCCAATTTCCTCTGTTGGTTTCAAACGACGAGCAAGACCCAACATTCCAACCGGGGCCCGTTCCGCCGCCGATCCCCTCACGCAACGCGCCAAATGGCAAACGCCACTCCTCGATCTCTCAGCCAGCGCCCGATGGACAGCGTCGTACGCCCCGTACCATGAACCGAGTTCGCTTTGATCTGGAAGAGGAGCCTGAGAGCCCTGGGCGTCATTCGATTGACCGTGTTTCAAGTCCAGACGACGAGTTATGGGTTGACGCTGAAGACTATGAACTGGGCACTCGGGGGTCAGGAACTCAACACAATGGACAATCAATTCCTCTTCTCACGAACATCGAAGCGCCCAGCGTGACCCTCGCCACCTCAGACGACTTCTTCCCCGAAGAGCACTTGGAGGATGCGCGGCCCAGGAGTGGCATGAAGATGGCGTTTATGAACATGGCCAACAGCATCATTGGCGCTGGAATCATCGGCCAGCCTTATGCGCTTCGCCAAGCCGGCATGACCATGGGAATTCTGCTGTTGACTGCCTTGACATTCACGGTGGACTGGACCATTCGGCTGATTGTTATCAACTCCAAAATGAGCGGCGCAGACTCATTCCAAGCGACCATGCAATACTGTTTCGGGAAGAGCGGTCTGATTGCGATTTCAATCGCACAGTGGGCATTCGCGTTTGGCGGCATGGTTGCATTCTGTATTATTGTTGGCGATACAATACCCCATGTGCTGAGCGCTCTGTTCCCGTCTCTGAAGGACATGTCTTTCTTGTGGCTACTCACTAATCGGCGGGCCGTGATCGTGATATTTGTAATGGGAGTCCCATACCCTCTTTCAATGTACAGAGACATTGCCAAGGTGGGTTTATCTTACTTGATGATTATGCGCCAGGCTAACCCAGAGCTAGTTGGCAAAGGCGTCTGCATTGGCATTGATCAGCATGATCATCATTGTGGTTACAGTCATCACTCAGGGTTTCCGAGTTCCATCTGACGCACGCGGAGAGATCAAAAGTCACCTTGTATTCAACACTGGCTTTTTTCAAGCCGTGGGTGTCATCTCATTTGGTAAGCGGCCGCCATCCCTGCCCCGGTATTGACGAATAGAACATCGCTAACGTATTTCAGCTTTTGTTTGCCGTATGTCAGTGTCATTTGGGGGCATTTCCATTGCTAATTCCCACAGATCACAACAGCCTTCTCATCTATGGCTCCCTTAAAAAGCCCACGCTTGATCGCTTTACCAGAGTCACCCATTACTCGACAGGGGTGTCTTTGGTCATGTGTCTTGCTATGGGTATCGCAGGTTTCTTGTCCTTCGGGTCTAAGACCCAGGGCAACGTTTTGAATAACTTCCCATCTGACAATATTGTCGTTAACATAGCCCGGTTGTACGATACTCCACATTGACATTGAAACCGGGTCCTCTGCTGACTGTCACTAGTTGCTTCGGTCTAAACATGCTTACCACCCTACCACTTGAGGCATTCGTCTGCCGTTCTGTTATGACGACTTACTATTTCCCTGACGAACCCTATAACCCTGTTCGGCACATCATCTTCACGACAGCATTGGTGGTTACATCAATGTCGCTGTCCCTCATAACTTGCGATTTAGGAAGCGTATTCGAACTCATCGGGGCCACCAGTGCTGCAGCACTGGCCTACATATTCCCTCCACTCTGCTACATCAAACTCAGCAGTGCCTCGCGGCGAGAAAAAATCCCTGCCTATGGATGTGTCTGCTTTGGTGTGGTGGTCATGGGTGTGAGTGTCGTTCAAGCAATGACTAAGATCATTCGAAGTGAGTTATCCCCGTTCACTTACCCACGGTTGTGGCACTGCAGCATACTGACAAAGAAAACCCCTTCCAGACGATGGTGAGTCTCATTCTTGCAGTGGACTTTAGAGGTCATATCTTTATCTAGGGGAAAGATGTGGACTCCCTCCCTGATAGCCTTTGTACATATGCATCAGTGCCAAATCAGTCTTTCCATGAATTATAACATGACTGGGAGCTATCTCACATTCAAACACTTTCCAAGTTACTCTATGGAGAACATGGAGGCCTATCCCAAAAGCTCCACCAGTTCTATTTCTACCAGCTGACTTGGGTAGAGTTGGTCCAATGGGGGTCTCTTCGTAGAAAATGAGGGCTTTCCCAGCTCGAGGAAGACAGTCTGGGAAGTCCATTTTTGCGGAAGGCACGGCCAACCCGCAGCTGCCGTTTTGAGAAATGGGTGCTTTCCAAAATGGGTTTGTTGACATCAGGTCAATCGTGTCTTCATCTGCCACATTTGTTTGGCTTCTTCTTTGCTTCTCCCACTCTCCTTTTGTGCCCATCTCTTCTTGTCCCATTGATATTGTTTCATTGATTGTTTACTGCTATCTCGGTCCTACATTACTGTTACTCCTCGGAGTCACAGTGATTAGGCCATTACTTTCACTTCCAGACAATCGTTTGAGCCGTGAGCTCTTCGGGTGTCTCTTTTCTCTCTCTTGTTAGGCCTCTTGCCCGCATCATCTTCTTATCAAGAACTCTACCCCATACCAGGGGCAACCCTTCGCTCATTGTCACTTTGAGACGCACCCGATCAGCTACAACTGACGGGTTATCAGACTGATTGAGACGTTTCTTCCCTTTCAATCGTGCTTTGATTGCTGCAGAGATCACGCAACGCAACTTCTACACACATCAACAGCGAGACAAACACAGAGTCTTCCGTGAAATTTGAGCTTGATTTTGACCATGTCTACCACCAAGGATCCAGCTGCCACTGATCGAGAGCGCGCACTGCAAGCGCTTATGATTGTAAGTCATCCTTCTCACTTTCAGTCTCTCCTCGCTTTATCATTCTCTGACCTACCCCAACAGGCCGATTTGGGCTCGGATCGTCGAAACAAATGTACGACCGTCGATGCCAAGCGGGCTCGCTTCGAAGCAGATGCCATTGAGTCCCAGCGTCGTATTCATGTCGAAGGGAGTGAGGCACATCGCCGGTTCGAAAATGACGAGGACCTGCTCAACAAATGGAATCGTATGTTTCAAAATTACTTGTATGGGTTTTGCTTCTATGCTCACTATTGTTGTCATCAGATCTTCACGAAAGCATCAATGACACCGCCCAAATGGAACAGCTTCCCGATATCGCCGCCGGGCAATCCCACCGTGCCTCTTTGAATGCTGTCATGCGGGCGCTAAAGAGTCAAGCCCCCAGGAATCAATTTCACGGCCCTGTTGCCCGTGGTGGAGGTCGTGGTGGTGGTCACACTGGTGGTCACGCTGGTCGTGGTGGTGGTATCGCCGGATCCCGAGGACATGGTGCACTCCCATCTCGCGACAGGACATCAAGTCTTGGAGCGATCTCGAAGCCTGGTCACCCTGGATCTGCCAATCACTCAGCCTCTGTCTCGCTTGGGTTGGATCCTGCTTTGAATATCAACAATAATCCCGCCGAAAATGACTCGCGCCGTCCAAGGGGACCTCGGAGACGGAAGAGTACCTCCATGCTTTCTTCCCAGCAACTACAGCGATCCTCCGAGCAGCAACAGCGACCTGATGTTAACTTTTCTAACATGATGGCTGATCCTGCGAACTTCATGACCTCGTATCGAAAGACATTTGAAACGCCACTTGCCTCTAGCCAAGGACAAGGCCACGCGACCACGGCATCCCCCAATATCAAGCCTGGGAAGAATACACTGCAACCAGAAGCCGCAGCTGCCCCGCCCGTAATTGTCAAATTGCCAGCTCAAACTGTGCTTCCGGAGAAGACCCTCCCAGTCGGCAAGCCAAAGGTCAAGACTGGCAAAGGAGCACCGAAATCTGAAGCTATTGCGGCTTCAGTCGTGATCTCCAATCCACTGGCTCAGGCAGTTACTCCCAAAAAGACTCTTCCAGCTGGCAAGCCAGAGGCACATAATGGCAAAGGAGCTGTGAAATCGGAAGTTGTCGCAGTTAAACCCGTGCTTTCCAAATCATCGGTTCAACTTGGGCTTGCCGAGAAGACCCTCAAATCTCTCCAACCTATCAAGCGGAATGCTCCAGCTGCCACTTCTGACTCGATTGTGGTTGGAATGATGGGTTCCCACCAAGTAGAAACACCTACTCCATCCCCCAAGGCATCTGGGGCCAGCAAGGTTGTGCAGCCCAAGAAGTCCAAGGCCAAGGACTCAGCTGGGCGCATTGTTCAACCGGCAGACGTCGGACCACCCAGCAAGGAGATTCAATGGCATATCTCTCCTGGAGAGTTCCCCCGAACTAGTCAGCCTATCGTGCCTGTGGCTCAAACAAAGAAATCTAAGGCTGCTGCAGGTAGCAAGCCACCAGTTGCTCCTTCGAAACACACGAAGGCCCCAAGCGATATGCTGGCTGCCCCTGCAGGAACCTCTGTTTCCAAGAGCGTTTCTTCAAGTGTCTCAACCGCAGCTGCGGGTGGCAATCCACCGGTTTCTCGCAACTTGACACCCAAGAAACAGATCCAGATCGAATCGCTTTTGGACGCTGCGAATTCTCCGATTTCGGCCCGCGTACTTGAAACCACACCCGCTTCTTCTGCGGCTCGTGGGAAGGATGTCAGGGTTTCTGAGGCTGTCGTGGCTGCCGATGAGCGTGAGGATGGCAAGCCGCCTGTTCCTGACATTCCAAAGCAAAAGGCCAAAAACGCCGAGGAAGTCAAGAAGACGCAAGATTTATCTCTTCTTGATACGGAGAATCAGCCAATCAGTGAGGCTGCACTCAAGATTCCTGTCCTTACTCCGGATCCACCTGCGAAGAGCCCAGCAACCGCCGAGCTGCTAGGTCTGAAATTTTCCGCTGAAGATTCGCAAAAAACCATCGACAAGACTCTCGTCCGGGCAAGTCAGGTCTCAATCGCTCAGACTGCTGAGTTTGAGCGACTTCTCGCCAAGCGTGTCAATGAGGAGGTCGAGATCCGCCTAAAGCATGCGCGTGAAGTTCTGAAAAGGCCAAGTAATAAGATCGCGCGCTTTGAAGACTGGCTAAACCAGGCTGACCAAGAGGAAGCTACAGTCATCCAGGATGTACTGCGCAAAGCGAGCTTCACTGAGTACCGCTCGCGGAAGGAGGTCCTGACCGACTCCTCCGGCGACTCCTCGCCAGCTCCCAAATCAAAGGTCCCTGGTCAATTACAAATCGTGAGTAATGATTTCGTGAATCGTTTCTCCAATGTCGGAGCTACTTCGGGTAGCACATCTTGTGGTACCCCTACTCAGGCACCCCCTGCTCGTATTGAGGCGGATCTTCCCATCAGGCTAGCACCTGTTCCCCTCAAGGCCGCTCCTGTTTCTGCCAAGCCTGCTAAGCCTGCTCAGGTCGGATCATCTGCTGTGACCGCTAAGGCAGCTCCTGTTTCTGTCGAGGGGACTTCCGCCAAACCTCCTGCCCCGAAAAAAAAGCAACAGAGTCTGCTTGATTCTATCTATGCAACAGGACCCGAGCAAACGATACCAGGCCCCCGACTTCTCAGTGGTAATATCCCAAAGCCCGAGGATCCCCGCGCTACTGGAGTACGCGTGATCGGGCCAGCGCCATATGATCCCAAGAAAAAACATGAAATCACGAGTGCAGTGAGTGCTCAGCAGTCAGCTGAAAACACGAAATTTTCTGGAGTGCAACTTGTCGGACCAGCCCCATATAACTCCAAGGCATATGGACAGTCCAGTGCGCTGAACACTCAGCAAGCTTCGGGAAATTCGAAATCCGCTGACTCGGAAGATTCTGAGTCTGTGAACCGTGTCAAGGTTATTGGTGTTCAACCATATAACCCCTTCAACCGTCGAAACTAAACCATCATGTGAGATGGTAGTCATGAGAAATTTCCTGCGTTTGTTTGTGCCTAGTGCCAGTCTCATTGTCCAATGATTGATGCCTCCAGGAACCACAGATGATTGCTATTGCTATGAATGAGATGAGACGAAACGTTGCATGGACTGAAGGCAAAACGTTAGCTATTGGCGTGAATGAACCCAAATGACTGGGCTCAATTTGAGATGGTAGTCATGAGAAAATGTCTGCGTTTGTTTGTGCCTGGTCCCTGGTGAATTGTGTTATGTGCTTTAGTTTTCTTTTCAAATGCCTATGATATGTAGTGAAAATGTTGATTTATTGTAATCTTTTCCCTGTAGAATGAGCACTTGAACGCTTTCATTTGCTCATGAAGTCTAGCCCGAGGAGTGCTTCAATCCATGAATGACATTTTTTATGATTTGTAAGGAAAACAAACCTACAACGGGATGCACGATATTCTCGGCTGGAAAACTATGGCCCTGGCTCACGACCTATTTTTGCACTACCTTGATCCAAAGAAATCTACACAGCTTGAAAGAATGACAACATAAAATTGGACACGGATATCAAAATAAGTAGGTATCAGAATCCGGTGAGTCTGGGGTTTTCGTGTCCCAGAACCTGTGAGCCTTTTGACTCTCCACTCCGAAACGCCGTCCATATCTCTCCCATGGTAAAAAGCTGAAGGAAAGAAAAAAAAAAAAAAAGACCGAAAGAGGGCATGGGGATGTACCGGAACCCGAAATGAGAATGATAGCAAAATGCAGAGTAATACTTTCCCATGGACAAAAGAAATTCAAATCGTTTTCATTACTGGGAAGGCCCACGAGCCCCCGAAAAAGACCCTGAGTTCGAATTCACGACACGGGGTCGTTTTGGGTCATTTGCAATGGGCACTGGACCCCCAGGGCCCTTTTTGGAGTCATTATTATTGACATCGGCCAAAGGTGGACGTTTGCCATTGATGTTTTGTGCAGGTGGAACACCGCGGTTCATGGCCACTGGATTGGAAACGCTCCTCTGATCAGGATTAGGCCGGGTCAATGGTCGGTAGGATGAGACTGATGGGCCTTTGCTGATGGGGCTACCGGCTCCAGCGCCAGGAGCACCAACTCTGCGCTGGAGGTCTGCTTTGGGGTTAACGAAGTCACGAGAGTTGTTCGGTGCTGGAGAAGCGGATGATAGCATAGGTCTGGATATGGGGATGCTCTTTGAATGGTCCACGCCTGCTGTCTTGCGGATGGAAGGACTTTCTGCGTGAGGGTCAAATTGAGGGGCACCCTGGGGCACTGCGTTGGGGTTATCGCGGAGTAGGTCGACTGCCCTGGCCGAGAAAAATCCCCCAGAGGGCGTGCGAGTTGGTGGGTTCATTTCGGGGTTTGCAGGTGGGTTTTCTCTTTTGGTTGGAGGTTGTGCCATTTTATTCACAGGGTTCTGTGGGGCAACCGGTGGCTGCGGTGTGGCTGATACTCGAGGATTCGAAACACTTGGTGATTGAACTTGGCCAGGGGCCTGTCGAACTTGCGCCGCAGCTGAGGCCATGACTGCTGGGTTTGCTCGTGCAATGGGTGGGATTGGTCGTCCAGCTGGACCTGTGGGGTTCCATCGCTCGGGTTTGGATGGTGTTACAACTGATGGATTCACCGTGGGCCGTGCTGGTGGTGGTCCTGGCTGGACTGGCCCGGGTTTTGATATAGGAGCTTGAGGTTGTTGTGGCTCCGTGTCTATCACAATTTCATCAGGATTGCCTGTCTCAGCTACCCCAAAATCGGCTTCATCAAAAAAGTCACCTGGGTGAGATTAGCCAACATTCAGGGATGTGTATACTTCTCTGACATACTGCCAAACTCTCCCTCGCCATCAAATGATCCCTGCTGCCCGGGTGGGTTTGCCCTCGCTTGCTGTATCGGGCGAGGAAGAGAAATTTCCTCATCATCGGGTACAGGTTGGGGTGGCAGTGGTTGCTTCTTGGGGGGAGCAAAATCTGGGTGGCGATGCAGGTCATCTACGTCCCATCTGCCCTGTCTCAATTATCAGCATGACACGCAAAGTAGACGGCCATATGGGATCTCACCGGCGTCGCCTTGACCTTGGTAATCTTTGAGACGTAGTCTTTGTCATAGATACAGTTGCCCAGAACATTACCGAAGTTCCTCAAAGAACGTTTCAGTGCATCCGTTGTGCCTTCTTTTTTGGCTTTCTCAAAAGCCGCGGCCTTGCCCTTGCAATTCTCGATGTGTCCATAGCCAATATCCTAGAACATGTCAGTTAGCACACTTCAGGAAAGTTCCCCTTTTAGCTTTTATCTCACTTCATGAAACGTCCCATCCCGGAGTGTGACTCTCATAATCACCGAAAGTCCTAAGCTGATCCTGCCTGTATTCTGGTTCTCCTCGACCTGATTGTTGCGCGTCAGTGGATCCTTTCATCATGCCAAAGGTTCGGAACAAACGCACAAAGTCAATCTGAATCGTCTGGATCGAACTGGACCATCCATTGAAGCCAAACACCTCGTTTGCCAAGTTGATACATTTATCCGCAGAGAGATAATGCACTTTCTGCCCCGCAGCTCCGGGGCGCGCGGAGATGTACTCGGGCCCCAACTTCTTGTCAAGGCGCGCTTGTAATGTCGCGATTTCTTGTGCGGTGTATTCGTTCATTCGACGCTGGGGTTCCTCGAATGGATTCGCTGTGGTGGTTGTAGAGTTTGGCATGATGATGGATCCAGCACCGCTGCGGTGTTGATCGCCAACGCTGGGAGTATAAGTATCAGTTTCAGGTTCCGGTTGGCTGCTTTGATAGTTGTGGAGATTGAATCTCACGCTGGCATGTTCTAGATGGACTGTGTTGGGTTCAATATGTTGATATTGATGTCGTGTCAAGCGCGTAGGCAACGAGACGCGGCCAATCACGACATCACATGATGATAACAAGATAAGATAAGAGCTTAGTTTCCATTTTGGGAAGTAAATAGACTGAGCACTACGGAGTACAGAGTACGGAGTAGGGGGTATCGAGATCTCAAATTGAGCCCAGTCGGCTGGGTTCATTCGCACCAATAGCTAACGTTTTGCCTCTAGTCCATGCAAAGTTTCGTCTCATCTCATTCGTAGCAATAGCAATCATCTGTGGTCCCTGGAAGCATCAATCATTGGACAATAAGACTGGCACTAGGCACAAGTCCCAATTCCTTCAAGGTCTCGCCAAAGAACTCAGCATTGAAGACCTTCTTGGGGAAGTTCTGGGTGAAGCTTTGAACCTCAATTCCATCTTGCTCCTTCAGGGCGGCTGCAACTTCGAACAATGTGGTATCAACGGGAAGGGTCTTCATGATGTTACCCTGGGGGGAATGGAAACGGAGACGAGTTTCAGTGTATGCAGAAGCAGGCTTGGATGGAGCGGGTGCTTGGGCGGCGGCAGGTTGAGGGGGCGCTACACCAGCACGCTCGGCTCGCTGCTGCTCGGCCTTGAGGCGCCGCTCTTCCTTATCCGCCTCAATCTTCGCCTTGATGCGCTTCTTCGCTTCGATCTCGTCCTGCTTTTCTTGCTTCTTCTTCGCGGCCTCCTTCAACTGCTCCTTCCGCCGGAGTTCTTCCTTGGCATCCTGGGTTTCTTTGGTGCTCTTCCGTCGGATTTCCTGGGTGAAATGTTTAGCATGACTTTTACCACTGACAGCTGGGCCCAGTATCAAGGTATGTACCTCGTTTCTCTTCTTGTCAACCTTATCCTGTTCAGACTGCCCAGCGCGTTTCGCCGCGAGCTTCTCCCGCAGTTCTGCCAGCTTGTCCTTCTTCTCTTCCTCGGTCAAGGGGGCAATCTCCTCCGTAGACTCGGAGAAATCGACGTGTTCCGTCTTCGATGCGTGGAATTCAGCCTGTGACTGGCCTCGGAATTTCTTGCCACAATCATTGCAAACCAAGCTTCGTGGTGCCTCGCCCGGCTGAAGTGCGGGGCCGTCGTCTTGAGCCTGAGCCTGAATCTCTTCTAGCGACTTGTCTTGGTTATCTTCTAACCACTGCAGTGCACCTTGCACTAAGAAATTGGTCAGAATATGCGTTTCATCAGGAGTTTTGAAGTTGCAGATACTGACAGCCGCCGGGTTTCGTGATTGCGATCTGAGAACGCTCTGGGTCAAAGCCCATCTCAATCAGCTGGTCCAAGTCTGATGCCATGGCTTAGGAGAATAGGGTGATGTGGATAACCTATGGTAATGGTGAAGGGTAAAAGAAGGTGAAGGTCAAGTCAAAAGCAGGTGACGTATCAGAAAGGCGGCGTATCCCAAAAGGCGGCATATTCCAAAGGCGGCGAGCGATAAGGTCCACTCCCCCGGGTTTCTACAGCTTCGGCTTCTTCTAGTCACACAAACCACAATTTGCAACGCATGTTGGATATTCAGTTCACTCGGGTCAAACTCTTTTAGCTGTACTCCATACTAACACCCAATCCTGGGGAGTTTTTTCCCTGTCATGCCGCGTGCTTCCAGTGGTGAGGACCAACAATCGAGATACTCGTCAGCCACTCATACACTCGATGAGATAGATGTACAGAGATGAACATCCTGCCTCTACTCCGTGCCTGTTGAAGTTTTCCAAGGCGTCCGGAGTCTGGGATACCATTTTGGTCACTCCTTTTCCATCCTACTGGCGCAGTTTCAAATTTGACCGAGTGGGATGGATACCACTGCTACTCATACCTTTATTCAGTTATATTAGGATCGGCAAAAGCTTTTGGTTTTTTTTTAGAAATTCCTACTAAGCACATATTTGGATGTGCTCCCCTAAAATCGGGTGTGAAAACTCTGCCGGCGAGTACGGAGTACTAACGGTGTCAACATATGGCCCAGAAAAGGACCTAGACTAGGATCTATGAGATCTGATCTGTAGAATTGGAAAAGTGGGATGACCCCACCGAAGCACATGCGGATCAAATGGACTCATTTTCGGTGATGGCGTATAGGTGACCCGGCAGTACAGCCGAGAGAACAAGTCTAGGGTCAGAATGCGACTGAAACAATGAAAGCAAAACAATCCAATGCGTCTGAAACATACAAACACAGAGATAAAACCGTAGAGACAAAAAGAGCATTGTTGATGGACCTGGAAGTGACATCACCTGACTGGTGACTAAGCCATTCCCCGGCAATCAGAGTGGAACTCTCCTGAGGTGTTGCGGCCTTGTTTAGACCTGATAACCTTCTTGATTTTCACGTCGCAAACCGCACACACTTGTTTTACCCAACTGCTCTCTTTCTTGTCCTCTCTTCCACGTTTCGCCAAATCTCGTGCACCATGACCATTCAAATTGAGCCCTCGGAGTTGGGCTTCAAGCGTGAGTGCCACATGTGTCAATCGCCAACCTGGCCCTCCAGCAGCTCACACTCTAGCCATAGGTCCTTTCAATCATGAGGTGTGCCAGGTCCTCCGCCTGAGTAACCCAAACCAGGAAGCCGTGGTTTTCAAGGTATGTCCTCTCGGCGCTTGTCGCAGACTGCATGAACTAACCTCAATCCTCGGGACTAGGTCAAAACCACCGCCCCGAAGCAGTTCGTCCCCACGCTTCCCTGCGCGATCCCAAGCTTTACGTCCGGTGGGCTAACCATATTTCAGCTACTGTGTGCGCCCCAACTCTGGCCACATCGAACCGGGTGATACCGTCGAAGTCCAGGGTAAGTGGATGTTCGATTTCGCACAAAGAGGCAACGCTAACCAGATATGGCAGTCTTGCTTCAGGCCATGAAGGAGGAGCCCGCTGAAAACGCCAAGTGCAAGGACAAGTTCCTGGTTCAGGCCGTCCCGGTCTCTCGCGGCATGGAGAGTGCTACCGTCTCCCAGATCGTACGTGGAGCCGAATCGCAAATGTTGACAGACACACTAACTTCCTCGTCAAGTTCGACCAAACTCCTAAGAGTGATGTGGTTGAGCGCAAGATCCGAGTCGTCTTTATCGCATCGGGTGCCTCTTCGGACAAGGCTAACGAATCCGTACGTCTTGCGACAAGAGCATGAATTTGATGATAAATCCGAACTAACTCTTCCTAGCTCCTCGACGAAGAACCCCAGGCCCATAACTCCCCCGGCGGTAACTTCCAAACCCCTGCTCCTAAGAAGACTCAGTCCGATGAAGCCTCCCCCGTTGCCGCTCCCGATTTCTCCGAGAAAGCCAACCTCGAGTCCCCCCAGCGTGAACCCGCATCCGTCATCTCTAACGCCCGATCTGCCGTTGCCAATGCTCTGCCTTCAAGTGATGAAATGAAGGCCCAGCTTGCCGAAGCCAACGCAACAATCCAGCGCCTGAAGGACCGCCTCGCCGATCAAGGCCTTCGGCAACGCAAGACCGGTGCCGAGGCTGGTTCCGCGGCCCCAGCTGCGATGCAGCAGTCACATGCGCAAACACAGAGCGGAGTCTCGATCCAGATTGTCGCAGCACTCTGTCTGCTGAGCTTCTTGATTGCCTACTTCTTCTTTTGAGCTGGTCTTCTCGCTTTCTAACGGTTTAATATGGCTGCGTCATTCGCATGCCTCCGGTTTTAACGTCGCTGACGCCCCCAAATTCCCATCTACTCTCTGAAGAGCATGCCGTTTCCTATCTGTTCTTGCATCAGCCTTTCTGCGCTTTGATTTTACTTCCTGATATCGATATCGTGTCTTCCCCAATGCTGCGAATCTCTTGAGGCTTGATTCCTCTCTGTCCGTTCTACGCCAGTCACTTTTCTTATGTTTCCCCTTTTCCTCCTGTCTTGTCTAATCCCATTTCATGGCGGACCCAGCGTCTTGATTAGGTTCTTTTTGTTCCATAAACGATTCTCGATTCTCGAATTTGCGAGATAATTCATGTCCTCGTTAGATTCATCAGTCCTATGCCCAGCTGACCATAGCATCCCTCCCAATGTATGGCTGTTATTGACACTTCTACTTCGGCTTTCGCGTAGTCGCTTTAAAAATCAGTACTAGTACCTGCGAAGCTGGACGATAAAGTGGCATATGAAGCCGAACATTTTATTTTCATAAACTCCACCCATAATGTATCATTGAACCGCTGAAATCATCACCAAATCTTGAGACACAAGATCTAGCACTGAATCTCACTTTCCTTCCAACCATCACCCTCTTCGCCTGCCGGACCCGCCGACGCAGCCGAGATTCCTTCACCGCCACGCCCAGTTCCCTGGGAAGCAGACTTATCATCCTTCTTGCCTCCACCAACAATACGGCCGCCCTGCTCGCGCTTCACACGGCACCAGGGTCCAACATTCTTATCAAGAATGAATGTATAGATAACCCAGACCCAGCTGCGGTGGCAAGGAAGCGGCTCGTAAAAGTCGCTCGCAATCTCATGCAACTTGTGTAACTTAGTCCACGGGATAGCCGGAAAATCATGGTGCTCATTATGCAAGCCGACATTGTAAGTGAGGATGTTGAGCGGGCCATAGTAAGAATATGTCTCTGGGGGAGGCAGGGAGTCCAGGGGGTGCGGCTTCTTGGTCTTTTCGTTGTTCTTCAATTCTGTCAGGGACTCTGTGCCGCCGTGCTCGACGTTCGAAAAGAAGTAGTGCTCTGCGATGAAGTGGCCTGCGCAGGGGTGCAGGGAACCTGCTAGGAAGGAACTCATCAGGAAGTAGAAGATTGGCTGGTAGGTGCCGCAGAGCTTGGAGAAGCCGTAGTCGAAGGCTAGTTCCACGCTCACGTTCATCAGGTGGATGTAGGTGAATGGTGGGCTGTAGATGAACATTGGGCGCACTGCGTAGAAGAGGATCTGGAAGGTGCAGAAGAAGGTCTTTCCCAGGAGGGAGTTCAGGAAGAAGGCTTCTACTGCAGTGGGGAGATCGGTGTCGAGGCCGGTCACTCCGAGAGATTTGTGGTGCGTCAGATGGTAGGGCTGGTAGATTTTTGTTAGTTAGTTGCTCTCTTTCTTCCCGTTTCTCTCTCGTCCAGGTATGGGAAACGCACTCTGAAGGCAGCACTGTATGGCAGGCCGATGGGCAGATTGGCAAAGATGGCGAGCAAGCGATTGGCGAAAGCAGAGCGGAAGGCCAAGTTGTGGGAGATCTCATGGATGGCCAGGAACAGGTTCTGGTTGCATGTTGCACCGATCACGTATGCCGTCGCCAGGAATCGCCAGTCGAGCATTGAGGTATTGCGGAGGAGGTAGGCGCAGGTGAGTTGCAGGGAGACAACACCAAGAACAACCCATTTTGTGAGCGGCTCAGGGCCACAGAGCTTAGTGACCTACAATTGCAGCAATTCAGAATTAGCATTGGAGTCACCAGTAGTCAGACTTCTCCGCCACCTGTATCCAGGGATCTCCGCAAGGCCTCCGCACGAGGCATTGCTTCATCCCTAGCAGTCTGACAGTAGCCCACTGGAAACGATGACATACCTCTGGATGGGCTTTGATAATTGCCTGCCGTCTTGAACGATGCGGCTCTTCGGTGTAAGTCCAGAAGAAGTGGTCGTCGACCAGGGCCTCTGGTGCCTGGATCCTTGTTGACTGTTCGTTTTTGGATGCTTCGTTTTGAGACGCCTTTGCGGCAGACACCCGAAGGTGCGGTGTCGAAGTTTCAACGACCGCCGACATACTGTAGAATTGATGATATGGTCAAGCTTCGTCTCTTGAGGACAGAAGCCAATTTAAAAAGTCGGGAACCGGTTGTTCCACGTGGGGCGACGCGGAATACTTATGTCTTGGCATTGATCGACACACTTCTCTACTTGCACTGCCCTGTAGTGTCTGAGGCATTACTAATTACTAATGGCACATATCTTATGGTGTATATTGTATTTCATTGCACTTTTGGTATATGCTTATATCTCGTGTCAATCAGTAATCGTCACCACGGCTGATAACTTCCTTAACATTCGGGCGCAACACAATAGTCTGAAAGGTTAGTAAAGGATTCCAATGGAGGCAGGATGAGACTTACATGTTCATATTGAGCGGTATAGGAGCCCTTAATATCGCAAAGAGGAGGGTAATCATTGACAATGCCAGCTGAGACCAAGTTGTTCAACTAGATGAATGTTAGCTTCCGAGTTGAGAGATAGATATTGATAGAGAACGTACACCCAAGAGATACTTGTCTTGACCAAGGCGGTCAAGGTAACGACGACAGAAGGGAAGAGTGCCGAAGTTCTTGTTGATAACATTCAACAAGTTCTTGGCAGAAGCAAGACGGAGCGGAACGTTGGGAGCCTCATTGTTGAGAGCGTAGTGCGAGGTTTCCATCTGGTGAAGTGTTAGTGGTACTTTCAGTGTCTGATATCTATGAGAATCCACTCACTTCCTCTCGCACGTATCCCTTTCCGGTACTTCCAAAAGTCTCAATGGCGAAAACCTCGCCTTCCTCCATCTTGGTTTGATCGGTACCCTTCACAATGGGTACACTCTTTCCGCCGTGGATGACGTGCTGTTCAATGTTGTGACCGTTCAGGTTACGGATACACTTGACAGGGTGCATAGTTCCGTTGAGCTCGACTTCGTAGCTCTCCATGGCTTCTTGAATAGCCGCACCAATATCGCTCATGCGAACATCAATTCCAGCTTCCTATGACATCGTCAGTTCGACTCAATGTGAATACATCAGAAGACTTACCCGAATACCAGTGTTGGTGGCGTCCTTGACAGCCTCAAGAAGAGGATCGTACACAGGGTCGAAAGACATGGTGAACGCACTGTCGACAATGCGACCATTGAGCTGGGCGCCGAAATCGACTTTCATGACATCTCCCTGGTTCAGAACCATCTTGTTTCCAGCATTTGGGGTGTAATGCGCCGCGCAGTGGTTAATGCTCAGACCGCAGGGGAAACCCATGCCACCCTTGAGATTGTCACCCTCCTCCAGGCCTGAGTGGCCTGTCAGCGCGCGCACTGAGTCCTCAATGCCCTCGGCGATCTCGGTCAAGGTCTGACCGGGCTTAATGTTCTTTTGCGCATACTGGCGGACTTGGCGGTGGACTTCGGCACCCTGGCGATATTCTGTGAGGAAGTCATTGTTCATGCGATCGAGGTAGCGCTTCTCTTCGTTGGTGGTACGGTAGGCATTGTCGTTCAGGTATTCGACGATCTCACCCTCGGGGTATTGACCGTTAGGGAAGAGGTTGGAAACGGGAACCCTAGGAGGCTCGCTTTGAACCTTAGGGCTAGCCTTCTTCTTCTTCTTGGGCTTGCGCTTCTTCTTCTTTTTCTCGGCTACATTGAATCGGTGGGCAGTTAGCGCCATCTACATCTGCGGGGTAGAATTCGAAGCGCGGGGTAAGACAAAAAGGATTATTTTCTCAAAACACATACCTCCAGCAGCACCAGCCTCTGGTGTGTCGTCCTGAGCGTCGTCCGAGTCGTCTTCGGCCTCGGCGGGGGGCTGGGTGGCCGGGGTGGCTTGGACGTTCACTGGTATCTTATCAATCACCACGCAAACATAAATGCACAGACGGGCACTCCTTACAATCCAACTGGTCCAGCTTCTCTGTAGCCTGGGCTGCCATTTTGAAGTTGAGGGCAATTCGGTGTGCTGAAGGCAAAAGAGGGGAATGTTGTTCGGATGTCGGGGAAAGAATTTTGCTGATAAGAGATAAGGGTTGGAGGTTGCCACCTGCCCAGGTGGGCACTCCGAACTATTGATACTACCTAGGTATACTATACGGAGTACTCTTGATGTGGCTATATGTGTTTCTATAAGAAAAACTATCATAATCAACATATAAACATCCATGAATGGACCTTTGATAGTTCTGCCCGGGTGCGTTCGAGCTCTGTCTCCATCTTCTTGAATAGCTCCCCAGGTTCTGGCAGATCAGACTGGTGTTGCCACCAAAGGCAAGAGATGCTCGTTCCATTCGTATCAGATCCAAACTTGATAATATGATACTCCATCGGGAAGTTAGGCTCTTGGGCAAGCTTCGCAGGCTCATCATGCGTCAAGCTCCAATAGAAACTGTCTTCTTGGTATGGAAGAAGTGCAAAGTATCAGCCCTTCGGCCCATATACGCCACCTGAAGACCGGTCTTGTCTCTGCTATACCAAACCAGCCCCTAGCCCCTCTTTGTCAGCACACCGCTCTTCCTCTCGTCATTCTTGTCCTTTGTTAAGTTGGTTTCCTTCTCATAATAGCTCTTCTACTGGATCTGCTCTATTTTCGAACATTTCGAACGCAAAACCACGGCTACCAGCAATATGAATTACGAGGTTGAACAAGGAATCGTTGCATTCTTCGAGAAGACTACGACGACTCGCTCAGCCTGTGACAACTATGCGAGTGAGCATGTTGGTGGCAATGTCACTCCAGTCGACGTGCAAGGCGTGTGTAGCTACACCGTCTATGCTGGCCCTGACGCTGAATTCGTCGTTCAGTATCGTTTGAAGTCGCTAGCGTTGAACATGGACATTATGAACCTTGCGGAAGCTATTTACGGTACTTTGATACCCCAGATCTCCTTCAAAGGACAGATTGGGGAAGATCCTGAGAATAAACAGATTGGGGAAAATCATGAGAACAAAGAACCGCTTTACATATACGTGATGAATCGAATAGCAGGCATCTCTCATTTGGATTTCATTCTAGCCCACAACGGTGATAGACCTGAAAATTCGTTTGAGTTTTCTCGCTGGCGCCAAAATCTTGTGGCCGACTGCGCAAAGTATGTGATTTATTTAACACAATATATCCAGAATCACTAATCATATGTTTTACTATGTAGATTCTTTGCTTTATCTTGGAAAGGTCCTCAGGATGTTGATCAAACTTACCGCGAGAGCTTAAGCCATCGATACGAACAAGACTTGCATTTATTACTTACTTCTCTCCCAATCCGATTCCATCCATTGATCAAGAAGTCTCTTGACTCGTTACCGGCCATCTTTTCACTGCCTATGGTGCTACTGCACAATGATTTTGGTTCCTTCAACATGCTAGTGGACGAAAAGTCTTGCAATTTGCTCGGCGTGATTGATTGGGCCGAATCTGAGATTGCTCCATTCGGCATGAATCTTTACGCTCATGATCGTTTGATAAGTAAAATCCACTTGAAACATGGCTGGTCCAGGTATTATGATCATCGCCTTTTGGATGAGATATTCTGGAGCACGTTCAGTCAAGAAACCGGAGTGGACAATGAAATGATCAAAACCATCAAAGCCGCAAGGATTGCTGGAGTATTGTTGTGGCTTGGCTTCACAAGTCGTCTTCCGAATGCGCCGAAGCCAGTACCGATTTCTGATGATGAAAGTGGAGCATATGGCATGCGTGATTTAGACGGGCTTTTGATTAACCTACGAGGTTCACGGACTTGTTATGATTAGATGAATGTGATATGTATTGAGAAGATGTGACATGTTGAAGAACTATGGATTCAGGCACTAGTCCCAAAAGGGGTTAACCGCCCGATTATCTGATAGAGCCCTGCGTCCACCTCTCCTACGCTTCTTTCACCTCTTCCTCGGGTCTCAAGCCATTGAGATCTCCATTTCGTGGAATTTCCATTGTCTATCCAGCACTTTTCAGTATTTGCCGACCATGTCTCTACTGAACTTCCCGACCGAGCTGTTGGTGCAAGTCGTGTCGCGTCTTGAATACGCGTCTGACTTCTGCGCGTTCTCGCAAACCCACCCACTGTTCCATTCTTTGGTCCAGCCTCGCATATCAGAGTTCTTGAAAAAAGAAACGCCTCCTCGTGCATTGGTAGATGCTGCGAAGAAGGGAAGTGCAGCCGCTGTACGCAGGTTATTAAAGTTAGGCGCCCGGTTTCCTGTGCCTTTTACGGCAATCTGGCGAGATGATCCTGGAGATCCAATGGCATGGGCGACTAAAAATGGACATCTGGAAGTTGTCCAGATTTTTCTGGAGCATGGCCGAGATCCTTGCGTGATTTCCGGATATTACAGAGACTTCGAAGATTTTTTAACCTACGGTGAGATCGCAGGGCGCGAAAATTCGATCATGGTTGCGGCCAGAATGGGCCATGAGGCTATTTTGAGTCTTTTGATGAAGTATGCGTCTACGGTGCCACACGCGACTCGTAGTCGCGGCGAGAACTGGGAAGAGCCATTGACATGGGCAGTCCGGAAACAGAACATTCCTATCATCAAAATTCTTTTGGAGAACGATCCCGAGAGGGTCAAAAACACTAGCATTCATCGCAATGCCCCTCTACATGCGCTTGCTGCAGCATCTCCAGGTGCTCATTTTGATGAGACTTTTGAACTTCTGATTCTCCATGGAGCAAACCCCGAATCAAATCCGATGGGCAATTGCAGCCCAGTTGAGAGGGCTTTCGAATTTGACAATCTCCGATTCATCGAATTGAGCTTCAAGCATGCGAAAAAGCCCCCTGATACCGCTTGGCTGTTGAAGAAATTTCAGGAAACATCCCGGAAACACCCCAAGGTCGCTTCTTTTCTCTTTAGTCAGATTGACACGGAGTCAGCTATGCGGTATAGCAACGAAGCGCGGTGCATGCTTCTCCGTGGAGCTGTTGCTTGCGGGTTCGAGGATCTTGTTCAGTTATTATTCAAAAGGTACAAGATCATAACCCCAGAACATCTGGACTATTTACCCTTGATGGGCCTCGCTGTTTTGTCGGGAAATGTTGGGATGATCAAGATGTCACTCGCCCTCGGAGAAGACATCGCTATTGGGCCCATCGAGACACCCCAAATTATGGGCCCACGTCCCCTTTCTTATCCGCCTCCCGCCTATGTAACTCCCCGAATTGAAAATAAGCCAATCATCACGGCTCTCCTCAGACGACACGATGAGGTTGTTGATTTCCTAGTCGAAAATGGCATCGATGGACCCCTTGCATGGCGAGAAGGACCGCAGTTGCTTTTTGACCTGGCACTCGCCTTGGGACATTCTGAGCTTATCCAGAAGCTCTTTGACAGAGGCACAGCTCCATCCGTGCAAGATATTTCATGCGAGGATCAAGCACAATCCGTCTTTATGGCTATTTTTGGCGGTGAATTCGTCTTCAAAACGCTTTTGAAGAACGGGGTGACACTTAATCCAGACTCTCTTCACCACCAGAATGCCTTCTTATACGCAGCCAGTGAAGCCAACGTTTCTATTCTCGAGATATTCTTGGATGCTGGATTCAAAGCGAACATGAGCATGTCTGGCTTTGCACCTTCTTGTGTATCTCTCTGCCATGAAGACGGACTCACGTTGCCTCTTATCTACGCAGCCTATGCAAAGGACAGAAACAAAGCCGAAGCTGCCGTGGATCTTCTGCTCAAGCGTGGTGCATCAATCAACCAGCCAACTGGCAAGGGCTGTTGCAGCGCATTGTACGCAGTTGCTTCTGGTGGAATTGCGTTGAAATTCGACATACCGGGATATACTGTCAGAAAAGCCTTGGCTGAATACCGGGATGGCACGCCTGAATCGGACTTCGATGGTCTCTCCTCGGTGGCTCCAGAGGCCGAACAAATTCAGGTCTTACAGCTTCTCTTAAGAAAAGGAGCCGATCCCCTCTTTTGGAACAAGCATGGCCGATCACCTTTGTGTGTAGCAACGGTTACAAATGACACAGAGGTGGTCAAAGCGTTGTTAACTTCTTTTGATCATCAAAATGTTCCGTTCAGTGAGATTGAGCCACATCTCCGGGTCGCCGCCTCTATTCGCACCCTCCCACCATATTCCAGATATCCACACAGTCCACAAGGATCTACCGATGCGCGAATGGAGCAAGACCAAGAAGTCGATTACGTGGGATGCCGGGACGAGGAAAACGAGGTGGACGACGATGATCAAGATGATGAAGATGACCAAGACGACCAAGATGACCAAGATGACCAAGATGACCAAGATGACCAAGATGACCAAGATGACCAAGATGACCAAGATGACCAAGATGACCAAGATGACCAAGATGACCAAGATGACCAAGATGACCAAGATGACCAAGATGACCAAGATGACCAAGATGACCAAGATGATCAAGATGATCAACTTGGTGTAAATCCTGGTTTTTCCCGAGAGGGCTCTGAGGATTGGACAAGGTCCCACCAGGAGGCATTGCTCGCAGAGATAGCGAGAGAGGAGGAGGCAGGATCAGAACCCACTTTCACCCCTGGAGCTGTTCCTCGACCTGTAATGCCTCCGCTTTTCGAACCAACTCAAGAAAAAGCTGATACGGTACTCGCTTATCTTCAGACAAAACGAGATACGGAAAGACTCATATGGAAGTACTACTGGCGCCATGTGTACCCTGTCCCATCTTGAAACAGGAGAGCCGGGTCATCTTAGCCATAATTCTGTTTGCCATGCACAATTCTCGGTCCCATGTTGTTACTTTGATCCTGGCATTGATTCTCTCTGCCTAGGCATATTATTTAGTTAAAGAACTGCCGGGTTTAGCCCCATTGTCGAGGTAAAACCCAGCTTCTGGAAAATGACAATCTTGAAACCAGAGAGCAACACTCGATGAATATCGAAGGCCATTAAACCCCCAAATTTAGGTCGGCTTCAAGCGCTGAATAACATACAATACTTGAGCTATTTATATTAATCACAGAGACGTGGTGGCTCGCTCTAAGTGCTTTCTAGTACTTTCTCTCACCTCTTCAACGATGTCTGCCGCTTTTCTCTGCTCTTTGACCATCCCAACACCCGTCCCAGCCCAAATGCTACCCATATCCTGAATACTCAAGCTCTCAGCAACAGGGCCATTCATCGCCTTGGACAGCCAAGATCGAATGCTCTGTATATCAACCCCAGATTTGTACTTTTGATAAACCTGATTCTTCAAACATCTTCCATCATAAGTTTTTGGCCAAAAGTTCGGGCCCCAAACTTCATCGAACACCCTCGATCTTGCCGTCACCTGTCCCCCATCAGCCGCCTCAAATATCGCATCTCGATAAATCGCCGGGATAGCAGTCTCTTCAGCGGCGAGCATTCGTGTCCCCATAACCACGCCTGAAGCACCAAGACTCAATGCCGCCGCACATCCTCTCCCGTCAACAATTCCACCCGCCGCAATCAAAGGAATGTCAAAACCAAGTCCAGAAAGCGTATCTGCGGCTTCAGGAATTAGAGATACAATGCTAGCACCATCTTCATGCCCATGGCCTCCAGCATCAATGCCCTGTAGAACCAGCGCATCGGGCTGACATGCTCGCGCGACTTCAACGGCGGCGGACACACTGCCCAGCTGGATCCAGATACGTGTCTGTGGTGAGACGAGTCGAATACCCTCTGCCCATTCTTTTAGCTCATTTGCACTGGCGAATGATAGCCATGCAACCAATGGTTTGTATTTGGCGAATAGATCTAGCCAGGCTTTAATTGGTGTTCCAAATACTATCACGCCGAGACCAATGGGCAGAGTTTCTGTATTGATGTCCGCTAGGGCTTTTTTCGTGATCTCAAGTTCGTTTGTGAGGTCCTGGAGGTCGTCCATGAAGCCTATTTGGCCGAGGCCACCGGCAGTGGTTACGGCGGTGGCGAGTTTGCTTTTGGCGATTCCGCTCATGGGGGCGTTGATTATCAGGGGTGTCTGGATCCATGGGAGGTATCCTTTCAGGGTGTTGAGGTGAGACATTGTAATTGTTAATTCTCTGTAGTGTGGGATGGGTAGAGCCCGGGTATTTACACATGGCGGATCAAACGCCGTTTGATACCAGACCAAAGGCCGAATATCTCGATTGGTATATAAGCACCACGATATCAGTTTCCAGGGTTCACACTTGAGCATAAAGGGTTGCCCAATGTTTTTGAGGTTTTCTTGAATACGGTTAGAATTCATCACCCCATGGTGTCTTCTGGTGTTGAGGACTTGAGACCATGATCGACTCAGCCCTGGAGAATGAAGTTGGGTCAACTACCACAGCAATTCCAAGACAACCAAAGAGCTTAGCCCATGATTTTGGAGCTGTTTCAGATATTATCCATAATAAGAAGCATTCCAAGCTCGAAGGTCGCCTACTCATGTCTGAGAAATAAGCCATCATTTCGAATAGTCGAGAAATCGGAAGAATGAACCTTGAAATACTCAAAAATGAGCTTATCTCTGGGTAAAGCCTCCGGGGAAAAGACATCCCCGATCTGTCCTGGTCTTTATCAAGTATAGCCAAGTGATGTGCTGTTTGCCTATATTCAACCGAACCCAACCCTAAGATCTGCAAGAGTCATTCTAAAGTTGGGCTCCGATATAGGCAGAGTGGGACTGAGTAACTCACCTAAGTCCTAAGAATAAGAGTCAGAGAGGTGGATTCCGGGAGTTGAGGCCCGAGATGGGCGCATCTTTATCTAATCTGATCATCAGCTCCAGGCTGGGCATGTCTTCACTCGAAGGGAAAAGGGAATTAGATGTATATTGAAGCAGGTAATTAAATTAGCAGAATAAAGCTATTCAGTAAATTCTCTAGATATACAGGGGTAATTTTTTATACAAAAACGTAGAAAGACATGGCTAACAATTCACGACTATGATCGACCACTGGTGACGCCACCCCGATCATCATCTCTCACATCGGTCCGCATTCCACTTCTTTCCTCATTCACTCACCCCGCCGACGCGGGCTTCACTCTACTTATACCTTCTCGCGACACTCTCTGACCTCTTCGACATCTTCAAACCTTTTTAACACACATCATGCCTCGAGTACCCGCCATTCGTCTGGCACCAACACCAACACCCACCCACCGGGTAGTAATAGTAACAGCACCCCTCCGCCCACGACCCCATACGAGCACACAAGCCCAACCACGCCTGCACCCCATCTTCCCCAAACGCACATTCACAAGCACCCAACCAACACTAGCCCGGGAGCAAAACTTCTACGAGATCCTCGATCTCCCCACCAGCGCCTCAGCAGCCGAAATCAAAAAGTAACCCCCAACCAACCCACCAGCAATACCCCAAATCTAATCCACAAACCAGACAATTCTACGCACTTTCCATGCGCCACCACCCAGACCGGAACCGCACAGATCCCAATGCAGGCCAACGCTTTGCCCGAATCTCCGCAGCCTACAATGTCCTAGGGAATGCCTCCAAGCGCGCAGTCTACGACCGCGATCACGGCTTCCACCAGGTCCATGCCTCCGCAGCACCAGGCCACTCCCACGCCCACCCAATGGGCAGCCACAGCAGCTATGCAGGCTCACGCCCAGCAAGCGGGCTAAGCAAGCGGCGATCAGCATTCCACGGGCCACCGCCTAGTTTCTACGAGCAAGGCGGGTATGGTGGGACAGGGCGAAGGGGGGATGGATTTGCAGCAGGGAAAGCAGGGCCGAGTAAATTTTCTTCTGGGGAGGGGAGGACTGCGGATCCAGAGGATTGGGAGGGGTTTATTAGGCGGAATCCGTTGAATCATTTTAATGCGCAGGGACATTTCCGGACTCAGGCGGCGGAGGATCGGAGGAGGAGGGATAGGGCTAGGGCTTGGAGGGCTGCTAGTGTTTCTGATGCGGAGTGGTCGGAGCCGCCTGAGTATGGGGCTGTTCATGGGGTGTCTTTTACGAGGTTTTTGTTCTCGTTGGGATGTTTGGTTGTTGCGGGTGCTTCGGCGGGCTTGTGGCCTTCTGGACGTGATGATGGGGGGAAGAGGAAGGGTTAAATATGGGGTATACTACATTCACTGGTTATTTCTTTTTGTCGATAGATATATTACATGCATTGCTGGATGATGCAACTGAATTACTTTTATTTTGTTATCCTCAGATTGGCCGGTAGGACCTGTCATTAGATCGAATAAACTGATCAACAAAAGAAAAGTTGGATTTGATGTACAAAGGGTGACTTGAACTACGACACACATGGTAAAATTACCTGGGATGAAAAATCCCCCCCGCCGCAGTAAACCTTCTAACAGCATCAGACGAGTGAACTAGCGAAAGAAAGATTACAAAAGGTCCAGAAAAGGTCATATGTCATTTCTCAAGAGTCCAAATGGAAAGATGAGATTCAGACGCTTAAGCCTCGAAGGTGAAGCTGGCGCCGACCTTGTGGGCAGCCTGGTTAAGGTTCTGGGTATCGAGGGAAGCACCGAGGCCGAGAGTGACACCAGGGCGGAGGAGAACGTTGTAGGCCAGAGCGGCGATACCACGGTCGTTGATCTTGGCCTTAGTAACGAGAAAATGACGCGATTAGTCGTGATCCACAAACGAAGACATGGGGGACTCGAAATTACCTTGGCGAAGGAAGAGGGGTCCAGGCGGTACTTGCTGGCAACCTCGAGACCGACAGCGTTGCCGGAGGTGGAGTCCCAGGAAGCCTTGGCACCGGCCTCAACCTGAGCGTTGACGCGGTGGTAGTAGCTGGCGGAGAAGAGGGACAGGTTGTTGCTGGCAGTGATGGCAGCGGAGTACTGGGCAACGCTGTAACCGACGGCGGCGGAGTACTTGGTGATGGCAGCCTTGTTGACGTCGTAGCCACCCTCAGCACCGACGAGGAATCCCTCGTGGCCGAGGACAGCGTCGAAGTTGGCGGTAGGGCCGTTCAGGAGGTCGAAGAAGGCACGGGCGTTCAGGTTGGGCTGCTTGAAGTACAGGTTGAGCTTGGCACCCTTGGACTGCTTAGCGGGCTGGTACTGAGTGAGGATCTCAGCCTTGAGGCCCTTGGCAATGTTGTTGTCGAGCTCGAGCTTGGTGTCGAGAGCGTTGGAGGTGGTCCACGCCTGGGTGAGGGTGAGGCCTGGTCGTTGAGAGTATATTAGCCTAACACTGTGATTTGCGCAATCCGAAGCAATCAACATATCGAGCCGGCGCGCGAGTGGCATGATACATCCTAGTACCAAGGATTTTGGGACCTTGCGCGCGTCCGGGTCGGGGGGTTTTTTGAAGGGGCCTTTACCAGTGGGGGCATCGACGTATTTAGCCTCGAGCTGTGTGCAGATTTCGATTAGCTGGTTGCAAAGTGCTGTGAGAGATAACATCGGACGAACCTGGCCAGCAATGGGACCCTCGTGGGCAGACTTTCCCTTGACGGTGAAGGTGACACCGTTGGGGGCCTTGGACTTAACCTCAAGGTTGGCTAAAGAGCTTCAATTAGCTATCAGAGCTTCGGAGATGGCAGTTTCCTGTTTGTGGATGCACATACCGGCAGCGGCGTGGTAGAAATCCTTGTTCAGGAGCTATTGGGGTGCTGCATTAGCCATCTTTCCGGTAACCGAGTTTTGTGCCGAAAGTGCGTACATCGTTGGTCGCCTTGGCGATGTCAGAGAAAGCAGCGGGGGCAGACATGTTGACGAAAGAAAAAGTCTAACGGTTGGGATATAGAGGAAAGGGTTCGTGATGTGGAGAGATGAAGCAAAAGGAAGGGAAGAAGAGTTGCGATGATGTTGGGACAAGGGGCTAGCGTGGTTGGTGGGTGCGCGATGATTGGCCGATGGGCTGCCGGGAAAACCCGCGTTACATAATAAATTGATGCCTGGATTTACTGGCGACGAGGGGCACATTGGGACGTTTTATGGCATTGCGCATTGAGATCTAGATATATCATGACATTATACCAACATCCACCGATACCAGGGTATATACAATCTATTGTGTGCTATATCCCCGACAGAAAAATGCTAAAGAAAACAAAGTTCAGATCTTTTGTGTCGTTCCTCGACAACTTTTTACTCGGCCTGGTCGTACTTCTTGTTGTGGTAGGAGATGGCTCTGTGAAGGGTTGTTAGAAGTATGTTTGAGAAGAGGACATCATATAATCACTCACCTGCCACTGGGGTCAGTCTGCTTGGACCAGGTGGGAGTCCAGCGCTCAACGGTGCCGGCACAGTAAGGAGGGAAGTGCTCATCGAACATGGTGCGGTACCAGTATCTAAAATCAAGTTAGTCGTCAATGGTCAATTTGTGGATAATATGGGGAAGACATACGCCTCCTTGGTGTCGGGGATATCGGTGCCCCATTCGGCCTTGGGGTTCTTCATCATCTCATCAGTAACCTGGCGCTCAGCCTCGTCCTTGAGACCGTCAATCCAGCTGTATCCAACACCATCACTGAACTGCTCCTTCTGGCGCCAGAGGATCTTGTCGGGGAGGTAGGCGGCGGTCTCGGGCTCATCGGTGGTGTCGAAAGCCTTGCGCAGCATGTGCTTCTCGATGCGCTCCGGGGTGATCATCTTGTCCTGGGGGTCAACACCCATGCAGGTCTCAAGGAACTCCTTGTCAAGGAAGGGCACACGGGCCTCAAGACCCCAGGCGGAGGTGGACTTGTTGGCGCGCAGGCAATCAGCCAAGTGCAGGTTCTTGACACGGCGGACAGTCTCCTTGTGAAGCTCCTCCTTGTTGGGAGCAGCGTGGAAGTAAAGGTAACCACCGAAGATTTCGTCGGAACCCTCACCACTCAGAACCATCTTGACACCCATGGCCTTGATCTTACGGGAGAGCAGGTACATAGGGGTAGAGGCACGGATGGTAGTCACATCGTAGGTCTCGAGGTGGTAGATCACGTCAGAGAGGGCGTCAAGGCCGTCCTGGACAGTGAAAGTGAAGGGGTGGTGCTTAGTTCCGAGGAAACGGGCAACCTCAAGAGCAGCCTCGGTATCCGGGGCACCGGGAAGACCGATGGAGAACGAGTGCAGCTGCTGGAAGGTGGTGACAGTGGACAGCTCGTTGTCGTCATCGACGCCAACCAGCTCGCCGTCATCGTTGGTCTGAGTGGCCTTGCGGGAAGCCTCGGCCATGCGCAGGGTCTCGCGCTGGGCGATGGAAGCCACCAGACTGGAGTCCAGACCTCCGGACAGCAGAACACCGTAGGGAACCTCGGCCATCAGACGCTTGCGGACAGCCTTCTCCAGGCTGTGGCGGACGACCTTGTAGTCAACGGGAGTGGAGGGGACATTGGCGGGGTTCCACCACTTAGGCTCGAAGTAACGGGTCAGGGAGTCGGTCTTGGAGTCGTAGACATGACCGGGGGGGAAGGCAATGATGTCGTCGCAGACGGGGTGCAGACACTTGAGCTCAGAGGCAAAGTAGACAGCACCGGGTGTGGAAGAGGAACGGCCAAGGTAGAAGCTAGTGATACCAATGGGGTCACGAGCAGCAACAACACGGTCCTGCTTCTTGTCCCAGAGAACCCAAGAGAACATACCGTCGAGGTGCTTGGGGGCATCGAGACCGTATTCCTCGTACTAATTGATCTTAGCATTTGCACCTGGATCGTGCTTTTGTGCAAGTGATACGTACCAGAGGAATGATGACTTCACAATCGGAGTGGGTCTTGAAGTTGTACTTGTGGTGAAGGTTCTTGCGGATGGTGCGGTGGTTGTAGATCTCGCCGTTGACGGCAAGGGCGAGAGTGCTGTCATCGTTGACAAGGGGCTGGGCACCAGAGTCTAGAAGATCCTCTATCAACACATTGATCATTCAATATCAATTGATCACTATAGCCACTCACCGACACCGACAATGCTCAGACGCTCGTGAGCCAGGACTGGGGTTGATGTTAGTTTGCAATACAGGCAATAGCATTTACAGCGTTGCCAACTTACTGGTACTCTCAGCACAGAAGTTTCCGCCTGACAAAAAGGTTTTGTTAGTCCCATGTCCTCAATTCCACCGCGCGGAACTGCGCTACGAATTGTGACTCACTCCAGTCGGGACCACGGTGACGCACACTATTATGGAATCAGAGGTTAGCGAGAACTTGTACCATGTTGTGAATCTTCATTGCTATAGCAATTGGACAAAGGAATGCTGTGGTACTTACGCCTTGGCCATGCGCAAAGCCGTGGGCTTGAACTGCTGGACATCGGGATGACTAGAGGGGCAATTAGCAGGTGTGTCTCTATGATATCCCACTAGCGGGGCATAGAAGAACAGAGGATAGAACGCACTGGTGGCACGCGAAAATTCCACACATGATGGGCAATTGATATGGAGAACGAAGATCAATTGAAGAGGAGAGGAGAAGAGCAACAAGTATACGGGGAAGACCCGGCGATTTTTTTCGGCCGCACTTGGCGGGGCGAGGGGCGATGTCGGCAATCACTGACTCACCGATAAGATAACCAGCATTAACAACCGCATTGGGTTACATTAACATCCATTGCTTCTCCTCTCTCCGGAGTACATCTGGCTTTATTCTTCTTTTCTTCTGCAGCCTTTCTCTTGGCTACTTGAACGCTTATGCAGATCTCAGTCTTGGTCTATCATGTCACGTGATGTGTCTGAATATATACTTTTCCGTAGCCCTAGCCAAGCCCTTTGGTCCGGCGTACTACCTCGACGCCTCGATAAACGCATTTTATGACTAGCTGTGCTTTGAGATGTATGCAGATGACCAGCCTCTCCAGGATGAAGTGACTAGGTCTGCGTTTTGGTTACATCTGTCACAGTAATAGTCTCGGGATCGAATGTCATGGAGTCATGCAACCAGTACTTCTAAAGTTGGTAGCCCGAAGTGTGAACAACCCCAGTTACACCCGGGCAAGTGGTGCAGCCGAATGTTGGTATCCCACGAGTCAAATACCTGACAGTATTAAGTACTGTTTATGTCCACGGGTGCACAGTGGCAGATGGGTTCAAACATAGACAACTCTTCAACCAGACACCCATACTTAGGCAGCCCCACCACGAAACTCATATATCCGCGGTTGACTTCCATCCAACATTCATCCAACAGGAACTTTAGAAGCACCATTGGTTTCCTGGGATAGGATGTTTTTGGAGCATATCTAACAAGGCTATCTACTCAGGTACTTTCAGCATCCATACAACAAGTAGTAGAGTTTCACAAGATCAGAAAAGCAAATTATTACGTAATGATAATTATCAAGGGCAAAAAAAAAGTAAGCTCCCATGCGGGGATTCGAACCCCAGTCTGCACGGTACACAAGAGGAATGAATTCCAAATGAAAACGAGCGATGATAACCCCTACACCACATGGGATGGCGATGGAATTCTGTCAGATATTTGCACCTATGACCATGTAATCTGCAACTGAACAAGGACACAAGCAAGCATACATCAAAACCACATAACAGGCTGGCCAAACTCTGAACAGGCCCACTTCCCTCATACTATCCCCATGGACATCACTAACAATCCACACCCCCACGATACACTCTTACTTAAACACATGTTATGTTTTCCTTACCAAATATAAAAGGGCAAAAAACAAAAAAAAAAAAACAATCCCCAGCTCTGAAAAGTTGTGGACTGTGAATGTTGTCAAAAAAGAACTCCCATGCGGGGATTCGAACCCCGGTCTGCACGGTACAATGGAACAAGTTCCAAGTGAAAACGAGCGATGATAACCCCTACACCACATGGGAAGGTGATGAAAATTTAACCGATATTAGCATACATGATCCAAGAGAATTGGAGTTTACATTTAGCGGCCCAGCGACGGACAAGTATCTTGGGAGTTTCGGACAGTGTCGTCTATTTCCTGCTTGGCTGGTAGCACAAAGTTGGGGCCATCAATGAATTCCCTCGCCATTGGCATCTTCATCGCCAAGGTCGTAAGTCTCATCTTTTTCAGAGTCCACGAACTTCCTCGATTCAACGGTCTCTGCATCGCATCGTGGCTCGGACTACAAAACGGCGGTGCAATCTTTCTTCTGCTCAACAAGTTGTCTCCATGCGGTTTTTGTTTTAACGGTCGACGAGTATCTTGCCAGCGGGTTATACGTTGATTGGCACTTTGCTCGAGTATCGGATGCCTAACGGGATCAGGATATATAACACGAACGAGGATACTTAGGCTTAGTTTGTCACGCTGTTAGAGCAATACGAGGACGTCTTCTCTGGCAAGTTTGGTTTGGTAAAGATGAGGAAGACCATGTGTTATCACTGAAACCAGGAGCCTACGAGGCAAAGAAGCAAAGAAGCAAACCAAGGTCTACCCTCTATCGGATCCCGATGTCGCCATAAGCAGATTGTCGACGCGATGTTCGATTCGCTACACGACCAAGGTCGAACAATCTGGATCGACAGACCAACCCCCTTCGGACATTCGGTCCTCGTCGTCGAGAGGATGGACGGCAAGGTTCACGCCCAACTATTGGTAGACTCACGGGGTCTGAATGAGGATAAAGTGCCGAATTCGTATCCGCTACTGAAGCAAGACCACAATCTCAGAGTCATTGAGGGTGTAGACATGGCGACTGTCATGGAGGCGGCCCAATGGTTCTACCAATGGGCCGCGTATCCGGATGACTGGCACTTGAGCATGGTTTTGCCGTGAACTCTCACCGAGAACAGAGGATTCTACGGTAACTTGTTTAAAATCCAGAGGTTAGTTTGAAGCTCGAAACAGTGTTTAATCATTCACCTGGGCATATAGGTTACTTCGGGTGACATTTTATTTTGTTCTGTTTCTAAAGTTGTATATATACTTCAGAGGCAAGCATCAAGTTGAACCAACCTCAATTGAAACCTAGGAAGATCGACACCCAAATAACGTAGTCTATCCATCTATAGATGGCACCACCTCCGGAAGTCCAGATGCCGACGAATGGAATATGGAATCTCTCTCTCAAAGCTTCTTCTTCGCAACACGAGCAGATTGTCGAAAAGCTCCAATAGTTGCCGAGTAGCTCTGATAAATGCAAACTTAAACAATATTTAGTATGTAACAACCATGTACAAGAGAGAGAAAGAGAGGGAGAGGCTAAAGCAAATACAAATGGGGCTTCTTACCACCTGGAATAAAAATCCAAAAGGTGTTCATGAAAATGAAGTACCCCCAGTAATAATACGTTTCAGGGCGGGAATAAGATCTGCCATGATAATAATCCTCCATCATGCTCGTCGCATAATAGAGAACATCGCCGTAGAGCTGACCCATAGAGACAAGCATTTGGGTTGGATGGCGGTATGGGGATTTGGTTACAATCATCCACGATGTCAGATAGCAAAGTGGACCCCATGCAAACTACAACAGATGTCAGCATTGAAGGTCATTTCTTTGGAGTGGAATATGTACGGCTGTGATTGTCTCCATGCAAAGCACGAATGGCTCTATGGTCATGTATCGAGAATCGGACAATGCATATTCCTTCCAGAGTTGACCAAGTAGGTCTTCCATTTGGGGCATTGTCTTGTGATTTTATACAAAGTATCCCTCAAGAATAAGGTGAATACATCCAGCTTCGGGTAGAATATGTTAGTAGAGCTCAGTCAATAGCTATGTGCCTGGAAATCGTACAAAAGACAAACCATGCAGTTAGAACTTTGTCCTGACGAGATAACATAGACTTCTGCCCAGTCATTAACACCGAGGTCGAACCAACGACAGTCAAAGTTGCAAGAGCAAATATCCCCAAAAGGGCTGGAACACTCATTGTATTGGGGACATAGTTGACGAGATTGGCCTGGAGAGGCCAATAAGGATGCATTGAGCTGCTCACCATGATTAGATCAAGCTTGAACCAGAGCTCTTAGCAAGAGACTCGAGAGAGGTACGAATAGGAACTTCGATATACTGGCTGACAGGAGGCTTTTATGGCCGCTTCCAAGACTCAGAAGAATGAAGCCCTGGAGGCCTGTGTCAGTAGACAAGGCACGACTCGGATACTCCCATTCCGGTGCAGGGGTGGCTGTATCAGAGCCCTGGAGCTACTCGACTCATTTACCAAAGCTGATGCCTAACATGTCAGCCAATGGAAGACCAGAGAAAGGGGAATTTCCAAGGCTATCGTCAGCTGGAGCTTTGTTTGCAGGATTCGTAGAAAGTTTTGCCAGAATGCATCAATTGCCAGAGATTGTATCAGGCCCCATACCTCGTTTTCCACACTCATCTACCAACTACAGAGCACTTTGGGAATCAATGTTTTTCTGTATAAAGGTGTCGCATTTGTTTGACCTTTGAGGCATCTAAGAAATAGCCGGTCTCTGCTGATTCCGAGAGCGGAGCAGTGGATATTGCCCAGGTGGTGCTGTTGTGCTGCCAGACATGATCATGATCTAAGGCCCAATCCACCAAATCAATGCGACACTCCAAAGAATCCTATTGGTAAAATTGAGGATCACGATATGCCAACATTGGTAGAGAGCACGTCAACTGCGTCGGACAATCCTGATTCATGACAGCGCCTGTAATTCCCAAAGCGCCTTTAATGAAACGATGGCTCGCCAAGAGATCGCAACTTGGTGAGTGTCCAGCAGAGCATAGATATAGACAGAGCACAGTCGAGGCACGAACTATACCACACGGAATACGTTCTTACAGCGTAAAAAAAGGATCCAGCTTCCCGAATGGGAGCTTGGAGCAGGATATCATTGATTCTGATTGCTCCTAAGCCAGAAAACGCCATCCATTGGGTCATTCATAACGCCATGCTCGCGGTCAAAAAGAAAAAGTGGAGATGCTCCCCTCGCCAAAAATAAATGCATGATCTCCCGATGCCCTGGTATTCCATGCTGAAAAAGAAACGACAAAGCCACCCTGGACAATTATCCAAAGCCCTTGACACATGTCGTAATGTCACTTAGTTGGGCTGGTTTTCGCGAACAACCTGGCGCACCTTGCGCTCATATGCCGGACGGTCCTTCTTGAAAAGGTTATAGGCATCGGCCTGGGCAGGTGACTCGGGGTTTGGGTCGTCGAGCAGATCTTGGATACCAAGGAGAATTTGCTTGATAGTAATGGCGGGTCGCCAGTCTTCCTCCTCGTTGAGAATCGACAGACACACAGTTCCAGAAGGGTATACGTTGGGGTGGAATAGCGCAGGGTCAAACTTGCCTAAGATGCCATTCTGTTAGCTTGTGGATTCAAAAAAAAGTAGCGCAGTGCAGTTCATAGTGTGTGAATGCCAGACACGAAATATCGCGAAGGAGGTACATACACTTTGGTGGCTTGGTGGGGTATTCTAGAAGATCGGTCAGCCTCAAAGGAACCCAGGGATCATCGGTTGGGGGTTGTATTGCGCTGCTTACCATCCGGGAACACCACCTTCATTTTAAAGAGTCCACCCTCCCAGAGGGTGCCAGTCTTGCCAGGAATTGCACACTCCCAAGTCTTCAGGTCAAGGCCACCCTGGGCAGTGCGTGTGGGCTTTGCGACAAAGCCGAATGGGTGATCGCGACGCCACTGCTTGCTGTGATGTATACCAGTCAGCGCAGAACAGAGGAACAGCGCAAATGATGCGCATCCATGGAGACTCAATAGTGACTCCAGTGAACTTACCGCTCCTCCTGAAGACGGTTCTGGCAGAGAGACATCTTGAGCTGATGATCGCGGGGTGTGATGGAAATATGGGTTCACGCAGAGCTAGATGATGGAGCTATGATCGTAATTGGAAGTGAGGAATAAGTGATTGGCACAAGACAAGGGGCTTTGGAGTAGGGGAGGAAAGGAAGTGAGGGGGCAATCGAAAGGAAGAATTTAAAGGTGGCAATCGTCGAAGTGATAGCAATCGATCTCCAGGATCTCTTCGGTCGATGTGATTAGTCATCGCAATTTGGAGTCCACCAGTTGACCTGGGCAGCTTGGCAAGATCAAAAGTCAAGAGCACGATCTGGAGATAAGAGCGATATATTGGGGTCATTAAGCTACTACCTCAGCTGGCAGTCTCTATCTCTCGCATACATAGATGACGATGCCTTGTTTCCAAGGCATACCCGCTCCACTAGCCGTGCATTTCTTATAGACCGAGATCATGAATCCCATATGAGTAGAGCAAATTTCCCAAGCTATTCATCCAACCCAATGTCTCTCTCCTTCTCCAAAGTGGGCTCCTCTGGCTCTGTCACAGCAGATCGATCCTCTTGTGTTGATACATATCGAATAAGACTCTCGCATAATCGATCCAAAACCCACTCTGGCTCTGTCTGTTTCGCCAACATGGGGCTGTTCTCACCAATCCAATCCCAATTCAAAAGCCCGTACTCATCCTCATTAAGCTCCAAAGAGCCCAAAGCTTCTGGTTGGCTTTTCTGTGACGGTGGTCGGGCTCGCGGGTCTGTGAACTTGATGAGGCGGGTAAACTCGACCCATTCCTCGTAGCAGTACCGCTTCCGTTTACCCTCGCGCGCATGTCTTGTAGCCCGTCGAATGGCAAAGGCAAGTTGTTGGGCAAGCTCGAGGGGCGAGGGATCGCGGACAAGCTCTTCCAGGGTCCGGTGAGGATGTGCTGCCGCCGGGTCACCACTGCCATTGGAGTCGTTTGTTGTCGTTGGATTTGGACTCTCGTCTGCTTCTGCTTTGTCGGCTCCTTCCAGTGGAAAGCCTCGTTTTAGTCTTTTTTTCTCCTCGCGGGAAAGCATGAGCTGTGCCACCCAAGGTATTCGACCGAGGAAGGACTTGTAAAGGTGCGATTGAGGCAATACAACGTAGTCCGCGACGCTGCTGGTGGCACTCTTGAAGCTGGCGACAATTGTGTCGCTCATTTGAGAGATAAGCATGGTCATGGTTGGGATGGCGATGAGGGACCAGAGCACGAAGAATGGTCGACCAGCGTTTGACTGGGGTGTGAAATCTCCGTAGCCAATTGTCAATAATGACGCGAAACAGAAGTAGAGTGAATCAAAGTATGTCAGATCCTCTAGTCGCCAGAATACGACTGCTCCACAAGACCATACGATTCCAAAAGCAATGATACTGATAATAAGGTCATTCCACCGGCGAAATCGCAAGGTATCATATTGGATACGACGCATGGCATCGAATCGGTCTTTTTCTTCGCGTATGATGTTGATTTTGGGTCGGCGCCCTGCTGCGATGGCGCTCAGGGTATTTCGAATTGGTCGCCGGGAACGGTGGTTGGGAAAATTTGGATTTTTCGAGGCTTCCATTGGGGGATCAATGTTTCCAATGGAGGACTTCCCTTTAGAAGCACAAAATTCCTCGGTGCCAAGGGATCGGTCGAAAGTCGTTTGTCGCTTTTGTTCGATGTGTTTTTGGATGACATTGTCGTAATGGACCTCACGAGCAAATTTATGAATGCTTCCCACAACTAAACCTAGAATGATGATTCCAATGACTGCATATGGCCAGACAAGGCCGCGCCCAACAGAGCTTGTGGCAGTGATATCACCAAACCCTAAGGTCAACACAGTGACATCGCAAAAGTACAGTGCATCTGCGAAAGAGATCCCAAGCACCCGCTGAAAGATGGCAGCACCTATCAACAACCAGATAACAAAGGCGGTCATTTGCAAAATCAAGGTTCGTTGTTCGTCGGTTAACGAGAAGTGCTGTGGGTATTTGCCCAGAAAATAACCCAGCATATTGATCATCAAGATGATGCTCAGGACGAAATAGAGACATGCAGCAATCACAGCGCTCCAGTATGCTTGGGAGAAGACACGATCATCCCCAATTGGTGGGGCATAAATATCGATGGCTATGGTGATTCCACATAACTACAAGCATGCATTAGACGGGACGGCTAAATCAAATCGTGTTACTCACAATACCTGTGGCCAAGAACCACAGGATAATCGTCACCGGAAGGGCGATGATATAACGCACGATCTGGGTGAAGTTGAACAATAGGAAAGCATTGCCCACAATGCCACAGACAAGCGAGACCGCGTTGAGGGCAGTGATCCTGTTAAGAGGTTAGGAAAGCTTGGCTGGTGGTCATGTTTTATAGTTACCAGTGGTGGTCTGAGTATCCCTCCTGTATATAGTTTCCAGCAGGTCCAATCTTTTTGGAAAGGATGTCACTCCTCCAAGGCATAACCAGTGCAACAACCGACATGACATTAGCGAGAGGTCCCGTCGCAGCGGCAACGAGCGGAATGGCCGTAGATGCTATCCACCAAGACTGTGGCTCGTCATCTTCCACCGGTCTCAGGCTGAAGTGACCTCCGAGCCGCGCCCATCGTGAAGGCGCATTTGATGCTCCCCCTCTCCCCGAGGTCGTCTCAACTGCCGTAGGTTCATGTTGCATGGTTTTTCTAGCATAGCCGCCCCGAGACTGGGACAGCCAGAAGTCTGGAGACTGCTTTTTGGTGTAAAGCTAGGTCTGATCTCAAGGTATCAGGGTACCCGTGGGAACAGGTGAAAGAAGTTCAGATATCGTGGGAAATGACGGGGTCGCATCCTCTGTTGATCAGACATGAAAACGCACAAGTTCTTAGCTTGAAGGTCTTGAAGGTTGTGAAATTCATGTACGAGTACTCCGTGTACTTTGACTTCAGTAATCGCGAAGTACATCAAAGTAACATTTTAGTGTCTGAAGATGATGTCAACCACAGCTTTGACACGATCCCGTGACCAGTGCGTCATCATTATACTTCAACCTATTTCAACTTCCTTAGCCTTTTCAACCCTTTTGATACCCGACATGCCTAAAAACGAATATCTTGTCCTAAACAGCTGGCCAGGGACTAAACTCCAAGACCAGATAAGGTTGCATGACCACATGGCCACGATGACTTTCTCAGAAATGCACCTTAAATCCTTCGGACATGGCACTACGGGCTAAGGCTGCAGGCCTCAAATTAGGTCCTTTTCTGAGATTCTGCATGTCTAGCCTGGTTTGAGACATGAAAACGGCCAACTCAGCTCTTTTCTCCGAACTCCAACGTCCCACAAGCCCGGTTTCACTCCGAATAGAGAAGGAGATCGGTGAGACCGACCTGACTTGTCTCGGATCCTGATTATACACGGAAGTACCTGCTGTTTTATCTGCTGGCATCTGACGTTGAGTAGCTAGCAGCTGTAGATGAGTCGGAAACTTCTGTCTCGGGAGGCTTGAGAAATGACCCTGTTGACAAGCGCGAGGAAAATACCTCACCAACAGCCAGTCACAGCTATCACATCCAGGGCCGACTCTCATTGATCAGTGCACAAAGTACTCCGTTAGCATGCAACCCCAACAGAGATGGGCGTAACGGCCCTCTCATAGGGTCGCCACACCCAACAGCTCGGGTACCCCAGCCAACATGCATATTGCATTCAAATATCGGGCCCAGGCCAATGAAACGGGATTTAACAGCAAAGCCAACGCTGGGTCCTACAGAGATCAACGTAGGCGTGACATCAATAGCCGTCATCAAACAGACCCCTGGAGGGCAAATGCAAGTCTCCAGATCTTCCAAAAAGAAAAACGAGGCAGCCAATCTCGGGATTCGATTCCCTCTTTAACGAGGCGGGGTAGATGATCCACCCTGTATGTAGGTACTGCAGGCGCCGAGCGTAGCGCGGAAGCAAGAGGGGTAGCTATCACATCACAGTTGCTTTGATCTACGTGGAAATAGTATTGAATACACAGTCTCGGAATGTATAGGAGAAAAGTATAATGAGTGTGGTTTATCGGATGTAGGGTCGTCTTGGTTCTATGTACAACCCGGTTTCTCCGACCCAAACAGCGCAAATAAAAAGGCAAAACAGTATAATGGGACTAAACAAAGGAAAGATAAAGCAGTAGGCTTGTGTATAAGAAATCGCAAGATGGTATCATCAAAGCAGGGTGACACAGGACTTCGGTAAAAAAAGAAAAAAACGAGCTAGACGACCAGAAAAGAAAAAAAACAAGATTAAACAAGGACGCCAGATATGTGAAGGACACCGCCTCATATAAGGGAAACGAGGTCAAAATCAAGGCGCCAGAAAAAGCAACGCAAGAAAGAATTTTGGAGCGTCCGAACCGGGACGAGATGGAGAGTAAATGCAACGAGCAGGGCTAGCCGAAGCCAACCAAGGCGCTTCAAGTGCGAACAGTGTGAAAGTACTCCGTAGACCAGAAAACAATAAGAAAGTCTCTCTCTCTGGGTATCACTCTCGGTAATTCAAAAAGCAAGAAAAAAAGCAAAATAAAAATAACGGATCAGAGACAACCTAAGCAGCCGCCGGACGGCGCAGGATGTCTTCGCAATTTGCGTCGAAGCGCATGTTCCACAGCCGGATGCTATTCATGAGCTTCTCGGTGTTTTCGAGCTCGCGATCACGGCCGAAGATCGACTCCACGAACTCGCAGCCAGAATTGCGGCCCATGGAGATGGGCCCCTTGCCGCCTTCTCGCTTGGCGGCTTTCCACATGAAAATCTCGCAACCCTTGAGTAGCTTTTTGAAGCGACTCCAGAGGCGTTCGCCACTTTCCAGGAAATCCTCAACGACTTCCTGTGCCTCGACGCGTTGAATGCGAGGCAGGCACTCGTCAGCCCGCTTGACCTTGCCCGCTAGCTTGATCAATAATAGCCACAAGTCGCCAGCGACGTCGGCCATGGGGGTCGATGCCCCGTGGTGGAAAACGGTCCAGTCGTAAATCCATTTACCAAGAGAGTTTGCGTCGAATACACTGCCCAGCAAGATGATCGGCGCTTCAGTGGGGTCCCAGTTCTTGATCGAGTACCCAGGTGGAATTTTGGCACGCGCGGCGTCCTCTTCAGTGGCGACGGGTGGTGGTTTCGCGGCGGGGGGAGGCTTTGGCTTGGGAGTGCGAGTTGAAGTAGATTGGCGTCTTGTGCGGGATCGTCGAGCCGCGTCAATATCCTCGTTGTTAGGGGCCTGAGTGAAGTAAAAGTGAGAATCAGCTGTGTTGGTTTTGCGATGAGAGGTCGAGGTGCGACGGGGACCATCTTTCGGGGTCGTGGGGGGACGGCCATAGTGACCAGGTTGGCAGTCGAATGCGTCGTCAACCACATCTACGAAGATGGGTCGGGTCTGCGATTGCGCTGGGTCGTAGCCGTATCCGTTGTCGAAGTCATCCGGAGGATAACCCGCCGAGGAGTGGTATCGACGATGTGTGGGCTTTCCAAAAGTAGCACTTACATGATCGTGCTTTCGCGATGGAATGCCATAGTCTGTGGTTTCATAGAAACCTGGTTGATAGGTCGAATACCATCCTGGCGTTTCTTTGGTCGCTGTGTAGCTGGCCTTGCGGTTGTGTCGACGTGCAGTGCCCCGAGGTGAATAGGAGTTGGCGTATTGCGAGGCGTAGTAGGCGTATTGAGGTGAGGTGGGAGGAGATTGAGTGTAGTCGTAGGTGGACCACCCGTGTGGTGGACTGGAGTAATGATACATTATCGGATCATATAGAAGCACCAGAGGCTGGAAAATGCAATGCAATGAACCAAACGATTAAATGCGAATCGCCAAAAAGAAAGAGGAAGATAAAAAAAAAGAAAAACACCGAGTATATTATACAGGATATCGCGCACCCAGAACAGAAGTCGACGCCGACAAGCAGGTCAGATAGGTTTTTTTTTTAGATTTTTGACACCGTCACCGTGGTACGGTTTCCGATCGAAGAGAAGAAGGTTGAGACTGAATGTGCAGAGAGAGCATTTGAACGTTCTTCGACCGATTCAAGGAAAAGAAGGAAGAGTGCGTTTAAGGGGGGGGATCCTCTACCTTAGGGTAGTTGATCCAGAGTGATTCTCAGGCAAAACAAAGGAGTAGCAGAGACTCCCACAGATGTAATGGCTTTGGAATTTGTGGAGTGGGAAAAATTTCAACCCAAGGATGAAAGAGAAAAAGAAGAGATGGATCCCAATGTCAGCGCCGGTGATATTATTGTCGCCAATCACTGCAGCCGCTAGTGGCCGGAGCGTGCAGGTTGGCGTTATGGGCTGTGGCGATAAATACACCTTTTCCTTACGTGTATTGAATTTCAATATACTCTCGTATTCTATTTCTTTCTAAAAGATTTCTCATCACGCAGGGATTTGGGTCTGCTTTTATAGCTCAACTATATCTGTCATTATTGAGTATGACTCGACGCTTAGAAGTGGCAAATATCACCGTCGACTCATATTATTATTACTCACTTCTAGTCAGTACTTGTACTTTCTACCTTACAATCCCAAAGTACTACGGTCTCTCTACCCCTCAGACTAGTCCATATGGAGCTCTTGTTCCTTCGACGCTATGAATATCTGCCGCTTGGCTAGACGCCCCTCAGGTTAATCGGGCAGACAACGACTCGTATGGCTTTCTTGCGGTGTCTCTCTGAGATCACTGGGCTCTAATCAGCTACTCCCAAACCCTCGGTAAGTCACTCTGAGGCAAAATGATAAACTTGAGTGCAGATATCGCCACTGAGTTGGATCGTAGTACCGGAAGATCTCACTGGCTGCCTTACAGCTGTATATCGTTGGAGTTAATTTAGGTCACCCCTCTATCAGCTGGCGTGTCACGGCTGGGTTGGATGAGCGCAAAGCCATGTGCTCGATTTCCAGAATTAATAGGGAACTTCCATGTCTCGTACAGTTCATCTGCATGAACACCGACCTGTTGTAGCATGACGATGAACACTGGATATGATCAACTGGTGCATCAACATATCAACCTATCATCTCTATAGCACATGAAGCAATCAGCCCCCCCTCTACTACTCAAAAAGGCGCGATAGATACGAAGTACTTACACGTGTAAGCAAGTACTGAAAGCCATGTATGCCCAGGTGCTCGATCGGCCTAATGTTGGTTCCATGGTTGGCTCGACGGCATCCCAGATTTTAGAACGGCCGGTCCCGTCTCGTCCACCGGTTCAAGACCCCACCCCCAGACAATCGGACATTTAAATTCCCTGTAAGTTATACGCACATGTTGCCATGGCGAACGAAACGAGCTCCATCAGGGTCCCTCTTCCACACAAAAATCCACTTTGCACCGCCGTGTCGGGCAAGATCACGGACGATGAATGGGCGTTACCGCTGCGTCGCTGGGCAGCAACGGCTCTTTTTGGGCAAGAATATACAGAAAATTCACAGACCGCAACTTCCATGGTCTGACCAACACCACAAGCGTGAAAAAAAAGCTTCGGCCTAGCAGTAAAAATAGTTGTAATCTACATTCTTTGGAAATCCTACTCTACTTGGATGATTTGGCGGCCTGGTGGCTGTGTACAGCGCGTTGGGATCGAAACCGCATAATGGATAGGCAGCCAGCATCCTCCAACCAAAAGTTCAAGACCAAGCCGATACTCCGGATCAGTTGTCATCGATATTCAACATTGGCTCTCTAGTTGAAGGATCTTTGTTTCAGCGTGGGGCATCGAACACTAGGCGACTCGCTGCGACCGAGTTCAAGCCCTAGTCTGTTTTATACGAGTTCGGGATTGGTTCAACACCAACACCAATGACAAGGTAGAAATTTCTCCGTACTCGTAAAAATTGTGCATGACGGATGCTTGCTGGATACTCCGTAGGCTGTGACGTTTTCCTTAATATCAGATTCAACTTACTGTCTCGCAGCAGTAGGCGAATGTAAGAAACCAAGAGCAGTGGCCCCTCGCTGGTCGCCAATACGATCAATACCGAAATATTCTTTACGCTCACGCACCGAGGAAAGGGATGAGAAACGGCGGAATTTTCGGCGCGTCCTTGCTGCCCACACAAAGAATCCCAGGGCCACCCCTGATTCGAGGACTTTGTTTTCCTTGAATGAGTCAACCCTTCAAGAAATGCCCCCTGTCTTAGCCAACCCAGCCATTCACAAGGCAAAGTAGATTCCTGCACCGCCGATCATCTAGGGTTGCACATGGCTTATTTTTAATTTCAAAATTCATCTGTCAGTCATTGGATGCCTGTACCATATGTACATAGATCTCACATGCAGGCAGCTGATTGAAAAAAAAAATCTTAGATGTATCTGCCTGGTGCATTTGCAGATATGAGGCCTCTTATCTGTTCTTCTTCTTCTTCTTCTTCTTTTTTTTTTCCTTTTGCCTCCTGTTCAGCTGGTAAGTGCAGCAACAATTCAATTACGACAGATATTGAATAGTGCGTAATGCGTAATGCCAACTCGCTAAAAGCGGGTCATGGAATTTCTGGAAGGTTTGAAGACAAAAATGGAAGTCCAAGCCCGCTAGGCACTGCAGGCCAACGGGTCGCCTCGGCTGTAGGAACATAACCTTGAACCTGCGCACAGACGCGCTCTTACCGTGCATGGATTTACGAGTACAGAGGTGAGATAATCTTCTAGAGTTCGGTACTTTATGTCTACGAGTAGAAGGTATGAAATTGATGCAGTACTTCAGGTTCGCATGATGTAGTACTCACGGTGTGTACTATGAGGCTCATAGGACATGGATACCGAATTTCAAATCCCACCATATTGCAGCTCTAAATTCCAAAGTGGATTAATTTATTTTGATATCACCGCCAAGTACAGAATGGTCACCTGGAACAGTGATTTCTTCACCTCCAACTCCCAGCAGGAATCGGTGTGCACCCTTGATATTAATCTTGCATCCTCTAGGCAGGATATAAAATACATCCCAATCACAGTGCAGTCTGCGATGGAATTCCATCTATCTGCTGCTGCCCCTTGCACGGTGAAATTCAAATGCTGGCAATTTAGTGTTTCTAATTGGTATTTTGGGCCGTGTAGTACTAGCGGTCGGGGAGTCCGGCCAGACCCTGTTTATCTGAATCCTGATGGACTATTTGCCCAAATATGGATCCTTGATTGCAATCAATACTTGTACATGCCCAGGTGCGGAGCACCTGGACTCTACGAGTAGAGATGGGTTTTGTGCGCGCTGATCTATAGGGCTTGCATGGCTGCCCTTGCCCTGTGCCCTATGCGTCTGTATAGGTGTGTCTTATTTTGGTAAAATGCCGAGCTTGTACTGCGTACTTTTGCCTGGGTGCAATGGTTGTGTGATGATCTTGACTTTTGGCTGATGTGCGTTCTCCTTGAGGTGTTACCTCCGAGTGGCTTGGTCCAGCCCCAAATGGCGTTGACTGCACCTAGATTATGCAAGTACTCCGTGCCTCCGGATGGGATGTTGGGAGTCTCATAACGGTGTGCTTTGCAGGACAACGGGCTTGTTGTGGCTAAATGCATTTCGTGATAAGAGCGAATTGTTGAGTGGCCATGGAATATGTGCATGTAATTGGTCTATGTCTATGTACTTGAGAAGAATACCAAGGTACACTCGTACCGAGTCAGCAGATAGTAACCCGCAATATGTGTGAGGTATCATATTTGTCAAAAATCCAGAGTCGCTGAGCCTCCAACCAAAAAAATAACTGAGAATAAAAAAAATGCCACCAGTATGCGGAAAAGCTTGATATCGTGCGTTGAGCACGACGATTAAAGAAAAATGTGAAAATGAGAGGATTTGAAACAAAAGGCCTATGCGACCATATACTCTCCGTCGCCCCGCTTGGCCTGCATGACTCGGGACCACCGGAAAGCCTGTGAAGTAGTAGGTGCCCTGCCACCTGCCAGCGGAGGCGGGGCAGCAAACTCGCTGGGATAGATTGGGAATGAGGATTCGTCGGATTGCTCTGCCCAAATCTTCTCGAGAAGTTCCAGGCAGGAAAGATTGTTGATGAAGCCGGAATCCTTGGAGATATCAATGCAGCGATTGCGAATGATGGAGCGATGGTCTTCCTGCACACATTCTGAGCCGACAATGAAAAGGGGCCACAGAAGGTACACGTCGGACTGCACGGTTATGATGCAGTGCATAGCGAGCTGGACAAGGTGTTGGATACGACCGTGTCGGGATGGAAGAGTAGGCTCAGCTAGACGTTCGCAGTAAAGGAGGGCGGCATGTCGGAAACATTCTGAGATTTGGAAGACATCCTGAAGGTTCTCAGGCGCCACTTGGTATGCCGATGTCGAGTTCATCGGTGTCATATATGTGGTTGCATTCCAAGTCATCGTAGATGCCGACAAGGGTGGAGAGGGGAAAGCATCAGATGGTGCAGATGGTGCAGTAGGTGGGTCGAATCGCCAGGATTCGAGTCGCTGCCTGAGCGAATACCACTCTGTCCAAAATGCCGGAGAAGAAGGTCGACGGCTTGAATCGCTACTGGGAGGTGGGGTTGGAAGAGAGAAGCCTTGCCCTGGTAGCGGAACAGAGCCCATGCCGAGATCTGGGACGACATTTTCCCATCCTGGGAAAATCATATTAGGGGGCAAGGATGTTGTGGCAACGTTTGCGTCTTGAGGGCGCGATAGGTTGGGCTCTTGGTCCTGGCTGAGCAGGTTCAAACGACCCAGTTGGGAGATCAATTTGAACAAACGACCATCACAACCGGCCAAGTTCTCCAAGCCCCATTCCCCGTCCGTTTTGGAACTGATATCCAAACATGTCCCACGGAGTTGAACATCCCGGTCGTTCGTCGTTGCTGTCAGCGTATCAAACCACGAGAACATTCGAATGAACCACTTCAGGTCATCCGTCATGACGCGGGAATGGCGCATTCGAATGGCCAGGAGTCTTGTAACGCCGGCAAACTGTGCTCTGAACCCAGCAACCCCAGTATCACAACCATGGAAAAGACAAAGCATCAATAGAGTGGCCAGTACTGAATCTGACAATCTGCGGCGAGGATCTGCAAGGTCCGCATTTAACGCTTTGACGGCCATGCCGCGATGGTGGTTTTCTTCCCTGATATAGCCCTCGGTCATTGAAATGCCATATCTATCTTGGAAATCCTCATCGGTGAGTGCCCGGTGAGCCATCGAGGACATGCGTGCAGGTAAAGTTCTTTCTGTAGAAAGATGGTTGTGTTCTCGCCTTTGTCGCAAGTTGCTCGTGGCTAATGTCGCAATTGCCTCCTGGAGAGCCTCGCTCTCCATTGCGAGACGAATGACATGTGTTCTAAATGGATTTGTTGGTGTGTCAAATGCAACAATCATAGGCGCAATAACCTCCGCATAATAACTGATGAGATATCGAATGCGCGGTGTCCGACCCACCGATCTTGCCAAAAGGAGCTGAGAGAGGGACGGAGAGTGCGCAGCGTTCCAGAGCATGTTGTAATTAGGGTCTTGTTTGACCTCCTCTTCGTCCATGTCCTGCGACGATGGTGGCGTGGCAGACTGGGCTGGATATGGTACCGTTGTAGGCCAAACCGGAGAGCTGAAACTAGCCGTCGGACTGACGATGGGGGCGTAGAGCAAGGGTGTCTCCGGGGTCATGGATTGAGTGGTGTTATTCGGAATCATCGGCCGTGTTGGCAGTGGAAGTCCTGAAATCTTGGGCGCAGGAGCAGGGGTACTCCATGTCTGTGGATCTGGCATGTCCATTGTCCAGGCCATATTCGATGCCATGTCGAACGAATTCATCATAGTCGGTGGGCTATCTTCCAGTTTGACATTGGGGGTTGCTGCACTGAACGACGACATTGTTGGACCGGAGGCCGGAGGTGGCGGGACGGGGGTATTGGACGGAAGTCGCGATGAAGACGCCGCGCTGCTCCCTGACGCCTTCGGTGGTGATTTTGCGGGCTCTCTTTGCACTTGTTCATCCGATTCCATCACTGGGAGTTTCTGACCCCGAAGTTTCCCGCGACTGGCGACCCCAACACCCCATGTTAACGTCGTCTTGTATCCGGAACATTCACGGCCCATGTCCAGACATTGAGAGCAATATGGTCGGCGGCGATCACATCGGGCTCCTCGCTTGGCGCAAGCGAAGCAGTCATCAGGGGCCCCGCTAACCACCGTTCTCTTGCGGCGTTTTCTGATCGGAGCGTTCGGATCGGTTTTGCGGGATTTTCCCTTCGGCGCGGGGTCTCGAGACGGACGGTCTGCACTATCGGAGGCCATCGTACACAGGCGTGGGCAAGGCCCGCACGGAGTCCATCCGTCAAAACCTGAAGGGTCGGTCGAATGGAGGTCGAAGGCACGATCTGTCACAACGAGGGCGAAGAATGGGTGGGGGAGTCCACGATTGAAGGAGGGGGAAAATGTCCAATAAATGATCGACGGAACGGTTTCGGGGAATAGGCTATATATCTGACAGACTCCTGAGACTGAAAAAGAAGATTAAATGAAGACTTGGGGGGTGGATATGGGATCTTCCCAGTGGAGGCTGATCCGCGCTTTAGTCCTCTAGTCGGGACAGGACTGGGGCGTTCATTGCCTTCTCACGGCAGGCAATGGTCGGTTCCACTCTCGGTGATCATGAAATCATAAAAATGTCTCACTGGATTTCGATCTGCTGAGGATGATAATCGTTCCAATGTTCCGAGTAGTAGATTGACAGAGCTCTAAGGAGAAAAAAAAAGTGGCCTCGGCTTAAGTGCGGATCAAGATAATATACGAGTAGCCCTGAAGATGGTCTCGTGTTTCATTTCCATATTGATACAATGTACTAGTAGTTGATACTTGAAATCTGATATCTATTGGATCTGTCTTTTTTCTTTCTTTCTTTCTTTTTTGTCTCTTTCTTCCTGTTTATCTTGTGTCTCCTTTTCCCGCAGGTCCCTCGTATAGAAATGGCCGGTGCCAAGCCCGGTCAATCTTGTTTCCGCCCTCCCTGAATTATATGCGCCACATCCTATACCCCGAACGTGCCCAACTATAGGCACGTTGGACCATTTCCTCTGAACTTCTGAGATCGGCGTGGCCGTGCGCCCCCCTGGGACCTCAAAGTCATGTCCGCAGGTGTGTTTCGACCCGGTAGGGCCAGGTCCCTGGTCCTGGCCATGCTGGCGTTGATACTCGTGTGCACCGTCTACTTCTACAGGTCTCCGACAACCGCGTCTTCCACCGTCTCAGTAGTACCAAATACCGCCTTCGAAGTCCCCCTCACAGAACGCCAAAAGGATTTCTGGAAAGCGCTGCGACCGATCATCGAACGTCATAACCCGAACTGCCCGGCTCCGGAGAAGCGAGGCGACGTTGCAGCACAGCACTTTGACCCCGCGAAAGAACAGCCGAGGCCAGATCTGTCGGTGCTGAGCGAGGAGGATGAACGGAAAATGGAAGAGGCCCACGCGGCCTTCATTGAGGATATCAAGAATTCGGGCAAGGTGCTGAAGCCCATCCATACCCCCGGGAAGCGAGGACTGGTGTCGACGGCCGGGTCGACATATTTGCCCGTTTTTGTGTCCTCGCTACGGATGCTCCGTCGCGCCGGGTCAACGTTGCCCGTGGAAATATATATGAAGGATGCCACAGAACATGAGAAACGCGTGTGCGAGGATGTGCTTCCTCAGTTGGATGCACGCTGTCTAGTGTTAGCGGACGTGGTGGGGAAGAATGTCATTGAGCACTACCAACTCAAAATCTTCGCAGTGCTGTTCTCCTCCTTCGAGGAGATCGTGTGGATGGACGCCGATTGTTTCCCACTGGGTAAACCCGAGGATCTGCTCGACTCGGAGCCCTTCAAGACTCATGGTTTAGTCACATGGCCCGACTTCTGGGCCTCCTCGGCGTCCCCTCTGTATTTCAGAATCTCCCGGCAAGAACCACCTTCCATGGCTGCGCGGCAGTCATCCGAGACTGGCGCATTCTTGGTGAACAAGAAAACTCACTTGCTGGCTCTCTTGTTGGCCTCGTATTATAATTTCTACGGCCCGTCACATTATTTCCGTCTGTTGACCCAGGGAGGTCCAGGCGAGGGTGACAAGGAAACATTCTTGCAAGCCGCTTCTGCGGTCGGTGCACCCTTCTACACCGTCAGTGAAAGAGTGCAGGCTATCGGACATGCCAGCCCGGGTGGACTGTCTGGATCCGCGATGGCACAGTCAGATCCGCGGGAGGACTTTGCTTTGACGAAAGAAGACAAGTGGCGCGTTAAGGACGAGTCTGTCGCTCCCGCACCACACGTCTTCTTCATCCATGCCAACTATCCCAAATTCAATCCTGGTGATCGGATCTTTGGACTAGGTTGGGAAACAACCCCTACGTTGAAGGATGACGGGTCAGATGGACGTGCCTGGACGGCACCTCCCGAGACCATCGGACGATTTGGTTACGACGTTGAAAAGGCGTATTGGGAAGAAATCAAATGGGTCAGCTGTAATCTTGAAACGGCATTCAAGACCTGGGAAAACAAAGTGGGACTGTGTGACAGAGTCCAAGAGTATTGGGGCCATGTCTTTGCTGCGCCGCACGATGATGATCCTAAATTCACCCTTGATGGTTGATAAACGCATTATCCCCATCGCTTGTCTCTTTGGTCGCCCCCTGGCTTCTTGCCTACTTGTAACCCTGTGGGGGTTGATTTGACATTGAGATCAGGAGCCTCTGGCGAACCTTTTCAAACGCCTCTCGACTCTTCATTGACCCCAGTCGTTCAACCCCATCATGATGCCAGTGGGAATCAAACATCACCCGTGCTCGATTGACATTTGGTTTATTGTCCTGGTTGAAACACTACTCGTCCTCTTGGGGACTGCATGAATTTACGGAACATATTTGCCACTTTGGCTTTGTACAGATACTTGAATCTTTGATCATGGGTTATTTCTGTCTCGAGTTGCATTTACATTGCATCTATTTATACTTAATGAGAATCAAATATTGAACTTGGACCTAGCACGTTGTGTCTCCAGGGTTATGTTGAACGAATTAGCTTTACTCCGAGCAGCTTTATAGACTGCAACCGTGGGCATTTCCCCTTTATCTCCCCAGGTCCAGTCTGTTCACCTGTTCAGATGCCTTGGATGACGTAAATGCCGGAATCTCAGATCGACCTTGCAAAGTGGCGTGCAGGAGCGAATCGGGCAACTTGCTTCAACAATGCTGATAACTACGAGAGATGCCACTGCCCAGGTATGAGAAGCATCAGACGGGAAATGTTGATCTCTTGATTACATGTGAACCGATTAAGGTATATCTCGATGAATTCATTCAATGATCTTTATTCGATAAAGAGAACTCCGACCAAATGTCATTATTATCGTACATCATTTCCTCTTCCAAAGTGAAGATATGAACCTTGAAATCCCATGGGGTATTTTATAACATCATAACAGCATTTCCAAATTTAGTGCTTGATGCCCTTCTCGCGAAGGCGCTGCTCATCCTCAGCCTGGAGCTCGGCGTCAATCTGGGCACCCTTGGAGGGAGCGTTGCCGTGGAGCTTGGCCTATAACCACATTAGTATGTGATACCGTGAAGAATCTGTGTATGGAACTTACGGGCTTGGTGGGGTCCTGCTTGCTGAGCTCGGCCTCCTGGTTGGCGACGTTGTTGTGGTGGTGAGAGGGGTCGGGCTTGTTGGACTGGGCGGCAAGCTTCTGGGCAATGGAGCGGCCATCCTTGGAGTCCAGGGTTGAGTGGCTGTTGGTTTGGCCCTCGGCGTAGCGGGCACGGTCCTGGAGTTCAGAGACAGGAGGGTTGCGCTGGTCGCCAGCCTCGTAGATGGCACGGTTTCCGACGCTAGATTGGCCCGACATTGTGATATAGAGAGGATAGAGAGAATAGAAGAGGTTTGTAGAGAAGGTTGTAGAGAGAGAGATGATAGTGATGAGTGTAAGTGTATTCTCACCCAGTTCTTATACTTGCCATTATACTCAATGTGATGTCATGCTGGAGTCACTGAGATCATAGTGGGTCGCAACCCAGTTTGAGGGCAATTGACCTCAGATTCTGCGCTCATTCTGCTCTTGGGATGCTCTGGATCTTTCCTTGGGATTCGTTGCTTGACATGTTGCAATCAAGGCAGACCTGGCTCTGTGACATCGTTGATGCAAAGTGTGGCTTTTCGGGACCCCACTAGACTAGTTGGTGCTCCGCCTTGGCGTTCTCTATACTCATACTCTCTACACTTTTACTCGGGGGATATTGTCACAAAGTACTCATACTCGTACACTTTTAGGAATATAGGATTCTAACAGGAAAGCAGCGGGAAGTTGCATATTCCAATATTGTACCTGTACATGTGCAATCTTAAGGTGTCATTGACTGCTTGCCCCCGCCATCGTCGCTCATTCATTTGAGCGTCATTTCCCTCAGAGTACTGTACGGAGTATTTTCCTGCCATCTGAACATATCAGAGAAGGTATTATACCATGCAACCTCTTGACTTCCTCCCGACTACAGGTTGGCGTTGGCGAGAAACCCTTCGGGGCAGCCGAGTCAGCAAGACCTTGATCACTGAATCGGATGTTTCCCGTTCGGGCCTTTCACGAGCCGTGAATTGTTCCGCACATGCCTTCGAAGCTTGCAATTGATGACAGCAATGATATATTCGTCCCTGATGAGTTGAGACATGCCATGGAAAGATATGATGACGAGCTCAGAGCGGGACAAGCCTTGTGGATGGGGCTGAACAAGCCACAGTTCTTTGGGCGAGGGAGAGAGCATCTACATTCTGAGCTTAGGCCGTACATACAACGTAGCAGTATCAAATGAGGCAACTGGTGCAGACCAGGGCTGGGTCGGCATAAAGGGTTTAGTCAGCGTCACTCCATCGGGAATATGGAGACAAGACAATTCAGAGAGTCGGTGGGCGAGTGGTATGTGATAAAAAAAGAGATCTGGCATATTGGAGATGAAGAGTGGTAAATCTGGGTGACCGCCTTTCACATCCAGGAGCTCTCTTCTCCCTCTTTTCCTCCATCCTCAATTCATTTGTACGAGGAAGTGGACCCACATAGGTTCTTTTGGAGCAGCCTTGGCCATGTGATATAAAGCACATCAAACGATGTTCACTCGGCTCACCATTCGAGCTAGCAAGTTCACACTCTCACCAACACACTTGCCCAAGTACCCAATCCTGTCAACGTCCTTGAAAGCGAGAACGATCGCCACAATGACCTCGGAAGTCCAACCCCGCTTCCAGCAGCTGTTCACCGAGCTTGAAAATCGCTTCAAATCAACCAACCTAGGCAATGACAAGTGGTATATCCTGGCGGCTTCCACAATCGTCGCATCTCCAGACCCTGAGCGTGCAGACCAATTGTACTTGCATCTCATCAATCAACCAGAGTATGCGACCCCCACTGCGCGGCAGGCATTGGTCCGACGTCTCCGAGAAGCACTTATCAAATCTGTGCCGATAGTAGGAGTATGCAAGCCGATTGAAGCCATTCTTGCGATCAGCGAGGTGGAGCGCGACGAGGACAAAGATTATTCTTTCACGCGCGAAGGATGGCAATGTGACCAGGCCAACCATGAGCGTGGCACCGAGTGGTTCCAAAAGCTGTATGCTCGCAATGGCGGCGGGACTCTCGATTTATTCAGGGCGCACAAGGACTTCAGTTGGCTGTCGACTGAAATTACCTATGGGTTGTTCTTGTCGGATCGACAGGTGCTTGGAGATGTCGACACTCAGTTGGTTGTGTTTCCGGGGATCATGAGCCAGAATTTGCCCAAGGAGACGCATTGGCATATTCGTGGAACGAGACGTCTTGGTGTGCCCAAAGAGGAGGTGGAGCTTATTTGGAATTGTGTGCAGCTTGTTGCTCAGTTCTTCGAAGTGAAACTGCACAAGGTACCAACTGTTGAGGAAGTGGAGTATGATGTTTAGACTTGAAATAGAATAATAGAAGTCAGTCCTTCAAAAGAGACAGTGCGGTGAGCATGAAGCTTCAGCTATATTTCAAATGTACCTGGGTTTATTACTTCTGGGAATGAACTACATACATGCATGTATAATGATATTGCCATGGCAGTACTCCAGTGCAGTGAGATCTGTGGACTTGGCTATGGTGGATTGACATAGCGAAGACCTTGGTGACCAACAGTACTGTTGGCTCCTCTATATCAAATAGTGCTAGCAGTCTGCCCGTATCAAGCCTGCGGAGAGATCTGGCAAGGTCACCATTCAAGCCAAACAAAATAGGCAATAAAGGTGGTTAAGAAGAAGAACAAGTACTAGTTTTCTAACTCCTACCTCCAATAGCTCAACTGGAATACGATCAGGGAATACGCCTTGCCCCCGGGCTTGAGTCCTTCTCTGAAGGTGTATGCGCTCCACTGTGCTGGTAGATTGATGCTTGCGCGTTCGAGCCTTGACGGAGTCGATTGGAATTTCGAGCCGATCGGAATTTCCTTTCTTTCCTGAAGTCGCGTTCAATGCCTGTCATCTACCGGTTGGTGACCCTCGCGGTTGTTAAATACCGGCGGGCACAAGCCCCTCGACGAAGCAGGCATAGCCGCTCGTATGAAGCTCGTGAAGGAAGTTACAATCTTTGGAACCCCAACAAGAGGAATAGCTCCCTCTTGAGACTTTTTTTCCCCTCCTTCTTTTATTTTTGTTTTATTTCTCTTTTATTATCTCTTTTCCTTTCTCTTTTCCTTTCTCTTTTCCTCTCGGTATACTCGCGCTAGTGATATACTTCGGCGATAACAGCCGATAAGGAAAAAGTTCGAAAGCGGCCCAGCGTGGGGCCAACTTTGGACCTTCAACTTTTCCCTCACAGCAACAGCAATCAATTAGCACAAAATGGTTAAGCGGAAAGATCTTGGTGATGTTCAGATGGGCGGCACTCAGCCAGATGAGGAGGACTCCGGCGAAGTACGATATCTTCCCCCACCTTGACTGCCAACCTGCTAAAGACGCCTGCAGGACATTGACATGGTCAATGTAGACTTCGAGTGGTTTGATCCGCAGCCCATTGATTTCCATGGCATGAAGAACCTGCTGCGCCAATTGTTCGACAATGACGCCCAGATTTTCGACATGTCCGCCCTGGCCGACTTGATTCTATCGCAGCCAACACTGGGATCAACAGTGAAGGTTGATGGCAACGAGTCCGACCCTTATGCGTTCTTGACTATTCTGAACCTGCAAGAGCACAAGGTTTGTATTGCAAAGCCTCTGATTCACCATTCAATACTAATTGTCCCCAGGACAAGCCCGTCATCAAGGACCTGATCAACTACCTCAAGACCAAATCCGCCAGCAACCCGTCCCTCTCTGCTGCCAGCCAGCTTCTTTCTCAAACCCCCATCCCGCCCATTGGCCTAATCCTCACAGAGCGCCTTATCAACATGCCTTCCGAGATCGTCCCGCCCATGTACAACATGCTCCAGGAAGAGATCGCCTGGGCCATTGAGGACAAGGAACCATACAACTTCTCGCACTACCTCATCGTCTCGAAGAACTACGAGGAGGTAGAGTCAAAGCTTGACCAGGAAGAGTCACGGCCTCAAAAGAAGAAGAAGAAGGGCGGCGAGCAGGCTGAGCGCTTCTTCTTCCACCCTGAAGATGAGGTGGTGGAGCGCCACGCAGTCTGCTCCGGCTCTATCGAGTATACCCACAAGTCTGATGAGGGACACTCTGACTCTAAGCGTGCTTTCCAAGACCTTGGTATCAAGACGAATGGTAGCCTGATCTTGCTGGAGGCGGCGCAGTTCGAGCCTATGGTCAAGGCTCTAACGGAATATATGTCGTAGCTAGTGTAAAGAACCAAGGGTCTGTTACATCTTATGTCCAGTTTACGAAAATGAATATATTCTGTGTTAGCTGCTCACTTTATGTTTCCTTCTCTGCTCAAGTGATACTTAGGTACGGAGTACGGAGTACCAACATATATCTACTTAATTATTACTTTTGTTCGTCTGACATACTTAAGTAGGTCATTTCATCTTTCCAGCTATGGAAATGTCTTTCAATGGCAGAGATAATGTCTACAGTTTCGGTTCGTAATTCATGCCTGGTTCCTTTTTACTCCCATTGTGTTCCCTTGAGACGCTGCATGAGGTATTCTACCTCCACAATCTTGGTCAACGGGATGACACATTCCTATCAACAAGTTAGTTTTCCCGAAACCAGAGCGCTATGAGCCTCCTCGTATAGCCTCTCCACTCACCTTGTAGATAGCAACGACAGCATCGCTGTTGATCTTCTCTCCCTTCTCATCAGGGAAGGCAGGATCGGTGCCGTAAGTCTTCGCCTTGAGGCCTAAGCGCTCAAGGACCTTCAGCTCCACAGCGGCATTGGTAATAGCTGCATCGATACCAGCCCGGTCCTCTGCCTTGATCAGGCGAACAAAGGTCTCAGGGTCCTTCTGGAACTTGGATTCCGCGACAAACTTTCCGAAATGAATGCGACGCGACAGTGCCTGCAAGCAAGCAACATCACATGTCGCTGCAGATCCATAGTTCTCCTGGGTTTCTCCACGGTCCTCCCGGCCGAACTTGGGGCACACTGCTGGCAGAACCTCCTCAATGTAGCGCTGCTTGATCACGTCGTTCACGCAGACATCGTTCTCATGCAGAATGTGGGGGTACTGCAGTGGCTGGAGGATCGGGGCTTCAAGGGCATCCGAGAAGAATGGGTACTCGTCGGGTGATTCGAAGCGGCGCATACGCGACTGAAGGCGCTCTTGCTCCCGGAGGAAGTAGTCGAGGAGACTGTACGGGCTATCGGGGATCTTGACACCGCCAGCAACGTAGATGGTCTTGTTGAGCGGGAACTGCACACGCTCAATCAGATGGAAGGTAATTGTATCTTCCAGGCGACTGGGGTATCATTATCGTTAGCAGGCTCCCATTTCGACCCCAAGCATCGTGTATACAGTGAAATCGGAGCTAGGCGGGGTGGTGGAGCACGCATCGGCAGTAAGCAGATTCAGCCCAGATACACTTACATCAACTGGAATCGAATGTTGGCAAGATCCAATGCCTTTTCGGCATTGGAGAGGTCAATGGCTGTATCCATGGTGGGTTGAAAGAAGGAAGTGTTGTGGACGATATCGGCAGACTGTGTAGCCGACTTGTGTTAGGGAAGAATAGGGGGTTTATCACTTAGCTCCACCTTCAGCTGAGCTTTGCCAAAATGTTGAGGATTCGAAGATTTTGTATTTAAACATTTGGGAACCTGATCTATCAGACTGGGATTTCGGCTATTCGTATTGTCCCGATGGTCCCATTTTTGATGCATATATGTATGTACGGAGTAGACGATGTGCCATATGCGACCGAACGACTAGACCGGTTGCGGACGGTAAACCATCCCTCACAGAACGGAATACGGAGAAGCACTCCTGATTAATTATCGCAGATCTGAGATCTCATCAAATCCCAGAAAAGCTCCAAAAACCCAGGTGAAGCCAGAAAGCCAGAAAGCTCCCGTAGTGTAAACGGAGTACCATACGGCAGTACCCGACGCGGTGACCCGCGCAGACCAAGTCTCCTTCAAACATCACCCCCGGAGCTACATGGGTTTCGGTTAAGCCCATATACGAATGGAAAATCAGCGTCGCGACGACTCGCCGTCGGGTCTGTCGGATATTGTTGAAGGCGACGGCCTTCTGGGCACCGGCCTCACGGTGAGCTTTTCTTCCCCATGACGCCCCGGCCAGAAGGCTGACTGCTCCGGTTTTGCGATATCAGACCCGTCATATTGAAGCCTTTGGACGCAAAGTCACGACAACCGCAGGGCATTTGATGGGACCGGGCGAACAAAAAGATACACATTTTCACCATGCCATGACCGACATCCACCGCGAGCTCCGGCGGCCAGCGGCCCAGCGCAAAGTGTTTTCGCTGACACAAACCACACCGACCGACCTTGTCCGATCGAAGCTTTCAACCACTGAGATCCAATCCCGCGCTCTATCCTCCGTCCCCGATGATCTTCTGGCCAACATCCCCGAGGACAGCAGCTCCTACTCGCTCTTCGAGGGCTTCCAGGCCTCCGTCCCAGAGGAGGAACACAAGAAGCGACATCGAAGGCGCAGCTCCAAGGGCAAATACCTCAAGGATGTTGAAAGAGGCGGCTCCCTGGCTGCCGGACCAGCGGGGCTGAAGGACCAACGGAAATCGCTCAGTCGCAAGCTGGAATTGATGGGTATTCGCAAAAACATGTGCAGTGCGGAAATCCACGAGATTGACAACAAGGTCGCAAACTTGCATAAGATTCGGAAAATTGTTCTAGACAGGCTCGCTGGCTTGGAAATGGACGAGGCGGGATTGGAAGCCGAACGTGAGTCAAGCAATCCGAGCAGACAAGCTTACAAAAGACTCAAACTGACTTGCATGGGATAGTTACCGAACTTGATAACAAGCTGGAGGAATTCCCAGAAGAAGAAGAAGCCTCGGATACGCCTACTGCGACGGAGACGTCACAGCAAGAAAGTCGAGATGAATCCCTTGGGTCTTCGGACGATCCAGCGATGGATGCTTCATTCATGTCCGAGTCTATATATGAAAAGCTGCCTACATCTTCACCAAAAAGTTTACGGCATCGATCGAACAGTACGAGAGCCTATCCCTGAGTGAATGTGAACGCAGACTGACAAATAATAGGGAAACGATCAATGCCCATTCTACACGAACACTTCGAGCCGGGATCTTTAATCAAAGAGATAGAAGCGCATACGGACATGGTTACCGCGATTGACTTCGACTACCCATTCGGCACTATGGTCAGCGCAGCGCTAGACGACACCGTGCGAGTTTGGGACATGAACGTCGGCAGGTGCTCAGGATTCTTAGAAGGGCACCATGCATCTGTTCGGTGCTTGCAGGTAGAGGAGAATATAGTGGCAACGGGATCGATGGATGCCTCAGTCAAGCTTTGGGATCTGAGTCGTGCTCGGCCCACAACCCGAGATGGGCGTTTGAACAAGCATGAGCGCGACCAAGAAGACGGGGAAACCCAACATAAGACTCCGGTTCCACCCTCTTCGAATCTCGAAGACTGCAATGTCTTCTCATTGGAGGCCCACGTTGATGAGGTGACCGCACTTCACTTCAAGGGCGATACTCTTATTTCCGGCTCGGCAGACAAGACCCTCCGACAGTGGGATCTAGTCAAGGGTCGCTGTGTTCAAACTTTGGACGTGCTGTGGGCTTCTGCCCAAGCTTCATCATCCATGGCAGGAGATTCCGACTGGCGACCGTCGGGTCGTATGCCTGATGCTTCTGCCGATTTCGTCGGCGCTGTACAATGTTTCGACGCTGCTTTGGCCTGTGGTACTGCGGATGGCATGGTTCGTCTGTGGGATTTGCGGAGTGGACACGTTCACCGGAGCCTTGTTGGACACACTGGCCCAGTCACCTGTCTTCAATTTAACGATATGCATCTGGTCACCAGTAGTCTAGACCGCAGCATTCGGGTAAGTTGCTCGTACTCTTTTTTTTTTTCAGGAGGTTTAATCCTGGGAGAGTTTGTTATTAACTATTCATAGATTTGGGATCTGCGCATGGGATCTATCTACGATGCGTATGCCTACGACAAGCCCGTCACCAGCATGATGTTCGATGCCAAGCGTATTGTGGCTGCCGCTGGAGAGAACGTCGTCAAGGTCTACGACAAGGCTGATGGCCACCACTGGGATTGTGGCCCTGGTGTAGGTATCGACGAGGGACCACTCCCTGCGACAGTCGAGCGCGTTCGTCTCAAGGATGGTTATCTCGTGGAAGGTCGCAAGGATGGTACCATGGCGGCTTGGACATGTTAGAATAACCCCTCTGGCCACGCTGGGGAGGTTTCATATCACACTTGGGGTCTCCCCCTCTTGGTTATTGTATAGTATCAAAATTCACTTGTGTCTTAGAAGCGAAACAGGAGCTGGACCATAGTTATCATGTATGAGTTGAAGCATAGCCGTCTCAGTCGGACACAAAAATAGTACTTCGTACCTGGGGTCGGCATGAACAAAGACAGCATAACAAAGATCCATCAAATAACTTTAAAAATCACATTCTCAGAAACCAGCTGGTTAAAGGAGTAAAAATATAAGGAAGACCGATTTACTGTCTTGTTGGCCTAAATCGAACCTCACTGAGATTCTTCGGAGATCTTCATCGCGCTCCACCCCCGTCTAATTTCTCCCTTCATCAACCAACCTCCGGATTCTTTGCGGCGCCGGCGACGAGCTAGAACACTGCAATTTCATTTCGATAACCCTTCAGAACTTCTGCGACGGTCGTTCCCCACGCGGATCAATCGCCAAACCTGCAAGTCACGGTCCGTCGCGTCTGCGCGTCGGGGGGTCGCGATCTACAGGCCGCAAAGTGAAAGTGAGCGGGCTCACAGAGTCGACATTTTCATTTACTATTTGACTCAAAATCAGTAAGTTATAACTTTTTATTCCGCTGGATTTTTTGGCTTCCAATCTTTTTCTTGTTTTTTTTTTTTTTTTCTGGCATCAATGTATGCGCAGCCAATGGAACCTATCGGATCAAGTTTCAATTCTCGCGACATCATATACGTTAATTTATGCCCTTGGGCGTATGATACTACTGCATGTCTATGGAAATATGTCCCGCTTTTCTTTTTTCTCTTTGGAATTGGCCTGCGTTATACCGTCCTTCCGCTCGTGTGTTGTGGTCTTTGGCCCATACAGCTCAAAGCTAACTTCTCATGACTAGGTCTAACCAAGACCAGACATTTTTAAGAATTGACTATTGGCATAATAATTCCAAATGCCTCCCAAAAGAGCTACTCGCCGGAATGGTGGGACTCCTAAAAGGTCAACATTCGTCAATGAGTCTGGATATGAACCTATAGTCAACCAATACAACCAACCTGATTTACCAGCAATTCCAATTGGAGCATCATGGAACTACGGCGCAGCTACGACAACAGCAATGCCCAATCGCATGAATGTACGCCCCACCATGAATATAGATCAAATGGTCGAGTCCACGGAAGCCCGCATGGAGATCGCTCGAGAACGCACAGTCGCTGCAAAACAGAAGCAGCAGCAAGAGGCTCAAAGGGCCAAGCGTGCACCAACGCCTGATCAGACTCAGCTTCAGCAGTCATTGGATAGAGCCACAGAAGATCACCATTCTGATCGGACTCCAACGCCTCCTGTTCCACATTCCGTTTCCACAGACTCCAGCCCAGGCGCAGAGCCTCCGTCACAACGACTGCTCTCAAACTCCCCATTATACCCATCACCGCTCCAACGTCGTGGCTCCCGACATGGTTCTATTGCAAGTTCGGTTTCGCGCCACAGCTCAGTTGATAATGCCTCCGAAGCCTCATGGAGTCTCGAGCGGGACATCAACGAAGATGATCTACAGCGGACAAGGCCAAGCAAATACCGTGGGGAAGCTCACGGTGAAAATATTTCGGCACCCCCGCGGCGTATTTCCGGTCTGGCGATCGTTCCCGAGGAGGATGAATCTATCAAATCCGAGGCCGGGGCGTGGAATCCCACAGCGCAAACACCTCCTCCAGACCTTCCCCCTAGTCCACCAAGGCAAAGCTTCATTCGCCGATGGCTGTCAGCAATAAAGCCCCAAAGGCCCCTCACCATTCCGACACCCGTCGAGGCCCCAGCCCCCGAACCTCCCAGGGCACGCCGAAGAAGCTTGTTCCGACTTTTGGTGGAGTCAGCAGACAAGGGTCCCTACGCAAGTCTCATCCGGGCAGCAATATGGTTATTCTTGATTGCGGGATCAATCTCGTTTTACCTAGCTGCAGTCAAGATTCATCAAACCCTTTATCCCCTCGAATGGGATCTCGACTCATCCTCGGGGATGAACTCATCTAATCCAGAGATCTTCCGTGGTCTTCGGAGCCAAATATCCAAAATGGATGTCAAAATGTCATCATTGTCAAGCGAGCTGAGTTCTGTCGTCTCGGAGCAAGCACTTTCCAGCGCACTCGAGTCACGCCCCACAAAGGCCCCAGATGTCGTTGTTCACCGGAAACCCATCTACAAGGTGAACTTTTTATCAACGGCCCTAGGCGCCTTCATTGACCCGCTGAACACCTCTCCGACTCTTGGATCCAAGCTCGGTGCACCCGCTCGTGCAGTCCAATGGCTTATTCCAGACTCATCTGATACCCGTGTCCGAGCACCGCAACCCCCCATTTCCGCCCTCACCGCATGGCAGGAAGTAGGCGACTGCTGGTGCAGCGCATCCCGGGAAGGATCAACCCAGCTCTCTGTGCAGCTCGGTCGAAATATCGTGGCCGAAGAGCTGGTCGTCGAGCACGTTCCTCTCGGGGCATCTCTGGAACCAGAAGCAGCGCCACGGACAATCGAGGTATGGGCACGCTTCAGAGTGAACCGACACACGACTGCCGCGAAAGCCAAACTTACTACTGGCGCAAATCCAGGTCGTGGCGGCTTCTTTTCTCTCTTCGGTGATGCGACAGTTTCGCCCGAGCCTCCTGCTACTGAGGTCCCTTCATCCCGTGAGACCGGTCTAGGTGGGTACCTCATACCCGGAATAGGAAGCCTTCATGGATTGATCATGGATTTGTTGCGCCGGAGTAATCCCTTCGAACCGGAGTCTGCTTATTCCGATGATCCTATTCTCGGTCAAAACTTCTACCGCATCGGTAAGGTCGAATACGACCTCCATAGCCCGGACCACATCCAGACTTTCAAGCTCAACACCATTGTTGACGTCTCCACCATCCGTGTTGACAAGGTGGTCTTCCGAGTGACTTCAAACTGGGGCTCCAAACATACTTGTATCTACCGGTTTAAATTACATGGGCACATCTAGGCTCCATTGAGTCTTGGTTCATTTGACTTTTTTGACTTTCTTTGTTCTTCATTCACCTTCCAGGGATTATTCTGGCTAATGGTGCTTTGCGTCGATACCTTGCATGGCTGTGGCGTTACTAGTGCCTGTATCTTTCGGGGCTTCGATTACTTTGCGTTTCATCTATTCTTAGAGCCATATCTTATCATAGCAAAGACTTTACTCGATTTTGCCATCCCAAACACAGTGGTACTGTTCGCGTTTTGTGGGATTGTGTTGTCTGGTCGTTGATAACATTCCCAGTTTGAGACGATGGTGATGTAAAGTAACTTTAGAAACTGTAAGGCAAGATCATCGCTCCTTTGAGACCAGATATAAAGTGTGATTTGAGTGTGATCGTGGCGTGTGACTACAGGATATAGTTTCTATGTGTGCATGAGCAAATGTACCTTAACTTTAGAAACAAAGAAAGTCAGGACAAAGATTGAACTCTTATATAACTAAATAATGGTCCTCGCTTCTCTTCAGTCCCAGGCATCTTAGTAAAACATCCTGCTGTCAGATTCAATTCAATTGGCAGACCAAAATACTCGATCAATATGGGCGACCAAGACATTATGAAGTCCCATGGACCCCCATCTTCGGACCAACTCACATGCACATTCCACTCGAAATGTCGTCCAGTGAATCCCACTGGGGAAACTCCAAAAGAGCTCAGAAAACGCCTTGAAGAAGTCTATATGTCTGGTCGGCCTCTATTCACCAAGAAAAACATTCGCTACGCATGGGCGCAGACCAAGCGGACACCCGGCAATGGTGGCAAACTGTACTCTAAGGATTTCAGGGGAAACACAATCGAGCACGATGTCACTATGGGAAGATCCCATGATTGGGATCATCATCTCTGCGGAGGATGCCAGGAGCACCAGCGATATGCTATGTGGTAAATTGATGCTGTTGGGCTTTTCTAAACTAAGCTAACATGGAAGAAATCAGGAGCAATTTTTCTCTTTTCTACGTGAGCAAAGATACTTTGAAGGCAAATTTGAAGAACAAGAACGACGATGCACTGCTTAGTCCTGTCTCCATCTTGCATCGGGGATATCTCGTGGATGCCAAAACCAATCAAGCCCTCCCACCAGTTCCTACCATTGAATTTGAACGGGTGAACATGGTGAATCGGATCAGAAACTATGAATGGAAGGGAAGTCTGGCATGCAGAAAACTCAAGGCTATATTGTCTGCTTCTGCCCAAGCCCACGACATCAAGAAAACAATCAGTTTTGCCCTTGGTTGCTTCTCCAGTACCGCGCTACATTATTGCGAATGCAAGAGATCAATGGCTCAACACGCGCTCCTCCGAACACTAAAGGAGTGGCTACAGAAGAAAAATGGCAGCAAGAGTCCATGCTATGCCCAGGATCCCGGCTACAATTCAATAGACAAGCGGATACTGGGGGAGAGTGGTATACAAGTGATTGATGACCCGTGTGGCTGGCTTGAGGTTGACGAGCAATCAATGGTGGTCTCAATTGGAGCCAGTCTTCCTGTCAAGGAAATCATCGCGGATATTGCTCGGCCTGCAGTTATCATTTGGGAACGTGTCGGTGTCACAGAAGCAATTGGTTTGGCGGGGGATTCTGACATTGCAGATCCTGGTTCATTGCGCGTCCTACAAATGATGGAGGACTATGAGGTGCATGAATTTGGTGCTGGCGAAGAATTGTCCGCATGGGGTAGTCTTGGGCTCTATATTCGGAAGTCGAAAACGGCCCCGAATTTCAGATAAGTTGGAACTTGCTTCAGGTTTAGTGACTGAATTTATCGCTTGGTTGTCCAGTAGATTGGCTAATACAGAGAAATTGAACCATAGCTTAGCAGAAGTCCGTACATAGAGTTCCGTGGAAATATGCTAGATATCGGCTACCTTGAAAGTACATAGGCTATACCGAAGTATAGGAGGCAACATCTACTCTTCGTTAACAGCCATGGTCCACTATCGCTCAGCCAGCTAAACTTCCAACGCCATCTGCTTGAATTTCACCCAAATAGCATAATCCCATCATGATTTCCTTCATACGATGGAAGGGGTAAAAAGTAATCTCGGCAAAAAGAAAGGTCGTGCCCGGGATCGAACCGGGGTTGCAAGAATCAGAACCTTGAGTGCTGCCACTACACCACACAACCAATTGATGAAAATATTTGTCCGTATTCAAAAACATCTTTGCGCTTCTAAAATCCCCGTCCACTCAACAACTAATGAAATTATTGGTACCAATGATGTCTTCTCTTCGGGTTGCTTCTTCATCACTACTTAAGTAACATCACATGTAATTCTACTCACAACTCTGTATCATATTCATACACGCATCCTTATCATTGCAATGCATCAATTTCCCGCTGCCAGCCTCGCGCCGCTACTGCTCTCTGGCTATAGTCCAAAAATATTTCTTTCTTGATATATTCTCGGTGCTCTGCCAGGCCTTTTTCGATTCCTCGCTTCATCTAAAGACGCTTGCTATTAGCTCAACTCTGAGGCTCACTTGATTCCACATACAAAATATCCATCCTCAGTGCAAGATTCACATCCCAAACAATAGCCGGGCCCAACATATTCAGTCTTATCGTGAAGTCGTATAAAATCTTCAAACATGATATTGCATCCATGACATACATAAACATAGTCCAAAATTCGTGATACAGTTGTAGATAAGGATATAGTCAGAGACGTTATTTTGGTAGATTTTTGATAGATTAGGGGGAAAAGGCTTTGGGAGATATATACGAATTACGAAATCTAGGACACAATAACTATGTATAAAAGATAATCTGTACAAATCTGAAGAAATACAATTCTTTCACGCTGTCTACAGGTACTTAAGTAATGTATTCCTGAAATCCAAAGTTAATTTAGAATCTGTTATATCACTAAATCCCAATAATACTTAAGTATACCCTGTAGACGTCTCTTTGTAAAAGATACTATAGAATACATAGTATATCTACTTAGTATTACTATTTTCTTCAAATATACTTCTACCCTTCTGCGGCGATTCTCGCTCCTCTCGTCCCCACCGGGGCGGGTGGTCCCTGTTTGCAATATTTGCCTCAGGTGCCCACTGTAGATAACCAGCCTAGCTAGCTTAGATCTTCTCTCTCCTCTCAACCCAATCAACCATCGTTCTAAGCAGTGTTTTGTGCCCTTCCCCGCTGAAGAGTCCCAAAGCTCTCGCAGTCAAAGCGTTCCGTGGCGCACAGAATACGCTTTCTCGGGAGATAAACGCAAATAGGGCTCCTGCCCGTGTTAGACGACGGGGGCCAAATCCTATTGTAGTGTGGTATCGCTTTTTGATACAACACCTCGTCGCCGTTCCCACACCGATCGCTGTGCTCCGGCAGGAGTCCTATTCGCATTTATCTCCCGGGAAAGCGCATTCCGTGCGCCACGGAACGCTTTGACTGCGAGAGCCTTGGGACCACCCGCCCTGGTGGGGACGAGAGGAGCGAGAATCGCCGCGGAAGCGAGAACGTCGAGACGAGGATCGACCTATGAAGAAGACGTCAGCGCTGCCACCAAGCGAAAGAAGCCACGAACCATCTCACAAGGCACACGAGAAGCGGCACAATACGCACAACGAGGGCCATGAGGGCCCGCCGGCGGCCCGGGAACACATGCGTGCGCGGGAACTGTACGGGGGCGATTGACACACTGCCGACACCAGGCGGCTGACGGAACGCCAGGAAGAACGACAGGGCGGTAGTCCGAATCCATACTGCTGACGATGAGGGCAAAATCGTGGGAAGATGCGAGGAACGCATCCCTTTATGCAAGAAGTGTGCTCGAAGGCGCCCGACGAGAGCGAGGACGCCACGGAGGGCGACAAAGAAGAAGAAACGAGGCCAGTCCCAAAGAGGAAACAGGGGTTATCTTGGCGGGGCACAGGGGATGAGGATTTGGCACTCTATCACTTAAGCAATATGGCAGCAGCTATAAGCAAAGCAAATTCTCAGTATTGTGGATCAATTCTTGGGAAATATTTTCGTGATATTCAGGAAAAACGGAATATACAAGAGTACCTAGCTGTAAACCCCATATCATTACCAACTTTGAATGGGACGTCTGGTCTCTAGCATAGTAGATCAGGTTACCTAGGTTTAGGATATTTAATAAAATTCTTAACTTTCCGATATAGATCAGTATTCTTTGGGGCTTGGCGCTATGATATTCAGGGCTTGGAAATGACAGAATCGAGGCTGGATGCTCTGCAATTTCGGGATCCTGTGTATACGAAGGAGTCCAGATATGTTTAGGCCAAATGAACTTGTCAATATCATACAATAGCTAGCTGAGAGTCCCACCTGCGCCATCCACGGCACTCAGGATACCTCTGACACTATGTGCATATATAAGCAATAGACTGAGTCTTCGAATGATTGTATCAGAGAAAAAAAGATAGTAGAGAAATTGATAAATATGATCCAAGGATAGGATGAACAGTTTAGCAAGCATCCATACTAGTAGATCAACTTAGGAATACGGACTTAAAGAATATATAACAGATGACTATTCTAAAGTTTGAACAAGTGCTCACCTACCTAACTCTGTTGATTCCTTCTCCATTTAAAAATTGATAACTTCATATTCAAATATTTGATCCTAGTCTAAATATGAGATATGCGTCTACAAGTCTTATCGCACATATCGTCACGGTACAAAGTAACCTAGTTAACTACAATACAGAAAGCCTCTTCCTGGCATGTCTGTAAACTATCAGGTCGCTGAGGTGAGGTGTCCGCTTGCTTGTTTGCTCTATCGATAGACCGCTTCTTTGCTCTCTCTCCTTCTTTTCCCCCCTGCGCGTAAGATAGCCAATACAACCCGTTTGCCTCTTCTTCTTGCTCTCGTCATAAACCTTGAAAGTTGATCTACACCTGAGCATTTATACGGGTTGTTCCAAGCGCCCTGGGAACTGCTTAGGCACTTATGATGTCTAGAGAACTCAAGTACACACTGATCGATGCCCAAGAGGGATTTCAGAAATCTAAGCCCTCTGGTATGTATCCATATTTAGGTATCTGGTCCGCATTTCCAATATAAGTTTTGGCATGTGTTTTCATAGTGACAATCTTTGCCCCACTCAACCCCTCAAGTAAAATGATAAAATATAAAAACAAGCTCAAGGTTCAACAGCGCGGGCTAGAAACCCAGTCCATACTGGATTGCTTTCAATCTCAGTCTAGCATTTTATATCACTAACATGAAATGCCAAAAAAAGGTCGTGCCCGGGATCGAACCGGGGTTGCAAGAATCAGAACCTTGAGTGCTGCCACTACACCACACAACCAATTGATGTAACGTGACCAGATTTTTGCCTACAGGAGCCGAATAAACCCGGCACAATCCATGGATCTTGTGAGGGCTGTAAGCAAGACTTAACTTAGTAGTACCAAATGGATACATACTATAATTGAATCACATAAGATCCCAGGGGTGCCAAAGAGCATAGAAGATGGTTGAGTTAAGTCAGAATCTGCAATTATCTCGCACTTGAGTATACATAATGAATAGCTAGTCTGATGAACTCGGTAGATATGATGTTTTGATTGATACCTAGCTACACATCGTACCCCTTCTGTACGCCTGCATAAATCTAGATTTCCGAAACCATGTATTTTGTGCGTTATTGTACATCAAATTGATAACTCTTTGAGTTTTTGTGTAATCTATGGATTTAATCCAGTGTATGCCCCAAAACAATTGCTGCAAAACCAAATATTCTTTGTCTTCGCTCATGTAGTCTAAAATGTGGCAAATCTTCATCAATTGGTTGTGTGGTGTAGTGGCAGCACTCAAGGTTCTGATTCTTGCAACCCCGGTTCGATCCCGGGCACGACCTTTCTTTTTTGCATTTTTTGGTGCAGTTTATATGCTGGTTTTCTAATTAGACTCAGTTGTTGTAAATTCTTGCACGAATGGACCTGGGATTTATATATAAGTAGTTGAGAGCTTCGGAGGGGTGAGGCCTGGTCATTCAATCGCCTACTAATCGAAATAGCCCCCACTGTTCCTTTGGTCGGTTTTCCTTCATCATGTGGTGGATGTATGCTATATCCTTACGGGCATCGTGCTAACAGGTACCATGACTTTCCTATCTACTTTTCGATGATACAGTCCTGGAGGTACCTGCCGATGGATCACACCGCTACTTAAGTAGTCGCCCTTTCTGCCCTCCTGAAGTCTTCAAAAGCCTACTTTATTTCACTCTTACTCACTTAAGGGCCCAGCATATATTGATCCCTGAATCTATCCAGTCAACATCCAAACACATGGTGGTCATGTCCACCTCTTGGAACACCGCCCGGGAATTCTTGCAAAACAGTGACAGCCAAACCGCAGACTGCTTCTACCGAACCCAATGGGATGAGCTTTTGTCGAATCGCTCTCTGTGGCCTTGGATCAGGTTGCGTGCGGACTCAACAATATTGTTCTTCTGCTGGAATTCTCCAATAAGACTCGCTGGGTGGTCCGAGTATTAGAAGAAAAGCCTCCTCTCCTGTTAGCAGAACCAAGCTTGAAAGCGAAGTTGCGACAATGCAGTTCATCCAACAGTATTCCAGTATACCAGTACCTCGAGTTTTTGCATATGAATTTCACTTGAACAATTCAGCAAGAGCTGCTTTTATACAAGGATTTCAGGAGTTGTTTCCCAGCAGCGTTGCTATAGACGCTTTAGGCAGCTACCAGGTTTATCGCGGCGTGATACCCAAAGAACACCAGACAAAATTCTACGACTCTGTTGCAAAATGCTATGTTTTTTCTCTGTTCAGGCCTACATATATGCAGACTCATTTCCTGAGGTCTTGTCTGACCGCTCATCTTGAACCATAGATCCAGCTAATTTTCTTAGATCTCCCAAAAATCCGATCGATTTTTTGAAACCGCGAGGGTGGCTACGAGTGTGGCCTCTTACCAGGGATCGGCGGTCCATTCGACACACCAATCGAGTTCTTTGAAGCATAAGCAGATTATGTTAAATTCAAGTGGTACAAAAAGACAACCATACAAATGATGCAGAGAAATTCAATCCCAGCGGAACGAAGAGTCTCGATTATCGAGAGCTTTCCATTGCAGATGAAAGCGATAGCTAATCGGCTATCCCTGTGCAAGGAAAGACTATTCCTCCTGTTCCATGATGAATTTCTCCACAGTAAGATCATGGTGGATGAGGTAGACTTCGTTGTAACAGGATTCATCGATTGGGAAGGTGTATATCAGCTCTTTGAAAACTCATCGCGTTTCCCGACTTCCTTATAGCTATGCCCGTCTCTTTCAACTTGCTTCAGAAATATGACAGAGATGGACAGCTATTCGATGAGAAACTGCAAAAAAATGGCGTGAGCAAGGGGAGTATATAGAAATGGTAAAATCAGCTGAGCTTCAAGATGTGTGTAAATGCAGACATAAAATTGGTCTATCTGCTACCCTACTCGCCGGATTTGAATCCGATTGAAGAGTTTTTCGCTGAACTCAAAGCTTTTATTAAACAAAACTGGAGTTATTATGAAGTAGATTCCGATCAAGGCTTTGATGTCTTTCTTGGATGGTGTATTGATGTGGTCAGTGCAAAAGAAGAGAGTGCTAGAGGTCATTTTCGGCACGCAGGCTTGAAAATCGAAGAAGTATCAGAAAATTGCTAGTTCAACCTTCAATGGTTTCCTTTCATCTAGCTTAAATGCACTATACCACTTGGTATTCTTACAGAGCCCCTGTCTTTGGTCTGCTTGCTAGATAATCAGGTTGTTAGTTTCATCCACATGACAAGGGCCAGAGCTGGACAAACCAAAAATTCACCAAACTCTGCAACAAGCGTATCTTCTTCTTCACTCAACCGCTGTTCATCTGGCCCCTCAATCGAAAATGTAGTTGCGACATCGAAATCAACCCATACCATCCGCTCTTGAATGCCTGGAACAACGAGTATATTCTTAGGGTATATATCTCGGTGGTGAACGTGGGCAGCGTGTATCTGCTTCATACCCTCTATTGCTTTGTGATAACACGCCTCAGAATAGTTTTCGCAATTTAAACTTTCGGCATTCGGAAGATATTCGAGTAGTATTGCTTTAGGATGATATTTATCGTGCGCGAAATCTTGAAAAGCTGGATAGAACGCGGTAGGGTCGATTCGATCAATGTGGCCGTAGAAGTATGGGACTAATCCTCTCTCGCAGACACCGTGTTCCCGAAGATTCATGTAGGCATTTAGTTCGCAGCGGAATCGATTCAGGTCTCGACCATTCTCGGCAAATCCTGAATCCCCGTTGTCGTGAAACTGAGTCGTTAGTAACAAGCCAAGAGCAAGTAGCTGAGACTACTTACAAGTTTCATAGCATATTTCCGCCCTTCGAGTTCTATCTCAAACACTGAAGACGCACCGGAACGATCTATTTCTCTAACAATCCGTATGTTGGCAGGGACAACATCCAGCGAGCCTTGATTGCTGGGGCGCATTGTTGTCTTAAGAACCTACCGAGGTGTGGTCGACTTCGGCCAGCTCCCTGACTGATTACGAACAAATTCACGTGAGGGAGCCAGAACGAGCGGAAAAGCGGAAGAATTTGTGAGAGCGGCAAAGCTTCAGAAAGTGAAGGTCCCATTCGACGAAGAGAACTAAGATGAAGAAGACTATGGAGATCTCTGGGGGATTGTATCCATGGATCAAATACGAGGAGAAATAGCTGTAGGCTTGTGTAGCCAAAAACTGCGGCCGACACCCATCAATTGGTTGTGTGGTGTAGTGGCAGCACTCAAGGTTCTGATTCTTGCAACCCCGGTTCGATCCCGGGCATGACCTTTCTTTTTGCAGATATTATTTTTGCATCTGTACTATGGTTACTTCGAGGATATTGAGTATAATATCAACAATACCATCAATCAGTAGTTCTGGTGTTCTTTAATATTACATATTAATGATCCTAGCACTGGAGAAAAGTGAAGGCTATTTACACTGTACTGATAATCTATTCTCCCATCCAAAAAAGAGAGCCCTGGAGGTTGGACAAGCCTACTGAAGATCATTTAAGAAAAGACACACTAGGAAGAATTGCTTAAGGCCTAATCCCCTGTCTATGGAATCATCCAAGTATCCTAATAATCAGCCCATGTTTCCACTCCATAACCCATGATAGTAACAAAAATATATCGAACCTATATAAAGTTTGCAAAAAGAAAGGTCATGCCCGGGATCGAACCGGGGTTGCAAGAATCAGAACCTTGAGTGCTGCCACTACACCACACAACCAATTGATGGGTGTCGGCCGCAGTTTTTGGCTACACAAGCCTACAGCTATTTCTCCTCGTATTTGATCCATGGATACAATCATCAGTAATGACATCATAACTTCTCTTGTTATCAGATGAGAGAATCCCCAAGGCTACCTAGGTAAGTCAAAATCGGCCTTGGTACATTAGATATGCCAGTAGCATACAGCCGAGCAGCAACAACTTTAGAATATAGGCACTCGTCGTCGTCAGACTCAGACTTCACGGGCTACAATGTTTCAAAAATGTACTTAAGTAGACCACGCCATGTACGATGACGCAAGCATACCCCCAGGCGCTTTATCAAAAATTACATATCTACTCCGTGCTGAATGTACGTAGGTACTTGGTGTAAGGGAAGTAATCTGATGGTGCTTAAAATGGAAGCCAATCATGTAAATCAATCATCTCATTTCCCCTTTAGGTAAATAGAATTGCCAAGCCTCATAGAGAACTGTTCGTACATACGTATGCAGATTTGTCTGGGGGCCATGACCCACCTGGGGGCCAAAAATTATACAGAAGAGGAAGATCGCGATGAAAAGATCACTATTAAAACGAACATACCCCGATAAAAGGGAGGAACCTACAATTCAAACGAGCCCGCACATCTTGGTCTTTCACTCTACTTTTCGTTGATTTAATAAAGATACATTCGTTCCATTCAGTTTTCATTGGCCGACACATATACCATGGGAGAAATCGAGAACAAGATCATTCCCGCCCCTGGAGATCTGCCCAACGTCAAAAGAGATGCCCAGCGCGTGTTCGAGGTCCTCGAATCAGGTGGAGTGGTCATTCTCCCAACCGAAGTGGGTTACGGATTGATGGCTACATCTGCAGAAGCCATTGACCGGGCCTTTGTGGCCAAGCGACGTCGACCAGGTCATGCCCAGGGTCTATACGGTACACACGAGCTGCATCAGCAACTCCATGTCTTGGACGATCAACGATTCGAAATGACACGCGTTCTCGTCGAAGATCTAGACATGAGCCTAATGGCTGTTGCGCCGTGTCAGCAAGATCATCCTCTCCTCCAGGCTTTATCCCCACAGACTCTCTCTAAAGTCACAAAGGATGGAACGATTGCTATGTTCATCAGTGGAAGTTCTCTTTTGAGGGAGGTCTGCCGGCTGAATGCGACTTCAGGGCAGCTCATGGTAGGATCAAGTGCAAATGTGTCAGGTGGTGGACAGAAATTCCGTGTGGAGGATATTGAGGATGAACTCAAAGAGGCAGCGGATTTGATTGTCGATTATGGTCTCCAGCGGTATCATGTATATGGACGGGCTTCTCTGATTATGGACTTTGGGCAGATGAAGATTCTACGAATGGGCTCGTGTTATGAACTGTTCCGCGAGCGCATGCGCAAGTTCTGGGGGGTGGAGCTGCCGGAGGACCCTGTTTATAGCACTGCTCAGGCCTTGACCTGAATGTATATAGTATTTCTATACTTGAAGTCATTCCACTTGACTCCAAATCAGATGTGTGATGCAAACCAGATCTGTCACAGTAACTCTCACATTCTTGTCCCAAGTAACAGACCAGAAAAAGCGCAGTGTCACCTCGGCATCTTTATATGAGAGCCAGGATTGCGATGTAGCCCTGTTTCCCGTATAGTCCGCGTACTTGCAGCATGACCCCTCCCCCTCATTCTGACAAATGACATCGATTGTCCGTGATAATAATCGTGAAGGATGATATCCTGTCCTTAATTGTGGGAAATTTTAAACAGAAAAAAAAAAGATGTTCTCTGTTGGTGAAATGTGAAGTAGGACTGTCTCGCCCCCCCACATATGAAAGGCGGAACTCCCTCGACTCCGGGGACCTTCACCTCTGGTCACGCGCCTTTCGTGCAGCCATCCTCGTACCTTACGCCCCCCAATGGCTTCCGAGAGAGCAATCGATCGGGAAGAGCGACAGGGCCTTGTAAGTCTTTCCTTTGCTTTTTCTTCCAGGGCCACCCCTCGTTGCGAACCCGTGTCTCGGCATCCAGATCTTGACTAACCTGGTGATCAGCGTGCCATTCGCAACTTCCTCAAGGTCCGAAACTCCTACGATGTCCTCCCGCTTAGCTTCCGACTTATCATCTTCGATACCTCGCTGTCTGTGAAGGAGAGTCTGAACATCCTCATTCAAAATGGCACGTTGGGCGATTTCCCCCCTCCCCTCCCCTCCCCGCAAGGGAGGAACATAATCTTTCCGGACTCCTAGCTGACCGCGACCCTGAAATCGGGACGTACAGGCATTGTTTCCGCTCCGTTGTGGGACTCGAAAGCTTCCAAGTTCGCCGGTCTGCTGACCACCTCCGATTATATCAATGTCATCCAATACTATTTCCAAAACCCCGCCGCTCTGGACCAGATCGATCAGTTCCGCCTGGACAGTCTGCGAGGTGCGTTGGAATGCGATCACTGTATACAGACTCGGCTGATGAAATGACAGATGTCGAAAAGGCGCTCGGCGTCGCGCCGCCAGAGACCGTCTCCATCGACCCGGAGCGCCCGCTGTATGATGCGTGTCGGCGCATGCTCGAATCGCGCGCCCGTCGTATTCCCCTCGTTACCAGCGATAGTCAGACTGAGCGACCCCACGTGCTCAGCGTCATTACACAATACCGTATCTTGAAATTCGTCGCTGTCAACGTTCCGGATACGCAACAGCTGCGTCGCCCACTGGGCGAATTGCTGCTTGGATCGTATGACAATGTTGCGACAGCTTCGATGGACACGCCGGTTATTGATGTGATTCATATTCTGGTGGAGCGCAGCATATCCAGTGTGCCGATTGTCAACTCGGAAGGTAGGGGATGCGAATGCGCACTGTCAAACGGAGCTAATTTACCACACAGGCGTTGTCTACAATGTGTTCGAGTCGGTCGATGTCATCGCTCTGATCAAGGGTGGCGTTTACGACGACTTGAGCCTTACGGTTGGCGAAGCGCTGAAGAAACGCCCAGCGGTATGTGGCCTGTCTGCTATGACGTACCTGGATTTATGCTCATGATTAACTAGGGCTTCCCGGGTATCTACACCTGTTCTCTCAACGATGGACTGGACACTATCTTTGATACCATCCGCAAGTCCCGAGTCCACCGTCTGGTTGTCGTGGATGAGCATTTCAGGCTCAAGGGTGTCCTCACTCTGAGTGATATCCTGCACTACATTCTTCTCGAGGGAGAAAATGAAGAAGCATGACCTCTTCCATGTGTTCTTTTGCATCGTTTCGGCGTTATCTTCAGTTTCTCTTTGTCGAAAACAACCTGACCCGGCGAGGTCCCCCTTTCCAACGAATGTACAGAGGTAATGACATCTAAAATGTGTTGGCCAAATAGACTTGATTTTGAATGTCGTGTACCTTCCGGTTCTGCGCACTTGTCGTAGCTTCCTTGTTCAGCGCCTTCCGACTTACTCAAGTCCCATCCCCTCCCAACTTCTTCCTTACCTCATCTCTATTCTTTGCTCTCGTATTGCTTATCTCAACATTATGAAGCGCTTCAAAACCGTGTTCAGAAAACCCGACACGTCCGAACATGCATCTCCTCGTCGTCTCTGGCGACGCAGTACAGTGAAGCCCCAGCCAGAGGCAACGACTACGGAGACAGGCGAAGACCAGGTTGCTGTGGCTGGGCCGTCCAGTGAGCAAAACAAGCCCGAGACCGCGTCGACTGTGGCGCCTGTTGGTGACGACGCTGGTGATGACGTTGGCGACGACACTCCTCAACCTGACCCCAATGCTCAACCCGAGGCTACCGGCGAGCTGAATCGATCCAGATTCGGCACTCAGCGCTTGAAGAAGTTAGTCACTCGCCTTCGATTGAGTGGTTCTGGGGAGGAAGAGCCCATCACCCAGCCATCTGAGCCATCTCAGCCCGAGACCGGTGATTCAACTGCCCCGAGGGAGCAAGCAGCCGGCGGTCCTTTATCTTCAAATCCATTTGAATCACCCCCCGGCTATGAGAACATCGTTGCTGTAACAGCTACCGGGTCTGGTAGTCGAGAGGATGCACGCAACGCTGGCAGTCGAGGAAGTCACTCCCGGGAATCTAGTCAGACTGAAGGTGTCTGTGAACATCCACCAGATTGTCCGCACATCCCGGAAAGCCGTATCAGGATGTCTCTCGATGAAGAAGTGGAGGATTGGATGTGGCCAGGGTTGATGTATATTCCCGTAGAAGGCACCCGAATCCGTGAATATTCGGATCCATTCTCGGATGGTAAAAGCAATGAGTACCGACAACTCAACCCAGACAAACGACCAGTACTACCTGGACCAGCACCAGGACCGATGCCTGGACCATCCAGACGCTCTCCCTTCCAAAGCCAAGATGAAGTGAGACCTTGCGAAGGACCACTGGAACCGATTCCCGAGACCGAGGCCGACACGCTCGACCAAATCCAGAGGATCGATCAAATCGTGGCGACCGAGGCACCGCAGCGCACACCTTCACAGATCATTCCCGGAAGGCCCCGTGCGAGGGCGATCTCAGCTGGCAGTAACTCCAGTCACAACAGCACCGTTGCGATGACTCCTCAAACTGCGATCGTCAACTTCAATCGCATGGCGGCCCAACAAGGAATCCATGTCGGCATCTCGCCGGACGAAATACCCAGCCCGCGTAAGTCTTCCTCCCGGTCTATATATGAAAACTCATTGACACCTCAGTAGCACTGGAATCGATAGCCAGCGAGGAAGAAGAAACAAGTCGCCGTGGTATGTTTAGTCGCCTCCGCAAGGTGCGATCGAACCTAGAGACTCCCCCAGAGACCGAGAGGATCCCAATCCTGCGACGCATAAGGACATTCGGGAGTATTCGCCCTGATCCGTTAACTTCGCTGAATGGACGAACACTCGAAGATCTGGCTCGGCTTGGTGGACACAGCTTCATCGTTAATTATGACCTGAGTCCTGGTCCCCTACAGCTTCCAGCGTGCATGGTGTCGGCGTTCTTGTTCCTATACAGACATGGTTTGCGTCCCTTCCTTTTTTCGTTTGAGACTGGGCTGACCTAGCAGGTGTCAACCAAACCCACCTCTTTACCGACCCCGGCGACTTGAAAGCCGCCACACGCACCTACGATAGTTGGGCCAAGGATGTGTTTGATGCCGAAAAGATCCAGGGGGAAATCGATTTGACTACCCGTGTCGTCGCTATGCCGCGATTCAGGGACGATCCGACGCAAGTGCTGAGCGTGGGCTGGGCCCTGAAAGCGTTGTTGGCGGGGCTCCCGCGCGGGATTCTCGGGAGTGCCCGGCTCTACCACACTTTGCATAATCTCTTTGCGATCACGATCCCTGAGAACACGGGATTTAAGATCCCCAGTCACTTTCGCGGCGTGACTGCCACCGTCGCCGTTCGCGTGCAACTCATCTCGCTTGCGCTGATTGGACTGTCCTCGGAGATGCAGCGCGATCTTATCTGTGCGATTTTTGGTCTGCTTACCTTCTTGCTGCGCCCCGAGTTCACCCTCGGCCGTCACGGTTCCCAGCGCTCGCAGGGCTCTCGCTCTCCCGGGATCGAGCTCCGGCAACCCATCTCGCCACCCGAATACCACGAGATGGTACGTTTCGTTGCTCCGATGCTTCTCGGGCCCCAGAACCGGCCCCGAGTGCTCCCCGGGGTGGAGCAGGTGGAACAGGAGTTTGAAGAGGGTCGCGTAGCTGGTCTCTTACTAGACCACTGGCCTAACGTCCATCGCCAACTCCAATATTGGTTACGAGACACCTATGTGCCGTGAAACCAAGAGAGCCAGTATTTTTAAACCAGGGAAAATGCCGCACCGTATTTGGATTAGTTATTGACGGCTTTGGCTCCAGTTGGGTGTACCATTCGTTTGTGTGTTGTGTACTTCTAAGTATTTTTCCTTTGTCCCAATGAGATTCTGTTAAATTCTTTGGTTACACCACTATTCGCTCGGATCTGCTGGCAGGAAGTCTTGTCCGACCGTGGCTCTCGAGACCTATTGACCACTCTAGAGACTCTGCAGACTCTGCAGACTCTACACTGATTATTCTGGACTCTGCCACTTCAGGCACAGCAGCCACAATCCGTGGATCTCAAACTTCCATTTGGACTAGGGTTATCAGCTCTTTACCTGAGCTCTTTCCCTTAACCTTTCTCTTTTTTTAGCTCTGACTTTTCCCTTTCGCTGGTCACACATATCGAAAATGCAATCAGGCCTTCCTCACTTAGACATCAACCTCGGCCCATCTCCATTTACTCCATTCCCCGCCGACTTTATAGGCCTTCCCATTCCAGACGACGAACAACTCTGGGGCCTAAGCCCCGTCTCTCCAATGGCCGAGTTTGCCCATTCTGCCTTAGAGCGCGATCTTAAAAACGCCCAAGTCCGCAATGGTCAGCCCACCCCACCACCCTACGACGATGGCCGCGACCTAGATTCCGCCAGCAAGCGACGTCGCGCCCGCGAATTTAAAATGGCCGCTGCCTCGCTGAGTCCTGATCTCGACGATGGTCCACCCGATCGTGCGAAACGCGCCAAGTTCCTCGAGCGCAATCGTCTAGCTGCATCCAAGTGTCGCCAGAAGAAGAAGGAACATACCCAGCAGCTGGAATTCAGTTTCAAAGAACAGTCCGAGAAGAAAGATAATCTGATGACGGAGATTGCAAAGTTGCGCTCTGAGATCCTGGCGCTGAAGAACGAGGTCTTGAAACATGCTCAGTGTGGTGATGAGCCGATCAAAGTCCATTTGGCTCAGATGGTCAAGAAGATCACTGATGTCGATATCCCCGGCTGTTCTGATGACTCGAAGCTAGATCGCCAGCCGACTTCGCTGGAGCCTACACCAGCCCCAGCTGTGGCGGTCCCAGTGTCGACTTCGGCTCCGGCGCAGGCACTCTCGTTCGGTTTCGATGATCCCATGCAGCTTGAGCCGGCGGCTGCTGCTGCCGCAGAGGCATTTGAACAGCGGATGCAAAGAGATCCAGAGACTTCACTTATTTCCGAGGGGTCATATTCGTTTTCGTCGGAGGATCCGACTTTTGATGACTTGATCAATGTGTGAGATGTGGAATGGGCGGCCATTTCGTCTGGGTGGCGTTGTAATTTCGAGCGGGTTATGTTTTTATTGCGATCCAGTGGTGGCTGGAGGGTGTCTGGCGTTTTTCAGGTCGCTTGAGTGGATGGTTCAAGCTTGTTTTTTTCTCTATTCTTTTATCTGTGCTGTGTCTTGAAGTAATCGCTGCTGTGGTTATCGTTACTTGCTCTATGGGCATCTGGGAACGAGGCTGCATTATGAATACCATGAACGATGACTGATGTTTCTGTTTACCATGCTGGAATAGTGTTCCTGAAGTCGGACAGTATGAAATTGAAACTTGTTAGTCAGTTTTGCTCTTGCTTGGTATAGAAGATCTAGTTAAAGCACGGAGTAGAGGCTGAGATATAATACGTGCTCCGAAATATGCAAGAGACTGAGTGGGAAATGATATGCATGACAGGCTCAGAGTCTCCAAGCCATCGTGTATAATATGATTGAGTCAAGATCGTCCGGCGACTGACTCAACATGTGCAGCTTGATGCTTAGAGTCTGACCGAGTGACAGTTGACGACTCCCGAGCATGACAGGACTGCCTGTCTTCATCTAAACTGGTAGACTTCCCTTGCTCGAAGTCAGGAATCCCCTCAAACATACCATTGATCTCTTCAAGGGTCTTGCCGGCAGTCTCTTTAAGACAGAAATAGGTAAAGCCGACAATAACCACATCCAGCAACCCAAAGAGCAAGAATGTCGCCCATCCAAGACTAGCCTGGATATATGGCGTCGAGAAGCTCCACACAAAGTTGAACAACCACTGCGATCCAACACCGAACGCAACACCCGGCTCGCGAATGCGAGTTGGGAAGATCTCACTTGTGCATGGCCAAGGCAATGGCCCCCAGCTGAAGTTGTAGGCAATGATATCGAGGTAAATCAAGGCGACAGTCGCAATTCCAGACGATGAAACAGTCCCATCCCCAGGCTGCGGATACGTCTTGATCACAGCCGCAGTCGCAATCATGCATACAGCCATGAAAGCCGCACCACCAGCAAGCAAGGGCCGACGACCAAATCGATCAGATAAAAAGACCACAAAGATCAGACACGACACGACCTTGATAGCGCCGAAAATGCCAGTGAGCAACAATGTCCGATCGCCATCCCCAACCAGCAATGCAAAGAACTGAGGCCCGAAATACGCCAACGCCGTCGACCCAGTCGACTGCTGCGCCAGAAACAGGCCTCCGCCAATAAGTAGGCGGTGCAGATTCGGGCCTTCGAGTAGCTCCCGCATCCGAAACCCAGCAGTCGCATGTCTCTCTTCTTCCAGGCCTCGTCTCATATCGTCAAACTCACCTCTTACATCCTCGCCCTCTCCAGCACGTATCCAAACCAGACTATTCCATGCCTCTTCCTCTCGCCCCTTCGCCAAAAGCCACCGCACACTCTCACTAATACCCAGCATTCCAACTCCCATCAGCAAACCGGGAACAAGCTGCAACCCAATAGGCAATTGCCACTGTCGCGCACTGGCCTCCATACTCTTAACACCATAGTCAATCCAATACGACACCAGAATCCCGACCGTATAAGTAAGCTGGTAACAGCTCCCCAGCTGTCCACGGATCTCCTTGGGTGCCATCTCCGACATATAGATTGGGATAATTGTCGCCGAACCCCCAACCCCCAAGCCACAAATCACCCGACCGACATAAAACGCCACCAGGGAACGAGTATCGACGGTTTCCAGAATCACCCCGATACAAAAGACCAGACTGCACACTGCCATTGCGATCCGTCGTCCATAGATATTAGTCAGTGGCCAGACGAGGAAACAGCCTGCAAATGCGCCTGCCTGCTGGATTCCTACGGCAATGGCACTGATGCTTGTTTTTTGGGATGGCGTTATCCCGAAGGAATCCTCGAATGAAGGGAAGGTGAGTACGCCGCCTGGAGTTGGGTTAGTATGTGTATTCAATTGGATGGATTTCACATACCTATGACGCCGGAGTCATAGCCGAATAGAGCACCGCCGCAGCATAGTACCAGTGCGAACCAGTAGGTGCGCCATCGAGCGAGTTTGGATATGGACATTGTGTCACTTGAGTCCAATTGATCTGGTGGGATTTGAGAGTATTGACTAGATGGCCATGGGAAGGTATTATATGTAATTGGAGATATATTTGGCATATTGGGAAATCTTGGAATATAAAAATAATATTCTAAAGTTTGAGTGAAGTAAGTCTAGACACACCAGCCGAATGAAACGTGAGAACTCAGAACGATTCATCGGTTTCTGTTTTGGGAAGTGGATTATGTCACCCGACTGCCGACTCTCCAATCCTCCACCAGACTTACTGCTTTTGCTCTGTCGATCATCAGCTTTCTTTGCTCGAAATGGCGATATTTATGGGTCCGTCGCTTCTCTTATCGGATGTGGAGCCTTTCCCCCGCATAGCAGTGCCGATGGCCGATTGGCGAGTTGGGATGCTTGTCTTTGATCGCGCAATGTCCCCTTATGCGAGTACCTTTGCCGATGTGAGTATAAGTGTGCATATGCCCCTCGACCCCTCACTTGTTCGTTTCTTCACGTTTCTTGACGCCTGAGACTGATCAACACGGTTCATGCTGAGGAAGAGACAGCACAATTGCCAATAATTCTCGACAATGGCAGCCAAACGCCCCAATTTCCTCGTTGTTGTCGCAGACGATCTCGGTTTCTCTGATGTAGGCTGCTTCGGTGGTGAAATTCGTACCCCCAACATCGATCAGATTGCCAAAGAGGGCCTTCGATTCACCGACTTCCATGCTGCAGCTGCATGCTCGTAAGCTTCCCCCCCCCCCAATGTTTCCACGATTGGTACTTACAGTTCTAGCCCCACACGCGCCATGATCATGACAGGCACCGACCATCATATCGCCGGACTAGGGAACCTCATCGAATGGACCAACATCTCTGGCCAGAACGGCCCCAAAGGATCTGCCATGAGCACCGCACCCCAGCGTGGCATGCCGGGGTATGAGGGATTCCTCAACGAGCGAGTCGTGGCATTGCCAGAGGTTCTTCGCGATGGGGGCTATCACACAATGATGTCGGGGAAATGGCACCTGGGATTGACGCCCGAGCGATCACCACACAAGCGCGGATTCGAACGTTCATTCGCCCACCTCCCCGCTTGCTCAAACCACTATGCCTATGAGCCTGAGCTCAAAGATAAAGACCAGATTCCCACTTTCATTGAGGCGAGTTATATCGCCCTGCACATGGAAGACGGGGAGTATGTCCGTCATCTTCCGGAGGGCTGGTACTCGTCTGATGGATATGGGGATAAGATGGTCGACTATATCAAGGAATGGAAAGAGAGTGGTGGACATGGCGGTCCAGATGGAAAGGGAGATCGCCCATTCTTCGGTTATCTCCCTTTTACTGCACCGCACTGGCCGCTCCAGGCACCTCGCGAGTATATCGACCACTACCGCGGCGTATACGACGAGGGCCCCGATGTACTTCGTCAGAAGCGATTGCAACGTCTGAAGGAATTGGGGATGGTGCGCGACGACGTCGAAGCGCACCCCGTGCAAGCGGAGGAAGTCAAACCCTGGGAGGAGTTCAGCGACGACGAGAAGAAGAAGTCTTGCGTTGCGATGGAGGTGTTCGCTGGCATGGTCGAGTGCATTGACTCGAATGTCGGTAAGGTTGTCGAATACCTGCGCTCGATAGATGAACTGGACAACACATTTGTCTGCTTCATGTCCGACAATGGTGCCGAGGGTGCTGCATACGAGGCCTACCCGATGGTTCAAAACGGGGTGATGCCCCATCTCCAAAAGTACTACGACAATAGTCTTGACAACCTCGGAAATGGCAACTCGTTCATCTGGTACGGTCCCCGCTGGGCGCAGGCTGCCACCGCCCCGTCGCGCCTGTACAAGGCGTATACCACGGAGGGCGGCGTCCGCGTGCCATTCACCTGCCGTTTCCCCAAAAACCTGGCTGTCAACCCAGTCAACGTTACAAACGGCATTACCGATCAATTTGCAACAGTCATGGACCTGGCCCCCTCGATCCTGGACATGGCGGGACTCAAGCACCCAGCACCAACATACCAAGGTCGCGAGGTGGTGACGATGCGCGGACGCAGTTTCCAGCCTTGGGCTGTCGGCGAGGCTGACCGTATCCACCCGGTAGACTTTATTCAAGGCTGGGAAACATGTGGGCGAGCTGCACTGCGCTGCGCAGACTGGAAGATTGTGTTCATTCCCAAGCCCAAAGGCCCGGAGAAGTGGCAGCTGTATAACCTGGTTCAGGATCCTGGGGAGATTCACGATCTCGCAGATGCCGAGCCAGCGAAATTAAAACAGCTACTGAAGCTATGGGATCAGTATGTCCTCGAAACCGGAGTTATCCCCCTCTGTCCTGATCTCGGAGAGTTCTTGGAGGCGACCGAGGCTCAGATGCCGGAGAATGCATGGATGGAGTTTGACTACTGGAAGGAGGGTGCGAGGGATGCCCCAGAACAGTTTTCACGTCAGCCGCCACGGTTCAAGAGAACCGAGAGACCTTTCTAGAAGACGGGAGGATATTTCTACGGTACTTTTGCATGTTACATATAGATTCTAAACAAAGAAATCAAGAGCTCCGGCTTTACACATCCCGATGCCCCTCAATCGGGTCCGCGCTAGTGCCTGTGGCGTATAGAATAATCTCCAACCTCTTTCTCCCTTTCTCTCTCTCTCTCTCTCTCTCTCTTTCTCTGTTTCAAAATATGCAACTCTTCATACCCGAGTGTTTGCGGGGTCGAGATGGCTACCCAAAGGACCAATATGCCTCCCATCCTCAAAGGACGGCTTATGTTCTTCGACGAAACAGCCTGGGACCACGCAGACAACCTTCTACAGAAATGGAAAAACAGGCTATTCACACCAGAAAGCATCCAAAGAATTACCACTCTACTGTTCCATAAACCCAGCCCACCCCACCGACTCTTCCCACCCCAAAAAGGCTCCTTCAACATGGTCATCCGACTCCAATTCACCGACAAAACCTCCTCAATAATCCGCTTCCCAATCCCAGGCTACTCAATATTCCCCGAAGAAAAAGTCACCGCCGAAGTCGCCGTAATGCGCTTCCTCACAAGCACATCCATCCGAGTTCCCCAAATCCACACTGTCAACAAAGACCCAATTCTAGGCCCCTATATCATAATGGAGTACATAGAGCATGACTCAGACCTTGTCGATGCCCTCAACACCCCATCCCTCCCTTGGCAAGACAGACCAATCCTAGACCCAGACATCCCACAGCACCGCCTCCGCTTCGTCTACGGGCAAATGGGCTCCCTCCTCCTCGAACTGACACGGCCCAAATTCACAGCCATAGGCACCATTGCTCAATGCAATGATACATGGGTTGTCAAACACAGACCACTGAGCATAAACATGAACGAATTGGTCCAAGTGGGCTGTGTCGATCCGGACGATCTCCCGCATGGTCCGTTCTCCAGTGGAGCGGGGTACATATCTTTTCTTGCAGAGTTGCATATGGCTCATTTGAGTGCTCAGCGCAACGATGCCATTGAAGGGTGGGAGGATTGCCGGGTCAAATACATTGCGAGGTGTTTGTTTAGGCGCTTAGCAAGGGAGAATCGGCTTGTTTCGTTTGATGGTGAGTTTCGGTTGTTTTGTGATGATTTACGGCCTGCCAATGTTCTTGCTTGGAGGGATTGTATTTCTGCAGCTATTGATTGGGAGTTTACTTATGCGGCACCTTTGGAGTTTGTTTATGCGCCGCCCTGTTGGCTTTTGTTGGAGAGGCCTGAGTATTGGGCTGGGGGCATTGATGAGTGGGAGAGGGCTTATGGGGAGCGATTGGGGGTGTTTTTGGAGGAGTTGGAGAGGAGGGAGGTTGGAGTTGGGTTGGAGGATAGGCTTTCGGGTCATATGAGGAGGAGCTGGGAGAGTGGTGATTTCTGGGTTAGTTATGCTGCCAGGCGGAGTTGGGCTTTTGATGTTGTTTATTGGGCGAGGATTGATCGGAGGTTCTTTGGGGAGGGGACGCTGGAGGATCGAGTTGCTTTGTTGACGCTGGAGGAGAGGGATGGGATGGATGCGTTTATAAGAAGAAAGTTGCATGAGATGGAGGTTGGTGGATTGAACAGTAGGTTTGGTTCGCCAGGATCTAACGAGATACCCTGCGAGTGAGTTCTTGACTTGTTGTTATTTGGATACTGGATATTCGAGGCTGGATGTTAAATTGCAATCGAGATGGCTACGGAATACTTTCTTGTTCTATGCTTTTCATTACGGGCATTTTGAATAACCTGTGATACCTTTAATTCATGTCATAAATAGCGAATACTGAATAGAAAACCTCTTTACCAAACAGACGCAGAAAGGAAGCAACATCAAGCTGCAGACAGAAGGACCCTGGATATGGCGATGCATCAAGCACCAACCAAAAGAGTGACATGGATCCCAATCCTCTTTGAGACCCTTAATCCAACTTAGACTCCAACCACTTGGTAGCGGCGCCAGCGTTCGCAACGTAGGTGAAGTGGGCAGGGGTAATGATGAGGGTGCCAGTGCAGACCATGTCTCCAACGGCACAGTAGACCTTGGTCTTGGACTTGTCGAAGCCCTTAATGCCGCCTCCCTCTTGGGCATTACGGGTGTAACCGAAGAGCGCAACACCCTTGATCTTGGCCTGGACGTCGGAGGAGAGCTTCTTGATGGAGTCATCCATGACAGCAGTACCCTGACTGTATTGTGGTTCAGATTAGTATGGGTTGGATGGATGAAGATTAGGGGACATACCTGTATCCACCAGCAAGAATCTGAGTGTCAGGGCACTTGGAAACAGCCTGCTCGAACAGACCCTGGGCCTCCGAAATGGCAGCGGGGGAAGTGTTGCCGGGGAGTGCGTTGGATGGCAGATCCGCAGTGTACTTGGGTCCAACACCCTGGCAAGCGACCTTTCCAGGGTGGTCTCTCTTTAGAGCATTACAGATGGCGGGACCCACAGAGATACCCTAATGATGAGACCATGAATTAGCAATTGGACTTGATATCGTGAAAAACGGAACCCATACAAGAAGACCAGGCTCGGTACTGGCACGGGCGAAAATGAAAGTGATCGGCTTGCAGCTGCCTGTACGCAGCTCATTTCCTGATGCGACTGAATAGAAAGCAGATCATGTCAGTCGAGATCATCCAGGGTGTAAATCAATACGTACGCTGACGAGCTTCAATGTCCATGGGGCTAGCCATGGCGGTGGCTGCCAGAGCCAGAATAGCACCGAATGAGAACTTCATGGTCAGGAATCAAAGAGGGATATGCTGCAGATGAAAATGAATGCTTTCCTTTCTGAGGATCCATTCAGGTCCTGGCCTGCTCTTATACCTGGACCCGGTTATACACCGGGTTCAAAAAAATTGGCCATGCGAATGGGACTAGGCAAACTTGGTCCTTGGCCATGCAAAATTGACCCTTCGATCGTTCCAGTGGAACTAAATCTCCTACGAAATATCGTTTCATGTTGGAATTCGGGTACCTGATCCAGCAGTACCGCAGAGTGGGCCAGGGTCCGAAAAAGGGACCTATGTGAGCCGAGGTTTCTGCGCCTTGGCTCTCTGGAATGTACGGAGTACGAGTAGGAGAGGTACCTAGGGCGTACTCGTATACTGAAGGATTGGACATGTCACAATGTAAATGGATTGGCCGTTGGGGTGTTTCAAACCCGTGCACTGAGACCCGTTTGCGGGCCCTATAGTTCGGCCGCCTTACCGAAACGGGTAGCCTCAAAATTGATTCCAACATCAATTTAGGGTGTTTTCCCCGTCTGGATGGGAAAATGAGCTTGGACACATAAAATGAGTTCTCAAGGTTCGTGATTGTCTAACCGAACGGTCGTGATCGACGTAGCGTGGCTCTCCCCTCCCGAGTTCTCTACACGCGAATTAGGGCTTCCCGTTTTTGGAACCAACACCGGCACATCATGGTGATCCTGGCTCTTTTCAGTGGCTGGCATTGCTGTTTGACACTGAGGGAGTACTCCGTACTCGTACTGCCGTATCTCGTGTTCGATCTTCTCAGACGTCATTCTCAATTTGAAGCAAACCCCTGCTTGGCTAGTACTCGTCTGGAGAGCTGTGGATCGGGGCATGATCTCCACAGGCCAGAGAGACCGAGGTACCGTGGATGAGTACCGAAGAGATCTACCGTTCTAGGACCCTGTGGCCAGTGAAAAACTCATATTTGATGTTGAGAGTTTCTTGTTTACTCTGATTTGACCTGAGGATGATCTGCTCTATCTAGATCCCAGCATTTTTAAAGCCCAACACTTGCATGTCTATGCAGTGCACATATCTCTATTCCATGTAGACCTTCCATTGTGAACACCTCGGAACTAATGACAGAGAGCCCTGGGGGCGTTTCATCCAGCTCCTTGTCCATGGATGTGACGATATAGCCTGCGTCTCTTACGTTTCATGTCTATAGAACCCCCTGAAACCCCCATACAGATTGACTTTTTCGGAGGCTTTTGAAAATAAGGCAAAATATCAGTCTAGACGTCATCAGGGTCCTGCAAGTTCGTATAGATTCGTCTACGAGTACTTGTAGCGGAATAACAATCAAGTTACTAAGGGAATTGCATTGCGATGAAACCGAATTTCCCTCGCAACCCTACGATATGTACTCCGTTCGGACTTAGTTTTTTTATCTGGCATATGAGAGAAAATATAGATTAAATCCTCAAGAGACGCAGAATCCCAGTGGAGACCAAAAATGACCTGTCGAGACTCCGGCTTAACTTCGGGTCACTGTAAGCAGTACTCAAGTGCGGAATACTACTTGTATACTACTTAGTATAACCAAATATTTTTGTTATACTGGCTACTCCATACACGAGTAGTGAAATATCTATGCATTGCTTGAATCATCGATCACGATAGACAACAGGTATAAGCTCGTCATCGCACCCGTTGCGGGGAAAACAAAACAAAACCTCACCATGTTCTTAATCTCATCATGGAGGTAAATGTGCTCTGATCTATTAGCGATCAGTCCGAAATTAATATCGACAGGTGCCAAAAGCCCGGGGAGCAGGCAGATCAGGCCCACGCCGACGAACAGGCTGTCTGACCTGCCGGGCCCGCAAAGTCCGCTGCGACGAAGCAAAGCCACATTGCTCCAACTGCGACCGACTTCGCCTGCGATGCGTGTACAAAGGCCCTAGCACAGACGCACCGGCAGAGTGGGGATCACCGCGCGATGCGTCAAGTCACACACAGCTTGCAACGGCCACGGTCGCTCGTTCCCCCGACCTCAACTTCTTCAACACCGTACTCCGCTCCGATGACGGTTCTATCCCCGCCCCGGCGCTGCGACAGCTACCGGGAGTGTACTCGGAATTCGACATGCTGGGGTTTATGGGTGGGATTACCTCGGAGTTGGAGCAAAAACACTTGGATTTGACGACTGGTCTGGCGGCGACGTTCACCGCCAGCCCGGCGTCGCAGTCGCTGCCTGCGGGGATCGTGCTAGAAGAAACGAGCTTCGAGAGACGTACGCCGCTTAGTCCAGACGCGCCCTCTTCGCTCATGGATGGCTCCATTGGGAGCTCGGACCTGGCAACTACACGGGGCAGCTGGTCTGATCCCGGCACTTCGTATGAAGACCAGCTGCTACAATACTTTATGAGTGTGGGCGCACCGGCGGCACTCTTTGCCCCAGTGAGTATGGAATGGGAGTATGTGCGGCCGGCGTTGCTGGCTCATGCCCGGGATTTCAGTCCCCTGCAAAATGCCCTGTACTGCTATGCAGATGTGCATAAAGCGATGGGAGAAGGCAAGCGATGGCGCTGGGCGCCTACTTATTATAGGGTCTCGGGGGCAGAGATCCAAGCTTGTCTTCAGGGTGAAGTGACCGAGTCCACGTTGGTCAAGGTCTTCGGGGCCGTCTTTCTTTTAATGATATCCGAGGTATGTCTACTAGATTCATTGGACTTGTGCTTAGATGGCTTATATCTGGCCAGCTCCTCTCATCCCCTGAAATATGCGCCGGAGCATCGTATCTTCATTCTGGATATCTCATTCTCCAAAGATTTCACAGCCGGGCCCGACACTGGACAGGCCTCGGTCACCTCCTAGTATCATGGGTTTCCCTTCTAGACGTCAAGTCCCTAATTGCTGGCCGAGAAGGAGACCCTCTCATTGACCTGGGCATCATCCCAGAACACGGAGTAACACTCCAACCCCATGAGGCAGCCCAAAAACCACAGACAGCCGAAGTCGACTGCAAACAAGAAGACATCACCGAAGACCCCTTCCGCACCCCCAGCTACCTAGTATACGACGCAATAGTCGGCCCAGCCTTCCGCTTCTTCGTCCAAGCCCAACAAGTCGTCCGCCGCATCGTCAGCATAGACCTCCACCACCGCAGCCGCGGCACTCTAAGCGACGAATTCGAAGTCCTCCAAATCGCCCACAAAGTAGGCGCAGACCTCGAAACCCTCTGGCACCGCCGTCCTGCCGTAATAGACGTCTACAACCGCCCAGATTCCCTATCAAATACCCTGTGTGGACCCGTCGCCCTCGAAATCTGCCGTACCTTCCGCCAATACGTCGCCACCTTCCTCGCAAACTTCATCTACCTGCACCGCGTGGCATTCGCCATCTACCCCCGTACAGACCGTGTCAACGGCGCAGTCGACCAGATCATCCAGCTGGCGACGGTTGAGTCGGCCAATCCCGCCCATTTACCTATTAGCTTCTTATGGCCGATGTTCGTGGCAGGTCTGGAAGGGACGGAGGTGCAGCGCCGATGGATCGTCTCGGAGATGCAGCGTATGGCGGCTGTGCATGAGGCGGATTCGGACCCTGGCTCGAGACTTGCTCGTCATCCGTCTGCGGATAGGGTGTTGGTGCTTTTGGAGGAGATGACGAGGCGACAGGATGCTTCGCGCACTTGGGCTGACTCGAAATGCGTGAGAAGGGAGTTGTTTTCGGATTTCTTTGTCGTGATTTGATCATCGCTTGTATATATCTTCATTGCTTGGGTGGGGTTTTGATTCTCACGGCTTCGAGATTTGCGAACGGGTTGATATTTGGGGCAAACTGTACATATCCAGTTAGCAGCATTGAATTATGGGGATGAGAGATGCTCTCTAGGGCTGTCGTGACATGTGATTCTGTTCGATGTAGATATCGAGTACCTCTGAATGAATCTCCTTTGAAGGTTCTAATTCGAATTCAACAGGTTCGCCCTGGTTTGATTGTTACAAGGTGAAGCGAAGCGACAGCCAAGCTACTACAGAAGGATGAATGCTCAATGTAAATGGTATATGCCAATTCCCAACAGATTCTATGCACCAAAACAATAAATTACAAGCTATAGACGGTATCCTTTCAAATCCACTTGAGTCCCTCGCCAGACTCAGTTGTAGTCCTACGGGCCAGGACTTCAACAACCTTTCGGCGCACACCATCACGGTGCGAGTACTTCTCGAGGAAGGCCTCGATGACAGGTCGCCGGGATGAGTGACCCTGGCGAGCGACCTCCTCAATCTCAGCCTCGGAGGGAAGAGCAAAGTGAGCATGGGGGTAGGCGTTATAATCGCCCTCGCTGAGGAGGGGCAGACGGCTCTCGCCCTCGGGGATCTTGAAGAAGCTCTCGACAGTCTCGTCAGTGACCTCGGCCAGAGTAGCGGGCTTCCACTCTGCCTGGCGGGGAGGCTTGGACATGAGACGGGCCTTGACGCCCTCCACGAAGTCAGGGTGACGCATGAAGTTGGCGGAGATCTCGTGTTCGCGCTGGAAAGTCTCGGAGATGCTCCACTTCTTACCCAGGCGCATCTGGCGCAGAGTCACCTTCAGAGAAGTTGGGGACCGGCTGGACAGTGTCTCCAATGTCTTCTGTGCCCACTCCTTGTGCTCGGTTTCCTTCTCCAGAGCCTCGAAGATCTTCTCCACGGTGTCGAATGCGAAGCAGCGGTCGATGGCAGTGCGCAGGCTGCCGGCCATGAGCATGGGCTCCTCTTCGAGGGGAGGGAGACCGACTGAGAATTCGGCCATGGTCTTGTTGACGATTTCGAGACGCTCGGGGAGGGCCATGTGATCGGGGAAAGTCAATTCGGAAAGACGCTGGACCATACCGCTCAGAGCACTGGAGTGCAGGTAGTGTGTGGCGATGCCTGCGTACAGAGCCTGCACACCCTTCAGACGCTCAGAAGTCAGAGCAAGGTATGTGCCAGTCTCACCGTCGAGACGGGGCAAGAAGAAGGAGCCACCGACATCGGGGAAGAAACCAATGGTTGTTTCGGGCATGGCAAAGAGTGTCCGTTCAGTCGCAATTCGGAAGGGAGCGTGCATGCTAAGGCCGACACCACCACCCATTGTGATTCCATCCATGAACGAGATAACGGGCTTGGGGTATGTGGCGATTGTGTGGTCGAGGCGGTATTCGAGTCCAAAGAAGTCAGTCGAGGCCTTCTGTCCTTCCGGTCCTTGTTCGTTCTGCAGAGCCAGCGCGGCAACGTCGCCTCCTGCGCAGAGCGCCTTGGAGCCGGCTCCGGAGATGAGGATCATGTTTGCCAGATGGGACTTCTCCCATTCCTATAAAACCAATGCTTAGTACAGCCCATTGGGTATGTAAGGGTTGTCAAGTCTAACCTTGAGTCGGGGGAAAATCTTGCGTGCCATGGAGCCATTCAGGGAATTGAGCTTCTTGGGACGGTTGAGCTCAACGCTGCGGAGGCCATAGATGGAGTTGAACAAGACATCATCGGCCTCATCGCCGGGGAGCTCCTTAGGGATATCTGTCGACATCTATAACGAGTCAGCATTGGAATAGCCGAGATCTCAAAGATACATACCATAGCTGTCCGAAAGGCAGGGTTGGTGACCTTGGCGCGTAGAGGCATAGCTGAGGGGGCGCGCGAGATCCAGCTCGGCGATGAAAATCGGGAGAATGAGTGTCGAAGTAACATTGAAAGAGCAGACTATTAAAACACGTCAAGAGAGGGTATGGTGACAATCAGATGTTCTCCGCTTTTGACCTCGGGAGTTTTTTTCGCTGGATTTTCCTTCCGCTCCGACTCTCCGCCCATAACCGACAGCTTGACATCATGCAGCTCATAGAGTATGGCGTACGACACAGAATACACAGAATCAATTGGTGTCTATTTGCATTGATTTCACCTGGACAGAAGATGTCCTCAGCAGTTGTTGAATTTGCCATTGGCTCGGCACTCGGTACGAACTACTTGGTATATACTTCATATGACAATGACATGCTTCAATCCCATCCGCCAAGGAACGCATACTCAAGTAAGGTTATACAGTCTGCTACACTCGGGAAAATGGCTCCGCTTGAGTATAAAGAAAATCTATTTGTACATAGCTGGTTAAATGCTGTCAGAATCACCAAAATCACTTATTGCACGGTCTCCCAGGTAGCCCTCAACCGGCTATCCTTCAGTTGGTGAACAATCGATCCGTCCGCCGCAGGCGAGAATACAGTGTCAATGGCACTCAGATCCGCTGTGTGGGCAAGCAGGATCTTGTGCAGCGCATCTCGCTCAATGATCAATCTGCTGGTTTCCAAAAGGTTCTTCACGTCCAAGTTCTCGGCAGTCAGATGGCGCGCATACCGGGAGTACTTGTCAACCGCCTCGGAGAAGTGTTCGGTAGAATTGAGGGTAATGAAGGTTGACCGGCCCTTCTCAAACCAATCGTGGGCCCGGAGGATATTTTCGAGGTAGAACGGAGTTCCTCCGTAGCGAATGTTGATGGAACGGTCCACGACAATCAGTTCACCACGTGAAAGACGGTGGCTAAGAGCAATGCGCCAGGCTTGGTCGTAAATCTTGCGAGGCAGATCGGTGGAGAAGTCACGAGGATGAGGACCATGGGCAACACCACCACCTCGTCGAACTGGGGATTGCTTGTCACCCGCACGCGCACGACCAGAGCCCTTCTGTGCGTATATCTTCCGGTGACTACCGTGCACATCGTCCCTCCACTTGGTGCTGGCTGTACCCTGTCGTGTGCCGTCACCCTCGTACACCACAGCGCGATGAAGGATATCGTGGCGAATGGGCATGTCGAGGAGCCTCTTGGAGTAGTGAATTAAGCGCTTGGGTCGCAAGTCAGGCCAGTTGTAGGTCATGACTTGGACAGGGGTTTGGCCACCTGGTCGTGTGGCAGTTTGGACGTCGGTGATTTCTTGAGGCACCACGGGTGACGGTGTCTGGGCTTCTGTGGCCATCGAGCGTGCGAAGCATCGTTGCTGTAGAATGTCGTGGATCAGCCAATGCGTCCTCCGGGGCTAGGATCGGATTGAGCAGGATTAGAGGTACTTACTGTCACTTGCTTCGGGCCAGACATAAGTCCGCCAGAGCTGCGTGAGAGCAGCCTCAGCGACCGGACAAAATCATTAGTTGCCATTGTGACAATCTGCGGTGATCGCTATAGAGTGGTGATGGTCGTCTTGAACCAACAAGCAAAAGTTGAACCCGGGCGGTGGGTGCTAGCAGAATCTTGGCGTTCGAACAGAAAAAGTTCCCCCGGAAAGACAACAAGCACCCGTCCCTCATAGCCAACCCCATCGAACCCAATTCCTTGCATCATGGTTCACTGCGAGCGGGCTTCCAAGCCTTTGCTCCAATGCCTGCGCGGCTCTTACTCTAGAGGCGTTGCTGGTGTCCAGCTCCAGACGCGTGCTTTCCAGTCAACCGCCAACGTTCGAGAGGCCGAGACCGAGGCCCCGAGCCAACCCTTCCACAAGGCACCGGATCCTGCCCTTGTGACGAGTCCCCGTCTTGAGAGACGTCTTTTGCGCCAGGGAACCACCCCCATTGGATCCCGCCGTCGCCGTGCTGCACTCCAGACTACCGACAGCATCCCATTCGAACAGCTGCCCTACCAATGTTTCCAAGAAGCCCGCAAGGTTCTTCTCGCAGACCGCGAAGAGAAATTGAAGGAGATCGAGACCATGCAACAGCGCATTGCTAGACAACAGGCTCTCCCCGTTGAAGAGGCCGGAGGGGCCAAGGCACAGAAGTCCCGGGTGACAGCAATGCAATTACACTTGGAGCGCCTCAAGGTCCTGGCCGATATTAACGATCCCTCCGTGAAGCGAAGGTTCGAAGATAATGAAGGTAACAATTATGCGATCTCGAGATATCAATGTCTTGGGTGGAGGCTAACGTCCAATCTACTCCAGGTGATATGTCCAAGCCCATCTATCGCTTTTTGGCCGACCGCAAATGGCGCGAGTACCGCCGCAAGATTCTTGTCCAGCGAATCACACAGATGAACGTCGTTCCCGATGTTCTCCCTCACTGCGACCCAGTCGTAGAGACCAAGCTATACTTTGGCAAGCGACAGATCCAAGCCGGTGAATTCGTCGAAGCGAAGCAGAGCACCGTTGCCCCCAAGCTCGACGTGCAGATGTTCGAAGGTGGTGAGAAGCTGGTCACCATTGCTGTCGTTGACTCCGATGTCCCCAACGTCGAGCAAGACAGCTTTGATTACAAAACCCACTTCCTGGCCGTCAATGTGCCCATCTCAGCCACTTCAACCAAGGTCGACCTCTCCCAGCTTTTGGAAGATTCTCAGGTCGTCCTGCCTTGGCTACCACCCGTCGCCCAGAAGGGTAGTCCCTACCACCGTCTTTCTGTCTTCATCATGGAGCAGAAGGACTCTCAACCCCTCGACTTTGCCGCCGTGAAGCAGAAGGAGACTAGCCGCGACAACACTCTCCTTCGCACCCTCCAGACCCGCTACCACCTCAAGGCCATCGGTGCCCACCTTTTCCGTACCCAATGGGACGCGACGACCCTGGAGGTCATGAAGGAGCTCGGATTTAACGGCGCAGATGTCGAGCTGCGCCGCAAGAGGGTCGACCCTCTGCCTTATAAGAGACGTAACCCCTCCTCTTTCCGCTGATCTCGCTTTCTACCCTCTGTTTTCTATCAAAGCCATTTGAGTTTAGATTTGTATTGTACAATTTGACATGTATGAATATGCACACTGATTTAATCCTTCCCAACCGAACTCCTTTTGTATGCTTGAATAAGAGAGGCCCTGGCACTCATGCGCAAGATGCGATAGCCCTCTTCATGTATGTTTACATTTTATGATCCTCAGATGCTGCCCTCCAGCTGCGCAGGTTGTAACGGATTCTTCACCCATTCCGCCTTCGACGGCGGCCATACTCGCGCGACGATCTTTCCGTTGATGAGTCCCATGGGCACGGGTCCGTAATTCCTGGAGTCCCTAGACCAGGGAAGGTTGTCGCCAGCTAGAAAGACATGGCCTTCGGGGATCTTCACAACACTCAAATATCAGCAATTGACCTCCCATCACCAAGTCAATTCAGCTTACCTGTATCATATTGTGGTCCTTGCCAACCTCCGGACTAAGTGGCTGATCCTGACAGACAAAATCTCCCGGCATGCCCACCACCCGCTTCGCAACGTGGACGCCCTGGAAGTTCGGGTGACCGAATCGTACAACATCGCCGACTTCAATTCCCTTGCCATTCCGGTGAAGTCTCGAAATCAATAGCCAATCGCCTCTCACGTCGAAAGTCGGGTACATCGAAGGGCCCGCGCTGAGCTGTACGGTGACCAGGTGCTCCCAGATCAACGAACATCCGCAGAAAGTGCCGAGTCCATTGAGCGCGAGCCGGCCGACGGTGCGAAGATTCGTGAATCTAAGCGTAGACCGGAAGAGTTGCTCCATGAGGTGGGGATTTGGCGCATCCTCTCAGCAAGAGCTCTACGATTCCGGTGTTCGACAGCGGTCATGTGACCGTCCGGATCCTTTAAAATCTTTTCTTTTTCCGCCCGCTCCCTTTTCATCTCCATCATCAGTCCATATGTGACTGGAACCAGCGACTTTGAGAACATCGCTGTCGCATTGGATGAACATATCCATGAGTTCTCTGGCTACTTCAGCTGCCCATTGATGTTTGGGCTGCTGTGCTAAGAAGAGCCTGAATGTTCATCCTCTCGCCACGACCAGAGCATTCTTACCAGTTGGAAATGCTCTTGTGTCGCATCTCATTAGATTATTTCCCCCCATTTGCCCCTGATTGCCCCTGATCCCATCAGGGATATTCGCTTCTCCAAATGCTAGAGCTGGCCGTCGCCGAAATACAGCACCAGGACGAGCTAGTGTGGAATATGAAGCAAGATGAATACAAGAGTCTGTCTCAATAGACAGGCTTTCCCCCAGTGTGCCTCATTCTTGACCCCATTTAACTATGGGACTGGGTCTTTGAGGCATACGCAGTGGGGATACATCCTCATTAGACATTTCAATTCATCATCAATTTCTTCATTGGAACAGATCAAACTGCCCTCGTAGGTCGAACATCATCGACAGAATACCAGTAATACCCATATCTGCAAGTCCTAACGGGACTTTGTCCACATTGCATCGGCATCTGTTACCCAGTCAGTTTCAAGTGCAAGAGTGCATAGTACAAACCGAGGCGATAGATCATACCCTTGTGCTTCTCGACTGGCTCAATTCCCTCCCGTTTCTTCGCTTTCTGTCGATAATCCACCCCAAACCTCCCATCCCGCTCCCCAAGCAAAGCATCCATCCCACCAGGCTTTGCCAGCTCAACACTTTCAGGCGATGTAAAGCTTCCCATTAACTGCGGTGGACCCATAGGAACAGGGTCCCCCCGATCGACCTGCCAGAAATGATATGTCTTCCCATATATTGGCGCAACATCCTGCATTTCAGCCGTCTCTGCAGCCTCCCACACAGGATTCGGCACTCCAGCCGGCGCAGGCATAATGAGCATGCCGCTCTTCACTTCGAATTCATGTGTATGCCAGAGCTTACGCTCTTCTTCAGGGAGAGTTGAGAAAATCCGCGGTGACACCATATACTCGACGCCCAGGAGACGGGCGTTTTTCTCGGGGGAGTCATAGATCAGGCATTGGCGCACGTCTGATTGATGTGAGTACTTGTGGTCTGCAGCTTGGTATCACATACCTTCTGTTAGATGGGTGCAATAATGATTGGCCTCGATGCAGCGGGTTGGGTCACTGGCGTAGACGTGGAATGCATTGAGATGGGCGCAGATCTGCTTGACTGGCGAGAAATCTTGGATCATTGAGGCTCCTGTCTCGAGAACTTGACTCTTGACTGTCCGTGGATCGCCTGGGATGTCCCGATGGTTCTCGGTGGATGCTTTGCAAGACATATTATATGGATTGTACCGAGCACCAGTTATTTTTATTCAAACTGTAAGAAGGGATATTAGTTCATTTGCTTTGGAAATAATCAGATATTACAGTTATAAATGGCATATAGTTGCCCTATTGACGTCACCATGATTGATGTCGCCTCCAATGCTTCCAGGTTTGTATAGCGACCTACTTAAGTAGTTATGACAAGTCGACCGGGGCAGTCGAAACAGCGTACTTATATATGATACGGTGTCGCTAGAATCGAAAGTGATATCTCTTTCCCATGTGATGCCTACAACACTTGGGCTCTACAAGCATTGTCCACTCGCGAACAAAAAGGGATTCAGTACAAGTCGGAAGAGTACATTCCCACAATTGTTCCAATATTCAATATTTTTTCGGACTAGTTCCCCCAGAGACACAAAGAAAGTCGACCTGCATAGATAAAATACGAGCTCCTGAAGTCCAGGGCTACCTGCATGACAGATGAATCCTTCCCCGCATTCGCTTTTCTCTAACAGCCACCCCCCTTCCAAGGAATAGCCCCTTTAAATTTGCTAAACATTGTGCTGTGCTAGGTATTTTTCGAATGAATGCTACATCCAGAGCTGTACACCTGAGGACATGGCACTAAAGAACTACAGGGCCGAAGATAAGATAGCGGAATTCTTCGCGCAAACGACAACGACACAAGCAAAATGCAATACACGAGCCAGAGAGCTTGTCGGTGGTGATGTGATACCAGTCAGTATCCAGGGCTCTTGCAGCTATACTGTATACGCCGGTACAAAGCAAGAATTTGTTGTCCAATTCCGACTCAGATCCGTCCTGTTGGAAATGAAGACAGTTGCTCTCGCTCGTCAAATTTATGGATCCTTGGTTCCATGGACAACTTGCCATGGCCAGATGGGTGACATGGTAGATGGTAAAGAGTGTGTGATTATCTATGTCATGGATCGGGTGCAGGGCGTCAGTCAGTTGGAATTTCAGTTATCGCAGGATGAATCGAACTCACTTGAGTTTTTTGCTTGGAGACAGAATCTGGTATCTGATCTGGCTAAGTTCGTTTATTTCTGTTGCAACCTCTGGTTAAGAGACTGATTGATCGCGGATTGCAGATTCTTTGCCAAGGCGTGGAATTCTCCGGTGCATGTTGATGATGAGGTGCGCGAAGCTCTCCAAGAAAGATATGAAAGGGATTTAAAGCTGCTATACCATGCCTTACCTGATCGATTCCGTCCTATCGTTCAGCGATCGCTTGATTCGTTGCCTGCCATCATGTCACTTCCAACTGTGCTTCTTCACCAAGATCTCGGGGTATTTAACGTGATGGTTGATGAAGAATCTCATCTGGTGGGAATCATCGATTGGGCAGAGGCCGAGGTTGGTCCCTTTGGGATCAATCTTCATTTTCTCCAGCAAACACTGAGTGAACTTCACCTCAAGCATGGATGGACTAGACGTGACGACTATGACGCCTTTCATCGGACCTTCTGGACTGGCCTGAAGGAGGGAACTGGCCTTGGTGAAAGTGAAATCCCGAAGATCGAGATGGCAATGACTGTTGGTCTTCTACTATCTCGTGGGTTCACATGTAGACTTGCCGGCATGCCACCTCCAGTGCCTATCCAGGATGACGAGAAGGGAGCTTACAACCTGCTGACTTTAGATGGATTTTTGATCAACCCAGAGACCAAATTCATCCACTAGAGGGTTTTAAGTATGAAGCCCTGGGAAATGACATGGCTGAGCCGAATCTGTTCTACTTAGTAGATTTAATTGTTTCTGAACTCGTTATTTCTAAGCTATATATCTAGCCCGAAGACCCGCAACACGCTAGAAATCATCATGGATGTATCCCCGACATATGGTATCTATTGAATACCAAATTGGAACAGCTTTGACGCGAATTCAGGAAGTACTTAAAATGTCCCGAGGTCACTACAGCGAATCCTTGATATTGCACTCCGTACCTCCTATGTCATCCATGGATCAAGTGGACCATTGCGTAGATATCAACTTTAGAAGCTTGACTATGTTGACCAGCAAACCAGCGGGCGCTGTGCTGGATATTGATCTGACCCCGACTCGATTACAATGTTTGAGCGAAGGGTGGCCAAAAAACCCTGGAGGCAGAGGTCCGCTGAAGAGACATGTCAATACCCCATACGGGGTACGGAGTACTCCGTGCATATTCCTAAAGTCTCGCTTACATATTTCAAGCCTGGAATCGGAAGCATGTTTGTCTATTCCGTAACTAGTCCTGAAGGTCGCATCTGTACTTAAGTAAAGGTCTTCACGCATTTCAAACACATATTGAGAACCGGGCTGCATACTAGTCTCTGCACTCCTGAGACTCGATCAAGCCAAAGCAGCAATCGAGACAATCAGCCTCAAACAAAACTAAAAGATCTCCGTCAAACCTTGGAACCTCATTGTCATTCTGGGACCAAACCAAGACCACACCTACGTGTACAGAGTACTCTGTCTGTACATGTATGGAGCCAGAGTAAAATGCGCCCGACTCCAGCCCCTCACATTCAAAACCTGAAATCTGAAAATTTCAAAGGGGCCACAAAACCTCGGCAGATCAGAAGAGTTAAGGGGTAAACCCGCGGAGATCAATACCAAAATGTATACGATAATCAATGTGCTGCAGAGTCCCAAGACTCCGCACTCCACATTCGACCCGTGATCTACAAGATTGCGTTCATGAAAGAGAAGTAAAAAACCGAAAAAAAAGTGAAATAACAAGTCAAATGCAAACCTGCCCAAAACCAATAATGCGCTCGGTAACACAGCGGATCCTTTGAAGCGGGAATGAAGTGGATGTTAACGCGGGAGAGGAACTCCGACCATTTGTCCGATCTGGTAATGATCACTTCTTGTCGGGGATGTATTTCCAGGCCTTTCTTTTTTTTTTTCTTTCTCAAGTTTAGAGTATGGGGTATGGAGTATGTGATGCAGGCTGTATGTAACAAGGTCGCATTTTGTCATACTACGAGTACATATACAAAACAACTTTTCAAGTGTGAGGAGTCGCATATGTCTGTGTGGGGGGGATGTATATCACATCTAAACACACACAGGGTGCGGTGAAGAACAGGTCGAATCGGAGCTCGGCAGTGATTATCTGGAGCCAATGCCTAATTTCGTTTAGTGGTCTCGAGCCTCTCGTAAGCAAAAAAAAAGAAAAAAAAAAAAAAAAAAAAACGAAGAGGATATGTCTTGTTTTACCGTTTAGGGCTTAAAAGCCTGAAAAAAGGTGAAAATGGAATGTAGATAATGGGCAGGAAGGGTGGGAGA